AATGTGGGATATCTTAGAGAATCGCAGATGAATACGTCGAAACGTCGAAATTTTTTACATTTTTCGCTACTTATCGACATTGTTTGCTCTATATCTTTTGAACTAATATGAATGCGTGTTATTTTCTACATTCTGAAAACAAGTAAATTTAATGTACTTTAATCTGCAATAAAAATATTTCTGCTCCTAATGTGGGATATTTTAGAAAATCGCAATTGAATTGCCTGTAACGCCCTTTTACAAAATTTTCGCCAATTATCGCCATTCTTTGCTTTAAATCTTTTAAACTGATACAGATGCACATTATTTTCTACTTTCTAAAAACAATTAAATTTAGTGTACATAATGTAAAATAAAAATATTTCCACTTCTAATGTGGGAAATATCATAATATCGCATTTAATTTTCTTGGATAAAATCTTATTCCCAGCAATGTACATTTTTATATCTCGCGGTAATGGTCCTTCAATGTACGATTTTGAAAGGGAACATTGCTTGGAATTGTGGGTAAAAAATTTCGCCGGAATTTCGCTAACTTCACACGGGTTAAGAAAAGAGTCAATTTATTACGACTATATATTATTCCAAAAGCTTGCTCTGCCATTTTTCAGATTACGCTCTTTTTGTCTTGTTTTCCCCAGAAACCAAGTGTACTGCGATTCCAATACAATTTGGCTCTATACAGGGAAAACTGGTTGCGGCGGTCTAGTTGTTCGAGAGCTATTATGTTTCAAATACCGCAGGATCAAGCCACCACTTCATTCGGAATGTAATAGATAGAATATTCTTGGCAAATTGCAAAAACTATATCGTTTGAAGCTAGCAGCTTTTCACACAATTTACCAAAGTGAATACGTAAAAATGGTGAAATATCTCATGAAATTGAATAAAAAATCTTGGTTTCATTTGTGTAATATGTACAAGATAAAATCAGCAATAGGTTGAGAAACAGTTGCACATGTCATGTAGATATCGTGAATACGATACTACGATTTGTCGATGACAAGAAAAATATCATAAATTATTTAACTTTTAACGCTTTCGGACGATGATACTTAGAAAAATATATTCCCCCCCCCCAAACTCGGTATTTAAACCTTGACAAAATCTAGTTTAAAATAAATGAAAAAAAAGAAGAAATGGAGGAATTTTGATAAAAGGTGTAAGTCAGCCGCCTTTCCTCTGTACAGCAAAGCGACATTGCTGGTGCTTAATAACAAATTCAGAATAATTTTGCTTATTTGGGGTACTATCTGAAATTCAGGCAATGTTGTCTCAATGATAGCAGCAAAATAATCCCTGAGTCCCTGTCAATATAATATCAATATAGTTTTTCGGGTGTGATTGAACGTATGGCCTCGCTGAATTACTTGATGTTACGACGAGCAATAATATATATATGTAATTGTCTAGGAAAATATTGATTTTAGTATCATGGTAAGACATTTTTGATTTGCCACCGATATGTATAAATATACAAATAATATATATTGCCCATATTTGTGAAATTCTTTCGTTATGGGACTTGCGTCTTGCAGAATAAATTGTTTTTGCTTCAAAGATTTGTATTATTTTTGTCAATGAAAAAAAAATGTAGTGCGCAAGTAACCATGACTCTCAAATTTCATTGCAATATTTCTAAGGGTTTTAATCCCAGATGCTGTAAATAATTTTTCAAATATTTTATCCTCGCGTGCCCAAATCTCCATAAAGTATATCAGGATGTGAGAATCTGGTATCTCATTAACGCAAATAACTGAATTCGGAATTTCACACTTCAACAGCAGGTCCAACAACAAATGATATTGTCTCATTTTTCAATATGGCTTCCAAGTTTAGACGAATGGTGAAATTAGGATACTAATTTAATATTCCAGTTATGAGAAGTAACACGTTCGCATTCATCTACCTACGTATTCCGACATTCATGTGAGATTATCAAAATAGGACTTTGATAATCAAACTATCATGCAAGTTAAAAACTAATATGGTTATTTTGTACAAAGCCCCTGCCTGCAATCTACATTTCTCACTCTATAACTCAAACCCTAACTGGTTAACAACGGAGTTTCTTATTTTGATCGTTGGCGGGAGTGTTTCGTTTTGTCGGAGGCACTATACGAAAGATCCAATAATATTCTTTCGACGATAAACAATTCAACATTTTCTACATACTTGTACATTTATACAAAAAAAAAATGCTAGTTGATTACACAAGTTATTTTTAGCATTTTTGTATGTTAAAACCTCCAAAACAAACATTCTGAACGCACAGCATTCTACTGCCGCGTTAAATTTTCATAATAAAAATAGATAGTTACAAAAAACTGATTTCTTTCTTCTTTATTCGGGTATACATTGAAAATTATATAACAGTTCCAACGCACTACGTAGTTATTAAAAATACGTCTAAAAACTTGCATAAAAAAATTATATATTTCAGTGAAAAGGTTTACTGGAATACAACATAGATTAATCAGAGAAATCAAAGCTTGTACTGAAATAATGCAAAGTGATATTCAGGTTTTATCTTGTCGCTTAAAGTATTGTAATTACTCGACTCAATATAGCTTAATGTTTGAAATATTGAAAAACTTAAATAATTGTGGACGGAACATTCTCACATCGCTCACTTTGAAAAATTGATCATCGTGTTTGGTGTTCGTTGATTTTCGTTACGATTAATATTCAAATGCAAGTGTCAGGAACGGTGACTGACAGTACGACATTTTACCTTACTTAATTGAAGTTTGTGCCTTGAAACAGAAAAACGGAAAACACTCAAATTTCTATTACCTGGCATTTATTCTGAAGTCTCATTCGAAAAGTGTAAGCAATGACGCTTGCGAAATGGATCGTTTTGATGCGTTGGGCTTGTTTGTTGTTCAGGAAACTGATCTATTGCCAAAGCACTCAAGTGAAGAACTTGTTATTTTCCCGTAAATATGCCAGCTGACTTGCCATTGAAGAATTCCTCAGAGAAGTGTATATTTAAATTACGAATACATAGGAATGTTGTTGGTATCAAGACATAAACATAAACAGTTTCAAACAGGAACAGGAAATGATCAGAGTATACAGTATGAGTTAAAGACTTTGAGTTAATTACCTACCTTCCACATTCTTATTCCTTATCGCAGCAAGTTTGTCGTGTGCTATCTGTTAACTCGCGTACGTTGCATTTATTTGTAACATCGTGATAGGATCATTACACTACTACTACATGGCGACCATGTTCAAGATTATATATATTATACTCATAGTTTGTAGCCTACCTTGATTTTCAAAACATGATATATACGTATACAACACATACACATTCAATACATTCAAACTATTCATTATCACATAAAATACCAGTTTTTGTTGTGTGTATAACAGAGTGGTTCATTTCGCACATTTTCTTCAACAATTCACAGGTTCCGAGGGTCGTAAATGAGGATGTTGATGTTAGGCCTAGATTGTTTTTGAATAAAATAATATTTAGTAGTCCAGATCAGTTTAACGGAAATTTTCAACTTATTCTGATTTGGCATGATCAGCAAGCTCCTGCATGTGGTTTATACAATATATGCACTTCAGAAACTTTCATCATTTTTTTTGTCATTCTTGAATTTCAAAAGTCTAAATGGTCATTCGGGGACGAAACAAAGCTGAGAAGAAACATTATCGATTACGTAATGGTCGTTAACATATTCTTCAACTGAACCAAAATAAACACTCAAGTCACAGTTACAATTAAAACTATTTTATGTGAAAGTTTTTCCAATTATTGTCATAAACACTAATACAAGAAAGATTGTCCAGGTTTTGGTTAATAAACTGGTAAATCCAAAGGTCACCACACCCGAATGTCACTAATGTATTTGGCTCGGCTCATTTCTCAACTACAAATGCTAAGTTCTAAAAAATTGTCATCATGTATTGTCCTGGTAAAATTTGTGAAAGTTTCTGACTTGTAACACATCAACGGTAAAACGAGAATATCGGTCGGAGACCGAAGACTTATCGATCGAAAGTTGGGGGATCTCCCAAAACAGCGCTCTTACTCCATGGTGACACCGTGTGTCCCATCACTAATTAAATAATAACTCGCTTATTATACGACATAATTCATCGAATTGTGAATATTTCTAATTGATATAATTAATTAATTCAGTGATTCCACTTTAATGAAATTGTATTTTATTGTATTAAACGCTATATTTTGGCGACAAATAGAAATTTGAAACGCAAAATGATTTTAATCGAAAATATCTGTACGTTTTTTTTACCAGATTTCTTATTCTTCGAAACGGGTACTAGAGTTTTGATGAAGTTAAGAAATTAATCGATCTTCCGTGAACACAGCATATGAATTTGGAAATATTGCAGAAGATTTTTGATTACTATCATCATTGAACATTCTCATATGTAGTTGGCACTTTATTAATTTCAAATTACAATTTTAATGTTCGTGATATCTTAGGAGGCATTGTAAATTGCGTAAGCAAGGTGTATTAGTGAGTGTGAGTTTGGATATACCTAAAGTTCGGAATTTGACTTTTAACTGCATATATGGAAATCATGTCAAATTTGAAATTAGAAAATACGATATAGATTCACACCTTTCTGTTGTGACATGGCTCCACGTTTTGTCAAATCTTGCTGCATGCATGAGTTTTGCATCATGTTCAAGTGAACCCCTCCTGAAATTTCGTCAACATACTTTGTGAATTTTTAATTCAAATTTTTGATGTTGTTTCTTGAATGTACTTATACAATGTAATATACAAATTTGAAAGATGAAATGTAAATAATTTTTTCCGCCTTCCGATACCTGTGTCCAAATGAAATGCTAGTGAACACTCATAATGATAAGACTTGATAGAAATGATTTAAAAAAGAGCAGACAAAACAAAAACACCATGACATATTTGCATCACGTTCCATTATCCAATGCTTTTATCATTGCTTATATTTAATATTTATTTTTTCTATGTTCTGCCATTTTAGCAATAGTTCGCATTGAGATATTCACAAGGTCGGGATGATGAAGTCAACTCCTTTTTTGTCTTTGATTATTCTGTTCGTTTCGCTCGCATGGAGTCGAGAAATATATTCAGGAAATGATATTGATTTGGAACGCGTAAGTCAAAAAATATTTGTCAAACGATAAATGTGATATTGTATGGACCAACGCCGTTTCGGTAATAAAGCGCAAAGTTTACGAGTTGTAATTGTGACGTAAAGTTGCAGTTTTTCGGTCTTCTATATATGTAAATAAAAAATACGAAATACGAGAATACTTTATAACAAACCCGTGTTGATATTCGTTTTGAAAATTATAAAAAATACTTCATGCTTCAAACACTGAAAAGCGCAAAAACGTATTTTACTTTTAATCTTATTCGTAGTTGCAAGGAGTCTGGTTTCTCACACTTGGTGTGGACGACTCGTCCTGGAACGTATTATGGAAGTGTCATGTTGTTGCACCTTTCAACGCAACAGAGAATAGGATGGGTATATACTCATACAACTTACCCAAGTGAGTAGTATTTCAAAAACGAATTCGTTAAGAACAAAATATATCGGTATACACGAGACATATAAATTAATTATTTAACTATGTTATTTCTTTCATAACAGGAATAAATCACAGAATCCTCACTCCTTTACAGATGATTTATACCGCGACCACCTGGGTCAAATTTGGCATAATCAGCAGATTGGTGAGAGTTTCAAGTAATTTATTTTCACTTCCTAGATTGTTATCGCGTACTGATCAGGAAGTTTCGTTTGCTATAATCAGTTTCCAGTGAATCAGAATTTTAATTTATTTTATGTAGTTCTTGGCAATTTCAATAAAAATAAATTACTGATTTAATCAATTAACCCAAGAACATATAATTGACATTAAATTTACTTGCAGAGAAAAGATGGGAAGAGATAGCTACAGAGCTTTATCAAGAACAACCTTCTGTTAACACAAAGATAAGACCTCCTTCTGAAGGTAAAGATGTTACCAAATCATGAATTGCGATATTTTACAAACCCACTTTTCCTTTACAGGAGACCCCTGGTTCTACTCTCATCCACATGCCTATTCAACCGACTATTCTACATTCTTTAGTATTGTGTCTTCAATGGAGGATGGTGAGTAATATTCATCAATTTTGACTATTTATTTCAATCATGTTTCACTTGATGTTTACATGTTTCAACATTGTTTTACTTTTATTGAAATAAATAAAAATAAAATTGCTCCGAAAAAACTGCAGTTGATTTTTTTTTTGTCTGATTGCAGTTTTGGAATATTTAATTAGTAATATTATTTTACCGTTGTTGTGTTTCAGATCAGAAGCATTTACAAATTTTTACCAGGACGCCGACTATAAATGATGACAATCTTTCAGATCTCCAAGCTTTTGCGGTTGAGCAAGGAATCGACCCAAACACATTAGTGACATTCGGGTGTGGTGACCTGATTCCAACAGATTATCTGTTAGATAAAAGATCGGCTTAGTGCAACGGCCATCTATTTATATTCAGTACTAACGTTATCTCATGTAACAAACTATCATGCAAGTTAAAAACTAATATGGCTATTTTGTACAAAGCCCCTGCCTGCAATCTACATTCCTCACCCTATAACTCAAACCCTAACTGGATAACAACGGAGTTTCTTATTTTGATCGTTGGCGGGAGTGTTTCGTTTTGTCGGAGGCACTATACGAAAGATCCAATAATATTCTTTCGACGATAAACAATTCAACATTTTCTACATACTTGTACATTTACACAAAAAAAAAATGCTAGTTGATTACACAAGTTATTTTTAGCATTTTTGTATGTTAAAACCGCCAAAACAAACATTCTGAACGCACAGCATTCTACTGCCGCGTAAAATTTTCATAATAAAAATAGATAGTTACAAAAAACTGATTTTTTTCTTCTTTATTCGGGTATACATTGAAAATTATATAACAGTTCCAACGCACTACGTAGTTATTAAAAATACGTCTAAAAACTTGCATAAAAAAAATTATATATTTCAGTGAAAAGGTTTACTGGAATACAACATAGATTAATCAGAGAAATCAAAGCTTGTACTGAAATAATGCAAAGTGATATTCAGGTTTTATCTTGTCGCTTAAAGTATTGTAATTACTCGACTCAATATAGCTTAATGTTTGAAATATTGAAAAACTTAAATAATTGTGGACGGAACATTCTCACATCGCTCACTTTGAAAAATTGATCATCGTGTTTGGTGTTCGTTGATCACATGATTTTCGTTACGATTAATATTCAAATGCAAGTGTCAGGAACGGTGACTGACAGTACGACATTTTACCTTACTTAATTGAAGTTTGTGCTTTGAAACAGAAAAACGGAAAACACTTAAATTTCTATTACCTGGCATTTATTCTGAAGTCTCATTCGAAAAGTGTAAGCAATGACGCTTGCGAAATGGATCTTTTTGATGCGTTGGGCTTGTTTGTTGTTCAGGAAACTGATCTATTGCCAAAGCACTCAAGTGAAGAACTTGTTATTTTCCCGTAAATATGCCAGCTGACTTGCCATTGAAGAATTCCTCAGAGAAGTGTATATTTAAATTACGAATCCATAGGAATGTTGTTGGTATCAAGACATAAACATAAACAGTTTCAAACAGGAACAGGAAATGATCAGATTATACAGTATGAGTTAAAGACTTTGATGTAATTAACTACCTTCCACATTCTTATTCCTTATCGCAGCAAGTTTGTCGTGTGCTATCTGTTAACTCGCGTACGTTGCATTTATTTGTAACATCGTGATAGGATCATTACACTACTACTACATGGCGACCATGTTCAAGATTATATATATTATACTCATAATTTGTAGCCTACCTCGATTTTCAAAACATGATATATACGTATACAACACATACACATTCAATACATTCAAACCATTTATTATCACATAAAATACCAGTTTTTGTTGTGTTAATAACAGAGTGGCTCATTTCGCACATTTTCTTCAACAATTCACAGGTTCCGAGGGTCGTAAATGAGGATGTCGATGTTATGCTTAGATTGTTTTTGAATAAAATAATATTTAGTAGTCCAGATCAGTTTTAACGGAAATTTTCTATTTATTCTGATCAGGCATGATCAGCAAGCTCCTGCATGTGATTTATACAATATATGCACTTCAGAAACTTTCATCATTTTTTTTTGTCATTCTTGAATTTCAAAAGTCTAAATGGTCATTCGGGGACGAAACAAAGCTGAGAAGAAACATTATCGATTATGTAATGGTCGTTAACATATTCTTCAACTGAACCAAACTAAACACTCAAGTCACATTCACAATTGAAACTATTTTATGTGAAAGTTTTTCCAAACATTGTCATTAACACTAATACAAGAAAGATTGTCCAGGTTTTGGTTAATAAACTGGTAAATCAAAGGTCACCACACCCGAATGTCACTAATGTGTTTGGCTCGGCTCATTTCTCAACTACAAATGCTAAGTTCTAAAAAATTGTATTTTATTGTATTAAACGCTATATTTTGGCGACAAATATAAATTTTGAGCGCAAAATGATTTTGATCGAAAATATCTGTACGTTTTTTTTACCAGATTTCTTATTCTTCGAAACGGGTACTAGAGTTTTGATGAAGTTACGAAATTAATCGATCGTCCGTGAACACAGCATATGAATTTGGAAATATTGCAGAAGATGTTTGATTACTATCATCATTGAACATTATCATATGTAGTTGGCACTTTATTAATTTCAAGTTACAATTTTAATGTTCGTGATATCTTAGGAGGCATTGTAAATTGCGTAAGCAAGGTGTATTAGTGAGTGTGAGTTTGGATATACCTAAAGTTCGGAATTTGACTTTTAACTGCATATATGGAAATCATGTCAAATTTGAAATTAGAAAATACGATATAGATTCACACCTTTCTGTTGTGACATGGCTCCATGTTTTATCAAATCTTGCTGCATGCATGAGTTTTGCATCATGTTCAAGTGAACCCCTCCTGAAATTTCGTCAACATACTTTGTGAATTTTTAATTCAAATTTTTGATGTTGTTTCTTGAATGTACTTATACAATGTAATATACAAATTTGAAAGATGAAATGTAAATAATTTTTTCCGCCTTCCGATACCAGTGTCCAAAAGAAATGCTAGTGAACACTCATAATGATAAGACTTGAGAGAAAAGATTCGAAAAAGAGCAGACAAAACAAAAACACCATGACATATTTGCATCACGTTCCATTATCCAATGCTTTTATCTTTTCTTCTATTTAATATTTATTTTTCTATGTTCTGCTATTTTAGCAATAGTTCGCATTGAGATATTCACAAGGTCGGGATGATGAAGTCAACTCCTATTTTGTCTTTGATTATTCTGTTCGTTTCGCTCGCATGGAGTCGAGAAATATATTCAGGAAATGATATTGATTTGGAACGCGTAAGTCAAAAATATTTGTCAAACGATAAATGTGATATTGTATGGACCAACGCCGTTTCGGTAATAAAGCGCAAAGTTTACGAGTTGTAATTGTGACGTAAAGTTGCAGTTTTTCGGTCTTCTATATATGTAAATAAAAAATATGAAATACGAGAATACTTTATAACAAACCCGTGTTGATATTCGTTTTGAAAATTATAAAAAATACTTCATGCTCCAAACACTGAAAAGCGCAAAAACGTATTTCACTTTCCATCTTACTCTCAGTTGCAAGGAGTCTGGTTTCTCACACTTGGTGTGGACGACTCGTCCTGGAACGTATAATGGAAGTGTCATGTTGTTGCACCTTTCAACGCAACAGAGAATAGGATGGGTATATACTCATACAACTTACCCAAGTGAGTAGTATTTCAAAAACGAATTCGTTAAGAACAAAATATATCGGTATACACGAGACATATAAATTAATTATTTAACTATGTTATTTCTTTCATAACAGGAATAAATCACAGAATCCTCACTCCTTTACAGATGATTTATACCGCGACCACCTGGGTCAAATTTGGCATAATCAGCAGATTGGTGAGAGTTTCAAGTAATTTATTTTCACTTTCTAGATTGTTATCGCGTACTGATCAGGAAGTTTCGTTTGCTATAATCAGTTTCCAGTGAATCAGAATTTTAATTTATTTTATGTAGTTCTTGGCAATTTCAATAAAAATAAATTACTGATTTAATCAATTAACCCAAGAACATATAATTGACATTAAATTTACTTGCAGAGAAAAGATGGGAAGAGATAGCTACAGAGCTTTATCAAGAACAACCTTCTGTTAACACAAAGATAAGACCTCCTTCTGAAGGTAAAGATGTTATTAAATCATGAATTGCGATATTTTACAAACCCACTTTTCATTTGCAGGAGACCCCTGGTTCTACTCTCATCCACATGCCTATTCAACCGACTATTCTACATTCTTTAGTATTGTGTCTTCAATGGAGGATGGTGAGTAATATTCATCAATTTTGATTATTTATTTCAATCATGTCCACTTGATGTTTACATGTTTCATCATTGTTTTACTTTTATTGAAATAAATAAAAATAAAATTGCTCCGAAAAAACTGCAGTTGATTTTTTTTTTGTCTGATTGCAGTTTTGGAATATTTAATTAGTAATATTATTTTACCGTTGTTGTGTTTCAGATCAGAAGCATTTACAAATTTTTACCAGGACGCCGACTATAAATGATGACAATCTTTCAGATCTCAAAGCTTTTGCGGTTGAGCAAGAAATCGACCCAAACACATTAGTGACATTCGGGTGTGGTGACCTGATTCCAACAGATTATCTGTTAGATTAACCCTTTTTAAGCTGCTTCTCTAATTTCAATTTTCAAGGTCATTTTCAAAAAGCATTTGTCGAAAAACCATTAGGCCCTATACCTTCACTCATGGCTTTTTGAACGCGTATTTTGTATTCTTTTCCGCGAGATGATAGAGAGTCGTATTAGACCAATTTACGTCTATTCGGGGATATCGCCAAGAATTTGTAAACAAGTTTTTCGTATCTCGGAAATATGTGCTCCATTTATATTCAGTACTAACGTTATCTCACGAAATTTTTCTTCAAAACAATATTATAAGCGTGATTGTAACTGGAATCGTTGGTGAGTAATTCGGGAGGTTGGAATTTTATCGCTGCGTTTGACGAGTTCACATACTATGGTCTATTTATCTTTATAACAAACATTTCAGCCTTGATTTGGCATAAACAAAAAGGAATAATTCTTCTAGTAAACAGGGGACTTGTAGACTCTGCACTGTGAAGTTATTTCTTCGGTATAACGTACAAGTATATCCAGAAAACTTTGACTTATATTATTACAACATGAAAGAAAATAGGTTGATTTATCTCTGTGGCAACCACTTTCTGCTTTTTATCGCATAACAAAGGGTAGTAATTCTGGCAGTGAACAAAGAGATAGATGCCTACACTTTGCGTTGCGTGAAATAATTTCTTCGTAATGACGACACTGCAAGAAGAGCGCGGTCGCAATCATGAGGTCGGAATCGCTACGTTCGACGAGTTCACATACTGTGGACTATTTATCTCTATGATAAACATTTTCAGCCTTGATTTGGCATAAACAAAAAGGAATAATTATGGTAGTAAACATAGAGACTTTGCACTGTGTGACGTAGGACGTATATCGGAAAACTATAAATTATATTATTATAACATAAGTCGATCTATATCCGTGACAACCATGTTCTGCTTTATTCTTGCATAACAAAGGGTAGCAAATCTGGCAGTGAACTGACGCAGTGGCGGCGCGTTAATAGGGCCAACCGGGGCAATGCCCCGGTTGTTTTTTCGGTATAATAAAAAATATTCGAAAAATACCTCAATATCGGTTGCACAGACTGTCTACACTAGCCATATTATCCCGACATGGTTCATTTTTCGCTCGCAAAGCCTTCGCCGAACGTCGACGGGACGACGCCGATTTTGCCCCGGTTGCTCATTGTATATCGTATTCTCTCTTTTATCTTCCACTCGCCGCGTTTGTCTCGTTTGTTTTCTGTTTCTTTTACTAAATCATCGGGGCCGATCGGGGCTAGCCCCGAAATTATGACGACACAATGCCGACGTTTCTTACAACAACGTGTTGACATATTCACGCATTCCTTCTCGTTCGTTGGTTGCTTGAAGAGTTGATAGTTTCCTCGCCTTCGTTTTTGTCGCTTGTTTCGCTATTTGAATCAGTTATACCCTTTTAGTCCATTTGCTTTCGATTTTCCACATTCCTTTTGAGCTCCTCACTTCTTTCCGGCTTCGCATTTCTTAGCCTTAGACCTCATAATGAATAAGGTTGATGCACTACTTCGCACTCCGTTTTCGCAGCTGCCGCTGGAACAAAAATTAGAGGTACAACGTCTTGGGCCTTATCAACCAAAAAATTGTTCACTGGAACAATCCCATGACGGAGGAAAGCGTCGGCGTACATTCTGCGCAGAAACTTGGTATAAAAAACACGAATGGTTGTGTTACAGCGGGCACAAAAATGCACTTTTTTGTTTTTATTGCATACTTTTTGCTACCGCCCGTGACTCACGTTGGTGTAAATTTGGTTTTAGAGATCTTAAACATCTTTCCGAGCGTGCCAGGGATCATCAATCTTCTATGGAGCATCTGGACAATGCAGTAAAATACCGAACATTCGGAAATGTTAATATTGCAGCACAGTTGGATGAAGGACGCGCGGTTTCTATTCGTCGGCACAACCAAAACGTCGAGAAAAACCGCCATGTTCTCGGTCGATTGATAGATGTTTTGAAGTTCATTGGTTGTCACGAGCTGTACCTCCGTGGGCACGATGAACGGGCTGGCTCTTCTAATAGAGGGGTATTTTTGGATATGGTGTAATACACCGCGTCCCTAGATACAGTATTGAGAGATCATCTTGATGCCGCAACTGTTTCGAAAGGGACATCTAAGGATATCCAAAATGATTTGCTCGACTCAATGTATAAAATTTATTTACAACATTTGGCTCTGGAAATTGAGAATTGCCAGTTCCTTTCGATTCAACTGACATCACGTGCGTTTCCCAACTGGTTTGTGAAAGATGGTAAACCTACCGAGAGATTTCACGGCTTTGTACCAATCGTTGATCGCACGGCTTGCGGGATATCGGCTGTACTGAAAGAAGCGTTACAGCCTTACAACGCGAAGTCAAAATTGATAGCTCAAACTTATGACGGCGCGGCAGTCATGAGTGGGTCGAAACATGGTGTTCAATTTTATATAAAAGAAGATTTTCCTCATGCGCATTTTTTACATTGTTATGCACACCAATTTAACCTCGTTATTAAAAATATGTGTCTTGATACCCCTCTCGTCCGTATATTTTTTGCAAATGTTTCTGGGTTTTCTTCATTTTTTTCCGTTTCGACGAAGCGCTCTGACCTCCTTCGCCAGATATGTAGCCGCCGTCTCCCAGCTTGTGCACCAACACGTTGGAACTTCCAATCACGCGTGGTGCAGGGCGTGTCCGAAATTAGGTCTGAGCTCATTGAGTGTTTCAATGGCATTCAGAGCTCTCCGGTTTGGGACGAACGCTCTGTGAGGGAGGCGGCAGGTCTAAAGCGTCTGCTAGAAGATGGTGAGTTTTCATTTTTTCTCGCTTTTTTCTCCACAATATTCTATCACGTGGCTGTATTATACGGCGCATTGCAGTCAAGGCTAATGGATGGAGCGTCTGTGCAGTCGTGTATTTCAGACTTCTGCGATGCTGTATCTCGTATCCGGAAAACAATAAAATACGACGACACATGGAGTGCTTCTTTACGCCGCGGGCAAACAACGCAGCGTTTGATTTTGTCTGCAAAGGAATGCTGTGACATTCTGGTGAATCAAATAGGCGATAGTCTGCGCACTGAACACCTTGCCGCGTTCTCTTTGATGAACCCCAAAAATTTTTCAAAATTTGCACGTCAATTTCCCATCCATTTGTTGGCTACCGTCTCCAAATTTTACCCCATGATAAACGTGGGTAAATTGGAAAATGAATTGCGATGTATATACACCAATCAAACTTTTTTGAACATCACATCAACTTGCGCGCTCTATGGGTTCCTCATAGATAACACTCTAGTAACTACCTTTGCGGCGTCTGCAAAATTTCTGGACATCATTTTGACGACGCCTATTTCTTCCGCCGACGCAGAGCGAACATTCAGCACGCTGAAGCGTATTAAAACGTATCTCAGAAACACAATGAAGCAAGATAGATTAAATTCCTTGGCTGTTTTATCCATTCACAGAGACGTTATTTCTGGGATGCATGACTTTAATCAGCGCGTTATTGAGCATTTTGCTTCCAAGAAACCGCGGCGTGTTGCATATATGTTCAAGCAGTAGAAGTCTAGCAGCATATATATCTATGAGTGAGCGACGCATGTCCTTATCTTTGCGTAACTTTCCTTTCTTCATAGTAACGTTTTAAACCTTATTTTAGGTTTTGTCTGCTTTCCCGAAGTTTCTGTTAGTATGTCATTGTATTTATCTGGGTAAATATTGCCTTTCCTTTTGAAAGAGGTTTCAAAATAAACTATGTCTATATTTATTAATCCCTTGACTTGGACCGATTTTAAAGACACTTTCTTATCGTTAAAAATTGTCGCTTTTGCCGATCGGTTGTTACCGATGGAATGGTTTTTATACTCATAAAATGATGGGAGAACTTACAGCGCTCATCCTGTCCCCGTAGATGGGGGTGACTTGGTCCCGCAGTAGCTTGCCCCGGTTGTCAGAATGACCACGCGCCGCCACTGGTTCAACTGAGGGATAGACGCGTACACTTTGCGTTGCGTGAAATAATTCCTCCACGAGTTCACCTACTATGGGCAATTTATCACTATGACAAACATATTTGCACTGTGTGCAGTTATTTCTTCGGTATGACTTAGGACGTATATCGGAAAACTATAACTGATATTATTATAACATAAAAGCAAAATAAGTCGATCTATATCCGTGACAACCATGTTGAACAAAGGGTAGCTGAGCTGAGAGATAGACGCGCACACTTTGCGTTGCGTGAAATAATTTTTTCGTAATGTTGACGCTACACGCAGAGCACGCACGATCGATCACAATTGTTTACAGGAAATTGTATTTATGAACGGTAGGCAAGCGCAGTACACGACAACATAATAAAATCGCAAAGTGGGACAAATATAAAATAAATGGAATGCAGTAGCGTATTCACTTATTTGAAAAAAATTACAATATTTATGAATGAATATACGATAAAGACGGGGCAAATATGAAATAAATTCAATAAATTAGCATATGCAATTATTTGAAGAAAATTACAATATTTACAAATGAATATACGATGAAAACGAGACGACACAACGAAATGGAGAAGACAAATATTTAAATGGTTACAAGACAATTGCCGGGCAGAATTATGGTCTCTGTAATTGGAAAAACAAAATAGTCATAGTCAATTTTATTCTTTCCAACCAGCAAACAAAAAATAACATACAAAATTGAAAAATGAATAAAAAATGAAGGAAGGGAAGTCGCGGGAAACCAAATGTGGTTGGGGGTTGGGGGTTGGGGGGGGGGGGGGGGGGCTCACGGTGTGTTGGTGGGGGGGACTTTTGTGATTTTTTTGGTACACACTCTTCTCTACTCTTGCGCTGTAGATTGACAGTTCGATCAAATAAAAAAGGGCTGCCTATCAGCCATTATGTAATCACTTTGAGCGTCGGTGTGATAATGAATGCGCGACTTGTGATCGGGTGTATTTATATAAACGGAGGTTTCTGACGCCACTTTTGATTTTCTCCTTTTGGTATGTTATATCCCTACGAGTCACCATACTTCAAATTGCGAAATTAAATCTTTTAGCACCGGGAATTTACAACTATAGTCACGTAAGCCCATATGGGCGTTCCGGCTAACACGAATCTGAACATTCATGCTTGTAATAGTGTTTGTAACAATGTTTGGAAAAACTTTCATAGAAATAATTGTAATTGTAAATGTGGCTTATAGTTTTATTAGTTTATTTAATTCAGCAAAATTACCCAAATTGAAGAATATGTTAGCCCCCGTTATCCGTTTATATGTATGCCCGTTTATACTAAGCTTTGTTTCATGTCCGAATGACCAGACTTTTCGAAATCTATTAATGACATGAAAAAAGGACAAAAATATTCTAAAGTGTATATACATTGTATTCACCTGATGCACAATCTTGCTAACCATGCCAAATTAGAATAAATAGGAAATTTCCGTTTAACTGAGTTGAAATCATTTTCGTTTTGGAAGAAAGATAATTTTATAACCTGAAAACAAATATTCAGTGGCAGACTCTAGGAGTTCGAAATATTTTTGGAGAGAATTTTAAATATTGTTTTATTAAAAAAGAATTAGCATAATTAATATTCGTTATGAACATGTTCATTTACAATTTTCCGAACCTGTAAATATTCGAAGGAAAACGTGAAAATTGAACCACTCTATCATACGTACAGCCATGTATGTAAATCTATTACTTCATGTAATATTAAACAGTTTGAATGTATGGAATGTGTATATGTTATTTACGTATATATATATATATATTATATGTTTTGAAATCAAGGTAGGCTACATTTAATGTTGAACATGGCAGTAGTGTAAAGATCCTATCACGATGCTACAAATGCGATTAGCAATAGAAACGTTGGTTAAACATTAGTTAACTAACTCACAGTCTTAATGTATTTAATTTACTGTGTATAGTCATACTCTAGCTAGGCGTTTCCCGTTCCTTTGAAATCGTCTTTTACAAATTTCTCTCATCTTCGCCATCATCGTTCGTCACACATCGACGTTAATCACAGAATTTGAGGTGATCGCACTTTTTGTATCAACGTTGCAGGGATGTAATCAATTGCGTAGCTCATCTACTTCTCTATGTCAAATTCCCAAACACGTCTAATGTGTAATCGAATACAAAACTATATCGGCGTAATTCAGAAATAAACTAAGATATATTGTTGATTGTGGTACCATAGGCCCTAGGGGAAATATTTATCAAAGAACATTTTATTCTGAATACCTTACATTCCATCATTGTATTCCTTGGAGTCAATTTTCCGTCCTTAGGATATATTCACAAGTAAACAGAGCACTGTCAAATCCTTGGTGTTCTCATAATAAAATATATATCTATATTTGTATGAAAAGAAAATGTAAATGACACTGCACCTTATGTAATTTAACAAATATTTCGTTCCAACATAAATGCACTTACATTTGGTACCATTTCATCCCGAAATGGAGAACTATTTGTATCAAGATTTCATTCTCGCGTGGTTAAAACTCCAAATCATATCAAGATATGAAAAGATGGAATGGTATTTTTCATGTATGATAATAAGCAACCAGAATTGGCATATTATACAATGTAGAGTTCCAGAAGAGTTGTTCTGATTTAATAAGCTTATGGACCTTCTGACCTCCGACGAATGATCATTTACCTTAAATAAGGAATTTCACTAATTCTTAATCACAAGAAAAGCAGAAAGCTTCGTTGCTATTATTTCTCACCGATTTTAATCGGTAAGCATGTTGATAGGTATTTGTCTGTTTGTCTGTCTGTTAGATGCACGCGATATCTTACGAAAGCGAGATTGAATCTGCTCCAGATTTTGCATGTGCATTCATCATATGTCGGACCAGAAGCCTATTGATTTTGGATGAATTATGTTTGGTCCGAGATATGATGAATGCACATGCAAAATCTGGAGGAGATTCAACTTCGCTTTCGTGAGATATCGCGTAACATACGAAAGTGTCTAACAGACAAACAGACAAATATCTATAAACATATTTACCGATCTTAAGATCGATAAGTAATACCAAAACCATAGGTCCATTTCGTGTCCAATAAACGTATTGTCATCTGTCAATGTCTTTGCTGCGTTTCGCTAGATTGATTCTAAGACGTCGACCTTCTATTTTAAAATTTTGTTTTTAAACCATGACTACCACCCCACCCAATATGTACCCAATGGGAAATCACTAGATACTTACAAAACAAAATCCACCTTGTTGGAAATAAACCTCGCTACATCATTCTCGCTACATCATTCCATCATTACATACAAATGCACACCGTGCTCTGGTTCCGTGATCTCATTTCAGCGATATTTTTTATCAGACTATCGGTACTGATAAGATTAATGTTACTTCGTTTTGGCCTTCTTGTCCATATAATTCAGCATTGCTCTCTTATCTTCATAATAATATTTTTCGCTTGTGTTTTCATCGAACATTGTTATTTTATCATTATTTCTGGTTATTATTTCACCCATTTTGTCATATACCGGATAATTTGGATATAAATCTAGTCTTTTTTAAAGTTATTCTAATGTATAGATAGAAACGGTCATTTACTTGAAAATAAACTTATTACAGAGCCTGGATCAGTCAAAATAGACTCTCGCTGTCTTGTCACCAGCTACTTCTGCCCCCAACTGCAATCTCTCCGTCAATATCTCCACATGTGTCGACACTAGCAATAATAGCAACGAAGCTTTCTGCTTTTCTTGTGATTACGAATTAGTGAAACCCCTTATTTAAGATAAATGATCATTTGTCCGTAGGTCCATACGCTCACTAAATCAAAACAACTCTTCTGGCACTCTACTTTGTATAATATACCAATTCTTGTTGCTTATTATTGCTATATTATACATATATGACTAAATAGGGAATATCAGTGCGATGTGAAAACATTCGATTTTATTTTAGAAGGTAATAGGTTATATCTTCGTCATGAATCAATATTTATTCAGAAAAGACTTAGGGGGAGTACTTCAGGAAGTACTTAAAAAATTGAAAACTAGATATTTATTTTAGGTTTACAATCATTCCATCTTCTCATATCTTGTTATTTTTTGGAGTTTCAGTCACGCGAGGATGAAATCTTGATACAAATAATTTTCCATTTCGAGACGGAATGGTACCAAATGTAATTGCATTCATGTCGGAACGAAATATTTGTTGAATTACATATGATGCAGTGTCATTTACATTATTTTTTCATACAAATATAGATCTTTTATTATGAGAACACCAAGGATTTTACAGTGCTTTGTTCACTTGCGAATATATCCTAGGGACGGAAAATTCACTCCAAGGAATACAATGATTGAATGTATGGTATTCAGAATAAAATGTTCTTTGATAAATATTTCCGTTACGTTACCACAATCAACATTATATCAGCACCCAAATTGCCAATTATACCAATATGTTTGTTGCTCATAACATCTTTTCTATTATTACAAGACCTACCAGGGTCACTCAAAATTCAGCAACACTTATTGGTTATTTATATACGAACTTGACTCGTATAAAACTGGACTCTTATGTTATATTATCAGATATTACTATTCATTTCCCAATAATAGGTGGCCTAATGGCATCAAACCATCAACCAGAAATGATGTTATAATTAGAAGGGATATGTCTACATTTTCGATTGACGCGTTTCGGTCAGACATGCAAGATATAATTAATATCACTTTGTTGCGTTTAACTTGAATGTCGAATGTGTTTCAACAGTCGTTTTGAGGAATTTACAAATTCTATTGTCCATATAATCAACCGCCATGCGGCGTTTAACAATAATCACGTCGTGAAAAAAATATTAAACTTAAACCATGGATATCGAAAGGAATACTCATTAGTATTCGTTTAAAACATAAAATGTTAAAATCCCACTTCCTGAAAGGCAATAGTTCCCAGTGCCCATATTTCAAAAGATATCGCAATTTACACATATCATTGATATGGCAAAACAAATGTATTACTAGAATCTGATTGCTAAAAACATGGAAAACCCCAAGTCCACATGGCGAATGCCGAATTGTGAATCAAACTGCATCCTCTGAAAACAAGTCAAGGCATAGTATTGACAAAATCCATCTGGAAATTGGGAGTATTAATAATGAATGTCATTGGTTTGCGCAAAAATTTAATCGGTACTTTTCCACTGTCGGTTCCAATCTTTCTGAACAATTCCCAATGACATGGAGGGCTTTAGAAAGCATCTTGACAAGCGGATAAATCATTCCATATTTCTGAATTCCGCAACGGTGAATGAATTAACAGTTGAAATCACAAGTCTTAAGGATGGTAAGGCAGTTGGGGCCGACAACATCCCGAGCCGTTTTCTCAACTATGTTGCTGATATTATAGCTCCATGTCTGACAAAGTTTTTTCAACAGTTCACTTCAGTTGGGAATATTTCCATCTTCATTGAAAATCGCCATAGTAGTTCTAATCTTCAAGTCTGGCAATATAAAACAAGTGTCATATTATAGGCCTATTTCGATCCTTTCTTCCATAGACAAGATATTCGAACGTTTGATTCATAAACGGCTAATGAACTTCCTTACAAAGCATGAGATAATAAATAAATCACAATTTGGTTTTCAAAGTAAACATTCTACTTCACATGCGACACTATATCTCATATTTATGATAAACTAAAAAACAAAGAATATGTCAATGCAACCTTCTTAGATCTTAAAAAAATCTTCGATACTGTTAATCACCAAATTTTAATACATAAGCTGCGTCACTATGGTATTAGGGATGTGGCAAACAAACTCTTTGTCGATTACTTGACCAACAGAGTACAATACGTACAAGTGAGTTCATATTGTTCACCCACCTTACCTGTGACCCACGTAATCACACAGGGATCCTGCTTGGGACCGACTCTATTTTTAGTTTTTATCCCTGATCTTGCTCGAAGCACCTTATTAAGTTCGAAATTACAAATCTTCTCGATAATTACAAATCTCCTGAAGTACTTCAATCAACAGTGAACGCTGAAATTGAAAAATGGGCAAATTGGATAAAACTCAACAAGCCAAATCTAAATTTAGATAAATCGTGCTGATATCATCAATTAAAGAAAAAAAAAAATGATTTAAAAAATGAGATAGGGGACTCTGTTCTTGAAACTGACACAAACTCGTTACTCTTCAAGTCATACACAAAACAGTATCCAATTCATCGGCGTGAAACTATGGAACACGCTGCCTAATTCAATTCGTTCCAAAAATTATAATTTATTTAAACAAACTTTAAAAAATCTTTACTTTGATGCTTATATATGTCAATATTTCCCCAGCTGTTCGCCCATTTTTAGGCCTGTTGTTAGGTTAATCCTTTTCTTCGATGTATGTATGTGGTGTTCATGTGCTCTCTGTTCGAGTAATAATCGAACAATGCCCCTAGCATTACCAGTATCAATTTTCATATCTGTTGGTGTATGTATATTATTAAATTATGAACCTCTGAAATCACAAAAAAGTATGGTAACACTTTATATTTACGCATGTGGCTCTGCCGTTACATGAATGCATAAGTTTGTAAGTAATCTAAAAGGCATAGTATTGAATATTTTCATTATTATAATCATATTATGCATGCCTTTTCATCTCAATATGTAGTGCTGCTTACATCCCCTGTTGAAATAATCAATTTCTTTGCCAAATTTAAATATTATCGACGTCTCTATAACTCCAAACTCATATAAAGAACATAACAAACATCCCCTTTTCTGGTTGCTAACTACGCTATGCGGCGTCATGTTAGTTAGCAATTTCTTTGTTGTTATTACGCTCTTCCGAGCATAACATTATAAAGCAAAACTGACATAACCAGTCACTCTTTCCTGATTGACTTGAACCATATTTTTTTATATTTCTCAAATTAGATTTATTCATCAAGCCCTGATGATATCATCAAATTATTATTTTTAACATGTATTTAATGTCATCTGTTCATCAATAAATTAACACGGTGTCGTTGACACGATGACTCTGGCAGTCTTTTGCGGCTCCGCGTCAATTGAGGAATATTGTATGCCTCAGTTTTCAATAAATTTTTATATTATCATTATATTAGTTTGATTGTGTACAATATTTCATGCACGACGAAATAAAACTTCTGAGTTCTGAGTTCTAATGTTGTTTTGATTAGTTATCATATGGACCTTCTGGCCTTCTATCAATTTCGTTATTAGTCTAATGTTTAATTAAGTCGTGAATGTTTTTATTATCGTTTGTGGTTGATTGACCACTAATGCTTGGATTCGTAATCATGAGGAAAACAGAAAGCTTCGTTGCTATTAATGCTAATATCAATCCACTCAATATCGAGATATTGCTAAAAAATGGCATTTTGAGGAAGAGGTAAAACGTGCCGGGAAAGCGAGAGTCGATTTTAATGTACTGCCTTGTTCGGGCATTTTAAGTTTATTTTGAAATAATGAACATATCGGTTCTCTTAATGTCTTTCGTGCCTTTTTGTAGGTTGAATCTAACATGTCGACTTCCTAATTTCAAAATTAGTTTCAAACCATAACTACCACCCATTATCTACCTAATGAGAAATATTTTTTTATGTACTAATAAAAGAAAATTCTTAAGAAATGATAGAAACCAAGCCACACCATCATAATCTTATATTATTAATTACTAGTTAATATATTATTAATTACTAGTTACTCAATTGCATAACATTACAAAAGGTTCGTCTCGGTCGTAGTTTGAACATTTTCTGTCCGACTTGTTTTAAGGAGTCGCGTAATCGCGACGATGTTTCAGAAGCCGTTGCATGGGAAGTTCTGAATCTATAATTTTAAATGATCTACCCCTACATACTGCTGATATATTAAATTAGTAATGAAAATTTTTTTCGTTTAACTCAAATCTGAAAAAGTGCTCCTCTTTTTGTTCTTGTCATTGGGTAAATAACCATTCGCTACCTCGAAGACTTTTCATCTGATTTTATATATATATTCAACTTACTCCTTATTCATGTCAAAGAAGAATAACCAGGATACCACGGTAATACATTAAACTGCGATTTATTAATATAAGCGTTATTTTGCATCAAAATACGCAACTTATTAATATCTACATTCTATGACATGTACACTGAATACTATTCAAATAAATAAAATAATATTTCCTTCCCTTGAAGATTAATTCTACCAGGCTAAACAAATATGACGGGGTTGGTATGTAAATGATCATCATTACGTATCTTAGCCTTAACAGTGAGTTCAAAGCTATGTTCTTTGTTTCTAAGGTAATGGGTTGTTTTTGAAGTTGGGAATGCAAGATTTAAATGATAACCTTCTTTCAATAGTATAGATATAGATAAAATCACATAAATCTCCTTTGTGGCGAAATAACAATATTATCACGAATACACAACATAAATTGCTTTCTTTCTTTCGTTTCTTTCAATAAAGATTGAAAACATCAACTAGTATATATATATTTGGAATATATTTACAGTTAACATACAGTATAAGACTTGATTAAATAGAATATAAGATAATAATCGGGTAATCAGGTTAAATGTATATTTCCTGGGGCACTTTCTTCCTCTGCCTTCATTGTCACCAAGGTAACTTACATAGTTTATCATGGCATGTAGCGTAATAAGGACATTCGGAGCAAGCTGGCCCTTTGCTGAAGGTTGGAATTCTGAAAATTATTTAAATCAAATTAAAGATTGTCTTCCATTCAGTGCCACCATCGTGCTATTCACTTGCAGGACTACTTTTGATTAGACATACTGTGGAAGATCCCATTTTATTTGCGTCTACATATACTGGGACTATACCCGCTTTAAATTCAAATGCAGTGTCGGATGTTTTAGGCTGGTTGTCAAAACACTTAGTTGCCGCAATGACCCTGTGGCTAGAACGTTGCACCTGGTGTGGGGACGTCGCAGTTTGAAAACATTTGCTCGCACATTTATTCCCGCGCCAGGCCAAGGAGTACGTGCAGTCAGCTACTTTTTAAGAAAATAAAGCATTTCACGCCAATAAGAATTACATGCTGTGATCAGTTAAATATTATACCAACCCCGCAATTAGACCTTGTCTAAACTGGCACACGATATTCTTTTCATCAGATGGACTACAAATTAAAAGGAATTTGTATTAATGAAATAAAAGACAATATTTCAAGTAAATGCAAGCATTAAATAGTTAACTTTTGATATTTTGTTATTATAATAAATACTTGATTATTTTGATGAAATGTTCTATAATACACTCTGAAAAATTCACGACACATTCTCCTTCTCCAGCGGTATTTTGATAGTCAGAACTTTAATTTACTTTTAATTTATGAGGTATTTAACTTCAAAATTTAAACAAAAAAGATTTACATTCCTAACGTTTTACAATTGAATCCACTGTTTATCTCTGTATCAACGCATGAACATGAAAGCGAGAATATCGGTCAGAGACCGAAGACTTATCGATCGAAAGTTAGGGGATCCCCCAAAACAGCGCTCTTACTCCATAGTGACACCTTGTGACCTATCACTAATTAATTAATAACTCGCTAATTATACGCCATAATTCATCCAAAATCAATAGGCTTCTGGTACGACATATGATTAATGCACATGCGAAATCTGGAGCAGAATCAATCTCGCTTTCGTGAGATATCGCGTGCATTTAATAGACAAACAGACAGACAAACAGACAAATACCTATCAACATACTTACCGATTAAAATCAATAAGTAATAACAGTCACATTTTCTATTACCTATTAGATCAAAAATAATCGATTCATGGTTTTGTCTTACCAAGTTGCTATTCCGCATCCAACTTTGTATGTTGGAGCAAAGACTAATTGCTTGTAGTGTCCGCATCTATAACAGGAGCCATCTTCTTCCATGTTGTTGATCTAAGCAGATTTGAGCACGGTAATTTATGAACATAAAACATATTATGAAGTTCAAAATAACGAGTTATCCATTCACTTTTGAATTTCTGATGTATGTATAAAAGATAGACGTGGATAATTTCGAAGCAATTGAAATGAAAGTTCCGGATTTGGACATTGGTCCGGCTTATAGTGAAATAAATCGCATACAATTAGAGCAAAAATGTCATATATAAAATATAGGAATTGACGAACCTCATCGTACCACACACTCAAAGCAGACATTAAGTGATCATCAACATCCGTTGGTTTTTTGATAACTGCCAATGTTTCACCATATCCCATTCCAGCGTAGGCACTGTAGCCGAATTTACACAAACTGGAGTAACATAATTTATACAAATATTTATATTTTTCGATAAAATAAAATTGGTATTTTATATTCGAGATGTTTCGACATCTATCAAAGGTAATTACTTCAAAACAAGAAAGAAATGCTCGAGAAGTCTACCTGGACACGAGTAGTAGGGTTCAAGTAGGCTATGGTACGGTGAATTTCAAAACTTTGAAGCGAAAAACAAATTCCACAGAGCTCACAAAAATTTTTGAAATAAATAAAAGTAACAGACGTCTAGCGAATATAGACAGGAGTGCTACTCTTTTACTGTACCGGTAATGCACCTTTGTGAAAAACGCCCGATTACATTGACGACCACATTGCGGAAAATGCTACGTTGGAACCTCTACACAGTGCGTGAATTTAAAAACTTCGAAGCGAAAAACAAATTTTACAGAGATCACACAAATTTTTGTAATAAGTAACAGCTGTCTAGCGACAACAACAAAATTTGAGGACTAAAATTGACCAAGTAGTTGATCAACATTTGATAAACAAAAAACTGTCCATAGGTCCAGTGCGTGCCAAAACACGTAGTCCAACTCAATGTTAAAATATTGTTTCATCGTTCTACGAAAGATTTAACAAAAATCTCACGCGGCTTGATCCGCAGCACCACCGGCAAGCTCATTATCCCACGATACAAGATACATATCGCTCGCTCCTTGTTGTCTGCGATAATCATTCAGTTGATTGACTATCGAATCTTTCTGATATTGTGTAAGAGGTATAGGTTCTGAAACATATGATTTAATTTTTATAAGATATTCTACTATGCAACATATATATTTTTATGACAAATTTTATACTCACCGCCCGCCTGAGCTCCAACACAAAAACAGAGGAAAATAGAGATTCCTCGTAAACTAAAAATTTCCATTTTTCGTTATATATATATTTGATTTTGAAATTTTCTAAATTTCTAAAAATAAGCTTTGAATATATAAAACAATGTTGAATGAGCGGGTGTTGTTTTTGGTAAAGCTTTAAAATACTGCTATGTTTGAAATAACATTTTTTTAATAAATAATGTGTTTCCAACTTTTCCTAAAGTCTCTCGTGATATACCATCTTATAAGTTGCGGATAATATTTGACCAAAGCATTCTTACCTGATATTGTGATTTTGCTATCAAGTTTCTACTTTGAACAACTAAAATCAAATCATATGTACTGCATTATTTAAAGCTTTAAAGTGTTTGTATGTTTATACTCTGTCACTCATTAGTTGTGACACTGTACGCAGGAACTGTCAATACACGATGGATTATATATTGTTTTGATTTACTCCTCACAAGATATCTTTCTGTACACACGGACAAGATCAATCAAGAATACTTGAATACCTATCGCAGGTTGTATACCGAAATGAAACTTTAAGACGGCAGTTGACGCACACATACAGCAATAGTTATATATATGCATTTTACCTGCCTATGTTAATTGAGATTTCTTTTTTGCGGGTTCCAAATAAATAATATGTTTTTTTATTTTTATTTTGTGTTAAACTATGGAATTTGTTTCCAAAAAGTCGAATTTGTTTACCTGTATACTGACTGGATCATAGTTGCACTTGTACCTACATTAATTAATCAGACCCGCTAAAAGTAATTTTAGTTTATTTCGATTTTCAACAATGAAGGGTCCGTTTATTGGTATGAAACATATTTTTATAATTCTCTCGCGATATACTGTTTTATAAGGTGTGAATAATATTAGCACAAAATATTCTTTGTCGATATCGTGACTTTGATATCAAGTTTCTACTTTGGACCTATTATATCAAATCAACTGTAAGGCCTGCTGCAATATTTAAAGCTCGAAAGTATTTGTATGTTTATACTTTGTTGTGACACTTGGCGCAAGGCATTCGAACTGTCAATACACGATATATTATATATTATATTGATTTACTCCTCACATCACACCTTTCTGCTCACACCGTAAAAATCCACCAAGAATAATTGAGTTCGTATTAAAGGTTGTATACCATAACGAAACTTTAGGACGACAGAGGACACACACAAACAACAATATCTATTCTGTTACTGATGATATGAATTGTTCATAAATTTAAGACAATCAAAATTTGCATGTTTTATATTTATGTAGTTTTTTCTTTGTGCGTACCAAAAATCAATTTGCTAACTTGCATAATCACACCTAAGCCAGCTTCAGCCATCAGTAAATTTTTAATACTATTTAAAAGCAGAGATTGTGATGAAGGTTTTAATTTTTATTTCTCATTAATATATAAGAAATAATACCGAAACTGAATTCATGAGTTGTCGATTCAGAGTTCGAAAAGCTGGTGACAACATTATATATATTTTTAACAAATTTGAACGAAATCTTTGTAAAATCAATTTCAATAAACGTGTATTTCTCCGAATAAAGCATTGTAATTAAAATTTAGAATCAAATTTAGTAAGTATTGATAACCTTTTACATTTCTTTTTAGAAATATTTACTACTAGTCGGCTGCAAATGGCGTTAAAAACATCACCCATGAATGCATCTCTTTGTTTATACTTCGAACTTCTCCGACAGTTTGCATCAATATCGGGCGACAAATCCTTGGATTTCTTACTGTATACAAAGGTGATTCGGACATATTCGAATTGCAAACATTATCCAGAACTATTATTGTTATTGTAGTTTAGAAACAAGCTTTCATCAATTCTATTTTTGTTTCGGGTACCGAACCAATTATGAAATACATACTTCACAAAAAATAAACTAAGGCTGTACGGTGCACTATTATAAATACCTTGCTTAGAATATGTGAACAAAATTAATTTTAAAGTTTACTTGTTCAGCTATTCATTTCATAATACATTTATATCAAAAATTATTTCCGGACCAAAACGGGTTAATCAAAGGTTCAATGCGTGACCTTTTTTTACTAAGCATGATCCCGAACTATGCAAAATTCATTATTATGTTTAAGTAAGGTCTTTCATGTTTATTTGAAGCCTATCCCAACGCAAACTCAGATCAAGTAATTTAAATAAATAAAAGTTTTTTTTATGAAATAAACGAAACCACGCCATCGTTTTTTGTCATTGATAATTCCGTCTCCATTGTTTCAATGAGCGCTGAAACTGATTGCAATCAAAGTCCATTTATACAAATGCAAGTTGTTTGAGTTCTCATGAGCTACCAATTTGTTCTGAATGAAATGTATGATGTTTGGGCCAAATCAATTCAGATACATTTCAAAACCAATGTGAAGTCATTGTCAGAAACAAATTTCGGTCTCGGATATCATAAATATCATATATCTAGTTTTTCTCAACCTATGTATGTTTGTGACTTTGTTGTGAAACAAATTTGACTCAATTTTTGCAGAAAGTAACACATTTAGAACACTTGGCTGAATACAACAAATGTTTGTTAGAACATATATATGAGGACATAACAATCATACCTAAAAGTCGGTGCGCTTCATCAACAAATATGAATTTTGAAATATGAATTTATAACATGTATTTAATCAAGTAATATGGTCAAGTAAAAATAATTATTATTATACATAATATAATTGACTTAATAAAAATGACAAACCAAATGCATTTTGTACAATTATACATCTATTACATACATATTTAATAAAAATAAATCAGGTACATTTGCATTTTAATGTCAAAGTTCAAGTTATTAATATTGATTTGAAATATACGAGTAATTTACTGGAAATATAGAAAATTAAATTAAAATATTACATATCTTAGGAATTTAATCATGATCAGTAGCAACCGGTATGCGTCTAGAATCTCCGCTTATATTTGAAACCCGCAATCATGCAACCGGTTACCACCCATAGAAACTTGCGGATCTATAATGGCAGCGAGATTTATGGAACGGGTTACCGAAACTGCCAGTCCATTTAAGCACTGCGTGTTTCGTAAACATTCTCGCGTAAGTGATATACTGTACACTGTGTGCAAATACATTGTGAAAAAATTGGAAACTTCACAACGACCGGCGCGGTTTTTTGTTGTTGCCATGGAAACGAAACTTCAATCCGGACTTTCAATAAAACGCACAGTACTAGGGTGACTGGATAACCCACGTGTAAAATTTCATCTAGATAGATCGAGCCATTAATACGCTAGAGCTTGGACAGACAGACAGAACGACCGATAATAAGGGTCCCATATAGCGGAGATCCAATAATATTCGACAGTGAGGCAATTATTACAGTTTTCTGCGTCGATACATCACTAAACTCAGATGATTCAAGGATTTATTTACACTTGTTTGTTAGTGGATCTTGGTGGGGCATCTGCATTTGTTGTATTGTTGTCTTGTTTAGTTTGTTTAAAACAAAGTTTTGTTGTCACATATGTCTTTGTGGCTTTCCGCATTGTGCTGTAAAGTTTTTAGATCAAAAAATATATTAGGTTATGGAAAAAAAAATCATATCGTTATATATATTTATATATTAAGTCCTCATAAGTTTTTATTATTATTATAAATAAGTAACTATTATTATTATGTTTATTTTGTTGTAATAAAGACCACGAAATTGATAAAACTTTTTGCTTTAAATACTGCATTCTTCTTTACGATAGAATTAATTTTTTTCTCAACAAAACGAATACAAGTTTTATCGACATTACCTTGATGCAATGTTGTAGAATATAGGATTTAAACATTCGGATATTCTCAAGCACAAAAGTGATGATAATTTAAGTATCCATGTTTGTCTTTCAACAAATTTTTGGCCGTTTTCGAATCGAATTCTCGCCGCTAATCGATAACCTGCGTATCAGAAAAATAGTCATAAAATAGAAGAAAAATATCTTCTACTTTTATTTCTAAAAGCTTGAAACATTTCAATTAGTTTGAAAAGATTACAACAAAACATTGAATACAACGAATACAATTTTCAAAGTGTTGAAAGTTCACGCAATGAATATATCCTACCTGCATCGGGAAGATATCCGATCAAAAATGACAACAGTATGAGTGAAAGCTGTAGAAGAGCAAAATTTTCTTTGCTCACATCAACATCAGATCCTCTATCTTTATTAGTTGAATAAACAAACAGAATAGTCAATAATCAAATTTTAATGAATGACAAACGAGGAAACAGAATAAAATACTCATTTTGTTACTTTCAGAACTAATTAACCTGCATAATAATCATAATCAAACAAAAACAAAACAAAAACGCAGTCGCATACCTTTCTGGCGAAGTCTTTTTCTTTGTATCACCAAGCAAATTAATACAAATGTTAACAGAACAACTGTTAATATTGGAGACCAAAGAAATATTGGAAAGGCTATATTTGTATATATAGTTATGTACTTCATCCTGAAAATTTGTGTAAAAAGTTATGTAAACATACATTACAAAGTTCAACGATGGAAAACATAATGGGCTATTATAATTAGATAAACATTTATACTGAAACTGTTGATTTCTATTTGATACAAGTGTGACTGAATATGTATCAGGCTACACAGTAATGTACAGATATTCATGAAGATCAGGATTTTGATTATCTTAAAATTGCACCGGAAAACACCATAATTTTATCTTGTTATCCACTTATCGTGGGTGCTTTTGGGTGCCTTCAATGCGATCGATATCGAACTCAATGTAATGCAGCCATGCAATGCTTTCATGCAAAAAAAGGAATAAAATTTCATTTGATAAATACTTAATTACATGGGTCTATGTGATATATATATATATATATATTATCACCAAGATACTACTTACTGATCCTTGTGTGCACTACATCCAACGCCTACAGGATTGAATTCATCTGCAGAATAAACGTATGGGAACCAGAAGTAGAAAATAAAATTTGCCAAAAATGTTTCTATCCAAATAACCATCACAAGTATCTGTTATATAAATTTGGTTACACAAGTACATACTTTAAACATGGTTTCAAACACGATTTCAATTTAAATATTTAAAAAAGTTTGATTCAATAGTACATGTGAACCACCAAAAAAAAACGTTTGGGAAGTATTATTTTGTATATTTTGTATTGATAGTTATGTTATATTTGTGGTTGTTGGGTTGAACAATAATTATATAAATGTTATATTTAGTTTAACTGAGTTCTTCTCTGGATATTTTATTAAGATTATTAAAAAAGGGAAATAAAGTTGCTTGATAATTTTGTTGTTCCTTTTTATTTTTTTGTGTGCACATAGTAAAGTTAGTATATTATGATTGTAATTTCATCGAATATAAAATATGCCAAATTAGCGACTTTGTTTGTTATAAAATAATTCATCAAATATTTAATGTTAATTTTATGTGTGGTATTATTTCAGAAACAATTAATTATTTATTCTTTTTTTAATATTTATTGATTCTTAATTTCAGTAGTTTTTATAAATAACACTGTAAAGTGACATTTCTTGAAGTCATTTTAGGTACCAAGTGAAGTGAACGTTTCTGGTGGAATGGTTGAATATTCTTTCATTTATTTCGGCCCGGTTATTGCGTGACTATCTAAGACCAAGATTTAGTCGAGTGCAAACTTACAAAAAATATTCTTATTACTACCAATACCTTTGCTTTATAGACGGTAAATATCTTCATACGATGAGGAAATTTTATTGCAGCAATACGAAGTATTGTAAACACAAGAATATGTTGAATAGTTACACAACTGGTCCAAAATTTAAAAGCCATTGTCGTCTAAAAGTGATAAACTTTTATGCATTAATGCTTACTAACAATTCTAACAATGCAACAACCAAATTTAACTAGTTGTGAGCCTAGAACTACATCTAAAAAAAGTCATTTCTGTATTTCATCAATATACTTCAGAGTCAATTCATTGATAAGATTTTTAGTTAATGATTTAACCTTATGATGCGTAAATGAGCGCTTAAGTGAGTTTTTGACTAAATTAAAAACTGAAATTAGAAAAAAAAGTAAACAGACCTTGCAAAAAAATGTTGGTAAATAGTATAAGCGATAACCGAATGTTGATCGATAAACTGCAAACGGACTATTCCAAGCAGATATGAAATCCGAAAATGCAAGACTACATATTATTACGTTGAACGCAGATCTGAAAAAGATTGATAAAATGAAATTACCTCTTCAGCCGCGTCTTTTTAGCAAACTTCATACTGTCATGTTTAGATTTGTTATTCTACTATACTATGTCACTATATAATATACTGATCCTTTTCTATTAAAAGTCTTCAAATTTAAATTACTTAATTTCATCTGAATATATCTATCTTGTTTTTCAATGGGTATCAATAAATCTTTACGTTTGAGTATTACTATACGGGAACTTTAATTCGGCGAGCATCCATCTCCTCCATTATCAATGGGGAGCATATATTCCGCGTGGAAATCGGTTGAAAACTGTAAAATAATTTTCAGCTGGTTTTCTGCTTCATTCACAATGTGTTAAATGCAATAATATTCAACATCTTAAACACCAGAGATATGCTGACTTTGCTTTAAAAAAACTTTTTATGAAAGTATCAAATCCGAAAGTTACGACAATTCTCGCTTACTCACGTTTTTAAATCTGCTGACTTTTTTACAACAAGTATTGTCAATGCATTTGCAAAAATTCCAAATACAAATAATATACCCACAATAGTACAACATGAAATTGCTCCAGCAAGCGTCAAAAAATCATTTCTCTGCCTGTTAAAATATAAGAAATTAAAATTCATTTTCTTTTTGTCATACCATAATAAAGATGTTTACAAGAGCCTTAACTTAATAAGATAGTATTTTGAATGAACTCAAACAATTGGCATGCAAGACTTTTATTACAAACATTGTTGCACATATCTTTTTCAAAATATCGTGCTTATATTTTTTCACAAGTACATTACAAAACTAAATAAATGCATGGTAAACACCGCTAATTATTAAGTTATACATTGTAAAATATAATACTATGTTGTTTATTTTTATATTACTGGAATAGAAATGAGTAAAAACCTTAGTCATACCCGCTTTTTGTAGTTAATCCTTCAAAAGATGTTGTATTGCTTGTGTTAAATAGTTTTGTTGTCAACGATGAAGATGGAAGAATGATAGAATTGTTCATATCTTTAGTTCTCAGCAAAAACCACTGAATTCTTCTATCGAAGATTAATTTTAATTAGCGAATCTTCCGTTATAAAATATATTAATGTCTTAACTCATTATCTGAAATCTCCTGCCAAAATCGTCGCGTTACGATATTGTAACGCTAACACACATTTGAATAGAAAAATAGATATTACACTATTGGGTTTAATGTTGGTTAAATACTTATAGTTATGTTTGTATATTCACGATCCGTGAATTTGCACAGAACCGCGGTAATTTTATGGAATTAACATCAAATAATTACAATATACCAGGAAAGATGTTATTTAATTAACCAAAACAAAATAAACTTCTATACACAATGTTATAAGATCTAAAGATTCAAATCTTTTATATTTTTTCTATGTATAGCAACGTTCACAAATTAGTACTATTTTGGCCAATGTAAAAGCTATCCTATTAGAAAAAAGTTCAACAAACATTGGATTATTTTTAGAAATTGCATGATGCAGTTTAATTATGTATTCGAATACTCCCATCTATCCAGCTGCAATAAATATAATATGAAAACATTTTGCTATATATACAAACTTTGTATCGATTGTTATATCAACATTTTGAAAATATTTGAACCGGTTTTACATCACATAAATGTAACGAAATTAGCAGAACGCCAGAACAAGCTCTACGTATGTATTATACAGAATTATCAATTAATACATCAGATTGCTAAATGATACCCCATCGGGTATAAAAGGAATCCAAATGACATGCTTTTATTCGTTCACTATTGCAATATATGAAATCGATATAACATTGTAATTACCGACCATTACTGAAGATTAGTTAATACCAACTTGAATACAGCTTACAAGATGTAATTATATATTCTCATGTTTTCAAGAAATTAGGTAATGATATGGCAGATTTAACAGATTGCCGAAATCATTTCATTAATGGTATTTACTGATTACCAAAATAGGTTTCTAAAAATAGATCGCAAAGGTTAAACAGCCCCTTGTGACCTACTTCATTTAAAGTTTTTATATCGCACGAAGATAGTGTTTAAAAATTCACATGTAGGCCTATACTTGTATTTGTATCAATTTTTTCCTTGGTTCTATCTGCCACTTATGAAGCACTTACTTTTACATAAAATGAGGTTGTTCTACTTTGTATTTTGTTGGGTTAACTTTAATGTATTATTTGCAACATCATTCAAAAAACTTACTATGTTTAATAATATTGGCGATAATTGATAAAATTTAATGAATATATCAGCGACAAACATTCTCTGACAGAAATATGTCAATACACATCTATAGATAATCTTTGCTTGTACAATAATATGTCTCTATGTGTGATAAATTAATTATATATTATGCCAAAGTGCGTTAGAACTACTCACGTTTACCATTAGCTCAGTGATTGCGATTATGCTTTACCCTGTATTGAACACAAAGTGTACATTTGTTTGTTTTGTTTTTATGTTGTTGTTACAATTCTTTTTCCTCATTCTTCTTGTTGTTATGAAAAAAATCGCTTTTCTCAGTAATTACTGGACCAATTGCTTTGGAATTTCCACTGGTTAAAGGTTACTTGTTACTTTTATTTATTTCGAAAATTTGTGTGCGCTATATGAGATATGCTTTTTCTGTGCGATGACCTTATCAAAATTAAAAATTGTAAACCGTGTGGCGGTTCATCGTCCGCGTCAGACAAAGTTGTTAATAGTCTATACTGTGACAGATTGAATACCCGTGCTACTTCATTTTTGCCTTCGTGTATTTTGCTCTTTGGTTGATTTATTTCAAATTTTTTAGATTATACTACCAGCAAAGATCACCATGCCAAAGACACAAGCAGCATTCTCGTTATTTATTCAAATATTTCGATTTATTGTCGACAAAATATTAGACAATGACTAGCAAGAAACAAAAAGAAAATCCAATCTTCATTACAAAATGCATTCATTGTGTGGTTATTTACGTTTGTGGTAATTACGAAGAGGCAATAAAATACTAATACAAAAGAATGGTTTAACCGAAGATAACCTGAATTTAGCATGATACGTTTTTAGTGCTCAGAAAGTGACAGATATTGATAAAGGTTCCGCTAGAGAGAGGGAAAGAAGAGAATGAGAGAATAAGGAGGAAAAGGCTGATTAAACTGATATTTGAGGCAGCCGGAAAGGGCGAGGGAGATCATTCGGCAAATAAAAAAACGAACGTTACAAAAGTATTTTAAAGGATCAAGCAGCATGACAAATGAAGGTATTCAAGTTCTGATTAAGTTATATAAAATCTAATACAAAAATCGTTTAGAAAGATTTAATATTGATATAAAATTATTATTGTATGAAAAGATTCATTTAAAAAATGTACCCCAATAAAACTCTTATGCTAACATCAACATTTAAATCTTTTTCTCGAGAAGAAATTTGCTGAAGTCTGAAATGAGATAAAATGATTTAAAACTTTTGAAATTCGAATATTTGATTTTAAAAATAATAATAAAAAAAGAAACTTTAAAACTAGAATTTTTCTAAAATTTTTATTTAATTTTATTAGATGTATTTTATAGTGGTGTTGTACTATATTTTTATTTTCTTATTTTTCTTTTCTTTTATATACTTCGAAAATTTCATATAATACGGTATGCTGTCATCCGAAATGATGTACAAAAATGACAAAAATCTCCGACGAAGTGAAATAGCCAAATATTTACCTGAATAGTTGATGGTTCCGCTCGAATCTTCTTGTCCATGCATCATTGTTGCTACTTCGCTAGTTGACATTCTTTCACCTACAAAACCATAATATAACGATAAGCACAATGTTTCTCTCAAGTAAATTGAAGGAAAGATTAAAAAAATGCAAAGTAAAACATTTTTTTCTCGAAAATGCTAAAAAAGCACTACAATTTGCAATTGTGATATATCGTTTATTTTATACTTGAAATATTTCTGCATATATAGTTCTACTTCATATGAAGCAAATAATGTCACCTAAAGTTGTCAAAATATGTCTGATTTCAGCTCCTCTCAATGTACCATTGCCGTCTTTATCAAATACTCGTAATCCTTCAACAAAATCTTCGTAGCTTCCTTGTTTTGCTAGTTTTTGAATTTGTGACAATACTGGTAAAAATTCTTCGACTGTCATTTTTTTTGTTTTGAGTTCTATATGAGGATAAGGTAATTAAAAAGTTTATTTTAAATAAAGTCGTGGTCATTTATTTCAAAGTAAATAGGCTACTTAGTATATATTTTTATTCAAAGTTTATAGAAGCGACGAAATGATAATATTGTAGTTGTAGATGATGAAAACATTTAAATAAAACTCATTAACATTAAAGACACTTATCTTAGTTCATATATTTTATCTGTTTAATGTTAATAGGAATCAGGTAAAACAACATAATACAATTCTAAATACGTGTACAATTCTAAAATGCTTATGCTCTTGAACGAATGAATCATATTATTTCATTCCCTGGTATCAGTATTTTTACAACAATGTACTGACCTTCTTGACTAGGATTTCCCATGTATTTCATGACGTCTTCATTAGTGGGACATTCACCGAGTGCTCTAATGACGTCACCAACCTGGTGATAGTAGATCGTTTCACCATCGGAATCGGAGAAAAGTTCGTAAGCTTCTCTGACATCTGTATCAGTAATGCATTATTGAAAAAAAAACATTTTATTATCAAAACTTTTATTTATGTGAAATATATATTTTTTAGATTATTCGGACTTGAAAGCATTCCAATTAAAATTTAAGACAGTTCGCACCACAACAATATCAAATATATATAGCAGGAATAAATTTTAATAATTTTTGCTGGTATAGCTTATGGATAGTAATAAAATATTCTCACCTTCAATTTGTTGTTCTGTAAATTCCTGATAATAAAAAAAAATGATGATTTTCAAACAGACTATCCATAATTTACCTTATACAAGAAAGCAAGGAAAAAAGTTTAATGCTTTTCATTGAAATATATTCCTATTAAATCATTCTCAATTTCTTCGCACTTTTTGATCAATTTAATACTACTACTACTAAAAAACTACGAAGATATTTCTTTCATACCCATTGAAGCGATAAAACAAATATTGTACTCACCATGTCTTTGTTAGGTACGTTTCTTCTTTAGATATTTTAGAATACTTGAAAGCTGAGATTGAATAACTGATTAACAGAAGAAAACATTCTACCTTTTTATAGTCTAAAGTTACAGCATGTAACGAAGAAGTGATAAAGTCAAAATTACATCCCGTGGATAGCAGATGTTTGGGAGCGACATATCGCACTTCGGAAATCGCGCCGAGTAGCCAATTTAAACTGGTAGGTAACAAAGCCAGATCATAATCCAATTAGCATCTTAATAGGAATAGTTCCAGTTTTAAATCATGCAGATAATTTAAATGACTAAAAGTAAATGAAATAGACTATTCTTCGAACTGTGGCCCAAGTTCACAATAGTAACTATATTTCATAATTAAAAGTCAGATGCCGGAGTATTTATATGCGAATCCGGGTACTTTTAGCAATAGCGCAATTTACAGTATTACCTTCTGGTCTACAAAATGCTTAGTAGCATATATGTCCTCATTTTTAATATTTTATGCACCACTGTGTCTTGAAAGGTTTGTCTATTTTGTCATCTCGACTGCTTATGAGCTGAACCGACAAAGATGAATGTGCAAGATGTACAGTTGATTTTTTATTATTATTACTAGTTTTGTTTGGATTCAATGAAAATTGCAATTTATTTGAATTTATTTAGATGAATACACAAAATTTATTTTGATGGATGGATTTATGAAATCTATAATGAACGTTCTAACAAATGATTCACGGTACGAACGGGATATGACCATTTTCCGCCTTTGACGCGTTATGCCGTAATTTATATTCATATGTCTTGAATGTTGTTTACAGATATTTTATATCGCAATATTAACATCATATCTCAATGTAAGAGGGTTTGCTTTACAATTTGTAGCGTAATGAGTAGCGTAAAACATATATCAATCCGACACAAATTTGCCTGATCTGAAGTCGCAAAATTGAAAATGGAGGTAAACATAAGTGCATTCTATCTATGTGCTTCACGAAGCCTCGAATACCTAATTGGTATATATATCAGTCATTAGAGTATATTAAATCCTGTCGTAGCGGTGTTCGCGTTTTAGGCGTTTTATATCGCTGTCTGTAGAGACTGGCTTGCCTAAGAATTTTTAGTTTTGAAACTGCCAAAAAACTTTACAAGGGATGGAGAGTTGTTGTTTCTTGTTGAATAAATTTTTTAATTTCAATTTTATGAAATTCAGTTTATTTCTGTTGTTTACAGAAAACAATTTTATTATTTTTGACAAAATGCGAATACGCGATATTATCATTATTATCAAACAAAAACGAAAATTTAATCTTGCATCTGGGGATCGAAAATCAGTTTGAACTTAATTTGTTTGAACTTAATTTATATAAAAATCGGAAATGATATTAAACTCGATATTTGAATTCCAATTAATGTGTAAAATTACAGAATTTTGTGTAGTGCCATATGTCAAGTGGCAAATGAATATTATATTCATCACGTATCGCTATACACTCGACATAAATATTGACAAACGGAATGTACGAAGTATAAGCTTAATATAAGTTGAAGTACTCTTCATAAGTTAACGATATTCATTGTAATTTAATCAAATTTACGTTGGTTTTATAGTAGTTAAACATCGAATTTTTTTGTACCTCGCTTCTCCGCCTGTATTTTGCATATATATATATCTAAAAATAGAGCAAAATGAATCATAAAATTGAAATTATTAGTCCAAGTGAGGAGAATCCTTGAGATACCAGTATTTTATTGTGTCTCTTTCTGCCAAATTGTACTTAAAAATTTGTCAGTTTATCAACTGATGAATGCCAGCTAATTTACTACTTTATAATTGATATTAGGTCCGGGAAATTGAATCGTGTGACAACTAGATTTATAAAGATTATGATTTATGAAAATTAGAAAATACTTGAGGAATGATTGAGTAACAAGTTCGTAAGCACTAATTAAAAGAATTTGAGATGAAATATTGGTCATTATCTGTGCACCGAGCAATTTAGATTTTTATTCAATTTTAACGAAAACTTTTCGTAGTACGATGAGCATGTACAGTATTTTATATTTCCATTAAACTGGAGTATACTGTCAAATAGTATGATTAGTTTTCTTATCAAAGAGACAAACAGGAGAGAGAGTGTGATTTTGCAGATAACCACGAATTTTCGTACGACATTTATCAAAAATAAATTCTAAAAATGTGCAGAGATATTGTACTATATAATACTTGCTTCGAGACCACAGAAATTAGTGGAGTAAATCACTTAAACTAATGGATTACTCTCTACTAAGAACAATATGCTGACAAATTGCAACGATTCGGAAACTGGATATTACCGCCATTTGAAAGACAGAGTAGCTAAAAAGAGGTTCAGAACGGCAAAAAATAAAATGGACAAATCGAATATGAAATCACCTCACATTTCATCTCACACTACAAAACAGTTATCATATACTTCTAACCATGTTGAAAATAAAATACAGTCTACTGCTGTTTTAAGTTACCTTTTGTGTTCCCGAGAAAAAGAAAAGTTGTATGCAAATCATTCAATCGAACAAAATAATATTGTACATAAGCAATTGCAGGAAATAATGGCAAGAAGGCCTGTAACTACTTCCAGCATAAAGCCGAGTGACATACTCAAACACGCTCCTCAAAAACACTCAAGAGCAAAAATTGGAGGTAGAGAAAAATCATCTAATTTACATAGAGCTAGGCTAAATACCTCGACAAGATTTGATAGCGTTTCAGAGAAGATTGCGGATTTTGAAAAAAAGACAAATCGAGTCACACCAAATAGCTCTCAAACTACTAAAATATTTTGTTTGCCATATGAACGAGATAATTTCATGGAAACAAACGAGACATATTTAAATAGAAGAAGTCCTTGTTTAACTACGCCCGAAACCGTTCCTTTATATCACAATTCCTCACAGAACATGAGAGAATATCGTCAACCGCCCAATTTATCTGAGGGCTGGAGCATAAAGTCAAATGGTACATTCAACCACCCATACGAGCCAGCACAATTAGCAAACTTCAACTCATATTCAGGGTATATAAATCATTCATCACGCCATCCTGAAACTCTATGTTGGTCCAGATATTATGCAAACAGTTTGATGTCTCCAGAAAATTGGTATTTTGCGACCAATGGACATATTATGAGTACACCATTTCGCTATCGTCAAACTTGGGACGAAATACCAAGCTCAATAATGCATCGTAACCGACAGTTTAGAAAGAAAAACTACTCGAAAGCTTTTTTATTTGGATTTGTTTCTCCAACTGCAAACTCATATAGCGAAAGAGCCAAAAGAAGTGAGGAGGAACGAAGCAGTGAAAGTACAAAAAACCCTGAAAAACAAGATCGTACTTATGCCGCTGCAGTTATTGAAATGACTCCAAAAGTGAGAAATGTTTATTTTAAATAAACATTATTATTTGCACTATTTGAACTTTTTCCTACCAATCGTCTCCAATCGAAACACACTTAAATATATGAATCTACGTTTTTCGATCTCTTTGACCACCTAACAATGAAAGCTGATTCTTGCAAAGCATTTTGCATTCTGTCTGTTTTTTCTATTACACAAATACATAAAAAAATATCATGGCTTTACAGATATTATCATGATTTTATTATTTTGTTTGGCTACTCTCATCCGTTGCAAGATAATCCAATTCTGCTGATGTTTATTATAATAAGCAATTTCAAAATCATCAAATGTTTACAAAGCCAGACGGAATTAAAACTTCGATACACATATTTTGTCATTTATGTAACAAAAAAATTCTCAGTAATTTTTCAAAGCAGTGGCTCTGTCTTGTAACTTAATATGCATAAATCAATATACAGGTTAAAACAAAGCCGTTGCGACGAGGATCAAAAACATATTGTACTTCATTAGGAACAGTTCATCGACAACAACGAGGATTGAAACGAACTTTACTTGCACTTCTTGGATTTTGTTTGCTGTTAATAGCAGTGATTTGTATTGCTTATCATATAATTTAACGATTTAATTTATAGTTCCTACTGTATGTGCTACTACTGCTGAATAAGATTTATAAAAAAAAAATTGCGTTTCAGTTTTTTATGCACAGTGGTCCTTCTGTATTCTGTTAAGTTGACATCAAAACTCGACTTTGAAACATTATTTATTTATTGGAAATATGCAATTGCAATATAATGCAAAAAAGCATTATGCTGACTGGACAACCTGACACTAATAAGGCTTCCAGCCTTCCAACACATTATATACTTCTTTCAGCACTACTTGTTACCATGGCTATGCGCTCTGTAAACCTCGACTGCACATTTAATTATTCGATCATAATGCTCAATTGTGCATAAATATTTAATACGAAGTGTACTTGTGAATCGTTTTCACCAATTTATTGTTGCTCTTGTTGAGATCGCTGTTGCTCTGGAAAGCAATCGCTTTTCTATGCAACTAATGGATCAGTCAATTTCAAATTTCCAATAGGCTACTTGAACTTGATCGAAGCCGCTAGAAGGCTATTAATCTTATTTTTTCAAGTTTCCCGATATTTCACCGAAGATTTCGTTGTTTTATTTTAATTCATGGGAACACTTTTAAATAACGCATATATATGAGAACATTTCACTTGACATTCTTTCTACGTATTTATATATTTCAACATTGCTTTCTTGTTTTTATTATGACTATTTAAATGTCGTTATTTTAGCAAAAGTAATAGATTAAGAAAAGTAATAGATGCATGGACAATTAACATTCTACAGTGATTTATTGATTTAATCGAAATGTCTAGAACAGGGTGGTCCAAACCCAGGCCCAAGGGCCACATGTGGCCCGCCGCTTCATTATATGTGGCCTGCGTCGCATTTGCGCGAGGGTAATCAAGAAATCGCATTTGGTGTTGTTTCGTCATAAAAATAACCAGAAAAATCTTTTGACATATTGTTGTTACACCGCCAATTCCACTGAATTGACTAGTGTATTGGCTAGCTGAGGTAACTAGCAAAGTTGAATGATGTGCTTGGCAGTCTAAATTTTTATTTGGCTTTTCATCTTTTTGGTCGGGAATATATGCTAACAAAATAAGCTTCATAGAAAACTAAATATCGAATGAGGAATCTATTAGCCTAGGTTGGCTATGCCTGGTCACTAAATATTTATGTTATGGCTGAACAATACAATTCCCACCGGGTGGATTTTTGTAACCAGCCTAAACAGTATTACAAAAAATGCTGACTATATGTCAGAAAATTCAGTAATTACCCTCCTGCATCTCAAATTTGGTAATATTCGGTATTCAATCAATCTACAGTTACTTGTAAGTTATTTTGTAAACATTAGTTTAAAAATAAAGCTGACCAATTCAAAAATATTTTTAACTGGGTGTGGGAGGGAAAATACCACAATGCTTGCTTGATATGTCCGCAAGTTGTGTCGGTGACAATCTAAGACGGCACTTCCTTCGTTATGAAAAATTTGAAATCTTACACTAAATGTATTTATATAGTAAGATTTTTGCATGTTTTAGTGAGTTTTTTTTTGTAATTTTTGCATGCTTCAGCTTAAAAAAAAAAGTCAAACAATGATCAATGTATTTGACAATAAAAGTGTTAGTTTTGTATTGCACTGTTTACATATTCTTGGCACTATTGTGGCCCGCGAACAATACAAAAATAATAGTGTTGCCCGCGAGGTCGACAACCTTGGACCACCCTGGTCTAGAAACAACTTTGGAAACAATTCAACGAGTGTTCTCATTATGTATAATAACTTTTGGGTGCTCCCGAAGTATGCGAACCAAGATGGCGGACATCGGAACGTAACATGGGTAACAGGTTAGGGTTAGGCGATAACTTTTTTCCAATTTTCCTTATTTTAGTCCTATTATCAGTTCGAAGACTAGCCAAGAGCCTCCCGTAGTATTTATACCTAAAATTATGGCCTAACCCTAACCTAGTACACATGTTACATTACGATGTCCGCCATCTTGGTTCCTATACTTCGGGAGCCCCCATTTTTGACTGAAGTGTACATATGAATCATTCTGTTAAATTGTTGCTGTTGTTGTTGTAAGCTGTGTTGCTGTTAAAAAAACTACTGTGATTACTGAATCGATTTCAATTTTTAGCACTTGAATGTGACTGAAGCTGCTAGAAGTCTATAATTTCAGAACGTATACTTAACTTCTAATTTTTCTGTTGTGAAATTTGACCTTGAAATCCATATATAATGCCATATCGCTTGAATATCAGACTTCTATTTATTTAAATTTGTAATGTCTAAACAAACTATTTTATTGATGGAATATATCTCATCTATATAGACAAAAAAGGGTACTCCTGAAGTATGCGCACCAAGATGTCGCATAACCCGCAACCTAACCTGGTAAACCTGAGTTCAGGTCGTGCACCATCTTGGTGCACATACTTCGGGAGGTCCGAAAAAAGAAATAGGTTTATCATTTACTCAATGGGAATACAGCACTTGCTTGCATAGTGGTAGTGAAGATTGGTGACTTGACATCTTTCATAAAAAAACGCGATTTTAAATGCGCGTTAGAAACCATATTCAGGACGGATAATCCACGTAAATAGCGAGGTGCAGTTCCTACCACTTCTCGGCAGCTCCTGCCACGAACGAACCGCGGCGTCTCTTGCCATGATTTTATGGCGCTATTACCGGTATATTCACAAAGTCATGTACTAAATTTTAGTTTATCATAGAGAAATATATCTACTTGAACCTGAAACCTAGCCCCAAATTCATCAATACTGTATCCTTAAGGAAAACTTACCCAAAAGCCATAAGTCACATCAGGGGCAGCCCGGCCCTTACAGCCAACATGCCTTGGTTTGTGGCAGCAAAATTTTACCCGCCATTGTCTTTCAATTTGCTGCCGTGGTACCCGCCTCACGCCATTGGTTTGTGGTAGCTAAAAAGTCAGCCGCCATGGTTTGACCATAGCGGTTGGAAGCCCCGCCATGGTTTTGCGGCAGCTTCAGACGCCACAAAATACTTAAAACTGCACTTGAAAGCAGTGCAAATTTTCATTCAATTAAACTAAGTCACCGTTACTAATAAACTACGTGTTACAGTTTGGCGTAGGCACACATCTTCCAATATACCTGGAAATAATCAACGAAAAATACCTTTTGTTTCTTTGGTGAAAAATTGAAAATGAAATCTTGAGGAATTCTGATATTGAGGATGCAGCATTGATCTTTAACTCCTAATAATCTTTACTTTATCGTATTATTGCAAAGTTTTTCAATATTTTGAAATCATTATTTTGTTGAGAAACGTTTAAGTAACTGCGATAAATGAGTACCAACAAGTTGTAACAACTATTTTAGCCTAGTTTATCTGTAGATTCATGGCCTTTTTAAATTGCTGCAACATTTTTAAAGATATATTAACAGATTTGTTGGATTTTTTCCTTGCTGGACACGAAGCTGATCCTTGGATCACTTTGCTCAATCGTTATCGTTGTTGGTCTTGTTCTGGGTGATTGTAGCTGTTAGGAAAAAATCACTTTTCTCAGCAAATTTTCAGTATAAATATATATATTTAAAGTTAATCGTTTTTAATTTAATTAGAATTTGTATGTCAACTTTAATAGAAATACATTATTGCGTACAGTGAGACAAATGCGCGTAAGCGTTTAACGTCATTATGAGTGCAACATAAACAATTTTTATTTTTGGTATTATTGCCTCAACGTTTCTCATGAACTATCAGCGCGTCAACTGATAAAATCATCCATTGCAATAACGACGTTAATCCTGAAAGGCACTCGCGTATTACGTTCAAACAAAATGGAAATATTTAGATCGGTCCAAAGTTTCTGATTTTCATCCTTCGTTGACAAAAAGTCTTATTCGTCAGTGCTATTTCGCAAAATTTCAAATTTTATGACTGTTTTGGTCATACTGACAGAACAAATAACAACAGCAAAACCAACATATAATAAGGCAATAACAAAGTTGGAATGTAGATTGAACATAATGGCATAGGATGAAAAAATAGTTTTTAATTAATTTTAGATGTGTAGATTATAGAAAAAACTCAACTTCATATAAAGAACTCAATATTTAAGTGTAATGCAATCCAAATGAACTTACGGTGGATTTGTAATATCACTACAATCGCGATCACTCCATTAAATATTGTGGCTTTTGCATGTGCCTTTTGATCATACTTTTATGACAGAACACCCATGAATATGAAATCGTAATCTTGTTTACCGTAACTTTCACTAAAGCCGACAGTAGACTATTATTGCGTCACCCATGTTAACGTCGTCTGTGATTTCGAATTCGTGGAACGTCTTACTACATACAAATCTTGGCAGAAATTGAGTTATAGTTATTGCATGTGTCGATGTATATGTCTATGTTTCCTCTGTTGTCAGACGACGAATACCACTCCAACGCCTGCACCGATCCCCCAGTCTGTCCGACACACGTTAACGAGGCAATGATTGTCAATGATACAGTAGAATGATCCAACCGGATAGCATAAAAATCAGTAATATTCAGTAGCTTATATACTAATTCCCAATAGATGAAAATGTACTAATCAAGTATGGAACATAGATAAATTATATTAAAACTGGTTTGTGATTAAGAATTGTCATTAATTACGTCCACTAGCAAAACTTGTTTGGCGGTTTATAATTTTAAGAAATCTGATTTTACTGGGTTTACGACGATTCATATTATTATTTTGAAAAATAGCAGTAAAATCTAACTAAAATACCAAGATTATCCCTATAGATGTATGTATATTTTTTCTGCCTACATTTGAATGATGAATTGCACCAGTATGAATACAAATATTTTCCAATCTTTTGGACGATTCAATATTTGAATGTCTAAAAATCGATGAGATTTTATGGAATCCTATTGACACAAGATTCATCTGCATTGAATGTTGAAACATGAGGTAGGCTAGGCTTCGACAATCTTTTTCATATACCTTCCGGCAGAAAATGGTTTGACGCTTTAAAAGTAAAAGTGTTTCAATACAAGCCAGAAGTGAACTCGTCACGAACCGGCACTGCCGCGCTCGGTGGTTGCCGATCAATGATCTAGTCATTTTAAGTACCTTATGCGGAGCGTACTGTTGCTAGTGATTGCGTGTTGACAAAGGTTGCCAAATAGTCTTATAGTGACAATAAAAAGTCTAATAAAATAAAATTATATAAAATATATTATAAAATAAAATATAAATAAAATACTAGTATATATAATAATAACCCATTGTTGTCATGAACGTAAATTAATTTTGTCAGAATTACTCTGCACGACATGACTTCGACTAGGATGACACGCATGTTTGGAAGACATGTATACAACAAGATATGCGTACCTTGCGTTGTAGATAAGAATCAATCAATCAAGCTGATGAATCATATTTCATAAATAATCAACATCAATTTAATATTTTGAATGATTCATGATTTTGTTGCTATATACACAAAACTAAAACGGTTTATTTGAGTTACAAAGACTAATTGCCAAATTGCGATTTTTGGACAAATCTTTACTCTAAATCGCTTATATATGACGTATAATCTTATCTTAATTAAAAAGTTGCTTAGATACTGCTAACGTCATTTCATGTTTATGGAAACAGTCTGAATCTGATCAACACTCGTTATCTATCGAAAGACGGTCGAAAGAAACGAACAAACTGTTTTTTTATTGCGAATATGGCAATCATTCTTACCAGTTGAAATTTGATTTGAACATTGATTTGCTTTACTTGAGAGTACGATATTGATAACTTCGTTATTCCAAGATAAAACACATTTTGACTATCTTAATTTTTCATTTTTTTTAATTCATAAAATCAAAAAAAATATTAGAATTCATTTCAACGCTATGATATGATTTCATGCAACTGCCAATTAAATATTTTTAGATGTTTATTTTTTTTAAAAAACAGTTTGTATTGACAAAATTTCTAAAATTCCCTCAAACACCGATTACCTGAATTTCATATATAGCATGTAATTTGATTATAGATGTGCGTTGGGTGTAATGCAAATATATATTAGTAAGTAATTCGATTGAAAATGAAACTATATTAAAAATGTGTGAAATACATTATTTTACGTTAAACTACGGCAAAGACCAGGCAAATGTATTCTTTTTGTATTGTCCAACTGTTCCAATGCCTAGCGTTAGAATGAAAAAAACATGGATTGTGTAACAACTTTTCAGCAAAAGTTGCTTGGAAACAAAGTACTTGAACCGCAGTTTTGCCACATTCTACCGGTTTTGACTCTTTTAGTTGAAGTAGGTTCTTTTTAACATTATGTAAAAGAATGTCGCACGCAGGCCAGATTATCATATGCCGTGGGCAAACTTAAATAATTTCTTACGTGGATTACTTGAATATGAGAACATGAACCGGTTTCACAAGACAAACTGCATGTTGCAATAGATTTTCGACAAGTTGTTATTGATTTTAAATATGCTCATTACAAATATGTGACATTATTAACCCTAAAATTTACAAGTACAAAAGTTTTGTTGATAGTTCTGAAACAGATATCAATAGATTCCACAAAAGGCATGAAACTATTTAAAGTAATTTTCAGAAAAATAAAAAAACGAGGAAGATTTGGAACATTTAATAAATGAGTGATGATAACATGATAAGCGTGATGCATAAGCGTTTAGTATCAATTTAGAAGCAAAATAAAATTTACCACGCTCTTTTCCAAATTTTATTTTTTCCTTCGATAAATGACAATTACCATGTTTTTCATTTACAACTTTTTTGATGTAGAATAAATACATGATACTTGAAAACATGACAATCAAATGTTTAATTTATAAAACATCACCGTTAATCAACCAATTTATTCGTTAGATAGGTGAAAATTATTTAAAAGGTCGTGTATAATTAATGAAGTAATGCGAGTTTCTCCAAATTACAAATTTCTTTGAATTAGTTGAGGCAATAAATGTCATCATTCAAAATTAACGCTTGGAAATAACCACTTCTCGTTAAGCTGGTATAGTATACCGACAGCTTCATTGAACGCGGAAAAAAGCGACTAGACAGCTTCGTGTATGCTGCTGATGCAATAAGCGGATAGAAAATAACCTGAATTACAACCAAAAAAAATCTCAGAAACTTCGTATGATTTTTGATGCTCTTTATATTCAATTATCGCGATAGGTAGATCATAGAATATAAAATAAAACAGACTGAGTATATTATTGTGGATTCCATTTTGTTCTATAACGCATGATGAACGGATTATACTCATTCAAATTTCATATTAAATTATCCTGATACCATTGCAGCCAATTCGATTCCAAGTTTTATCTTTTCTGCATCTTGAAAAATATAAATCATATAAATCGAGTAATTTTTTTTTAAACAGTACGCAATCGGGACAAAGCGGAGCATGTTACATTTCATTCGTTATATACCCAGCAATTTTGGCATGTAAAATCGTAAACTAAAGATTACTAATATTGACTAAAAATTGAGATTATATTTTCAGATCATGTATAAATATATATATAAGTTACGAAATGTATAAAGGAGCAATATGTGGTAACGATTATTCATATCGTTCATCGTAACAACCAATAGAAAGGGCCTAAGTGTTTAAGGTGGAAATACCATGATATCGTTAGCACTGCGGCTTGATGACAACGTTGCGAAACACGTATACGTGCATACGTAATTTATTTCGTAATGAAAATTTAACAATTAAAATATGTGAACAAATTTTTAATCCATGGTTGTAAACTCGACAAATACTGAAGAGATTTGCATAGACTTTTGTTCGTTTTTTCTAATACAAAGGTTACATATAAGTAAAATGAACATTATAAAATATAGAAATATAAAATGAGATTCTTAAAAGACCTTATTGTATGGTAATTATAAGAAGTAAAAAATTGATGTTTATTTCGTTACTGGTTTAGATGAAAGAAAATATATATCAAATGTTTATAAAAAATTTTATCGCATCGAACAAGTTTTTTTTGATATTGAGAACCATTTAGCCTGAGGTATGGAATATGCAGACACAGCGCATGATACGAACGTGACGTCGTCGTGTTCAACGGTGAAAAATAGACTAAATAAATTTGGGTAATAAAATGGTATATATATCTTACAAAAAATGGTTTATCTTACCATTTTATACAAGTAAATAGATTCAAGGTATTTGAATAATAATTTATAACAGCATGACAACATCTATCGCCATGATAATGGATTTTGCGTAAATTTGTATATATTTTTAACAGCATGAAATGACCTAAAGCGTCATCGTTATCCGAACTGCGTTTTTCTTTATAATTTTTTTTTGTCATCATTGACAGGATATAAAGTTTCCATCAAAGCTGTATTTCTATTCGTTCGTTTGAAAATCAAAAAGGATGAAGCTGTATTTATTGTTGTCCATTCTTCTGTTTTCCGGCATCGCCGTTTATGCACAAGGTAAGAGTCGTATTTTTTGACCAGATAAATGCCTAAAATTCAACTATTTTTCCCACAAGGATTAATACACAATTAAAAGTCCATGATGTATTGATGATACTGCAAACTATACGCGAAACGCGTGAAAATACGATATCTAATAAGATTTTTGAACTAGCTACATTTTATTAAGTAATTGTATGGTATTAACTAATTGAAATTTGAAAATCAGCAAAAAAAAAAAACTAGCAATCGTGTTAATAGTCTAACTTTTTAGTTTGCATTTTATCACTCGTGAATCGCGTTTCAGTTGTAGTAGTCTACATGCATAACGCTCGATTTGAAGCAAACAAAGTTATATTTTACAGAAGGAGGAGAAGAAGAGGAAGCGGTAGTGGATGAAGGTGGCGAAGAGGGAGCGGTTGAAGGTGGCGAAGAGGTCGTTGAAGAAGAACAACCAACTCAGCAGCCCGCCCCAGCATCTAGTATTGCTTGCGTAGTGGGTGCAACAGTGGACGGCATTGGCAACGAGACACGTGAGGAATGTCCTGCCAGTGACGTAAGATTCATTGTGTTTGCGACATACCTAAAGTGTATTGTAGTTTTATGATATATATATTATTCTACTCTTGTCCATTTATGTTCTATATCATTTTCAAGATATTCATCAACATGAAGCCTTAGCCTTACCAGTGAAGCAACACATTTTAGGCGGCGGAATGACGATATTTGGATAGCATAAAATGTACTTTTTCAAACGTGCAGACCAGTGATGTTTCATATAGCGTCCTAATATCAGACGCAAACTTCCAATTCTGAAGTTGCGAGTGGTCATGACAAACTAATATGCTTGTTCTAAAGTATAAACCAATGAAGCAAATAAGCTTTTGCAAATGAAGACGGTACTAGGACTAGGAAACAAAACGAAAAACTTATTTTTTAAAACAGACCTCTAATTTTTTTTCTCATGTTTCAACATTTCGTATAATGGCTTTTTTTGATTCAACAGGATGTTTGTCAGACCAAGATTGAATTGAGGGACGGTCTAAAATTTGTTTACAAAGAGTGCAAAACAGCTCTATCTTGTAGAAACAACAGAAAACAAAATAAAAAGGAATGCTTATCAGAAGAAGCTAGGAATAAGAGGGTATGTATACGATCCGCGGAGACGTGTTTGAGCTTAGACCTATCGAATGAACGAAGTGGATAATTAGATATACGACTAATAACGCGGGGTCACCATCACCTTTCGAGTGTTCCCTTTTGCACAAGGAGATAGTTCACCCAGATCTTGGCGTCGTTCATCGAATATGAAGTTCCTAATTCACAGAAAACGATTAAGGTTTACCTCTAATGGAGCCAAAAAGCTGAAATCACCAATGATTTTAGCGACGATTAAAAATCTCACGTTTTGTTTAAGGTTCTGATCTGCGTCAAATGCTGTAAATCAGACGAATGCAACTCAAACGAGGACTTACCAGCTGGAGCATTTCTCCCTGTACTGGACGACGAAGAAGAAACATAATTTGCATTTTTGTTGTACTCCAAATAAAGTCACTAGAAATCATGATTGTGTCAAATGCATCGTATTTATGAAATACTTTTAAGATTTGTCAATATAATTTGGAAGAGGCAAAATTTGTGTTATCGGAATATATTTGGCAAACTCAATATTTAAGTTTTATTATATTTCCCATTTTTTCGGCGACATATCTCATTTCCTCAGATCTATATGGAAGTGTGTAGCCATCCATTTTTTTGTAGGACGTAATACAACGCTTCGAACATAGATAAAAGTGGCCACCGATATCTAACAATATCTTAAAGAATCGATCTACAGACGTATTTCGCTGTCGATATTATCCGGGCCATATAGGCGCGCAGTTTCATCTATCTTGTTTGGTTCATTTGGTGAAATGATTATTGATAGCAGGCCAGAAAACGTCCGATTTTCAGTAAATCGTTCAAGAATAGACCAAAATGGTGTTGGCGAACTAATGAATCTATTTCTTAATACAAATGTAGCAAAATTGCATTTAAAAAAGATTTGTAAATTTTTAGGCTACGCCCATGATCTTTTAGCCTTTTATACGAGAACCGACTGAATTATAAACACTGAAGTCTGGAATGGGATATGAATGTTGGGTTCATGCCAGTCTCAACGTGGTTAGAATAACCGCCGATCGTTACAGGTCAAATCATCTAATTCTAAGGTATTATTTCCATACTGGAATCGGATAACGGGCCGTGCTACACTATCCTATTTAATGGCTTTCTCTACCGATTAAATAAGGAAATCCTATGCTATATCGGCGGAATATTTTACCACATCGAAACGTTTATTCAATCAGTTTTATATTCGAGAAACCGACCCCAATCATACAAGCCCTTGTATCGGGGACCGATGCGGTGATCTTGGAGTCACTATTATTCACACGCACTATAAACCAGACATTCACTGTTTCAATACTCATTTTACATACTCATCCCGGACATCTGTTGCTGTCTGTCTGACACACATCTGTTGCTGCCTATCTAAAATACTGGTTGATTAACAAGATAAAGTCATCAACTGATATCTCGCGCTCAAGCTTTTAGTCGATCAAAAAAAAATAATAAAAACAGTAAAATTTTCTGATGAGAATGGGGTGGTATACTATTAGGAAAATCATTAATCTTTGTTGGAGATAGATGAAAATAAGATGATTTGATAAATCATGACAATAACAGACTTCAGTGTGCTCACTTCTCAAGAGACGAAAAGAGCTAGAAGATTGGGTTGCATGAATACGCACAGGATAAAAGCAATTCATAGTGAAATGCAAGTCAAAAAAGTTGGATTGAATTTTGAACTGCCAACCTTTAAACTCGCATAATTTAAGTTGAGAATATTCGCATAATTTGAGCTGATATTTAACTAACTGAAGCCTAAAAAACGTAAACTACTGCGCACACAAAAAATACTTGAATCTTTAAAATTGTGAAGCATATCAGAGTCTCCGACATACGTCCCTGACCATCACATCACGGAAAACATTGTTATGCAGAATGTTGACAAATGATTGCATTTCAATACATCCAACTTGATCTTTCACCATCTGCCACGTCCTCTGGAAAATCTTCCATATCCTCTACCACCTCGTGGACCACCACAAAATCCACCCCCACGAAAGCCCCCAAAACCTCCACCTCCACCCCCACGTCCTCCATAAAAACCACCTCCCTGAAAATCAAAGATTTGCAGGTTTTGTACTGAAACGTATTGGAACCATCCACACAAATTGAGAGGAGTATTCCAACAATTACCGTAATGAAGAAATATTGAATACACAATGATAGCATATGGTCAATCAGAAGAATAAAATTCTGGATTAGATTGTACCTACCCGTGGAGGACCACCATAAAACCCACGTCCACCTCTGAATCCTCTTCCACCACGAAATATCTTATGTGGTGCACCATCTGGCCGAAAACTGGAAAATTAATTAGAAAACTTAAACCAATGCACGATTATACCCCATAAGAATGCAGTTGGTGTTCTGATATTCAGATCTGGTGTTCGAAATGTTGCCCCGGGTTTGAACAAAGAATGAGTTGTTTAAAGCCACACTCATTTAATAATCGTTAATCGGGGTTCCATGATGAGCTTAATAGCATACCAGGGTTCCACATAGATAAAAAGGGTTGGAATGCACTGGTATATGGTTTAGATTTTCAATTTTTGAGACGGGCATATCTATCAAATGGTCAATTACTTGAGGGCTACTTGATGTTGTATTCCATTGTACAATATGGCAGGGCAATATGACACTTACCTGTGCAATGCCTCTTGCGGATCCACTTTACTTCCAGCTGCAGTTGCTTTTGATAATTCTCGAACAATATCCATCATTTCTGCTTCAGCTGGAGGAGGACTAGCTATGGACTCTGGTTCTGAAGTGGAACGAACTATTAATCCCTCAAGTGCTGTCCGTAAAGCAACGCAACTAGCAGCCGCATCCAATGGCATACAAAGACGAATCCTGACAAAATATTAAATATAAGAAATCCAGCTCATGTCACCTAAAGAGTCGATTATAAAAATGACTAGGCGTTTGGCAATTTGTACTAAGTGTTAGGAATCTGCTGCTATCTGCAACCCTGATCACCTTGCGTCAGTTCCTGTGGGGCACAATTATGTACAAGACAGTTGCTGGACTCTTCGCTGCCGTGGGCAGGTTCACATAACCCCTGGTCGATTACGGCTTTCTCCACCATCAAGCCCATGCATCTGAAACATATAACTGGCCAACTAATCCCATACCCAGCAGTGACTGGTAACCAGACGAAATACGAGACAATATGGTTCGTCATATGATGAAGTCGTATTATGGGCTTCCCTCTTTGGCTAAAACTCCTATCCTATCATAAAAATGTTTCAAGCAATAGCATTGTCAATAGAAATTTCTTATTTGTTATTTGTGATTCATTTTTTGCCCAAAACATGTGTAGTATTACTTAAAACGTTTTATATCGTTCTTTGAGATTGTCGAACCAGATTCTACTACTAATGGAAGAAATTATTGAGCAGCCGTAAGTAAAATATACAAAACACAACAAAATCTCACCAATCATCTATTTTAACAAATTCTTCATGAGCAGTTACTTGACTTGAACTAAATATTAGAAGCTGTAATGGTGTCACCATCGTCATTTGTTTTGCACTCACTGCTCTAGTGCGAATCTAGGAACAAGGAAACTATAATAGTGATGTAGATGACTAGATGTAAAATTCTTCATTTGTAAAAAAATAGGATTTGTGAATGTCTTGAGAAAAAAATTGCTTTTTGAACAATTGAAATAGATAATGAATCAGTTGAAATATAATTTTGACACCTAACAAATGTCGGAGATCCAACTATAAAATTGTATTTCCTATGTCTATAAAGATCAAAATATAAGAACACCAGTTACCTTTTCTCCAAAAACAAAGAAGGGAGATGGGAAAGTGCAATCTTTGTTTCCGAATGGACAATTGACTGATGATTTATGTATCAGAGCAGCTCTGGATTCACACAAAACCTGAAAAAAATGGAACACAGTTTTGAATTTCAAATTTTACGCAAACTATTTTATTAAAATCAACTAATGAATACTGTTACATACCTTTCTCTTTTCTTTATGAATGCACACATTTGGATAAACACCAACACATAGAAGTGATATCACAATGTCTAGTTTCGTATCTTCACCATTAAAGTTAAAGAAATGATGTTGAAGACATTCTTCCGGAAAGCCCTGAGAGAATGCAGAAGAATTAGATAGAGAAGGTAAAGACAAAGTGTCATGTATCAAAACTAATATTTACAGAACAAGAAATTTAAAGGCTTCTCTCAGTGGGGCATTGGGAGTATTCTGGACAGGCTGTCAGATAGTTCATGTCTAAGTAAGTTAAATATATTTTTGCTACTCTTTGTCAGAAATTGCAACTTTTATAATTTAATACTTCGTTAATGAGAATATCCCTGAGTTGATTCTTAGCTTCTGATGTCATTCGAAGTGTTGTCATAGTAATTTGTTTTCTTTCACAAAAGTCTTTCTCTTGATCTTCTCCCCTCATACTGTACAAGATTACAACCAAAGTAAAAGACAAGTAAATTGCATTTGGAGATGGAAAATCATACTGTGAAATACCAGTAGATCAGTATGGTGACTTGAAGTTATGACCTAAATTTGTCGCATACTTGACTGGCACTGGCTGTGCAAAATGTTAGGAACGGATTTCCATAACTGACATGGACAGGTGAGCAGGGAACGTGGTCTTTTTTCCTCAAGATAAAAATCCTATGTTATTTGGTTGCACCACTCATAAATGTCGCTTACCCTTTCTGGCATATGATAATAATAAATTAATTAATTATATCAGTAAATCAAAACTCATCTTTTACCTTGCACTTTCCCATGCATTAAAGCAAGATAATAAAGCTACGTGATCGGAAAATCTTTCTCCAGCAAAGTCACGATGCTTCCAACTCAATCTTTTTCCTGTCATTTCAAATGGTTCAGGAAAACATGATGCAGCAGCTATGATGCACATTGCATCACCGACACTAAAAATACATATTTATATTCTCTGAAACTGAGGTATATATGCTTACAAGTCCGACGCACAATTAGCAAGCATACTATCATATTTTTCGCTTATATTCCAGTGTTGTCACAATACTTGTGTCACTAACTTGAAGCTCGTTTCAACAGTATCTTTTTATGTTTTTAACTTATATTCATTTATTATCATAATGCTCACTAGCCTCGATTAAAGAGTATGTACTCTTACCTTATGTATTACCACAATGATAACAATCTCAAGCTTGGAGCCCAAATAGAGAGTATTGCATTGTGATCTCCTATTTATGGCAGAGTGGTGCATCATCGTGCTAAGCGATAAAAATACGCTCGCCACCACACCTCTAATTGCCCTTCATGGGTTCGCAGGTTTGAATCCTGTGGGTGACAATTATGTGCAAGTGGATTGCTGGACTCCACGTCGCCTTGGGGTGGTCTACGAAACCGCTTGTCGGTTCAACTTCCTCCACCATTAAGACCATGCATCCAAAACAATTAACTGGCTAACTAGTCCCATACCCGACATGGGCTGGTAACCGAACGAGAGGCCGTGGTTCGCAATATGAATGAATATGAGTAGTCTTATCATTTATCCTCTCCCCTGGGGTAAATATGTAAATCCTATCCTACACAAAATAACATTGCTTATATAGTGTTTTTAGACCTTATTTAGGTTTTGGCAATTGCCCTGCGGGGCTTGTCTTGTTTATTGTAATCTTTCTGTACCATGGAGTAGTTAAAAATAAATTATCTTTCTATCTTATCTATTTTACCTAATCTAAAGGACAGAAAAAATAAAATTCCGACATACAAGAAATTGCATCCGAGTACAATCATCTTTCCAAGTCTTGGTTCCAGAGGTAATTTAGCAAGAATTCTACCAAGTGGAGTCAGCTCATCATTTTTATCTAAAGCATTTATTTCTCGAAGTAAATGTTCTGCTTCAATCACTGCATCCAATGGTGGTGGTTCAAGAGCCTGAATAATACAAAATACTAAATTTAAATAATGTAAAAGAATAGTAAATTGAATTCTTCTGTTAAAAAGCCTGTAATTTTAAAACATTTCAGTAACTATTTCATTGTTAATATCGCATATTTGTGACTTTAATATGGGCAATTTTCATATTATTTTGTACAGCATCACGTTTCATCAATGTATGAAGTGTATCTGATTGAGTGATTGACTTCTAAAATGTGGGATTGGATGGTGCCGGTCTCTGGTATACTTGTCTGTATCATCATGCTATATATAGATATGGTGTTAGTGTACAGTGCTGATATAAATGGCAAGGATGATTCATTCACCTTTGATAAAAATTCTCCAATACTTCCAAGTTGAAGTAGTTTTATACTCAAAGCAATTTCATGAAGAGGAGTTCTCAACATTTCAGGAGTGGAATGGGTATCAAGCCTAAAATAACAATTTCCCTGTTTTATTCCGCTAAGCAACATATTATAAAATACGAAAACCTTGTCTTTATTAGTTTGATGATAAAAGTATGAAAATTCTAATCATTGATATTTCTTAGGAATTAGTGAGTGCAAAATATTTGAGCAGATAACTAAACTATTCCATATACCACAACTCGTCACATATTCCCTATTTATTGTGGGAAGTTACATACTGCACTGGCCCAAATTACAAATAAGCAATTTACTTTTCATAACGAGGTCTACTGCACATGTAAAAGCAGAAACCAGGTCTAACACGACCAGCTCGCCCTTTTCTTTGTTCCATGTTGGACTGTGAGGCCCATACAGTGGCATAATTTGTCATGTTGTTGTGAGAAGTGAACATCTTCATTTTTACTCTGAAATCAAAAGATTTTAATTAAGAAATTCAATTTTTTGAGGTGTCTCGCACATTAATTCGGAAGGGGCTAAATACAATCTGTAGGTAAGATGTATGGGTAGGGATTTACAGGTGGAGTTTGACTAGAGCCAGAGCTGTGAAGTGTAGAGTTTGTTGGTAATAAAGTCAGGGTCGAATCCCAGAGCAGGGAGTCTGAGCAAGAAGTAGAAGCTGAAATTCGAAATTTCTAATAGTCCAGGCCCATCACTGAAAAAGCTTGGGAATGTCCAAGTTTAAAGACAAAATTCGGTGCTCCAGAAGTATGCGCAACAAGATGTCACACAACCTGAATCCTAACCGGTACACACATACTATGTTCAGGTTGTGCGCCATCTTGGTGCGCATACTTCTGGAGGTCCTAAAATTCTGATAATACTCCGGTAAAAACATACTTGCATGAATCAATCACATAGACAACATCATTGATTGTGATGCTCGTTTCCGCAATGTTAGTTGACAGAATTATCTGAAATATAAATTCAAAAATTATGAATATAAGAGTAATGTTTTAATTTTTCAGTAATGAAGGAATATGTTACCCCAATTCAATAATTATTCACCAACAAAACTTGCGAACAGGTATGTAACAGCATTGACAAAATTTATTCAAATTTTGATAATGTATAAAACAGTTGATTCAATTTTTGAAAATTCCGGTATATTTGATTTTTGGAATATCTTATTAATGAGACACTTTGTTGAACAAGTTCTTTTCTCTTATTCGAATTTGACATTGTATAAAACAGTTGATTCCATCTTTAAAAATTCCGATATATTTGATCTTTGATAATATCCTATTAATAAGACACTTTATTGAACAAGTTCTGTTCTCTTATTCGAATTTGACAATGTATAAAACAGTTGATTCCATCTTTAAAAATTCCGATATATTTGATCTTTGATAATATTCTATTAATAAGAAACTTTATTGAACAACTTCTGTTCTCTTATTCGAATTTGACAATGTATGAAACAGTTGATTCCATCTTTAAAAATTCTGATATATTTGATCTTTGATAATATTCTATTAATAAGACACTTAATTGAACAAGTTCTGTTCTCTTACCTTTGTTACACCCTCCGGTACTGGCTCAAAAACTCTGTGTTGATCTTCCCTTGGTATTTGAGAATGTAATGGCAGTATTCTGTACTTTGGTCCACCTTAGGAATGATAAAAATTATATTGTTACTGTATGAATCAAGTTCATAATCACTTTTTCAATTTAGAATTTCAATTTAGATAGGGCCTCATATGAGATTATGAAATTATAAACAGCAGAGAAACAAAATACTACAAAGTCAGTCAGACAAGTGAATAAAACAACGCAGTGTACGAAAGTTGGTGAACCCAGTCATGGAAACTTTTGAATTTGACTTCGCTGATTCTCAAGAATCAAAAGACCTCGCTGACAAAAGACCTCGAAAGAAGACTTGAAGCAGCAGAAATGTGGTATATCAGACGAGTTATGAGAATATCGTGGATGGAAAAAAAGTCAAACGAAGAAGTAATGGAAAAGGCCGGGTACAAAAGATCCCTAATTAAAACCATCAGGAAAAGACAACTACAATTTTTTGGGCACATAAACAGAGCAAATGGGATAGAAAAGCAAATACTGTGTGGAAAGATTTGTGGTACCAAAAGTAGAGGAAGACAACGCACAAAACACACCGACAGTCTGAATAATTATGTAACGAAGAAAGAATCCTCCAACAATGAACTCATCAGGAGAACTAACAACAGATTGGAATGGAAGGCCATGATCGCCGATGTCTGTAACAGACCTGGTACATGAAAAAGAAGATTCTCAAGAAGCAAGATGTGTTATAATGTGGAAGTGAAGTGAAACAGTTGATAAAATTTAAGACACTGTAAAGATTCGTAATCCAAATGAAAGAGACTAAGTGAAAGTTTCTCCAATTTTCACTCAATACTGATCTCTGACAGACCTGGTTCAGATGGATGAGTATATTCTGAATTAATATCTTATGTTATGAAGATACTCACTGAATACAGGATGATTTTCCAGATACTTCATTAACATGAATATAAGATTCCATCCAGGAAGAAATACAAGAACTGCACCAGGCACATTCAAACCTAAAAAGAAATAATATAAATTTTTATTATTGATACAAAGCAATAATATCAATGCTAAAAACAGCATATTTTGGCCGCAAATGTCAATATGGATGTTTCTCCAAGCATCGACTTCCTTGTTGACTTTGTGACATTTGCCAATCAGAAAGATGCAAAAAGTGACGTAATAATGCATCCGCTCAGACATTTTTCTCACTCAGGCAGATTTTCAAGTGTGGTTGTAAACAACGCCTCGTTTTCACATCCTTTTATACTATTCGTTAGTTTTCAGTTGTGTTGCGGACATTTAAATATAAATCAAAAAATTCAATGATCACTTTGTCTTCCTAGAAGTTTCAGTTTAATTGCAGTAATCAAAAATTAGTGTAGAAATAGCTGTGGTAGACTAGGCTATAATTCTTTACTGGTACTTTTAAAAATCAGATTGTTAAATGCCATGAATCAGAATGATGATTCGAAATAAATATCCCATTTTACAGCGGCCCAACTCACGAAACTATTTTTAAAGTAAGCACCGAAAATTGTACAATCATGGTGAAGTATAGGACTTAATTTAACACTAACGACTACGAGGTCAGTATGAATAAATATATTTGAATAAAACTTCAATATCTTGAAATACAGTGAAATTCAACATATTTAACAATAGATTTTGATTACCATACCTGCAATATACTTGAGTAATGCTTCAATTAATTCAAAACTTAATTCTTTCTCACTCAGTTGAGATAATGCATGTCGAGTTGCTTCAGAGTAATTATTGCTGATTTGCAGGTTGAGATTTTCCTAAAATATAAAGTTTCAGATAATAGATAAATAATCAATGAAAAATAAATTTAAATTTAAGGTATAATTACGAAAAAGCTTTGAAAACTATATAGAAATATGATTCTGTCAATTGATGCAAGAAAAGAAGCGATTTGAGTTTTGATCAGAAAAACAGCCATAGGCAGTAATTTCTATACAAATGGGATTATAGCTATAAAAATATTTATCATAAAAATTCATTTCCTTGACACTAAATTGACGAGAGCTTGCGGTCAACTAAGTACTGACAAAAGCGGAGCAACACTTCATCGATAGGAAAGAGTTTGCATTAGACTAGAATGATCTTTAATAGAATAATGATGTTCGGTTGCACATTCGTCAAATATTTTATTCAAACAACTTCTGCAATTGTATATCACAGATCTTATAGCATGGTGAATATTTAAAGTATATACCTCTACTTCAGGGTGCGCAAGGTTTTTAAACCAGGGGCCAAATCATGTAAGTTCGACGTTAAAAGTTACATTTTATTAACAATATTTACAGTGTTACAAAAGCCTAATTGGAAAACAATGAGACTCGTGCCAAAACTGAATTTAATCGCAATCCCAACATTTTGAGCTATTTTGTTTAACTAAATATCGAAAATTTAGTTTTAGTTTGGTTGTGGCAGAATCAGGCGGGTCAGATTGAATTACTCAACGAGCCGGATTTGGCCCATGGGCTGTGGTTTGCCCTTGTCAACTCTACTTCCACTTACTTCATCATCGCCACCCATTCCAGTTTCATCATCATCGTCATTGTTGTTATTATTTTTACGATCTTTCCTTTTCCTATTCATTGGTGGAGGTGAGAATCCCAGCATTTGTACACAATCCTCAAGAAAATATTCTGTACATGAAAACGTTATTGAAGCATCATTGCAATAAAAGAAAGATCAATTCCTTTGGTTGCGTGACTGACCTTGGACAGGATGGGTACGTCCATGAACTTCAACTACTGGGCAATTGTTGAAATATTGACTGAATATGGTTGTATCAATTGTGGCTGACATCAATATAATACGAATCCCGGTAAATGTGGCAACAATATCACGAAGAACAACAAGAAGAAAATCAGTCTGAAACAAAATAAGAATCTCGATGAGGTATAGCTGGATCAATAGTTCGATCTGATTCTCAAATGAATGATTCTAGTCCATAACAATATTATATGATACAAACCATATGGTAACAGAATTTCAACAAGAAATACATCGAAAACTACAATCAATTCAAATAAAGAATTTACACACTAAATTTTTAAAAAGTCTAAAATAACGATCCCGCCCGCAATAAGTTTGAAATAAAACGCAAAATTCCAGGCTAATTGAAAGATGACTCAAAATCAAGCTCCAATAACAGCAAAAACAAGATGACTTCAACTATCACACTATCTTAGGACATAGCAAGCTTCTGGCTAACTGGATCTTATTAGCATGAGCTTGTACAAAAATTACAACAATTTTAACTCTGATAAAGAAGGAGGTTATAACATATATATGTATATAACATAGCTTACATTGATGTCACGTTCATGAATTTCATCAACTACAACATGGGAGATTCCTCTCAAACCAGCAGTCAATTTTCTGAGCAGAACACCTGTAAACAAAGTTGTATGAATTATTGAATTCAAAACTTCAATAAAGCATGAATCTATTTTCTAGTGAGATGAGCAAGTTGGTACTAATCATGTTGGCATTGCATAGGAGAGATGACAAGTCCAAATCCGGTACTCCTGTCCTGATCCTGAAGTATGCATACCAAGATGGCGAACACAGAAACGTAGTACGTATACCAGGTTATGGTTAGGCCATAATTTTCTTCATTTTAGTTCTATTACGAGTTCGGGGACTAGCCAAAAGACTCCCAGAGTATTTGTACCTAAAATTATGGCCTACCCTGGTACACATACTACGTTCCGGTGTCCGGTATCTTGGTACCCATACTTCAGGAGTACTCCAAATCCTACGCCAATCATGGAATACTACATTGTAGATAGAGTAAACAGAGTGTCATTAAGTGTCTTTATAGTTGTAAAAAGACTTTATGGACACCCTGTATTTTATCAAAATATGCAGAAAATAATCTTACCAACAGTACAAAACAGGATTCCAGCGTGAGGTCTTGGTAAAACAGAATCAAATCTGACACTGTATCCAACACTTTGACCAAGATCTTCCCCCCTTTCTGGAAACAAAGATAAATAAACATACAGAGAAACTTACATCATAAATGACTGCATTTTCATTTTGAAACTTTGTAAATTAGATATTTTGGGCATACATACCTGTTAGCACTGCTCAATTTGACATGTATATTTAAGGATTTTAGACTCTACCTGCCTTTAGTATGCACTTCTAACAGAATATATCCTATGATTGAATTATACAATGGAGACAAAAAAATTGATACTCCCGTAAACTGAATGGAACTAATGAAATTTAAAAAGAATGGTAGTATCTAATATGAGTGGTATCTCCCAAACATTCTCGTTCAGTCAGTTATACTGATGACATCATTTTTCATTCCTGTCTTGAAGTAAAGTTCGACAAATACAACACTAGACAGGGACAACACTAGACAGACAATAACAAAGTCAAGGGAGTGAATTCCGGCCAAATGGTAAAATGTCTCAAGATATGAAGAAACCAGTTTGGGTAACAACAATGTTTCAGTAAATCTAGGCATTTCAATAGCTGAAACTACGAAAGTGCACATGAACTTATTTGAGCAAATTTTCTAAAAAGTATTCTATACAGTAGAAGGGCAATGAAGAGTGCTAGAAGACCTTCAGCAACTCTTTCAGCAACAGTAACAGCACTTATTCTTCTTGGTTGAGTCACAATAATATTACAATCTGATGCTCTATTTGATTCAATCAAAGATTCGAGAACATACTGAGGAACCTAGAACAGAATATTGATAAATCATTTTACCAAGAAATTAAAAGGAATAAATGAAATAGCATCTAAAAATGTCAAAAATTTAAATATTATAGTAGTGACAGTACACCACTGATGGTACTTAGTCAGCAAATCAGACGCGTCTAGTTACAGACGCGTACTAGTTCTGTTAAACTCAAACCTAACTTTTTCCCAGACAGTGTGACTTGACTTTTTTTGAATTTTTTTCCAACCACGGAATACTGTTACCGTCACAATAACGAGTGTATATGTAACCCAAGACGCCAGAGCACAACAGAAACCTTCTCATTTTTAGTTGTTACATATGGACATCATTTTGGCCATACTTGTTTGACTATAAAAATAGCTACGGTACCTGTGTAGTTTTACCAGAACCTGTCTGTCCTCTGATAATAATTACAGGATTTTTCTGTATCTTTTCTAATAATTCATCTCTGTATGAAAATATTGGTAAATCAGCACGTTCATTCATCATCTGAAAATATGTACAAAAAAATTGCTTAGAAGTCAAGTAAATGGTTCCAGCAACTGAAATCAAGATTCAGTAAATGTATAATAATTCAATTCCAAATGTGTAATTGATTTTTCAGATAATTTTCTCATTTTGTTAAATCATATTCAAGTCTGGTCATATTATCGGATCAAGACAATGCAAGGAAGAAAAAGTGTAAAACTATTCATACACAAATGCCGCCCAGAGAACAGGCCTTTTAGCCGACTAGAGAGAGTTGACACAAACATACTTCATTAATTTTGTATATAAAGAAAAAAAAATGGTATCTCCGGGAAAATGACGACGAGAACAATACTTTTGAGAGGACTCAAGAACTTTTGTAAGAGCATTACTTATAATTTTGGGATCACAAACTTGATAAAACATAAGTGAAATTGTCAACCAATAATATTATCACCACCACATTACCTTGTTCATCAGATTGTTGTTATCCAATGCATAATTGTATTCATTCAATAAGTCATGGCTAATTTGTTCAGAAGTCATCTGAAAAAGTAATAAAAAATGACAGAAACAAAAAAAGACTATGGTTTAAGGTTACTTCTTGGGTGTAAATAGAATATAAACTTACATCTGAAGCAAAATAGTTTATTTCCTGCTAGAAGGTCTACTTCTATTGGGCATCATAGAATTGTGTTCATTGAAGATTTGGACTTGAATTTTTTTTGCACTGCGCCCAAGGTAAAAACCTTGTCGTGTGAAAACCCAATGTTCACCATATCACCAAGAGTATAATAAATAGGGTACGCAATGCCCAGCCAAAGATTCCAGACCTTCTAGAAATAGTTATCAATATGTATCAGCAGCTGCTTATACAGCCTTATTGTGGTGAAGGCATGAAAATGCCTCCAGAAGAATGACAATTACCACATCTTATGTAATCAGTACTTAGAAAACAATGAAAATCTTAAACGTTGCCACCACTTAAAATAAATGATATAGAATAAATAAGGTTTTATTTCCTGTAATACTTGTAAACATTTGTAAAGCAAAGGGCAAAATTCTTACATTAGCTAAAGGTCCTTCATCAATGTTACAACTTGTCCACGGATTCCAATTAGCTTGAGGTGGTGACCATGGAATCACTCCTGCTACAAGTTTCCGTTGAGAAGGTGGAAAGAATATTTTTTTCTGAGGAATCAAACTGACTGGGTTCTGATTTGGATTAGCATTAGGTGGAGGAACAGCAGGTGCAATTTCCAAAGTAGCAAGAGATTCCTTCAAATGAGCAATAACTTGTGGATTCAGTGTTACATCATAGGGTTCGGCCTAAAACGGGAAAAATTAGATAGCAAAATGATGAATAAATAATATTGAAATTAAATTTTTTCAATACCAAAATTTATCAAGTGACTATTTTAAATACTTATATAATCTTTATATATTTCTGCACAAATATTTATCATTCTGAAAAAAAAACCCTAAAATAATGCCCTAATAATACCTTACATCATATAATTGCAAGTTAAATTTGTATTTAAAATGACCAACCGTCAGTTTATCCTACCAGCTGTAACAGATATCTACAGAAATAGTTGACCATACTATCCAGGGCATAAATGAAGCTAGGGGGTTGAGTGTAGCATGTATTGATTCAATGATTGATATTGAAGTCGGGGCCAGAGTCGTTCTTTTAAATTTCACTAGTTCAGCAATTTGAATTATTCAAAACAAAATTTAATTTTTTGGAAGGTGAGAGCGTAATTGAAATTTTCTTCAAAGATTTTGGTTGCAGACTTGCAGTCATAAGTTTTGTCAAGCAGGAGTCTGAAGTCGTTTTAAAATCAGAATTTGAAGTTAGAATTGTATGTACATTTTCAACGACTCCATGGGAGTACACTTTATATATGTATTACTATTAGGTATGAGTTCAAATACCTCATCACTTTGTTTCTTCTTGGTTAAGCCAGTATAATTTTCAATAACACCAAGATGAAACAATTGTCGTACAAGAGATAAAGCTGCCGACTGTGATGCATTTTTTTTATTAGACCCATGTTCTCGAGCATGAAGAGCTGCAAATAACCAATGTTTACCTTTCAATGAAAGATATAAGCAAACATATCACCAATTTCACAAACTTCAAATAATTCAAATTTAGTCGGCTTTGCTAAACCAAAAAGATTTCATAAGTAGGAAATAAATTGAAATAAATTTCAAATATTTCATAGTTATTAATTCAATACCATAAGGAATATTTCTCTTTATAAGTCACTTACTTCTTCCAATTTTCTTGACATAGATAGCCATCTCAGCAATAAAGCTCCTAAAAATAAAAATAACTAGTTGGCAGGCAAAGAGATGGTGATATAATTAATAAAGAGTCTTTTGACCACTTTTATTTGAAATCAAAATTTAGTGCGACCAATCTGCGTTTTCACCTTAAATTTTTGCGTCTCGATATGTCAAGGAAAGTTCAAATCGCTTATTTGAGTAGATAATTCTGTGTTTCTAAACTACATTGTACTCACCCTTCAATAATCATGATCAAGTACAAATCCCGGGGCTAAGAAAATAGAAAGCAACAAGTTATTGCAACATCACAAAGCATAAAAAATATTTTCTGCTGCAGATAATATATTACCATCGGCTCACAAATTATTACTAAGCGTAACATCTATGAGCCTTTGTGTCACTGAATATCACAAGTGTATTCCATTTTTCCCGTCCCATGAAATAAATGAACTTTAAATTAATCATATTCACGGTAGCTTGTGAATATAAGATTTTAAGGCACTCTAGAATATATGTATCATAGAAGAATCGCAGAAGAATTCATTCGTACAATGATTATTTCCAAGTTAAAGTGTATGCTATCCCTCTCCAAATAAATTTTAGACAGCAGAAAATATTTTATGCTTTGTGATGTCACAATGTTGCTTTCTACAATCTCATACACAGTTCATGGTGAAATAGATCATCAAAGTCAGAAGCTCATAAATATCAGAAAAATGTCCATTTCAAATAATAATGAATATGGTTATCGAAATTCCCTAAACCAGAAATAGAAGATATGCGTAAAAAGGAAGAAATGGCTAGAAGGTAGAAGAATTTAAAGTTATCATTCTAAACAACAATCAAATTTAAGTATTAAAGTGGAATTGCTATTAACTTGACCCACTTGTTATGGTCAGGTCCAACTTGACTATACTTATAATCTGCAGAGATCTTTTCCTTTTGAAAAAATTCATTCAATCTTGATTTCGCATTGTCAATTGTCCAGTTTCCATGGAGACGAGAATTCATGTCAACTTCTTCTGATGCAAATGTCTAAGAAAGATAGAAATTTAAATAAAAAAAAGTGTCAGTGATTTGGTATTTACTACCTTTTGCATATTCAGTCCTGTTAATAATGATCACATTTGTGAAGTTGCTTATTGGATTTGAAGTCATATTTTTTAATGTCCTCGAAGTCATAGACACAATTTCGAATTCACTGGGGTCATAATCTTAGTGTTAATGGTGATAATTGAAGTCATATTTACGCTAGAAACTGTTATAAAGTTCTCAACAAACAAATGAAGAAGGTTTGAAAGAACACCAGAATTTTCTTTGTCATTGTTTTTTCAGAGTTAGGATCTGGAATGAAATTTCTTTCCCCCTGGATTTTTTTCATCCAAAGTCTGGTCTAAATTTTACCAAACTGGGATACAAAATCTGATTCTACAGGTTTTCATGAGTGTTGCAAAATGTACTTCCAGAATGTTTCCAGAAACTAATTAAAACACTACAAAAACTTGCCAGATCCTAGGACAATCAAGGAAATACAGAGATAAAAATGAGATAACAATGTTCACGAAAACAAAACAGTTGTTTTACATATTTTCACAGAATTCAGCACCTTCAGGAGTTAATAAACTACCTCTTTCTCCTCCATCTCTTCCAATTTTCTTCTCTTATCATAATATTCATGCAATGCCCCACCTCTCTCAGAAGGGCCAGCACTTCCCATGCCATAACCTTGGAATCCAGAAGACATGAATTGGCTGTAAAGATGAAATCCTATCAGGTCAATTAGTTTTGAATCTACAAGATAGGGCTGAAATTTGACCATAAAGCCCATAATCTAATCACATCAAGAAAATTGAAGAACAAGACATTTGCCGTGGCAAAAAATGGGGAGGATTTATTCATACTTATGTCAGGAGAGGACAATGATACAAATCAATCATATACATGTGGGTACTCGACTGTTTTTTCCCTTCAGACACTTATGGTATATTTGGATGGTGGAAGAAGATCAAATCAACCACAGATTAAGTAAACCACTCAATGATTGTGAAGAGTGTACCCATCCCTTCGCAAGAAATGATTCCCACAAAAATTTAAATATGTAGACCCATGCAGCATATTTTGCAGTTTGATGTGCCACCATTAAGTCAGATAAAACACTTCACATGTTGAAGTTGAGCGTGTCAATTTTAACATCCCAATGTGCTTACTCTGATGGTTGGTTTTGAGAAAAACCATCCTGCCTCTGCATTTCCTGTTTTAGTTGAAGGTGAGGAGGAAGAGAACCAGGAAGTGGTTGACCTCCTTCACTCATCATGCCAGTGCTGGAAAATTGGGATCCATTGTTTGGTGGCACCATAGGACCAGTGCTGACACCCTAGGGAAAAAATAAACAATTAATTTATTTGTATCAAACTACATAATGTTTAATTGAACCAATTTAATTTTAAATAAATCTTTATTTTCGTACAACATGTTCATATTTGACTTGAAGGTCCATGCCTACCTGTATCTTGGCACCAATAGTAGATAGGATCCAATATCAACTCTTAAATATTCCAGTAGTCGTGTCGTTTATGTGAAGTTATTTTTTCATGGCAATTTTTTGAAGAAATTAGCATTTTGTCATTTTTTTAAACAAGTTCAAGATTTAGGTTCCAGCTAGTGACAAAAGATACTACTGTATAAATTTCAAATCTCGAATGAATATATTACAGGACAAAACATATACGAGAAAAGACAAAATATCCTTGAATGATAATCATGTATTTATATAGATATAAATACGAACCGATTTTGGGGGTACTTCAGAAGGCTTCATTTTTCCAGCTCGAACAAGATAATTAACAAAATCCCAGGCAGCATTTGCTTGGGCATCCTTCTTATTTGTTGAGTTTCCTATTCCAGCATAAGGTATTGTATCAACTCTGAGCTAAAAATAATAATAATAGTTGAACATAAATTAAGTTTGATATAAAGAATTATAAACTTTACTATATTTTCATATTATATGTCTAAAATAGTCAAATCCAACCAGTGAAGCAATTTACATATTGATATTACAGAAATGAAAAAAACACTCGAATATTCAAAGCAACTCAAGAGTCAAGACTGCATGTCATTGGCAATATAAATAGTTTTTCCTTATTAACAAATTGGCTTTGTTAAAGTTAAATCATCATTAATGGAGCAAAATTTATCCCAATCCACTCATGTGGCAAATAATAAGTTTATTCATTTCACCACAAATGTAGTAAATGGCTTGACAGTTGACACTTCAGTTGAAAAATGCAATGAGCGATATTCTCTGCTTACCTCACATTTAAATCTTGGTTTATACTTGTTGCCACCAGCTTGAACATCATAAACTGGAGTTAGCTTTTGTTTTCCAAGCCATGAATATACAAATGTCTTGATTTCAGTCATAATGAAAAAATGTCATACTACAGAGAGACCTTACGATAATCAACTAATAATATAAAAAGGTATTGACAAGATACTTGCAATATAGTTTTTATTTAGAAGAAACCTAGCTTTACATTTCAAAACCAATAAACACATTAAACTTCAATTTCAATTCGGAAAAATCAAGTAGCATCACCAAATTTGCATTAGAAACTTAATGAGATGTTACCTCACTAGGAACATTCGGACAATAGGTTTGGAGTGCATAATAAACGACAGTTAATGAAAGGTACAAAAATTGAAGACTTTTGCATAATGTTAGAATAGAAAAAATAAAAACAAGCATCAGCTTTATAAAACATATAATATACATTGATATATAGGTTTTTTAAGAAAGAATTGCCGAGTCTAAAATCATATTATATAAAATTTGTGTCAGAAAAGTAAGTTTTTTAAATAAATACTAGTTGATATTATACTCATACAACAATCTTATGTTCTAAACTTAAAATCAAATAAACATTAGAGATTAAGTATACGACAATCAAAATATTTAAAGTACCAAAGATATCAAGCCAATTTTTTTCTGTAAACAGTATCAAGGTATTATCCTGATCTATACATTATAGATACTAATCTCCTTCAAAATAAATAGGAAGGTTTTTATTATCCTGATCTTTCGATAACTGTTTCAAGTCATTAGCTAATACAACAGGTAATCCATCAAAGAGTTGATCAACTTTCGAGTCAAATATAGCAATAGAGGTATATTCACAATTTACCACCAAGTAACGGTGCAAGTAGTTCAAGCATATTTGCCTTAAATTCAAAAGAGGATTCACAATTTCAACGGAATGAAATCTTTGATGTTCTCCACTCCATTCAACTGGAAAGTAGATTTTCTCAAAATTAGGAAGGAAAGTGAGTGGATGTCTGAAGAAAAAAAAACATATACTCTTGAGTGGAGAGTGAATACAGGAATATGAATAAATTTCTCAAGCAAAGAAGGAGATTAAATAATATTTAATCCTACTACAATACTAGACTATATTCAAAGAAATTAGTCTAATCAGAATTCAAATCAAAAATGTAGTTTTAACATTCAGATCGTCGAGAGTACCGTTCTTTCAGCAAAACTGATATTTTCACAATAGAAATCCAATTTTAAAATGAAGATAAAATTGAGCAATTGAAATATTTTGCCATAATCTCTCATCTGGCTGTGAGTTAAATGCATAAAAGTGGTTCGTAAATTTAGAAATTACCGTAGGTTATACAATGATACAGTTCGTGCATAATGTAGGTAATTGCTGAATTACCGTAACCATAATTAAAAATGAAGGTAAAAATACCGGCTAACAGATTAATGTCTGAAATCAATAATCGCAAATAATGTTTTCTAACATACTGACATACATAGTAGGGTCATGAAGAATAATTAAATGCTAAACATGGAATAGAGTCATAGACTACAACTAACCCAACGCTGCAATGTACCACAAGACATTTCTGCATTTAGGTAGACTAGACACAGCTGTACAGCAGTACAGAGATGGGTTAAGTACGATACCTTGAAACCTCACGAAATCTATTACTGCAGTACGGTACTGCTGTACTGTATTACCAATACATGCATCATCTTTCAGTCTCTGTATTAACAATTGCTAGATTGCAGATTATTCTTGCCACATTCTATGACAAGAATTTTACGAATTTAATGCATATTTTCCGAAATTACTCCAGTACCGGTACCGTACTCTCCACTCTTGCACTCTGAACATCCATACCTGCAAATACTCTCATAAAAAACCCAAGGATGTGTCTTGAAAGTATCCATCAATATATAATCTCTTGGTTCTAATCTGTCTTTATACACAACATGATTTCCCTGAAAGTTGAGCCATTCAACAGAAACGTTCCTATCAGTTTTGTTAACAAATTTTGCAAAAGCAGGGTTTTGAGAATGTTGAGATCGTTGGCGTTGCTGCAACGGGAAATCGGACATAATGCATGAATTGACGACGAGGCACTTACAATAAAATATAAATACTGAAATATACCGATACATACAGTTTAGTTCAACTCAACCGTCAACTTAATTCAGAAAATTAAACGCTGGCGAAGACAGGAGTATGAAAAATGTATTCGCAGCCATTCCAGAAATAGAAAGGACTAAAACCTATGGACCTTTCCCCGAGCATCGACTTCCTTGTTTACTTCGTGACATTGCCAATCATCAAATTGCAAAAAGTGACGTAACAATGTTCCCTTTTCGCATCCGCTCAGACACTTTTCACTCAGACAGATTTTCAAGCGTGGTCGTAAACATTACCTCGTTTTCGCATTTTTGAACTCTATTCGTTAGTTTTCAGTTGTGTTTTGGAAACTTAAATGTAAATCAGATAATTCAATGGTCACCCTGTCTTCCTATGAGTTTTAATTTAATTGCAGTAATAAAAATTAGTGTAGAAATAGATGTGATAGACTAGGCTAAAATTCTTTAACGGTACTTTTAAAAAACAGATTGTTGTATGCGATGAATCATAATGATGGTTTGAAACATATACCCCATTTCACAGTCGCCAACTCGCAAAAGCACCCTTAAAATAGCCCCGAAAATTTTGCAATGGTAAAGTATAGGATGAATTTTTCGGGGGTCAAAGGTCGGGGAAAGGTCCATAGGCCTACTTGGACGTAGAACTGTAGAATGTGGTTAAAACAGGGAAGTCTTTCAAGTTAAAACATGGTTCCAAAAATGGTAAAGGTTTCTCGAATCACTAAATTGCTGGCTTGGCCCACACATTTATATGCAGGTTTTAAGTTGAAGCTGAAGGCGCCGGCTATGAGAATTGCGAGATTTTCAAATATACAAAATATGATAACCGATATCCATTTACTTATAAATATCAGTTATTTTTTTCCGATGCGTGATAATGGACTTTGTTCGGCTAAAATTTGTGACCTCCGCCAGAGTCACTTTCAAAAAGTTCGTTCGTAGTTCCACCAGATTCGTCATGTCTTATTCAAGCGCTGCACAATACAATTTATTTACGCATTAGGATTGCTGTGGACATGGAGAAAACGGGAATAAAACTACGCTTCGTAACTACAGTGTACCACTCATACTGCGCATTGGTCAAATCTCGCGTTTATAACTATAATTCGACGACTCCATATTTGTTCACAGAAAATAACAAACTCGGGCACTATTCTGCAAGCCCTTCTCACGTACTAAAAATTATAAAGTCAATTACTGTACAGTCCGGCATCATTCTCACGCCGAGCTTAACCCATTATTAAAACATGCCTAGGTTTAAATTACCAGTAGCACTATATCATTTGAAAAGTTTGCCTTAAATATCACTGATTTTTAGATAATCTTAAGACCTCCAATTTAACGTTGGGAAAGGAGAAATAGAGTAACATACTTGAACCATAACATAATCAAAGAATTATGATTGCTACTTTATAACCATACGCCTATCAAAATGCAACAATGTTTGTTGGCATTTTTTAAATTCGCATCCACATGAAGTATACCATAAAAGACACATGATATCGGGGGCCAAGGGATCGTCCGAGTAATTACTTAACTCTTCTTCGACCGTTTTCTAATTTGATCACAGTTAATTAATAATGTGATATCGCTAATCAGTTTGAGCGGGAATGTGCGCTTCGCTTTTCTCAACCATTCACTGGAGTTAGTGATGACGAACGGTTTGTCTGTTCTGTAGGAGCTATTCAACGTACCGTAGTCTTTAGTTTTTTTTGGCGCAACATTACAACATTAAGGTAAGCAGATGTTTTTCGATAAAAAATAGATATATATACTAAGTCGCTGGTACACTTCTGCTACTTTTGGTATTATGTTTTATAAATAACGAATTATAAAACTTGAGGGGTTCCGGCAAATCAAGATTTTAAGTGTCGATAATCGCGAGATAAACAACATAATCAAAAAGGTTGAAGCAAGGAACTTCCGAGATAAAAGAACAATCTTTTATGAAATCCAATTTAAACCTAAACCAAAGTTTGATTCCCCGGTGAGACAATTTTTTTTTAGATATTTAGATGGGCATACAAAGTTGTACGGACTAATCAAGTGGGACTTGGTTACCCGAATAAGTTCGACTTTTTTCATTTTGCACAATGTTTCTTGTTTTATACACATTTGTAATTTGGTAATCTGTTGCATTCATAATGTGGGTCGATAGCAGTATATAAGTTCCATTCCCATACGCTCAATTGCAACCAATGTTTTAAAATGTCTTTTCGTTGTTCCTGTTTCTACTATGAATATCACGTTAGCAACACCCGTTTCATATAGCGTCCAATTATTAGAGTAAATTAGTGTAAATTTCATTGTACAAAATTGAAGGTCTATGCGAATCCTTTTATATAAAACGTATTACATATATATTTTAATAAATAAAAATTGTGTGAATATATTTATTTATCAAGTATTTATATTTACCGGTAGATATACTGCATGGTTTGACAATTGTGTGGATCATTGTTGTACAAAGAAATATCGACTATAGACTGGGGAATTTACGTTTGCAAACATGCGACGATAGTCGTTACACAGGGGTAAATATTACACGCTTATGTTATATAATAGAGATTCTACAGCAGGGGTGTCAAACTCGTGGGTTTTCGAGGGCCGCATTGCATTTTGGGAATTGTGCAAAGGGCCGCATACAGATTTGATATATTTTGATAATGTATACTTGAAGCATATTTTGAATAGGTGTAGTTTGTGACATATACTGTGATGCAATTAAACAGTCAAATGAAGTTTTGTTATTTTCTTAAATTTTAAATACCATTTACATATTAATTTTTGCATTTCACTATTATTGCAATTTACTGTATTTATTACAAAAAACCATAAATTTTTATGTATAACTATCCAAAACATTTTTGAACAAAGTTTTGATAAGGAAAGAATAATACATACACTAAAAATGACTTAATCTAAATATATAGATCTAAAATTTACAATATTGCTACAGAATGAACTCAATGTTTTTTTATTGAACATGTCCTGACTTTTGACATCTCTTTTGTGCCACCAGCTTACTAATATCAGGCTGAAATGATTTTACAGTACCAACTCTGATTAACGAGGTCACATGATCATCGGTTAATCTGGATCGTTGAGAATATTTGATTAATTTCATTAATGGAAAAATATTACGTTCATCATTCCATGTATAGATCAGTAAACAAACAAATTTTAGAACCAAACTTTTCCCGCCACTACCTTTACGTGGCATAGGACCGGTTGAGTTATGATTGATATTGATATTTAGTAACTAGGTATGATATAATCATAATAGTATACAAACACATAAATATTTTCTGTTCGTAGTTGATCTTTAAAATTGTCATATTGACTGCTGAGCTTATTCTGATAATGTCTACTCATATTGTATTCTTTCATTTTACTGATAGAAATGTGAAAAATTGATCAATGCGCTTTAGAATTTTGAGAAATGCAGAAATATTGCAACTCCCCTTTTATTTAAAATTGCCACTTTTTTCATGTACTTTGTGTTTCATTTAATTCCCGTAGTGTTTTTTTTTACAAGTATTCTTTTGCTAGCTTGAGGTGTATCCATACATAATTGTGTCAAATTGAAAACAAAAAAATTCAATTTTCCAATGTTATAATTGTCGTTTTCTGTGTGAATAAGCAGTTTCACTTTAGGGTTTGAAAAATGTATTACATTTAGGTAAACAAAATATATATTACATTTATTGTTAGGCGTTCGAGGGCCGCATTGGAAGTTCTCTGGGGCCGCAAGTTTGACATCCCTGATCTACAGTTTATCTGGCCATTGAAATTGCATATAATCTCTGGTCGGAGCCTTAGAGATAACCCGCCAAAACACTTTGAACTAGCAATATTTTCCTTGTAAAAAACTTTTTATTTTATTTTAAATAGACTCCATAAATCGAATATAATTTAAGTTTATGTTCACCACCAATCAATAAACGATAATATCGATCGGAGACCGAAGACTTATCGATCGAAACTGCGGTTTCGATTCATGGCTCTATAGTGACACCGCGTGTCTCATCACTAATTAATTAATAATTCGCTAATTATACGACATAATTTATAAAATGTTTTTCTACTTTAATTTCAAATTTGAAAAAGCGGGCCGAGATGATTCTTCAATGGCTTGTTGTGAAAACATTCTTGACGTGTTTATTTTTCAAGAATTCAATACATATAAGTAATAATTTTATCAATGCATTGCAACAGTACATTGAATTTGCTTACCCAATTGACTGGATCACTGAGACTATAGTAGGCTTTAAAATATTGTTATACTATTTTCAAAATTAATAACAGCAGGTGTTATTGATTTTATCCTTTCTATTACAGATTTTTTTTCATTTCCAAGTAAATGAAAACTAAGTCTAACTAAAAGCTTGTTATCGGTCGTGCACGTTGGTTGTGTCAATTTACAATAGAAAATCTATCAGGATAGTGTATTGTTTTTTGTATATTTTGTTTCAATGACACAGCTCATTTTACTACATTTACGAATTTTCAGAATAAACAAATAAATGAAATTGAAACTAATCATATTTTTCTAGAAACAAGACAAATTTAAAAAAGAGAACAAAGCAACAAAGTAAGCGACTATAAGGAACAGTTGTTCTACTAGGCCGATTTGCATGGTAATTATTAATTGAATTATTATATTATTGATCAGTTAAGTTGAGTAAAAAAGTAGACTTTGGTCAAATTTCACTTTAAAAATTTTCGAGTTCAACTTTCACTGAACTATTGCGTCTAGAAATAGATTCCCCAATTCAATCTCATTCTGAATAATAATAATACATCTGAACACCTCAGAGATTAAATTAATGATAAATTGAAAAACGAACGTTGCGACTGTGCAAAACAATCCAAATGAATTCATCTGATAAATGCCGATACAGCTGAAACATAAAACAAACTAACCTTCCATATCTTACAGTTCACTTTCCTTCCTCCATCTTACAGACAGGGTCGGCTATAGACAATACTGCGTGCGATGGATGAAGATCCTGTGACAGCACCTAACCGATTTGGAATAAGTTAGCTGGATGCCAGTAATAATAATATTATGCAGCTTTCAAGTTTTTTTTTTATTAATTCCGCTGATTTATGCTTCACACAACTGAGCCTATAAGGAGGTTTAATAGGAGTTTATGTGTGCGTTTACCATGTGAAACTGCACTGCATTTTTGATATTTCCTATTTATTCATTTATTGTGTTGTTTTATCCGTTTATTTATTTATTTTTTTTTTGTTCCGTGTTAGTAGCCAGCCAGAGATACAGCGGGAAAAGTCGTTGTGCAGATATTTAGAGCAGCATTAGATTGAAGATAAAGACCAAGAGTTGTTATTGCACGGTATCATTGTAAGATACAGACGGCAAGGCGCCAATATTATTGAAACGAGTCCTATTATGGTACCAGTAATTATTAATGTACATAAGTAACCCGGATACTCCGACCCAGACTCTATCTGATGGCTTTGAGAATCTCAGAATTCATCTCTAATGCGAAATTTTAGTTTTGAACTTTTCACTCAAAATTCTATTGGGTCTCCTTTTCAACTCCCAAATATCAAAAATTTTCAACTCTGGGGAAACTCTAATAATTACATATGAGTAGTTTATATACATTCCGAACTAAGGAAATGGGCGCTGTTCATAAATTAGTGTCTTAGATAGTCTATTCACAAGTCTGATATCAAATAGGCCTGTACAAGCACTTATTGAACTTGAACTGTTTGTGTGAACTCATTCTCTAGGTACCACAAAAAAAGTTTTCAGCAGCAATTCACATAGCTACTCCAAACCAGGTGTAATAATATAATGGGTATATATCTGCTAATTTATTAAGCTGTTTGATCTCATCTAGAATGTTTTGAAGTATAAGTTAATTTCAAAGGACAGTTCTTTGATTGAGCTCTTGTGTCCTTCGATGAAGTGAGGACGGACGCTAAATGTCCTTTATTTCTAGCATCTATTCTGCGATAAAAGCTGCAAAATATTTAAAAGTATATATATATATACATATTAAAAATAATAACTGTACAATATACATAACAAAATAATCTTGTAGGTCCGGGATGGCGACTCCGAAACTGGCCAACTTCAGTTGAAATGTTGCCAGTGACGACGAGCTAAGATGACGTGTCGAAGCTAATTTGTTGATGAACTGATGAATTAGGTCATTTTACACATGGTGGTGTAATGAATGTCTCAGACAAATTGCAAGACGCAAGTAGACTGTCATTGCTTTTCTGGGATAAATTTCTTAGTACCAATGGCTTTTTAAAACGTCGCAAAGTGCCTGGAAATATTAACAATTTTTTGCCTGCTTTATCCGGATCCGGACGGTTTGTCTGTTCTGTAGGAGCTATTCAACGTACCGTAGTCTTTAGTTTTTTTTGGCGCAACATTACAACATTAAGGTAAGCAGATGTTTTTCGATAAAAAATAGATATATATACTAAGTCGCTGGTACACTTCTGCTACTTTTGGTATTATGTTTTATAAATAACGAATTATAAAACTTGAGGGGTTCCGGCAAATCAAGATTTTAAGTGTCGATAATCGCGAGATAAACAACATAATCAAAAAGGTTGAAGCAAGGAACTTCCGAGATAAAAGAACAATCTTTTATGAAATCCAATTTAAACCTAAACCAAAGTTTGATTCCCCGGTGAGACAATTTTTTTTTAGATATTTAGATGGGCATACAAAGTTGTACGGACTAATCAAGTGGGACTTGGTTACCCGAATAAGTTCGACTTTTTTCATTTTGCACAATGTTTCTTGTTTTATACACATTTGTAATTTGGTAATCTGTTGCATTCATAATGTGGGTCGATAGCAGTATATAAGTTCCATTCCCATACGCTCAATTGCAACCAATGTTTTAAAATGTCTTTTCGTTGTTCCTGTTTCTACTATGAATATCACGTTAGCAACACCCGTTTCATATAGCGTCCAATTATTAGAGTAAATTAGTGTAAATTTCATTGTACAAAATTGAAGGTCTATGCGAATCCTTTTATATAAAACGTATTACATATATATTTTAATAAATAAAAATTGTGTGAATATATTTATTTATCAAGTATTTATATTTACCGGTAGATATACTGCATGGTTTGACAATTGTGTGGATCATTGTTGTACAAAGAAATATCGACTATAGACTGGGGAATTTACGTTTGCAAACATGCGACGATAGTCGTTACACAGGGGTAAATATTACACGCTTATGTTATATAATAGAGATTCTACAGCAGGGGTGTCAAACTCGTGGGTTTTCGAGGGCCGCATTGCATTTTGGGAATTGTGCAAAGGGCCGCATACAGATTTGATATATTTTGATAATGTATACTTGAAGCATATTTTGAATAGGTGTAGTTTGTGACATATACTGTGATGCAATTAAACAGTCAAATGAAGTTTTGTTATTTTCTTAAATTTTAAATACCATTTACATATTAATTTTTGCATTTCACTATTATTGCAATTTACTGTATTTATTACAAAAAACCATAAATTTTTATGTATAACTATCCAAAACATTTTTGAACAAAGTTTTGATAAGGAAAGAATAATACATACACTAAAAATGACTTAATCTAAATATATAGATCTAAAATTTACAATATTGCTACAGAATGAACTCAATGTTTTTTTATTGAACATGTCCTGACTTTTGACATCTCTTTTGTGCCACCAGCTTACTAATATCAGGCTGAAATGATTTTACAGTACCAACTCTGATTAACGAGGTCACATGATCATCGGTTAATCTGGATCGTTGAGAATATTTGATTAATTTCATTAATGGAAAAATATTACGTTCATCATTCCATGTATAGATCAGTAAACAAACAAATTTTAGAACCAAACTTTTCCCGCCACTACCTTTACGTGGCATAGGACCGGTTGAGTTATGATTGATATTGATATTTAGTAACTAGGTATGATATAATCATAATAGTATACAAACACATAAATATTTTCTGTTCGTAGTTGATCTTTAAAATTGTCATATTGACTGCTGAGCTTATTCTGATAATGTCTACTCATATTGTATTCTTTCATTTTACTGATAGAAATGTGAAAAATTGATCAATGCGCTTTAGAATTTTGAGAAATGCAGAAATATTGCAACTCCCCTTTTATTTAAAATTGCCACTTTTTTCATGTACTTTGTGTTTCATTTAATTCCCGTAGTGTTTTTTTTTACAAGTATTCTTTTGCTAGCTTGAGGTGTATCCATACATAATTGTGTCAAATTGAAAACAAAAAAATTCAATTTTCCAATGTTATAATTGTCGTTTTCTGTGTGAATAAGCAGTTTCACTTTAGGGTTTGAAAAATGTATTACATTTAGGTAAACAAAATATATATTACATTTATTGTTAGGCGTTCGAGGGCCGCATTGGAAGTTCTCTGGGGCCGCAAGTTTGACATCCCTGATCTACAGTTTATCTGGCCATTGAAATTGCATATAATCTCTGGTCGGAGCCTTAGAGATAACCCGCCAAAACACTTTGAACTAGCAATATTTTCCTTGTAAAAAACTTTTTATTTTATTTTAAATAGACTCCATAAATCGAATATAATTTAAGTTTATGTTCACCACCAATCAATAAACGATAATATCGATCGGAGACCGAAGACTTATCGATCGAAACTGCGGTTTCGATTCATGGCTCTATAGTGACACCGCGTGTCTCATCACTAATTAATTAATAATTCGCTAATTATACGACATAATTTATAAAATGTTTTTCTACTTTAATTTCAAATTTGAAAAAGCGGGCCGAGATGATTCTTCAATGGCTTGTTGTGAAAACATTCTTGACGTGTTTATTTTTCAAGAATTCAATACATATAAGTAATAATTTTATCAATGCATTGCAACAGTACATTGAATTTGCTTACCCAATTGACTGGATCACTGAGACTATAGTAGGCTTTAAAATATTGTTATACTATTTTCAAAATTAATAACAGCAGGTGTTATTGATTTTATCCTTTCTATTACAGATTTTTTTTCATTTCCAAGTAAATGAAAACTAAGTCTAACTAAAAGCTTGTTATCGGTCGTGCACGTTGGTTGTGTCAATTTACAATAGAAAATCTATCAGGATAGTGTATTGTTTTTTGTATATTTTGTTTCAATGACACAGCTCATTTTACTACATTTACGAATTTTCAGAATAAACAAATAAATGAAATTGAAACTAATCATATTTTTCTAGAAACAAGACAAATTTAAAAAAGAGAACAAAGCAACAAAGTAAGCGACTATAAGGAACAGTTGTTCTACTAGGCCGATTTGCATGGTAATTATTAATTGAATTATTATATTATTGATCAGTTAAGTTGAGTAAAAAAGTAGACTTTGGTCAAATTTCACTTTAAAAATTTTCGAGTTCAACTTTCACTGAACTATTGCGTCTAGAAATAGATTCCCCAATTCAATCTCATTCTGAATAATAATAATACATCTGAACACCTCAGAGATTAAATTAATGATAAATTGAAAAACGAACGTTGCGACTGTGCAAAACAATCCAAATGAATTCATCTGATAAATGCCGATACAGCTGAAACATAAAACAAACTAACCTTCCATATCTTACAGTTCACTTTCCTTCCTCCATCTTACAGACAGGGTCGGCTATAGACAATACTGCGTGCGATGGATGAAGATCCTGTGACAGCACCTAACCGATTTGGAATAAGTTAGCTGGATGCCAGTAATAATAATATTATGCAGCTTTCAAGTTTTTTTTTTATTAATTCCGCTGATTTATGCTTCACACAACTGAGCCTATAAGGAGGTTTAATAGGAGTTTATGTGTGCGTTTACCATGTGAAACTGCACTGCATTTTTGATATTTCCTATTTATTCATTTATTGTGTTGTTTTATCCGTTTATTTATTTATTTTTTTTTGTTCCGTGTTAGTAGCCAGCCAGAGATACAGCGGGAAAAGTCGTTGTGCAGATATTTAGAGCAGCATTAGATTGAAGATAAAGACCAAGAGTTGTTATTGCACGGTATCATTGTAAGATACAGACGGCAAGGCGCCAATATTATTGAAACGAGTCCTATTATGGTACCAGTAATTATTAATGTACATAAGTAACCCGGATACTCCGACCCAGACTCTATCTGATGGCTTTGAGAATCTCAGAATTCATCTCTAATGCGAAATTTTAGTTTTGAACTTTTCACTCAAAATTCTATTGGGTCTCCTTTTCAACTCCCAAATATCAAAATTTTCAACTCTGGGGAAACTCTAATAATTACATATGAGTAGTTTATATACATTCCGAACTAAGGAAATGGGCGCTGTTCATAAATTAGTGTCTTAGATAGTCTATTCACAAGTCTGATATCAAATAGGCCTGTACAAGCACTTATTGAACTTGAACTGTTTGTGTGAACTCATTCTCTAGGTACCACAAAAAAAGTTTTCAGCAGCAATTCACATAGCTACTCCAAACCAGGTGTAATAATATAATGGGTATATATCTGCTAATTTATTAAGCTGTTTGATCTCATCTAGAATGTTTTGAAGTATAAGTTAATTTCAAAGGACAGTTCTTTGATTGAGCTCTTGTGTCCTTCGATGAAGTGAGGACGGACGCTAAATGTCCTTTATTTCTAGCATCTATTCTGCGATAAAAGCTGCAAAATATTTAAAAGTATATATATATATACATATTAAAAATAATAACTGTACAATATACATAACAAAATAATCTTGTAGGTCCGGGATGGCGACTCCGAAACTGGCCAACTTCAGTTGAAATGTTGCCAGTGACGACGAGCTAAGATGACGTGTCGAAGCTAATTTGTTGATGAACTGATGAATTAGGTCATTTTACACATGGTGGTGTAATGAATGTCTCAGACAAATTGCAAGACGCAAGTAGACTGTCATTGCTTTTCTGGGATAAATTTCTTAGTACCAATGGCTTTTTAAAACGTCGCAAAGTGCCTGGAAATATTAACAATTTTTTGCCTGCTTTATCCGGATCCGGACGGTTTGTCTGTTCTGTAGGAGCTATTCAACGTACCGTAGTCTTTAGTTTTTTTTGGCGCAACATTACAACATTAAGGTAAGCAGATGTTTTTCGATAAAAAATAGATATATATACTAAGTCGCTGGTACACTTCTGCTACTTTTGGTATTATGTTTTATAAATAACGAATTATAAAACTTGAGGGGTTCCGGCAAATCAAGATTTTAAGTGTCGATAATCGCGAGATAAACAACATAATCAAAAAGGTTGAAGCAAGGAACTTCCGAGATAAAAGAACAATCTTTTATGAAATCCAATTTAAACCTAAACCAAAGTTTGATTCCCCGGTGAGACAATTTTTTTTTAGATATTTAGATGGGCATACAAAGTTGTACGGACTAATCAAGTGGGACTTGGTTACCCGAATAAGTTCGACTTTTTTCATTTTGCACAATGTTTCTTGTTTTATACACATTTGTAATTTGGTAATCTGTTGCATTCATAATGTGGGTCGATAGCAGTATATAAGTTCCATTCCCATTACGCTCAATTGCAACCAATGTTTTAAAATGTCTTTTCGTTGTTCCTGTTTCTACTATGAATATCACGTTAGCAACACCCGTTTCATATAGCGTCCAATTATTAGAGTAAATTAGTGTAAATTTCATTGTACAAAATTGAAGGTCTATGCGAATCCTTTTATATAAAACGTATTACATATATATTTTAATAAATAAAAATTGTGTGAATATATTTATTTATCAAGTATTTATATTTACCGGTAGATATACTGCATGGTTTGACAATTGTGTGGATCATTGTTGTACAAAGAAATATCGACTATAGACTGGGGAATTTACGTTTGCAAACATGCGACGATAGTCGTTACACAGGGGTAAATATTACACGCTTATGTTATATAATAGAGATTCTACAGCAGGGGTGTCAAACTCGTGGGTTTTCGAGGGCCGCATTGCATTTTGGGAATTGTGCAAAGGGCCGCATACAGATTTGATATATTTTGATAATGTATACTTGAAGCATATTTTGAATAGGTGTAGTTTGTGACATATACTGTGATGCAATTAAACAGTCAAATGAAGTTTTGTTATTTTCTTAAATTTTAAATACCATTTACATATTAATTTTTGCATTTCACTATTATTGCAATTTACTGTATTTATTACAAAAAACCATAAATTTTTATGTATAACTATCCAAAACATTTTTGAACAAAGTTTTGATAAGGAAAGAATAATACATACACTAAAAATGACTTAATCTAAATATATAGATCTAAAATTTACAATATTGCTACAGAATGAACTCAATGTTTTTTTATTGAACATGTCCTGACTTTTGACATCTCTTTTGTGCCACCAGCTTACTAATATCAGGCTGAAATGATTTTACAGTACCAACTCTGATTAACGAGGTCACATGATCATCGGTTAATCTGGATCGTTGAGAATATTTGATTAATTTCATTAATGGAAAAATATTACGTTCATCATTCCATGTATAGATCAGTAAACAAACAAATTTTAGAACCAAACTTTTCCCGCCACTACCTTTACGTGGCATAGGACCGGTTGAGTTATGATTGATATTGATATTTAGTAACTAGGTATGATATAATCATAATAGTATACAAACACATAAATATTTTCTGTTCGTAGTTGATCTTTAAAATTGTCATATTGACTGCTGAGCTTATTCTGATAATGTCTACTCATATTGTATTCTTTCATTTTACTGATAGAAATGTGAAAAATTGATCAATGCGCTTTAGAATTTTGAGAAATGCAGAAATATTGCAACTCCCCTTTTATTTAAAATTGCCACTTTTTTCATGTACTTTGTGTTTCATTTAATTCCCGTAGTGTTTTTTTTTACAAGTATTCTTTTGCTAGCTTGAGGTGTATCCATACATAATTGTGTCAAATTGAAAACAAAAAAATTCAATTTTCCAATGTTATAATTGTCGTTTTCTGTGTGAATAAGCAGTTTCACTTTAGGGTTTGAAAAATGTATTACATTTAGGTAAACAAAATATATATTACATTTATTGTTAGGCGTTCGAGGGCCGCATTGGAAGTTCTCTGGGGGCCCGGCAAGTTTGACATCCCTGATCTACAGTTTATCTGGCCATTGAAATTGCATATAATCTCTGGTCGGAGCCTTAGAGATAACCCGCCAAAACACTTTGAACTAGCAATATTTTCCTTGTAAAAAACTTTTTATTTTATTTTAAATAGACTCCATAAATCGAATATAATTTAAGTTTATGTTCACCACCAATCAATAAACGATAATATCGATCGGAGACCGAAGACTTATCGATCGAAACTGCGGTTTCGATTCATGGCTCTATAGTGACACCGCGTGTCTCATCACTAATTAATTAATAATTCGCTAATTATACGACATAATTTATAAAATGTTTTTCTACTTTAATTTCAAATTTGAAAAAGCGGGCCGAGATGATTCTTCAATGGCTTGTTGTGAAAACATTCTTGACGTGTTTATTTTTCAAGAATTCAATACATATAAGTAATAATTTTATCAATGCATTGCAACAGTACATTGAATTTGCTTACCCAATTGACTGGATCACTGAGACTATAGTAGGCTTTAAAATATTGTTATACTATTTTCAAAATTAATAACAGCAGGTGTTATTGATTTTATCCTTTCTATTACAGATTTTTTTTCATTTCCAAGTAAATGAAAACTAAGTCTAACTAAAAGCTTGTTATCGGTCGTGCACGTTGGTTGTGTCAATTTACAATAGAAAATCTATCAGGATAGTGTATTGTTTTTTGTATATTTTGTTTCAATGACACAGCTCATTTTACTACATTTACGAATTTTCAGAATAAACAAATAAATGAAATTGAAACTAATCATATTTTTCTAGAAACAAGACAAATTTAAAAAAGAGAACAAAGCAACAAAGTAAGCGACTATAAGGAACAGTTGTTCTACTAGGCCGATTTGCATGGTAATTATTAATTGAATTATTATATTATTGATCAGTTAAGTTGAGTAAAAAAGTAGACTTTGGTCAAATTTCACTTTAAAAATTTTCGAGTTCAACTTTCACTGAACTATTGCGTCTAGAAATAGATTCCCCAATTCAATCTCATTCTGAATAATAATAATACATCTGAACACCTCAGAGATTAAATTAATGATAAATTGAAAAACGAACGTTGCGACTGTGCAAAACAATCCAAATGAATTCATCTGATAAATGCCGATACAGCTGAAACATAAAACAAACTAACCTTCCATATCTTACAGTTCACTTTCCTTCCTCCATCTTACAGACAGGGTCGGCTATAGACAATACTGCGTGCGATGGATGAAGATCCTGTGACAGCACCTAACCGATTTGGAATAAGTTAGCTGGATGCCAGTAATAATAATATTATGCAGCTTTCAAGTTTTTTTTTATTAATTCCGCTGATTTATGCTTCACACAACTGAGCCTATAAGGAGGTTTAATAGGAGTTTATGTGTGCGTTTACCATGTGAAACTGCACTGCATTTTTGATATTTCCTATTTATTCATTTATTGTGTTGTTTTATCCGTTTATTTATTTATTTTTTTTTTTGGTTCCGTGTTAGTAGCCAGCCAGAGATACAGCGGGAAAAGTCGTTGTGCAGATATTTAGAGCAGCATTAGATTGAAGATAAAGACCAAGAGTTGTTATTGCACGGTATCATTGTAAGATACAGACGGCAAGGCGCCAATATTATTGAAACGAGTCCTATTATGGTACCAGTAATTATTAATGTACATAAGTAACCCGGATACTCCGACCCAGACTCTATCTGATGGCTTTGAGAATCTCAGAATTCATCTCTAATGCGAAATTTTAGTTTTGAACTTTTCACTCAAAATTCTATTGGGTCTCCTTTTCAACTCCCAAATATCAAAAATTTTCAACTCTGGGGAAACTCTAATAATTACATATGAGTAGTTTATATACATTCCGAACTAAGGAAATGGGCGCTGTTCATAAATTAGTGTCTTAGATAGTCTATTCACAAGTCTGATATCAAATAGGCCTGTACAAGCACTTATTGAACTTGAACTGTTTGTGTGAACTCATTCTCTAGGTACCACAAAAAAAGTTTTCAGCAGCAATTCACATAGCTACTCCAAACCAGGTGTAATAATATAATGGGTATATATCTGCTAATTTATTAAGCTGTTTGATCTCATCTAGAATGTTTTGAAGTATAAGTTAATTTCAAAGGACAGTTCTTTGATTGAGCTCTTGTGTCCTTCGATGAAGTGAGGACGGACGCTAAATGTCCTTTATTTCTAGCATCTATTCTGCGATAAAAGCTGCAAAATATTTAAAAGTATATATATATATACATATTAAAAATAATAACTGTACAATATACATAACAAAATAATCTTGTAGGTCCGGGATGGCGACTCCGAAACTGGCCAACTTCAGTTGAAATGTTGCCAGTGACGACGAGCTAAGATGACGTGTCGAAGCTAATTTGTTGATGAACTGATGAATTAGGTCATTTTACACATGGTGGTGTAATGAATGTCTCAGACAAATTGCAAGACGCAAGTAGACTGTCATTGCTTTTCTGGGATAAATTTCTTAGTACCAATGGCTTTTTAAAACGTCGCAAAGTGCCTGGAAATATTAACAATTTTTTGCCTGCTTTATCCGGATATTTTTTTGTTGAATGCTGAGGAGTTCTCGACGGTTTCGTCGCCCATTAGAAAAAGTTTTATTACCAACAAAATTATTTGCGAAAGTTTTCCATTCTGTATATAATTTAAGAATGTTGAATATTTCAGAATGTGAAATGCCAATCTAATATTGTAAAATGATCATGCATTGAACAGCTTTGGGCTCGGCAGATTTGTCACTTTACCCTGTTTTTTGTTCGAGTTGATGGCAGCGGCATATGTAGGAGGAAGTTAATCTCGAGGGACCTCTATAAAGGTTTTGAAGAGACGCTGACACGGTAAAGGGTAAAAATATGTAACAATTATCTGATTTGTTCCGTTCATTCCATTTATCTTGACTAAGGAAGGATATACAACTATGTGCTTTCGACATTAGTAACCTAACTTACGATAAACCGAATTTAAACAAACAGGTTGAAAAATTAGTTGTGGGACAATAGCAGGATATTCCGAGGAAATTTCAATACTCTGAAAAGCGCCAATCGTTAAATGTTTACGTAGAATTTCGCAATATATTAAAGTTATATATTGTTAAAAAGCGTCAGTCATTAAATGTTTGAGTAGCATTCCGCTGTATGTAAATTTACACACTTTTAAAAAGCGCCAGTCGTCGTGATTAAGTAGCATTTCGCCGTAACCTTTAGTACTGCCAAAACGCGTCAGTCTTTCAATGTTTAAGTAGCATTCTGCCGTAACTTCAGTATTTAACGCGACTGTGGCTAACAGTTACAAACAACTTTGACCGCTAACTGTCACAACAGGTTTGATACAGTCAGATTCAGGTACACGAGTGTTTCATGTCATACGCGTTTATTACGTGAAACAGTTTACTGTGAATACAAGATAGCAATGCTCAAATATATGGGCACGAAATATACAAAACGAAATATTTTATCAACAATTCACCAAAAATTGTACGATATCCTGAACGGGGCTGGAACTGTGGAAAAGCTACGGGTACGGTAACTTATTATCATCTGGTAACGGTACCCCGGACTATCCCAGATTTTCCAGGTCCTTTCACGATGATTCATGCTTCCAACGTGATTTGAAATGCAAAATGATCCGAGTCACTACTGTAACATTAGATCCGGTGCCGTAGTCTACCTTTCCCCATACAAAATCCGTCTTCCGAAATCCGGCGACGTTTCATTAGCACGGGATCCTCTGGCGCCACGGACCTCTACAATTAATTTATATTTAATTTTGTCGACATCATCACACAAAACGTCAGATGGAAAAACCAACCCCACAGAGCTCACATAAAGTTTTTAAATGAAAATATATAAATATAATAGCCTTCTAGTGACTACAGCAATCTTTAATTGCTGAAAATGTCAAAGCAGTTAGTCCAGTAAACAAAGAGAGAAGATATTGTTCCATAACAACAACAAGAAAAATACCAACAAGAACAACAACAACATATTAATAATAACAAGGGAGCGATGCTCGAATATATGAACACGAAGACCAAAGCGAAGAGGATCTTACCGTTTACAGTACCGGTACCCCAAAGAACTTCCAGCTTTGGCGTGGCAAGATATTAGCACGACAAGGTCGAAGAACCGCTAAAAATAAGTTTGACAAGTTTATTACACAAAATTTTGAAGTGAAAATCAAATCACATAGACCACGTGTACCACTGTAACCTACGTGAAACTCAATTTTTATGTTGGAATTATAACAACGAGCTCAATTTCTTGTTCTTCCAGGATAACAAGATTAGTTTGAACGTGGAATCAACAAAAGAGTGACAAATTGCCCCACCAGTCGTCTGCTATATGTGCTCGGTTCGCCCTTTTCAGACTTTTTTTGTTATTGGCTTCTTCGTGGATTTTATTGTGATATGTAAAGGCGCCCGAAGGATTTTTCAGGTTAATGAGATTTTATTTGTTTACACAACTGTGTGTGTTTGCGCGTTCTACATCAGCGTCAATTATAAATAACTTCGCCGACTTTCAAATCCACTGTTTCGACGTCTGAAATTGCTATTTTAAAGTTAGTGTTTTTGTTGGGCTTGTGCTTTACGTATATATATAACTGTTTCTGAAACTGCGTCAAATGATGTAATGTTCCCGATTGTAAATAATTCTCACTGTTTTTTATATTTTATCGATACATGTTTTCTCATTTTAATGAGCTTTGAAAAGGCTTTGCTCGATTTTGAATCGCGTTCACTCTTTTGTGTGTTTACACTTTTTTTTGGCAAGTAGGCATGTACTTGTAGTTGTACGTTTTCAACTTTGTTATGAGTTACGCTCGCCTCTCAGGTATCTGTGCCTATTGTTTGTCTGCTTACCTTTTGTGTTGTTTTGATTTATATGCCAGAGAACCGAAATAAATAATTGATTGGTTGCTTTTTATATAATTGTCGTATAGTGAACGGTGATCGGAGAAAATTATAATCAAGCTAGCTCTAGTGCAAATAAAGTTGCAGTATGCCAGTTTTTCTTTAAAATTGTATACAAAAAATATTGAAATCTGCGAGCAGCGCAAGTATGGATTCAAGACAAGACGCCTCAATACAAGAAAATCTCGGAGAAACTGCCTGTACTACTAATAGAACTACTAATAGATATGCTAAAATGAAAGAAAATATTTCGATCGACGGAACGACATGCGGCATACAAATATCATCTGGTACAAAAAGGTATGGCGGGAAATTGAATTCACATTAAAGTTAATTTGTATTTCCAAACTTTGAACATAAAATATATATAATAAAAATTAATAATAATAATACAAAGGTTCCCTAATCTCATCAATTTATTTCGGAGCAGAACGTCGTGTTTTAATGACCCAAATAAGTAGTCGGTAGTTCACCATGCTGAAAAAGCACTCACAACATACAAATTACAATGAGTTTTATATGAAGATATTCCATTTCAGGGTGAAGGGAAACGCGGAAAATCAATACTGCTTATCGAGCAGCGGCACCCATTTTTATTTTTTTGTATGTGTATGCACTGATTTGTTTTGATAGTATATTACTTTTTTTTGATAAATTTAAAGAAATGCATATATTGGGATTCTCTTGAAGTTTGTTTGATTTTATTTAAACTATCATTTTACAGGATATCATTCGAAATTTTTTTTCTGTGAAGTCATCTTGCCTTACTTAATTCCGTTTCTAATTCTATTAAGATACATATTTACTGGCTTACAACGATTTGCTTCTCCACGATGGGCACTAGCATTCTTGTCGCTTGCATACCTCTTCTCAGATGGAGTGCTACTTGGAGTTTTCAACGTAACAATAACGACCATTGAGAAACAGTGAGTAGATATAGATGACTTACATGAAATCACAAAAACTACTGTATATATAAGACAGATTCCACTGATCTATTTTTCAAATTAACCACGGAATGTAGAATGTTCATTTATTTGCTAAAGATTAATTCAAGTTTTGTGCAAATAATACTATTAAGAATAAAAACAATATTAAAATGTTTTTTTTTAGTAAATTTCATTCCACATTTTTCTTGAGCCAAGATGAGCAGAGTGTTCAGATTATAAATATAACATGGCTAAATATAACACAAATGTCAATTTACCTGCGGGCATTCGCAAAGTCAAATATAGCGCTTATGTCATTTGGAAAACAGCAAAACTAAGCATATTTGTGCAGTAATCGAAGCAAAAATTTGTACACACCAAATATTATATTATGTAATTTCACAAGTTCTGATTTATAAAATAGTCATTGTTTGCATACGATAAAAATTATTAAAAACGAATTGTTCACAGATTTCATCTTCGAACAATGGAATCAGGAGTCATCGGTGGGATGATAGATCTCGGTGCATGTATTGCGCTTATCGCAGCTATATTCTACGGAGAAAAACTTTTTAAAACGCAGTGGATTGGGAGAGGAATTCTTATAAGTGGTCTGGGATGCATTATTTTCGTTATACCCCATTTTACCTCACCACGTTACACCTATGGCTATGGAGTCACCAATTACTGTGGAAATGTCACTGAAATGAACTGCAGTGCTTCACCTATCCGAAACTACAGGTTAACAAATATATGTTTTCATTGACGATAACATCCAAATATATATATTTGAGTGCTTAATTGTCACTTGATATGAAAAGATATATCACAGAAGATATATTACTTTTTACTCTTGACTTGTGTTAAAGAGCCCTAATATAGTCGTAAGGCCTCTCACTATTATAGTTTAACAGTTCGTTTTATTAAGATTTATATTCATGTTGGGAACATTTTGTTGTGGTATTGGTTCGGAATTCCTTCCTTCTATCGGTATAACATACCTGGATGAAAACGTTAAGCAAAGATATTCATCGATGTATAACGGTAAGCAATGAATGAGCTTTCAAATAATTCAATAATTTCATTGGTTTGGTTTCGAAACTAATTATAATTGACTAACACATTTTCATTCTTTTCTGTTAAATGCAAGTATTTATTGGCGCTTCACGTTTCAGGGATTTTTTACAGTTCATCAGCAGTTGGTACGTCCATAGGATATTTACTTGGCGGTGTGACTTTAGAACTGTACAATCAACCTTATCAGAGGTATTTTCCATAACTAAAAATCTTGGGCATAATTTCTCGAACTGTCATATTTTTTCGAATCGATATTGATTTATCTCACCTTGTTTTTTTTTTTAATTATATTTGGGAATATAACTGATTCAAGAGTCCTGCTTCATTCAGTTTTACAATCTCCATTCGTCCATTTGTTAATGTACATAGTATAGAGGAGATTATATACAACGACGACGAGATGTTTTATCCTCGTTTCGTTACTTATAGTCTAGATTGGGCATGTAAATATGTTTAACATTATTATTATTATTTAATTCCATGACATGGAGACAATGCTTTTCTTTATAATGTATTAGCTTTAATTGAATAGTTCTTTATACATTTCTTTCCTTCTGGCAAAAATGCAATCATGATAGGTTTTATTGAAATGCTTTTCATTGAATTTATTTTTTCCTAAATTCTTACTACATTCGGCATTAATTTAAAAAATAAAACAAGCAAACCTTAATTATGACACGCGAAATGAAGTATTCCACCAAAATCGGCATGGTTCACATTTTTGCCGAAATAGCCATATTCTATCAAAGACTCTACGATCACCTTTGAGTGACGCATACCATATACACACGAGAACCGACATTCACCTTTTATACTTCGCCCATTTAAATTATATGGTCTCACCACTCAAATGTGCTGTAGTTACGCCTAAATTTTGATTTCATCATTATGTACCTGAACTGTTATGTACCTGTTATGTACCTTGGTGTTGTGTTGTCTCTATTTATATATATTGTCTTGTCTTATAAACTCCACTGTAAAAAAAGTTTTGCATATCCACCCTTACCACCCTCACCACACCAATCAACCCATCGCCCCACCGTGCACAACTGGTTATATAAAGGACCATATTATACATATTTAATCTAACGTTTTTTGTTTTATATTTGTCAAAAGGGATGCATGCCACACATTTGTGTTTTAGTCCAGTAGGTCTTGTGCATACATCCCGTCTTAAATAATGATTGGCAATTTATTCATTTCTCACTATTACAAGACGAATAAACATACATACATAATTGTCCGTTTAACTGGCGTAGTTTTGCGCACCATTATAGGCTATGATATATCGCATTCTATGTTCAAATGCTTCTTCCCGCTTTAAGAACTATTCTACGCCAAATAAATATAATCTGAAATTTGTTAGCAAAGTGGTAATATTTACTGGGGTATATTCAGTTCTTTGCAATGATTAAATAAAAATGATATTGAGACTCCAAAGCGGGGACAATATATTATAAAATGTTCGGCGATCTCGTTCTCCATTCAATGGTCGAAAAGTCCGTTGTCGCGGCAGCTAATCGCAGATGATAGTTTTTTAATTGACAGTGGCCTGTTTGTAGTCTGATTAAAATTGTTTCATATCTTCGAGATATTTTGTATGGAATGTGATCTTTACCTGATGGGACGAATAATTTGAAATGTTGAGCCTTTTCTTGTGTGATATAAAATTATTCCATTCCATGTCGCACTAATTCACTTTTTCGAAAGTTTGATAACTAATGTGAAAACTATTTTCTCACCTTGTTGCATCTTTGGCTAATTTATTTGCTTTTTCGTTGCCAGTATTTCCAATATGTCCTGGGGTCCACACCAAAATCTCTTGTTCTTGTTACAGTGTATCGATTGACACCACGAGCTCTTTGTGGGTTGGAGCTTGGTGGATTGGATACTTGGTTGGAGGAATAGGAATCATTTTGTCATCTGTTCCGGTGATGTTACTTCCCAAAAAATTACCAAATACGAATGATTTAAGGAAAAAAAGAGAGCAAAGAAAGGATGACAGCGAAAGAAGTGACGGAGAAAAGCATATGGGAAAACAGTAAATAATTCGACTTAAGTATTGCCCAATTCTTGCTTACCACAGCACGGTAGTGCAACAAAAAATCGATGTAATGCTTATACGTCACACTGCCAGAAACAAGTTTATGTAAATTCTGCAAATATGAGTAATTTTCGATTTTATCCACTTATGTTCAGTGTAGATGTTCGGTGTGTTGAGTTTCCGACCGGCTAATTCCTTATAATACCCAATCTTGCTAAAACAGAGACTCGCTTATGTAACCCCTTGAACTTGGAGGTCAATATAATGGGATGTCTGGACTAAATTCCACATTGTCATAATTGCAAGGAATCCGATAAAGTTATCACTATTTGATTTTTAAGCAATTATGTCAAACCTCGTTTTAACTGAAATGACATTTTGTATAAAATGCTTGTACACTATCAATTAATTTTTCTGATCATAGTGCTCTCAAACTCAAAGCAATAAGAATTCATTTTCGGTTTTAACATGAATCAAATGCCCTTAAAATATTAAAACAGTTCAATTTATATACCAGTGTGCAATGAGTTAATGCAAATTTCTTTCACGCTTTTCTGATATATAGATTGGTGTGGTGATGTTTTACATTAAAAATGGCCTACTTATTTCTGCAGACTTTTGGATTTATTCAAAAATGGCGTATTTGTTTCGGTGATGTTGGTTGGTGTCATGCACAAAGCTCTAATCTTTGGTTTTGCAAATTATTCAATTAAACTGGGAGTTGAATTGCTTGGATTGGAAGAAACTAGAGCAGCTTATTATTTGGGTTTGCTATTCTTGCAATTACTTCTTGATTGGTGTAGTGCTATTAATATTTGATATTTAACAAAATAGTCGAAAAACATGAATGTACTTCCACTTCTTTTTTTTATTCAGGGGCTCTGGTTATAGTTGCATCAACGTTGGGTTATGTGATAAGTGGCGGAGTAATAACAAAATTTGACTTAAAATTGGAAGGAATATTAAAGTTTATGTTGGGAACTAGCATTGTTTCGTTTTTGTTTGTGTTTGGATTCATGCTGAAATGCCCTGAAAAAGGTAATTATTTCTTGCGCAAAATATCTCAGCCAAATAATTAACGCTTGAGAGAACTGCTAGGTCGAATTTGTATTAAGCCCTATTTTTATAAATTAATGTATGTATACCTTAGTATTTTTAATCGTTAGAAAAGCGAATCAATCACCTTAAGACTTCAAAATGACTAGATATTGAAGTAAATAAAAATAATGAAATGTAAAATATACCCATGGATATTACCATTATTTTTAATTCCTAATAGCCTTAAGGCTATTACATATCACACGAAATGGAGCGAACTATTTACCTGTTAGTTTTGCAATTCTTTTAATTATGTTGTGATGTAAGTGGGTATATACAAATAATACTCTATTACAAACAGCTTTTTATTTATTCGCTTAAAGCTATTTTAAAGCCTGTATGAAAAGCCGCAGATGCCTCCTAAGACCAAATTTGGAGTTAGTGTTTACGCAGCGGTTTCATATTATTTTTTATTTGTCAGATGTCTTTCTTGATATCCATTTTTTTGAATCTTTAGACTATAACTAGCCCTAAAGCTATTAAATGTTGCTAGGTACAAGATGATAATTAGATTAGCGCAGTGTGTATTTTGAGCATTCATGAGGATCTCGATTCCCGAATAGCAGCCAACCACCGCAAGAAGGTCCTATTGCATCCCCCTTAACGCCCGCTGTATACGGGTGGGTGACAATTTTGCGTTTTTGTTGCAATATCGTACAGTTGTGAGTTTTCTTTTTTCGTTCATTCAAATGTACTTTTTACAGATTTTGCTGGAGCAACAATAGCTGTCGATACCAGCAATGCAAGTAATTATATCAAATCCATTGAATCAAAGTGCAATACAAAATGCGGGTGCAGTACAGATAGATTTAATCCGGTTTGCGACGATCTAGGCGTGACTTATTTTTCCCCATGCTATGCAGGGTGCTTAACACAAATGAACGAAACGGTAATTAACAGAGTGTTTAATTTTTCCAACTAATTAATGAAATGATTTTTTTATTTTATAAAAGTTCATTCTTTTAGAATTCGTAAAATTTATCGCAAAATTATCAATTCTTTGCAGTTTTTCTCAGATTGTCAATGCCTTTCTGGAGGAAATATTACAAGCGTAGTTTCGTCTGAAAAATGTGCTCATGAAATTTGCCCAAACATGATTACAATGGCATTGATACTGTTCGTTAGTTATTTCAGCGGATTTCTTGCAATTACTCCCATTGTTCAAGCTACCTTGAGATGTGTCAGCTTCAATCAACGAACGATGGCACTCGGTGTTGAGGTGAGCTTTATTCTAAGCCAGGAGTCGGCAAACTGTGGCCCGCGAACTATTTTTTTGCGGCCCGCGAACGACCGTACCTCATTGCATAAAACTTCTATGTCATTTACGTTTAGTTGATGAACGTCCCATTGTTGGTTGTAATGTAAAAATAAGTTCATTTTTTAAATTCAAAAATGTCTGGAAAACGGAGGGAAGTTTGCAACGAAAGTCGAACATTCCAAAGTGCTTAGACGGAAAAATATTTTTTTTTTGCGCATTTCTAACTGTGATATGCACAGTTAGCATCGCAGTTATTATGAGATTCAATGTTAGTTGTCATTACAAAACATGTCATTGCGAATATGAAATTCGGGCCGGGGCTGCGCCACTGCCACTGCCACTGCTGCTAACGCTTTGGCCATAACACAGAAACAACATTATTCTGCACATAATAATAAGTAAATATGAATAATGCATTGTTTGAATATATAATGAAAAAGGGCCACATACACGTCTCATTGCGGCAGGCTTTAACATAGTAATAGAAAGTTAAGGTGCGCCATATTTTGAAGTTTAATGTGGCGACTGTTCGTAGGCGAAAATAATGCGACCGGCACGCTACCGGAAATGTGTATATTTAACCCGCAAGCACATAAAGTTTGCCGACAACTGTTTTAAGCGTACGAGCGGGCAAGTCTGAGACCTCATTGAGTTAGGCCGACTATTACTTACTTTCTTTTTATGACCCGGTCTCGCTTGACAATAAGTTGAGATTAGTTTAATAGTACAATAGAATAAAAAGGATTATGACCATTTAAAATTATTATTTTAGTCCGTCTTCATATCTACATCCTCAATCTTTCTCACACACATACGTAATTGACAACTAAAAATATAAGAATACCATCCTATGCGTAAACATCGAACTCCTAATTACTCATCCACTACGTCAGGGGTCGGCAACCTACAGCCCGCGGGTCGGATCCGGCCCGCGGAGCAATATAATCCGGCCCGCGACGCTTCACTGAATTATAGTAACAAATTATAGCTGTTTTGTCGATTATATTCTTTACGCAAGAGAATTTACGTGTAGACTAAATTATACTATAACGTAACAAGTATATAATTCACAATTACTCGTTTAATGAGCCTATATTTTAATTATAATTTAGACAAATGACAACAAAACGCAGAAAAGTTGATGTTAAGTGGCGCGGCGGTGTGGCTCAACGGGCTAAGCGTTAGGAATACGCTCGCCACCGCACCTCTAATCACTCTGCATGGGTTCGCAGGTTCGAATCCCATGCAGGGATGGTTATGTGCGAGAGGATTGCTGGACTCCTCGCCGTCGTTGGGTGGTTCACGTAACCGCTGGTCGGTTACGGCTTCCTCCACCACCAAGTCCATGCTTCCGAAAACAAACAATACAGTAAAAAACTAATCCCGACTTGGAATGGTAACCGGACGAGAGGCCGTGGTTCGCCATATGGATAAGCCGTCTTATCGGCTTTCCTCTCCCCCGGGATAAATATGTAAATCCTATCCTATCCTAAGTGCAAATGGTTTCATGGCGCAAAAAATATTCAAATCGTCAGTCTTCGCGCGCTATACGTAATTGACTCACTCGCAGTTTACTCACTTTAAATATATTTAAGAATGAGAGTTTATCGTTCTGATCAGTTTTCAAGGGAACTATATAAATATAAAGCCTAGTTATTTTGAAATTGCTTTCGGAGAAATGTCGATGTATTGTCGGTATCTTTTCTCGTGTTTCGTTTTATTGTCGCTTAAAATTATATTCTTTCGTGACGGATATTACTTGAAAACACACCCAGATACTGTGATTTAACGTTGTTGTGGGTAAGGAAATACGTTTCCTCTCATTTTACTTCGGTCAACTTTTTTCTACACTCATTGTATAATGAATTGATTTCTTGTAGCGTGAGCAGGCCTAGTACTACCGTCAAAAAGTCCGCCTAAGTTGGGACCTCGAACCCTGATTAAAAAAGAAATGATCGCGCGGCTCTAAACTCTGCGGTTCGTCACTACTGTCACATTTCCAACACTTGAAAATATAGGGGTGTTTTGACTAAAAATAAAGGCACAAAACGTCTCTTCGAATGAGTAGTTACCTGCGGCGAGCTCATCTCATCGGCTTAGTCTTGTCTGCCCAAGACAATTCATTCTCATTGTACCGATTACAGGACGACATATGGACACCGCCTTGACGTTTATAAATACAACAATGAAATTCCGTGAATTTAACAAACATCAATCCCAACATCGGGATTAGAAAAAGGACGACGATTCCCAGTTGGAATAGTTTAAAAATAAATCAAAAGTGTTATTCTAATAAATACAAATATCTGCCAATGATTTAGTAGTGTATACTCTATAATTGTTCTGCGGGCCGCACGGTATGTGTCGGCATGGCCGCATGCGGGCGCGACCCGCAGTTTGGACCACCCTGGTTTAAAATAATACAAACAGAATGTATATTTACACAGAAAATTGCTCAAATACTTCTCGGAAGATTACTGGGTAGACTGCTGTTTGGCGAGGCTGTTGAAGCAGCTTGTTTGGTTTCAAGCACAGAGTGCGGAGACCGCGGTACTTGTCGATCGTTCCAGAAATCAAACTTAGCAAGAAATATCACGCTGCTGATGGCTTCGGAACGGGTAAGTAGGCAAAGCATTTGAACGAATATGTCTCTCTGAATAGAAAATGTTAAATATGAGCGTTTACGTAGCATGGTGATTTTGTATTTTCATTACAGTTCAAGTTAATTCAATATATTTCAAAACTGGTTATCATGTATGTTACGATGTTTCCTCGTAATCATTTTATCTCAATATTCACAGTTTCTTGCTGTTGTCTTCGTCGCAGTTGCATTACTAATGTTGAAGCGAATTCCGAAGCGAGGCAAGTATATTGAAGAAAGTAATCGAGTAGATGTGAACTGGTAGAACTGAATACTATTGAAACTTTTTGGACACTAAATGTACAGAAGATCGTCCACTTAAAACTTTGATGTTGTTTCTTTTGGGGTGATTGTTATTGTTGGGAAAATTTTCTTATCCTCAAAAGTATATTTAACTAATCGTATTAAAATTTTCATTATTTGAAGATTGTTGATGTCGTCATAAAGCACTGAAACTATATTTTATTTTTACAAATGTCATGATTACTAACCCCAAATTTTTCGATTTCGACGAATATTGCACCATGGGGTATTACGTCTTTCACCAAACGATATCAATGTGGATTGCCACTTCAGCAAGACTTGGTTTGCAATTTTAAATAAAAACTTTTGAATGGTCATATATCGTATTTCAGCCATTGGACCTCAGTGTCCATATATTCAAGCATTGGTCTGTTATTTTTATTGATATGGATGAGTTTATACCATATTGAAAATATATTACAATTCATTATTATTGTCTAATATTGAAGTGAGATGCCTACATATATGATGTAGTTGCAACCGTTTGTCCATACTTAATTAACGCTTGGACAAGTGCTGTTTATTATAAAAGTCCGGATTGCAAATTTAACCTTAAAACTTAATCTTTGTTTATACTATTACTATCCTAAGAAGGCAAATATTATCAAATTTGTATTCAAAATCGGACGTTGACGAAGTGAAATTAAGTCAGTGTATCGCCAGTGGCTTAGTTTTGAGAATTTCTAAATTTATGAAGCTTAATATGAAAATGTATCATCTCTCAATGCGTATGCTGTGACGAACAAGAATTTTGTTACATCATTAGAAAATCTTCATTATCGGGCCAGTCCATAATCATAATTTGTGCATCTCGTCAAAGACACACAAACTTAATGTTTATTTAATCTGGCAGATATGTCAAGAAGCAATATAACTCGAACAGAAACAATTTTGATTGTTACTGCAATCAATACACAAATTTTCTTCACCTATTATCTTTCGACAAAATGATATTTTCCCAATCTCGTGTCAGTTGTATCATCGCTAGCGGCACATTTTAATCTTGTACCTGCATATAACAGAATCAGTTAATAAAACACGAAGTCAAATTATTACGTTAGTATATTGTTAATCAAATATATAAATACATAGTATTAGCCTTATTTCAAAATATAATGCCTCCTGGTAAAACGGAGTTAAATTTTCTTTGTGATTCCATTTCACGTAATAACCATAACTAACCTATCTTGCTTGATGACGTCATCCATATTTTCTGGCAATTTAACGTTGTTTGTTTCTGGCAACACTAAGCTGATGACACTTGCCAGGACTGTGAAGCATCCCATTATAATGAATGGAATATCTCGACTAGCACTTTCTCCTGTATTTAAAAACCAATAACTATTCACTCATACATAAAGGAAATTTGGTGCTCCCGAAGTATGCGAACCAAGATGGCGGACATCGAACGTAACATGGGTAACAGGTTAGGGTTAGGCGATAAATTTTTTCCAATTTTTCTTATTCAGTCCTATTATCAGTTCGAAGACTAGCCAAGAGCCTTCCGTAGTATTTATACCTAAAATTATGACCTAACCCTAACCTAGTACACATATTACATTCCGATGTCCGCCATCTTGGTTCGCATACTTCGGGAGCCCCGGAAATTTATCAATAAACAAGGCTATAACCCAACAATTATCTATATAGCAATTCATTATTGAACTAACCTGCAAATACCATGTAAGGAGCTGAAATTGTTCCAATTCGTCCGACGGTAAAGCAAATCCCCATTCCCATATTTCTCATTTGAGTTGGATATAACTCAGCTGCATAAATATATACGACTGAAAATACACCCGAAATACAAAGTTTTCCAAACATTGCACACACAGTCATCAGAATTTCGTCAACTGCAAAAATTAAATTGATATCATTTATTTGACCGTTTTTATTTGTACAAAATAAAAGTATTATGATTTTGCCTTAATTTTGTAATTTTCGGTATTAAAAATATGATAACTACACATCTTTCCATCATACTACTACTTGTCATATTACTTTAAAATCCTACTAATTGACGATTCCAATAAACATGTATTTTTAGTACACCTTGTTCATCCTAAAAACATACATTTTTTACGATGGCCGATGGAAACAATCTGGATCAATGTCACAAACTTTTCTTTATTTCAATTCCTTCAATGTTCACTTTTATGAATGACGACGAAGTCGTCAGCACTACTTGTAACAGGGTTATCTGAGCGGTATGGAATACTCTGTTTGCCAAAAGAGTTTTAAACGATTATATAACGTATATTCATTTCCTACTATAGATTATTTCATCATATATATTGGTTTTTATTCAAGGATATTCAGACCGGAAGTGTCCAAATGAATCGTTTTGCTAAATCGTTGGGTTCACTGTTTTGTTGAGAAGAAAATCGCCCTTTTGAGCAAGAATAGTTACATATATTTTAAAAGCTATTACTTTTATTTTCGTTTTCAAATAAAGTATAAGTCCTTCCCAGTATTTCACACAAAATTTTACTTTTTTATTTCAATTCATAGGAGCGCCTTTTTTTATTCCATCATTTTGTTTAACAAACTCGATGCATACGTGCGCAACTCATTATCGTGCTAGTCATACCGCCGCGATGTAAATACCTTCAGATGCTTCCTAACTTCCGATGAATATTTCAAGATGGTAGTTCTTGAAAACAAATTTAGTGTAGCAAACACAAAAATAATAAGTACGTAATAAATGTCTCACTAAATACAGTTGAAGTCAAATAGAGTTGATAAATGTGTAACTGCAGAATTGCACACTTCTCAGATACGATATACATGAAAGCAAATATAAATGTACTCTGTAATACATGTAAGGAAATGATTACCTTTGAGAAGCAATGATGCCGATATACAAGATATTCCTGTGAGAACTAAATAAAATGCGAGGGTGCTTCGTCTCCCAAACTTTTCCATAGAAAAATATATCAGAACGTAAGACGGTATTTCAATTCCAGCTGCAACAAAGCAGTTGATGAATTTGTTTCCTCCCAAATTTGAAGTTCCCAAGCTGATGCAATAATATGTTAATGCCACAGTCAGCCTGTAAAATAATAATATGATAATAAAATTAGATAAACGTGCAGATCCACAACAAAGTTAAATAATGTGTATATCATCAATGCCGGCTTTTAACATCACAGGTCTTTTATTCTTGGCATCCGTTTGTTTTATTGAAATCCATCAGATAATACCTTGTACCATCAGAAAGAAAATATTACGACGGAAAATTCTGTTCTACAACTACTAAAGACTTACCAAATAAATGATAAAGCAAAGGTCCGAGTTCTGATTGATCTGTGTCTCACGAGATCTAACAACGTGGGCTTAAAAGTTTCGTTAGTTGCTTCGTCATCGTTTGTAGATACGTTGATCTAACATTTTACATTGTAAAACAATTTTGATAGAAACATGTTGTCGAGAAAACTGCAGGGCTAATTAATTTCATTTTTAGTGTTTCACGCGTTATAAACATGTTAAACGGTTTCGTAAATGTATAATATATGAGAGAAGATTAATTTTTCTGACCGATTTGACGAAGCTCCCCCCCCCTCCCCAAATAAATTTGCCATATTTATTATTATGAATTCATATAAATTAAACATAAAAAACTTTACTTTAGTTAGATCCAACTCGTTTATTTGTTTTCCGTTGATCTGAGCGATTTTCAATATTAGCGAGTTGGCTTCTGGTTTTCCATTCACAATCAACCAACGGGGGGATTCTGGAATGAACCTGTAAGATTAGGAGGCGTAGAACATGATGTGAACATTTTTTTAACTTGGAGTTCAGACAGAACATTAAATTTGGATAAATTCATCTTTCCTCACCAGTAATACGGCACAAATAAAATCCCTAATCCTCCAACTACATAGCACAACCATCTCCAGTCTGCAATAAACCAGGCGAATATAGGCAGCATCATGTATCCAACAGCATACGCACCAATTGCAAGGTTTCCAATTAAAGCTCGTTTAGAACGATCAACAATTTCGGCACCTATAGCAAATTTAGAGAAATAGACATAAAGTAGATAGATAAATAAAACGAATCCTATTTGTGATAAAATTTCAGGCTTACAGTAAACGCGTATACTAAATAAGTTCGTATGAGTAAGTTTTTCCAGCCTATATCGCGGGAATAGTTTTTCATTTATATCTGTTACTGGTTGTTTTGTAGTTATCCTATAAATTTGTTATAGAAGATTAAAATTGTAATGTCGGCATAGGATAGTTGATATACTAATACGTTGAATCAAGCATATATATACCATGTGTATATGATAAACGTTCTTTTACGCCGGTTATTTGTACTCAAACAGGCAGAATTTTGTAAATATTGAAAAAATGCATTTCTATCCTGTTCTTTTAATAACATGTGTCCCGATCGAAAACGAATGTGAAAATGATAGTAGTTTTTATGACTTACTTATGATAAATGCGCCAAAGTAATTGAGTGTTGATCCGAATCCTGCTACGGAATATAAGATAGTCATCGTGATGAAATTGTCAGAAAATCCGAGCACGGCAATAAAGAGTGATTGTAACGCAAGTCCTACAAGAAATGTTACTTTCCGTCCGTATCTGAAATATCAAGAGATGAATAAAACACCTAAAAAAGAAAACTGTTTCTGAAGGACATGTGAACGGTTGGGAGTTGGGAATTTTTAGAATGGAATGTGAATTAGTAATGAATCAAGAACAATCTTTTGTAAATAATGAATTGTCATAAAATTCTGATTTATTTTAGATTCTGTGTTATATCAGTGATCACACCTATCCGATAATGTTCCTCCTATTGTTCCTCCAATGAGTGATCCAATCATGTATCCAGATATGATGACAGGTTTTATCCAAGATTTTCCGCAGACGAGATTCCACTGTGAGAAAAAACGCGCTGTGGTATAATTACTGTACGCTAGGTATTATTACCTTATTATAGGTACGTATATGTGTATATACGTACAATGTTCAGTGTAGTATTTCGAATAGGAGTCGGGTATGTGATCTTCCATGTCCGATTATTATATAATATTTCAGTATTTCTTTTATTTTTTATTTTTTTTAATATTAAATGTCAAACCACATACATATGCAGTGCATATTTACACAGAGCTTGGATGCCACTATATACGACGCAATATCAAAATGTTCAAAGGAATTTTATGCGTGTAAATATATCTTAATAGTTTAACTATATATTGCATGGTATCATACTTCCATCACTGCCGTTGTTTCATTGAATTCAGTTAAATAATTCCATCCCTGGTCACAATCAATTATTGTTCTGTTTTGAACATCTTCTGTTTCATTACTACATAAAAATAAAATAAACATTAAACTAGCTACAAAATGAGACATTTGTTAATGCATTGGCGTCTGTATTTAAGTCTTTAATCTTTGCAGTTTTCATTTGAATTCGAGATATATTACGTTTTGTATTTGTATTTGTATATTGTATATTGTATATTTGTATTAATTTTCTTTCTTTCATCATCCTTTATTTCTGATTTACTGACCTTGTATATCTTTTGCATTTGCTTGGAATCGTTTCACCCGCGTCATTTTCTTCCCATGGGATGCAGTTGTTGAACGTGGCGTTGATGAGGTTTGGTGATGCTGTCTGGAATTAATTGGATTAAAATAGTGTATAAAATATAAAAAGATTGTCTGCTTATGCACGCAATTTGTGCTTGTATCCTGTTACCAGGAAAGGCCACATACTTCTTATATTTCAGTCTTGATAAATTCGATACAGTTTATTATTTTTTTATAAATATCATATTATTTGTATTCAGTGCTTGAATTTTTCAAAATCTTTTTACTAAAAATTATTAAGTTAAGTTATAATTTTTAAATTATTATTTAAAATTATTATTTATTCAAATACATTTCAATCTCGATTCGGACTCAGGAATGAAGGAATATTGACCCAACCTACATGATTCTTTTGTGCGATTTAGATCGTGTCGTCTTTCAAGCGCTTGGTAATTTATTTATATACATATTGCAGATGGTACTGCAGGTATTGAACATGTTGATTTTATGATACAGTATATAGTTACTCATGTTTCTAAAATCATATTTTAACAGTCTTCAATCAACACTCCATACCTTGTTAGTATCGTGAATTCCAACGTGGCAGAGATGTTCGGGAATGTCGAGTATGAACACAGATATCATCGCATACCACCCGTTTGGAACACAACTCAGAACCAATAAAACTGCAACCCTTATTTGGTATTTTCCAAAACCTATTTCTTGTAAAACGTCGTCGTATTTCATTTTGTCTCATCCAAAAATACAAGCCAAGTATTTTGAGCTAAATCGTAGACTTCTGACTGATAATTATTAACACTTATTGATGATGGATAAAAGATGAAACCGATTGTAAAATTTTTTAACGATATATCCCTGAATATTACATCATAATTTTATACCGCCAAAGACTAGGCTATGCTTGCAATCTAATCCAATTTCTTAATTTTTAAGTTCTGCATCATTTCTTTACTTACACGGCGATTATCCGAGCACTCAACGAAGTGAACCGTGAATTCAATTTCGTGTTTTAATCTATTGAAGCAATGCAGATAAATTTATGCAATACAGCAACAATGAGCCCATGCCTGATGGGAGCTTGAAGTAAAATGACCCTACTTTTAAAATGCCCACCACGTCCCATTGCCCGTGTTTACAACTTACACGCCTGGAGGAAAGTTACCCTAGCTTTATATAATCGAAATTACGTAACTGAACATTACTCCTTATTACTGGCTTATTTTTAGACCCTTCATTGTGTTCTCAAGAAAAAAAATCTCATCTGCAAGCTGCTAATTACGAAGTAATCAGTCTATTTTTCTGCTTGATTTTAATTTGCAACAGAGAAATAATGACTAACATAGGTAGGTATCATTATGAATAAGTACGTGAAGATTTTTTTCTGTGGTTTTGGGCTAAGGCACTTATATCACAATCCATCACTGTGAAATCATTAAAATTCTAACCTTTAAACACATATTTTTATGCCTGGCCTACAGCTATGGCTACAATCAACCTACTTAGCATCGCTTATAACACAAATCCTGGAATGCAAGGGATAATACTCATCCGCCACGAAGTTACCTTTGGGAGACATTGTCAATTGACATCCAATATTCGTCACATTGAAATATTTAATATTGTATAATTTACTATTGGTACATAGTATAACAATGCGCAACCAACTGTTTATTTTTATCGTAAAAATCTACTGTATGTTTGGAACAAACGTTAATATCAATTTGATACGCCTTGGTTGTTCTTCAATCTACAATTAATCATTAGCTGGTGTTACATGCAAATGGCGCGCTGACTTTTGTAAAAATTGAGTAGTTTATTTTCTGTGTTTCAATATGTATTACAACAACCCTAAATAGTTAAAAATGGGACAGTAATAGTTCGCGAAAATACGAAATTTGAACTTTACTATCCTAAAGCAATGAAACCTCTCCATGGAAAGTAATTCCTTCACAGTAGGAAAACGTTATCCTGGAGTATTGTTTTTCTTTGAACTCGAACGTTGAACTTGCAAAAAAATTTGCTTCGTCCTATAATTTGTCTGGTTAGCAACTTGGTCTCTTTTACCGAAGAATAAGTTTTCCGCATCCGGCTTACTGATAAAAAGAGTAATAGTAATATAATAATATAGTAAACGCAATGCTGCAATTGAACCTATAGTTTTAAAACCAAGTTTTTCATGTTTACATATAATCACAATATCAAATGTGATTTTGTCGATTACGACTTCAAGCCTCAACTATTTTGTAAAAAATTTTGTAGCAAATGCTCAAAAGTGGACCGTAAGCGGAAAGATTTATATATTTATCACTGACTTCAAGTCGAGAACTTTGACTTAGCAAAGAAGTTAAAACGCCTCATAAAAATAAACTAAAATGTTGTTTCATATATATAAAACGACTTTGCGAAACAAGGTCTATAAATCAAAGAACGAACACATAATGCATAATTCTTCGTGAAAATTGATCTTTTGACCGCCCGCTGCTTGTTTCATAGACCGGATGAGCTGATGCGTAATTTCTTTACAGATACTAAGACACAAATTGTTGAAAATACTCATAAACGTATGACAAATGATAGCAAAAATCCATTTTATGAGGAAACATTTTTGGCATTGTGAAGTTAAAACACGTATTATAAAATATTATATTACCATCATAAATACTTATATATACTTATAAACGTATGACTACTCCGACTTGATAGTAAGAGGTCCATTTTATCCCATGCAGATATATATGAGGAAGAATTCTTTACATTGTAAAGTTAAAACAATCATTATAAATTATTATATTACCGACTTTGTTTCAAGTTTGCAGTTCACGCAGATAGCCAACTTCCACACTACGACGCATGCATTTAGCACATTCCCTGCATTCCCTTATTTGGATGATGTGTACGCGTTCGTTGGGTGAAGAGGTGATGACAGTTGTCATCTTGTACGCAGTTCGTGTAGATTTTCGCACCAACATTGTATAAAACAGAGACGTACTTAGGAAAGATCATCATAGTTGCTTGTATCTGTTAATAGTTCCAGTTCTTTGTGAAGAAACACAGGACCAATAAACATGTCTGATGGTGAAGAAGATCAAACCGCAATTGTATGCGACAACGGATCAGGATTAGTAAAGTCTGGATTCGCAGGAGATGATGCTCCAAGAGCTGTATTCCCTTCTATTGTTGGAAGACCAAGACATCAAGGTGTGATGGTAGGAATGGGTCAAAAGGACAGTTACGTTGGAGATGAAGCACAAAGCAAGAGAGGTATTCTTACTCTCAAATATCCAATTGAACACGGAATCATCACTAATTGGGATGACATGGAAAAGATTTGGCATCACACAATGTACAACGAACTTCGAGTTGCACCCGAAGAACACCCAACTCTTCTTACTGAGGCTCCACTCAATCCTAAAGCTAATCGTGAGAAGATGACCCAAATTATGTTTGAAACATTCAATGTACCAGCAATGTACGTTGCAATCCAAGCTGTTCTTTCTCTCTACGCTTCTGGAAGAACCACTGGTAAGTTCAGTACTAATTTATATTAAATAAACATTTTCATAAAACACAGTTTTAGAAAAACAATTTCTCCTTTTTATAGGTATCGTCATGGATGCTGGTGATGGTGTCTCACACAACGTACCCATCTACGAAGGATATGCTCTTCCTCACGCAATCGCTCGCCTCGATTTGGCTGGTCGTGATCTTACTGATTATTTGATGAAAATTCTCACTGAAAGAGGATATTCCTTTGTTACTACTGCTGAACGTGAAATAGTTCGAGATATCAAAGAAAAACTGTGCTATGTTGCACTTGACTTTGAACAGGAAATGGCAACAGCTGCTTCGTCAACCTCATTGGAGAAAAGCTACGAACTTCCTGATGGACAAGTCATCACTATTGGAAACGAAAGATTCCGATGCCCGGAAACTCTATTCCAGCCATCTTTTATCGGTAAGATTCATACAGAAATTTTTATGCTGAATATTGAGAAATAATTTGATGGGAGTAAACAAGTATGAAAGGTCTTAAATATTCTATCAATATCGTAAATTTAAGTATTTTCTCGTTTTATAAATGTTTTCAACTTTTGTAACCTCTGCTTTTCTTTTCCAGGAATGGAATCAGCCGGAATTCACGAAACTACCTACAATTCTATCATGAAGTGCGACATTGATATTCGTAAGGACTTGTACGCCAACAATGTGCTCTCTGGTGGAACCACAATGTATCCAGGTATCGCTGATCGTATGCAGAAGGAAATCACTGCTCTTGCACCAAGTACAATGAAAATCAAGATCATCGCTCCACCAGAAAGAAAATATTCTGTCTGGATCGGAGGATCGATCCTTGCCTCTCTCTCAACTTTCCAACAGATGTGGATTTCAAAGCAAGAATATGATGAAGCTGGTCCTTCTATCGTCCACAGAAAATGTTTTTAATAGTTATGATCAATTTTGACATTTGTTAAATTTGATAACTTGATAAAATATTAAACGGGACACTGCAACTAAAGTTAGACGATCGATGTTAAATGAACATTTTTTATACTTATTTTAATAAATATCCTAAAATTGTTAGAAAATAAAATTTTGATTATGACTCGCTTATGTAATGAATTTGTAATATGAAAATAAAACTAAAATTAGTGTATTTACTGCTGTTTTCATAATTAATCTTAATTCATGCTCACGGTTTCGCGCTTATGTTATTATCAAGCAATAGTCTAAGCAAGGGATACCGAGATAACCGTGGCGCTGTTCAGGATGCATTCATTCATTCTATAGATCAGCGGTTCCCAACCGGTGGTTCATTGCCCGCCAATGGTCGGGCTGGGCACAGAGCAGTTGGAGGGAGCTACAATACTAGGCATAAAACTGGTTTACTTTTTATTTAACAAGAAAACTTTCCGTTCTCCCAAATTTCATTCTTTGGCGAGGTTATTTCACAGGATGTTTTTACTTTGTTGAGCATGAATTGTTTGAACACAATGGGATTTGAAATATACCAAGCAAAGTAACACTCTAAAATCTAAATACTACCGTAATGATAAAAAGGGGGCCATGCGTGTACGTGCTAAAAGCCTCCGGAATAGAGCCTCGAGCCATAATAGGTTGGGAACCACTGCTATATATCTTTCCAATGTAGCATACATTATTGGTCGAAATTTGAAAGTAAATAACTTTGAACTATCTGGAAATATCTTGATGTTAAACAGTTAAAACTTGGATGAGGAACAATTAAAACAAAAGTATAAAAGTGCTCGAGGTATTCATCAATGTCAAAAACTTTTTTAATTCTTTGTGGTGGACAGACATAGTATTAAAATATTGTCACTTGCTACCTTCTAATATAAGAACATGGTGTACCCATGTTAGCAGATAAATATTAACATGATTTACATCTTTTTTTATCTTTTTCTTTTTGTGAATCTCGTTAAACTGATTTCCATCTTTAACCCTACAGGAATTCGAAAAATAGAAACAAGAATAAATGACTGCATTTAATGTACTAGAAGAGTATGCCAAACCTGCTTGAGATGTTAAATTGTTAGGAAATATTTAAACTGGACAATTGTTTGGGAACAATCTTTATTGAAAGTCAATAACTTTCACTCTAAATATCTGCATGTCGAACAATAAGCACAAACCTGTAAATTCCCAACGTATCTATACAGCAATTCAACGTATTTTGAATAAAATCCAGAGTTTGTTTTAAGCGGTGAGGATTTTAGAAATTTTGCTAAAGTATGTGATGAGATAATTATTAATATACAAATCATAATACACGTCGCAATGTCAAAGCAAACTATAAATTCGCTGTGTAATTTTGTGAAAATGTTTAAATATTATTATTCTGCCAAATCTAATGATGTTTCAACTTTCAAATGATTGGAAATAAATATATTTCTATGGTGTAACTCTATAAACTAAATTACGTCACACTATTATTGCAGTGCTGGATTTTTATTTTAACTGGTTATAGTTTTTATATTTCACAAAGAAAGTAGAAGTCACTACTACAGGATGCATCATTTAGCAACCAATTTTTCAATGAGTAAGAATGAGCACATCTTTCATTTTTGCTGCTAGGTTCATTCTGTCCCCATTCCGTATTCTCTGAAGTAGAACTAACTCCATCTGACCATATGTATTTCCCCACATTTTCCAAATCATCCAATCCGATCCATGTGTTATAATTACTTGGTTTTATCAGTCGATCCACCAAATCTCTGCAGGAATGAAATAAGGAAAAAAAATGAGCTGATAAAATGTTACTCTCATTAGGAGTACTTACTTTGCTACATTATTCAAAGTACCATTTCGATTCCTCAATAACTACCATCTTTTGAAAGTTATCTAAAGATCTGAATATTTCTATATTTTTTTTATTCCACCTTCTTTTCTTATATTTCCTCAGATTGTGTTTATAGACTGTATTTGGAGATTAATTAAGAAAATATCACGCATCAGTGATGTTTACAACTAACAGATATCGTTTCAATTACCAAGTAGTATCTTTCATTGCTCACCTTCTCACGCTGCTGTCGTGATATCCAGTTGAAGCAAGTCTTGCGCCATTTGATTCGCATTTTGTTTTTGCAGCTTTGTACGGTAATTTTGTCTTGAAAAGCTTGTAGTAGTGTGCTCCAATTTTTGTCCATTCTTCCTTTATTAGCCTTTCACGTCCAAACTCTTTAGAATAAAAATTGTCACAAGTGAAAACATTTCTAAATCCCGTTTTGAAGTTCAAGTTAGGGCTGATGTGTAATCTTGGTGTCATTAGACATAATATTAAATGGAATATTTCCCGAAAATATTAATTTGAACGTTCTGCAGTAATATTATATATGTTAGCAGTATTACTTTTTCAACCTTCCCTTTGGACCCTACTTTATATTTCAATCGGAACGTTATATATGTGGATGCCTTATACGCATTTACTTGCAACGGTGAATTTTGCACGATGCACTACAGTTTTGCTCAAACTCCTATTAAAAACTCATTTTATATCGATTGTCGTTTATTAAGCTGGCGAATCTAAGATCAGAATCAATATCAGCTTGTTATACTATCACTGCGAGTGTTATTAAATACACTCACCTTTGTTTACGAGAGCTTTTTCTAACGCGTCTATTCTATTTTCTAATTCTCGAAATTTGGGACAGTTGCAAGTACTTTGTGCATTTCCGGGTGGACCAGGAGGTCCTCTCTTACCAGGAGGCCCAACCATTTGATGTACCAGCGCATCTCGCACTGTCGAGTCCTTATTTCCACAAGAAAGAGTGCATGTATCCAACGGTATGTCACACAATCCCAAAATGAAGTGGATTAATAATACAACAATGGTGATTACACTAAATGAAGTCATTTTGACTCCTGAAATGAGGGAATATTGCCGCAATATCCTGACTTTATTGTTACATATATTGTTTCAAAGAAATATCATATATACAGCGGAATAGAGTATAAAAGTGTAAATTGAACTATATTACCAAATTAGGTGGAAAAACCATCTAAAAAATTCAATTATTTACTATTTTAAATAGACAACTCAAAACTTCCTGCCAAGGCGAAAGAATTTGGATATATGTGTCACACAAATTGTTTTCGGCCTGCGTTTTCGTTTTTTAATGCTAATTTAATTTTATGAGGCGGCTCTACTGTTTACAATGTGAATCTACGCTGTTAAGTCATTGCCAATAAGCTATCAATATGAATGATATATATATATATATATTTGTTTTTACACACTTCAAGCTAGCTGTTGAAAAGTTATCATCTTGAAATTATTAAAGTGTGGATTTCTAGACTGCTTTATAAACAATTTAATCCGTAGCTTTATATCCCAACCACAAATTTTATTGAAAAATCTACAGTACAAAAATTTATTTATCTCACGTGTACGAACATCTGTATTCATTTCAACAGTTATATAAGTATCGTTTTATTAAACAATGACGTTGAATGCCCTAGGCACCAAGTTTCATATTACCGAGAGAAAAACAAACACACAACTCATGAAATTTTCCTAGGTAATTTATTTATTTACTTACTTGAATTTGAATGACTGTATAAGTTCGATTTTTCGTCTATGATTTTATTACCAAAACAAGATGCATGAATAAGTAGCGAAGAGTATAAAAAAAAATTATTATTTTTCATTCTTGCAAAACATGGTTTGCCACAGTGTTGATGATTTATGTTCAGAAAAATACACGTAGAAAAGTTCCTCGACGCAAAGCAGGTTATTTTTATGCCAACGTAATAGTGTTCGACAAATAAATCAGGTAAGCACTTGATGCGACGTAGATAATTTCCCTTTTTTACAGTGTCTCTCTTTCTCTCATTCGTATCTCTCTTTCGTAATTTACAACATTTTTTCGGTTTGTTGTTAGTGGGCACAAAGTGGGCCTTTGGATCGTTTTGTTATTATGTTGTTGTTGTTGTTGTTGTTAGAATTCTTTTCCTCGTTCTTGTTGTAATGAAACAATCGCTATTCTCCTTAACTACCCGATCATTTTCTTTGAAATGTTCGGTAGCTACAGACGACTTTGATCGTTAGAAAGCTATTACTTTTATTTATTTCAAAAATTTTGTGGGCCGTTTCAGTTTCGTTGTTTCCATGTGATGGCGTCATCTCAATAAAAAATTGCGCACCCCGTGGCATTCGTTCGCGATCTCGTGGTCTCTAGAAGTTGGGATGAACTCGGTACGGGTACTGTGAAAGATTAGATACCCGTACTGACCTATTTCGTTTTGACTTTTATGTCTGTATATTTGGGCAATGCTCTCAATAATTTATCAATATATTACGTTTGATATATATTCTCTTGATTCGGATCTCTCGACCCGCGTTTGTGCTATTTCTTCATAGTGATTCGTTGATAGGATTTCGTCATCAGTCGGCGATGGTGTCTGATCGTTCAAGCCGATTTGTTGAATCTCGGATGGAAATACGTAACCGGTGGTAGGTGGAGGCTTCTGTGGACTTTTTGGTTTGTCCCTTCGCAATCGTTTCAGCCTAGATAGGAAAATAAATACAAAAAACGCAGTTTACAAAATTTGGTTAGCCAAACTGTTTTGTTTCTAATACTGAAAATTTCTTTTTTTAAAACTGTCTAAGATTGGGCGCTCAAGTTTATCTTATATTGAAAAAGTCTGATATATGAATAGGAAATTTAATATGGTTGAAATTTCATGCCATTTTAACAATAATTCATGCCATGTTATGACTCGTCAAATATTTACCAAGGCAACAGACTATTGACCACACTGGCTAGACTAGAAGGTGACATCTGTACTAATTCCTATAAGAGAGCAATGCTATAATGTATGTACACTGGTGCTGATAAAAACACGTACCTGCTTGTTGAGCACTAGCCTGTCGCAATCGATTACAGTAAAGTCAGTGTGTTTATTTGAAATTTTGGACCTCCTGAAGTATGCGCACCAAGATGGCGCACAACCTGAACTCAGGTTGTGTACCAGGTTAGGGTTCAGGTTAAGCGACATCTTGGTGCGCGTACCGAAATTTTATTTTTAAATTTATCGCAGCCTAAGCTATCCAATTTAAATATGTATATATATATATAGTAAATTGCTTTCAGTTCTAAATTTTCTAACCTGGATCGGCCAATGGTGACAATAATGATGGAAATCAACAGAACTATAAGAATCACTATGACGATTATAAATGTTGTTGAAGATGATGACTTTGAATTGTTGTCATTGGATTTCGTAGAATTTTCATTTCCAGTTTGCGATGAACTTGTTTTGTCAGGTGCAACGTTAAACGCTAGTGTATAAAAGAGATATATGAGCATAATCATAAGTAAAATATAAGAAATAAATATTCAACTGCATTATTCATAATTTCAGCGTACATAATTAATTAGGAGGATATCAAAATTGAAATTCTTCTCTTGAAAAAAACATTTTCATCTATCTAGGTATCTAGCTTTCGGATTTAACTATTTTTCATATTTTGTACGGCTTGTCAACGTAATACAAGCAAACTCTACAAGTTGGGACAACTCCAGAGAGCAATGAAGTTGGAAAATATAGTCCACTATCCAGTTGAAAAATTTAAGAGCATAATAACCAGGCCTTTATACATCAATTTTACAATGTTTAATCTCAACAAATTTTATGTTAATTATACCATTCAATAAATAAGGAAGTATGAAATGATCGCCTACTCAAGTCTGAGTGGGAAAATAAATTTGGATATTTTCAATTCATTTTATTATTTCAATTACTGTATTTCTTCCTGTATATTACGCACTTTCGGTTCCGGATTTCATCTCCAAAATTAGGGGGTGCGTATTATACATTGGTATAGAAACAATTCAAAATATCCTGATCGATATTTTACACGCAATTGCGGAATACTTATCACATGTTTCCTTTCCCTCTTATTTCTATCAACTTTATCTGACAAAGTCCGTTATAACCAGATCATGCTTGTTGCAGTAAAATCACACCCACGGAATGGACTATCTTGTCTAACAAAGGACAACGCATGTATTTCAATAATCAGTGTATATAAGTGATAGGAACGGCAGTTTGTATCGATAGTTTAATTGTTGTTGTCGTCCAGTCTGGCGTCTCTCATTTACGGCAAAACTGAATGTTCCTATATCATTTTTTCTCACTCTGATTTGCGGCTTGTTTCATTTCTCTCGTTTAGACCAATCGGCAAACCTAACGCTCACAAATATTTAACTCTCAACCATTTTCAAAATGCTCTAAGATAGGTAACAGCACGATAGTTCAAAGCGGGTTAACAAATCTCGACGACAGGCCTGTCGACGTCTTAAACACTTGAAACATATTATTAAATCACAGTGAAACATGCTAGGCTGGCTTCTCAAAAATACCAAATGCGGTCGACGCAAGTGACCGAAGTGAGTGACTGAAGTCGACCGTGCGTATTATGCATGGAACTTGGTATTTTCATACAATCCACATCCTGAAAGAGTCCTGAGTGTTATACAGAGGTGCGTATTATACGCGGAAAAACACGGTACTTTCTATCCTGTTTATGGAATAATATGATATTACTTACGTACCCTGAACTTTCTTTGGGCATTCGATTATATTGTAGCTGAGAGAGAAGTTTTTAAAATCCGGGTAATTTGCCTTCGTTTGAATTTTTTCCGGGATGGTGTTCACATCATACCACAATTTATTAGAACATTGAGAAATATTCAGATTTTTCTTGATGTATGTGTCGACCTTGATTACGTCACAATCGATATTTTCCGGAATATACAAAATACAACGACTGAGAGGCATTCTGCAAATCGGCCCAAGTTCTATATAAAAAAAGGATCAATGTAAATACTGATGATGTCCAATCTCACAACAATTACTCCCTTGTAGTCACACTTTACAAATATGCAAGACAGGGACTGTGGAATGAGATTTCTCGGTTACCAAAAACAACAGTACAAACAATTGTATGCTTATTGTATATTATTTAAACATCATAATTCATAAACCTACATGTTAAAACCACACGAAAAATAACATTATATATGCGAATTTCGAAAATTTTCAAGTTCAAAACTGCGTTTGCATCCTAATTTTTCGATATTCAATATCATAAAATTTGTCTCAGGCATTATATATCACCCATGGAGAGTCATACAACAGAAGCTGTTTTTGAGGTATATCTGATGCACAGAAGCAAATCTATTTATTTTAAAAAGTATTAAATTGCAGTTTATTTGTTGGCCAGACTTATATGCACTTACATACCCGGCAGAATCAAATTTCCTGCACATTCCGTTCTTCCTGATTCGGTAAACGTTAAAAATATTTCTTGTAGGAAAATAAATAAAATATTATTTTTTTGATCAACTGTCGGCAACTTCCAAGTACATTCTTCATATCTGAGATTCGATGAATATGATATATTTCCCTGAAAATACAGAATATATCCAAAAATTACCCAAAGAAAATTCGTATCTAAATAATAAAAAAATATTTAACTTGTGAACTTGGAGGTTTTATTTTTTATCTTTCAACGAAAATTTACCAAATTTAAAATAAATGTAACCATTTCGTTATATTTTAACTCGCCAAAATTGGTTGTAAATTTGGTAAATTACACAACGTTTGAAAAATATGATTCCTCAGTAAACACGCTGTAATTTTGAATTGTTATCATTTTATTTTGACATATGAGCAGATAATTATGATCCGCAAATGGTTTCGACGTTGTTAACAAAGCTCCCACTTATCCAGTTACCATTCTTTATGCTCACCAAACTATATAACTAAAGACTTCAACGAAACATTCGGGATATTGAACTATCACACGAATTTATTCACTTGGTTTCACACCGGTTTATCACAATATTATGTTGTATTATATAAAATATCATCCAATTAAAATGACTTTATAGTCACCAACTGCGTATATATCAATACAACAATCCACTGCTATCATAGAACCTAATGGTTGGTTAACTTCAAGATTCAGACCGTTCAGTAATTCTTATTATTGAGGTGTTATCGCGTTTTTGGTTACAAAATGATAGTGCATGGAAAGATTATTCATGTCGCCTCCTTTCTGAATTTCAGTATGCGCTTGAAATGGCTCAGTCATTAGCAATCATTAATTTTAAAATTTGAATGCATATTTATATAATTCTGACTGAATGGCTGCTCTAAGAAGTCTAAGTTGACCTAATGTAAATAAATGGGAACAAGACGCGTCAAAATCCCGCGTCTTCAGAGTTTGTGACTTTGAGAAAATGTAAAACCTCACCATTTACCCTATTTGTAAATTTGAACATATATACGTATTCCAATCTCTTATAAAACTTGTAACAAGCAAAACGATTTTTTCTTCGGTCTCAAATGTTACACATTACCAATCGTGACATGGTAATTTTGACAACGTGCAGACATTAACTCTTTGAACCCTGAAAGCCGCTATAGCGGCTTTCCCGAGAAAGTCTTCTGACGCTGAAAGCCGCTTTAGCGGCTTTCGCATCCCGTAAGAGGTATGCAACTTTGAAACCTCATATCTTGCGAACTATTTATTATATTTAGACACGTTTTACACCGTGTGAAAGATAATCTACAGGACTAAGTATAATTTTAAAATTGAAATAAAATATTGTGATCATCTTATGAAAATTGGCAAAATTAAAAAACATAAAAAAATTCTGAAAATTGCTCAAATCTAATTGACAAAACTTCAATTTGTTTTCGATTAAACCTGGTACATTATCGAAAAAATTTGTAGAATTTGAAGATAGCTTTCCAGTGATACCATTAGATTGAACTTATGTTGCACCATTCAAATTTTAGAAGCATTTTTATTCGTGATTTTGTTTGTCGTAAGATCGAGGCGACGTCAAGGTGACGTAAATAACGACCGAACACATTTACGCCGATACGCAGCGACGTTAAGCAATTACGTTGGCACGTAGCACGTTTACGTTTCATACGAGAAACACTTTTCCTCGCATGCTCGTAAAGTCATTTACTTGAGTTCGTACTCGTGAAGCGACTAACGACTTGTAAACGATACACGGAGAAATTTACGCATTACATCCAGCCTCAAAATCTGTTCGACTAAAATACACAATACGCAGTGTTATTGCCGTTTTGATTGCATAAAGATATGAAAAATACGAATAACAAAAATAAGGATTTCTAAAAACGGAATGATGGAACATATCGATGGATGCATTGTTTAGCGCCATTGCTGAGTTTTATTGTGCCATATTTTCTTGGACAAAGCTGTCGTTTAAAATCCATTGTAAATATAGAGATATCAGGAATGTAGCGTATATGCAGTAATTTCGAAAATCTAATGAGGCCGCAAAATGTAAAACACTGACCAGGTGAGCTACTGGTGCCACCATGTCTTCCGTTTACCCGTTATCAGTTTTTTTTATTCAATCTTCATGATATCCAAAGGTGAATAATTAGCCTTGATGTTTACGGCGGAACCTCATAAATGCATGAGGATCAAATATTTCGTTTTGACCATTCATTTCCGTCCCATATCCAAATAGTAAACGTATATGAAATGGCCTTTATATTCTAGCAATTTTACTATGTTCGATCAAAATTCGTCTGAAAGGGTTTTATCTGCGGCCGAGGATATGATACTGATGCAATGATGACACAATCTGAACTCAAGCTGTGAACGACCAGATGTGCAATTGCGCAATATATCTCACGCAAAGAGTTACGCACTAATCGTCGCGTGAACGTTATCACGACAATGTCGTCGTCGCCCTTTGCGTCGTGACGCAAACTTGGCGTCAAAATAGTTGATCAATTTTGTTCGCAAACCATTTGAATCGTTAGTACAAATTCTGCAATAAAATGAGTTATGCGTATGTTAAGAAAGTCATCCGTATATTCTCCGAAAGGTAATTTTGTATACTTTTCAAAATTTTACTTATATTGATGATACATTTCTAAAAAATGTATTAAACATTACCCAAATACAAAAAAATAGTAGATGGGGCTAAAAATAGGCTTACACATCTCATCAAAACATCTCGTGAAAAATAATGCCAGGTAAAAATAAAAGACTAGATAGGCTTTTATATGACATATTACAGACCATCTGATATCTGATGGTTTAGAAGTTATTTTGATTTGAAGTTAGGGATATTACAATTTTTTTTAACGCGTCAAATCGATGCGACGCCGTGGGAGGTCAGGGTGAGAGAGTAGCATCGTTCTGGGGATTCAGAGTTCAAAGAGTTAATCTATTCGAGAGGAAGTAGCGAAAAAAATTGCCAGATGAAATTGATAAACATTTTGAATCATATAATTATTAGCCTAGATTTATACTTAAACAACATAAAATACGATCAAACTCAAGCATATTGTGATGTTATATATTTGAGAATAATTGTTTCGCAATCATTTTTTGATAAAGTGTTGTATACGGAATAATACACGCAATGAACTTATAACCATGTTATCCACATTTAAGCTAGTCCGTTCAGAGCTTATACAATAGCAGGGAAGCAATTGATATAAACACTTGGGTGCTCTTCGATGTTCATTGCGCTTACCACTATTACATATCTGTTACCGTATCGAAACCTATTTCTTAAAAATGTACAATCATTTAGCTTTTTGATATTAGGATTCATTATTACACATCGACACAGTAATATGCGTGAGCGCCACTCAATGACGTTTCAAAGGCGGTCGTAATAGCCATTCCTAAAAATATCGTCAATTTGCGAACAGTTGTCAATAAAATCATACTCTTGACGACACTGAAATGCTGAAGGTAGTCGTCATAAACAGTGAAAGTCACACATAGCCCTAAGAAATGCATGAATACCAAAGTTTGCAATGTAAAACTGCAGATTATCCACGATGCTGCTTTCTGAAACATTGATAATTACATAAATACTTAATGATTTGCTATTTACGCACCTGTAGGTCTGTTCGGACCAGGTTGGGCGCTTTGCAGTCATTGGCAGAATTCACAAATGAAAACCCTTTGTAAAAGAAGAAAATGGTCCCTTGAATACTCCAGGCCGTACCTATTTAAACGCAGTTCTGGCCTGCGCATATCACAGATGGGAGCAATTATTCGAAAATCTGTCAGTATTTGGGTCAACCAGTATGTTCAATAAACAAATAATCTAAACAGAATTCCTATTCCTTCGTCACTTTTGCTAATGTTCAATAAACAAATATTCTAAACAGAATTCCTATTCCTTCGTCACTTTTGCTAAGCAAATCAACAAACACCCACTATTGAAAGATATGCGAGGTATTATTTTACAGTTAATTACCTACCAAAAGAACATAATAGACCTTGCTTAGGGAAGCTGTTAGATTAAAATCGTTCAAATATACCATTTCAAAGATTCCATATAAACTTGTTTATTACCAAGCGGTATATATAACAGTGCATACCCGTATCTGGAATTAGGTAAATGATGATATAAGAAATAAAAATATATCCCAACAAGTTAACTTTGGCTTACCTGCAAGCAGAAATGTAATTGTGATGCTTAGATTCATTATTTAGATATCTCTGAGATCCCTGGTTTCAACGAACAGTTTTATATGACGTTTCAAAAATAATGCCTCATTATATTATACTGCCATGAGTATTTTGCTTAAATTACTGAAACAGGAAGCATGCAGAGGCATTGTCCTGTGACGTAATATAATCTAGCTAGTCATAACTCGGGTGATGATATGATGCACTAAAAATAAGTTAATTTACTGATATTTCTGAGTTAATGTTAAATATAGTCTAGTAGACACTGAAAATGTTTTTTTATCAACAAATTTTTACGATTGTATATATATGGTTTGTAAAAAGTGAGTTTGTTAAAATATCCTCATCATAATAATTAAAAATTGCACCAGGTACTATTTTTAAGTAGCGCAAAACATCAGCTTTATGATTTTGAGAATTTATGACTCAAATGAAATTTTCAGAACATTTCAATTGTTCATTCAATACATTCAATCCATTTTCATCATAATCATAGTCGAATTTTACATGAAAGGCATTGAGAACGGCACAACAATAGAACTTTTATTAATATTTACAAAATCCATGCCACGAAGCGAGTTCCTTTGTTAAAAAACGCTGATTAGTTACCACTCTAAATTTCATTTTCTCATGACTCACTCTTCTCAAATATATACCAGCTATAAATACAGAGAATAACGCATACTGCTTGTGTATGACGGTGTTCCGAACAGTATGTTGTAATAGTGTTCAAAACATTGAAAATAATTTTTCTGAAGGAGTTCTGAGACCAATACAGTTGTCTCAACCATACCTTTTTTTGTTATCTAGATTTACTTTCCCTAAGATGAGTTTGCAGGTGATATTATATGATATTATGTCGATAACAGGTATCATCGCTACATAAGAAAAATATAGAAGTAATATGTCTAACATAGTCTATATGTATACCGCGTCTGTTGCGAGAAAAATTGAATTATTTCACCCGTACTCTTGGATCACAACTCCCAGAACATAACTCTTTACAATACTAAATTGAAAAATCTTTCATAGAGCAGTGCTGCCGCAATCATGCTCATACTATTATCTACAGATGTACAAAAACTCCCTACAGCTTCCATTAAAAGAAAACTTTGTCAGCAAAAGCCTGTTAAACATTTAATTGAAAATTCCTAATTTGGATTGAACATATAAAGATCTAATAAACAAATTTTTGTTATTTCTGAGTCGTTTACTAGAAATAATTGTAGCATATTCTCACTAGCTTATAAAACTTCCATGCCCACTACTACCAGTAGCCGCTTATCTGTGGTTATGAATAATATATCCCATCGCGCTGCTTTATCGGAAACATTTGTAATGACTGTTTTGTGATATCGGATTACACGTCTGTATAATGTTCCATACCACGTATAAAAAATCCTGATATTCACTAGCATTTTATGGTACATTTGACAAAGCGTTTGAAATATAAAAAATAAATGCAAATTAAACTACGAAGCACAGAATATCAAAAGTTTACAGTATACTTTGTCATTATTTCTAGGATTACCATATTTTTGTGATCTCAAAGCAGGACGCCTCCAAAGACCATAGTTGTGATTTTTGCACCTTTAAAATTTACATCGAGGGCCTACATTTAAAACCCTCCCAACCGTTTTCATTGACTCTATTGTAATCGAAAGTTCATACGCTGTCTGTCTAAATATCGGTTTCAGTTTGAAAAAAAGAAATAAATTTACGTTATCGTTAGCAAAATGTAGCAATTATCCGCTAACAAAACTACGAAACAAACAAGACCACGCACCCACTCCCAGTAAAAAGGTTAACGGTACGCTACACAGCAACAACAGTATCAAAGACATTCTAATTGGTATTGTTCGTGTTTTAAGCTGACTGGTTGAACGCCAAAGCGGGACAATTGGCTGACCTGTCGGGAAACCGGCACAACACGTTGAAAAGCGGGACTGTCCCGCCTAAAGCGGGACGTATGGTGAGCCTAATTATTTCACAATGCTCATGACGAAACTGTAACGGCATGCAATGTGCGTACTCCTTTCATTTAGTAGTATAGTAATAGCAATCTATGTAACCCTTGTCTATTTTTGTATTTAACACGCATCTAAATTCTTTCAGGTATTCTACATTAATCCGGTAACTTCAATTCCTGGATTATTTCTGCTTTTTGATTAAGGCATCATTTCAAATCACTAGTAATCGAGCACTTTGTGATGATTCAGACACAACGATCGCATTGACTGTATGCCATGTTACTGCCTGTAACCACTTCATAATATTGTTTGAACTGCATAGAGGCAAACATCCAAAACATATTACATGTTGTGTCCTACGCAAATATAAACGTTCATAGAACAAGTCGAGTTTAGTCACTGGTTTCCCTGCCTCATTCGTTATCAAAGATAAAACATAGCAGTTTCCAAAATTTAAGGGAATGTTGAAGTGCTATCGACATTCTCAAGTATTTATTGAAGAGCACAAATGAAACGAGTAGTCAAGTGGTTATAAGATCATGGTCGCATCTACGACGATAAACGCCCTATAATTTATTTCTTATAGCCATTCTGGTAATAATCGAGCAAGAGAGCAATGCTCAAATATAGGGGCAGGAAAATCGTTCGGCCCGAGAGCAACAAGTTTGTGAAAAAGTTCTGTGAACAAGCAATACGGAGGGATGAATAGGTAATGGAAAGTGTTTCCTTTACGTAAAATAAAACAGCAAAATGTTTGATAAAATATTTGGCCCCGCAGGATTGACCGGTGGAGAAATTAAATGAAAAAATTGACTTGAACGAATGAAAGTAATAGGATTCTATTGACTTGTACTGAAGTACTAAAAATTTGAAGAAACCCAAAACTGGGTAACAAAAAATTGAATATTTTCTAACAACAATAACTACCCCAACAGAAACAACAACAACAAGCAATCCATGGATTTACTTCTTGTACAAAACTAGATCGAAATCGACAACCAAAGCATAGGACACAAAAAATATGAAATCCACTAGGTGCGATCTTGTGTAATAAGGTTTTATTTGATGTAGCGCATGTTGTCCTATATGAACGAACGACAGATCCCCGGGAATGTGAAGTGTGTCCTGTTTTTGCTTTCAAATCTGTTTGTGCCTCTATTATTCAATTAACCGCTGACTTTATACTACATCTCATTTTACCTCACCCCATTTCTAGATAGGAATGTTGCGAACAAAAATATTAGTATTTGAATGAATTTATTAATTTTCATTGTTTCTAAAGAATTAGCATTTCTCCAGATATCTGTATGTAACGTTTTGTTATTGTCTTACAAAATACAGTTGTTAAATAAAGTTTAGTTCTTTGAAATTCATATTTATTGAAGTCGGGTTTAGAGCCAACATAAGTCTTGACAGGTAGCTTTTATTGGATGACGAACGTTAGTTAACAAATCGCTTGTAAAATTGTGCAATATTGGTAGAAAATGCTTCAAAGACACACAAAAGAGTAAAATTTGAAAATACAATTTATATTTGGAGTTATCGAATCCACTGGTGCTGACGTGATATATTTTTTCACTTATTTTTGATGGTAATTTTATTGGTTTATTGGTGACCAAAGTCAATGCATTCTTCACTGCCCATGATGTTTATCTAAATAAAAGTTCATCGATCTTTCGATCCCATTCGCTTCGAGCAAATACAGCGTCGTTGCAATTCGAGTTTGAACAGCAAAAGTGGCAAACATGGTCCTAAAAATAAATACAAATAAAATTTAACAGATTAAATTAAGAAATAATAGTACAGTATTGAAAATGTTGCTATTTTGATTTATCTTTTTACATGTATTTATATGCATTTTACTGACGCGCTTTTAAATGTCAGATAGAGGAGCTCCAAGGAGTAATATTACCAAATAAGATGAAAAGTTTTCCTTACCACTTCTTGTGACTGCGCTCTGGTGAGAGTTTGGGAATAGCAACCCTTTGTGTTGTCCTCACACGCTTTAGCAGTTTTGCATTCTCCATAAACTTTGTACGAATCTGGCTTTATTTCAAGCTTGACCTGACACGAATTCTTAAAAACAATTAAAACAAAAATTATGAAAATATGTTCATATTATTTCAACACAAAATTTGAAACGCATCCTGTTTTAAGTCGGTGAAGTTATTGGAATGATTCTATATTTACTATCAATCATTAACTGTGAGTCGCCGTGCGTATATAACTCCCAACAAAGCTCAGCAATCTATTTTTCTGATTTGTTTATATTCCTTGTCATGCTAGGTTACCAAACTATAAACAATTTACCTGCAAGTACTTGCATTCTTTAACCTCGCTTGTAAGATCGTCCAATGTATCTCCAGAACCAACATAGCAAGTCCTCCTCGGCACTGGAGTTGGTTCTACGGCTTCACTTGTGTCGACGGGGTCAACAGGTTCAACAGTGTCATCAGGTTCAGCAAAGTCAATGGGGTCGACGGTATCAAATGGATCAACTCCGTCTACACCTTCAAAAGACTCATCAGGGTCACCGGAGTCCACGGTTTCAAAGGGTTCAAAGGGTTCAACAGGTTCAACAGGTTCAACGGGATCAACGGGATCAACAATGTCTTCTAAAATTGATTATATAATAATTGTCTGTTCATTAAACTTTAATGAAAAATAAGAAGTATCTCTTGTTGCGTCTCAGAAACTACTTAATTCAATGTTTTATCTCAAAATATCTGTCTGAAAATATATTGTAACAGTTCAAATTGAAACTATTTCATTGTTTTACACCAATATTAATCAATCATTTCAATATCAAGGATTTTTGTATTTCGGAAATATGCAAAGAGCAAAGTTTTTTTTATGACTTATTATTCTCAACATACAATGAATTTTGATATTAAAATGATTGTAATTAATATTGCTAATGAATAAATAACGTGCTATGGTATTAGGGATTACCCAAAACTTTAGAATATAAATTCTTTTGCATATAGTTTGCGGTAGTTTTGGTCTACTCTATTAATTACTATGAAAGATAAATATTTATGTTATTCTTACCTTGACCGAATGTCAGTCCAATAACCAGAGAAATGAGAAGAACATATTTGAGAGCCATCATGGTTGTTTTCAAAAATCTATTTAACCTAGTGCGTTAACTAAATATATCTAACTAAACATAATAAAAATTTTAATTCTTCAGCCACAAAAACAATAATCCGAGTGACATGAAAATGGTATGGCAAGCAAGAAGTATATCAAAATATTGGATACAGTTTAGAAACGTTTATGGCAATGAGACCTGTGAGTTTTAATCAATCTGGTATGCACCATACAGTTTTCATAGTAACGTATCTTAAATAAAGTCAGTAAGTAAATGCAAAATTGTTATTGCGAACATATGCACCTTAAAAAGGTTGTATACTTGCTTTGCAATACCCCAAATTGTTACTACTCCTATGGTGACCAAATTCAATACGAAACATTAAAACAAAATTGGAAAACTTGACATATTTTTTAATGACCGCATTTTATTAATTTACCAAGTTTGGTTTGGATACTAATACAAAACTAATCCAAAACGACCAATGTAAAGTGAGGGAATAATGATAAACACTCAGTATTTTTGATAAAACATCTGATTTCAGATAGCACATTGACAGAGATCTCAAATAGGATTCCACCTAATTTACGTGAACAAACAGTGTATACAAATATATATGATATGATTAGCTCAATAACAGTTTTACTTTCGTTCTATTGTAGTAAACATGGAGCAAATTTATATGAGGATACCATTTGTGTCATGCTCCTCACTACTCAAATCCAGTTTTGTAAGAGGATTCCTACGACAATCTAAAACAAACTGATCGAATTCATTTTTTCACTAGTTTCAAAAAAAACTTCAGCTCAGTTTTTGAACATATTATTGCGTATTAAAATCTATTTTTATTCTTTTTTTTTCATGTTTTTTTTCTACATCTAATCACCACAAAGGGAGTATTAGTTAAATAAAATCTAAAGCTTCTCTTTATATCGAGAATTCTATTTTAAGAGTTTATTTTGTTGTCGTCGTAACAATCTTTCAGCATATTTGGCGGTATTGCAATAACTTTCACGGCAACAAAAATGGCAGACATGCTCCTGTAGAAAAAAAATGCATTATAAACTTCGTTTAGAAAAAAAAAAATTGCTGAAAGAAAAAATTGATGGAAATTACCGCTTTTTCAGCCTCCTCTGATGTCATAGTAGCACTGTAACAATCGTGGAACTTGGCATTATTTTGGCAAGCCCGAAATTCTTTGCATTCTCCATAAACCCGCATTCCATTTGAATTGATTTCTACTTTGACTTGGCATGAATTCTAAAAATAAGCATTAGGCTTTAAAATAGAAAACATTGCAGTCTGCAATCTGTTGATAAGGTAAACATTAATCAGACTAATATTCTTGACTCGCAACAAACCACATAATTAAGTACTAAACAAAACTCGAGAGAAATATTTACTAAGTCTATAGATGATAAGACGACTTTAACCAAAATGAAGCGTACCACTATAACACTACAAATATACAGAAGCAATGAAAGATAAATTCTTGATAGCAAAACAAAAGATAAGACAGAAATGTTTTTTTATTTCACCACTAACCTCTAGAAAGTTGCACGTTTTGTTTTTTGATTGTATGTCAGTAAAGTTACTTCCGAATCCAACGTGACATGATCTTCTATAAGCAGGAGTCGGCTCAATCGTTTCTGCAACTTCTTCACTTTCATCGGCGTCTTCCCCAGTTCCATCGTCGATTACAGTGATCGTATCTTCTCCACCTACGTCAACTACCTCTACCGCGTCAACATTCACTTCATCTCCGCCAGCAGTTCCTTCAAAATCATCAGTTTCTAAAATAGAATATGCATTAAAATTGATATAAGGTATATTCAGCCCAACGCCAAAAAAGTTATTTCCTCAACCCCGCCCAAATTTCAAAATAATCAAGTACGAATTGTTCTAATGACATACGAAAATAAAAACAATTGTTTGAGGATTTTTTCATCGAAAATGAACAATGCAAACTCATTTGATATAGTATCAAAGATAGATGTAGTCACGTTAGAAAAAAAAAACTATGTTTAATGAAACATGCTGATTGGGATTAACTATATAAAACGATTGACAAAATTAAAAATATTACACATACAACTTGAATATATTGATTATACTGTATTTTTCTTCGTGAGTTCAAAATCACATCGAGTAATCGTAAAGATTTTGTAGGATAACGGGAAAAATACCTTTAGAAACCTTGAACAGATATCATCATAGTGATGTATAGTAACGAGTAGGCAGGCCTATAAGATCTTAGGCTTTAGCTTTAAAATGACCAGTGTTATCGAATGACTTATATAAAGATAAAAAATTTTGTAACATTGAAACATGATCTTACCTTGAGCTAGAGCCAAGCCCAGAGTTAACGAAACAAGAAAGAATTTGAATGAAAGCATAGTCGTTTCAATGTTTAATGTAACCTAAAACCTAGTCTATTCTAAACTGGATAAAGTATAAACATAATTTTGTACAACTAAACTTCAAGCTTACCATTTACAAATGGACTCAAATGTTTCAAATCAGTAGAATGTTATTATATATTTTTTCCTAAATAATATATAAATTTGCCAACCTCGAAAAAAATGTAGCCAATCACAAAACGCGAACGTGTCTTATAAAAATTGAATTCTACCCCAAGGGCAGAACGGGACGTATTGTATAAAAAAAATACACGTACGCCCGTTAGGTTCTTGCTCAAAAACCAGTTTGTCAGGAACAGATTCATAGTATTAAAATCATACAACCAAAATATTATTGAATAATATAGAATGAAACAATATTATCTGCCAATACTCGGAAGGTTTAGGACGTTTATGTCCTACCCTTGGTTTATTGATTCGAATTTGAAATTGAAACTTGAACCGATGATCAAGTTTTTCTGCCTGACATTTTGGTAATCAAGGTAATTTGAAACCAAGTTAGGACCCGTGCAAGCACTACAGATAAATGTGAAGTAACCGTTCATTTCGTGGCAAAATACTGAGTCTGCTTATAAGTATGACCTGAGGTTATTAATGCCTTCAAATGACGCCGTTTTGTGCACGTATTGTCATTAATATAATTAATGCGACTTATGCAGTAATTGTACATAGATGATTGAACGTTTCAAACGGCCGGTTTCTCGTGAGTTGATTCAGTGATGACTCGTTTGAAAGAATGGTCCTCTATATTTAAGACTTGTTGCTGTGTTTGCTGACATAAATATTTTTGGACCAATTATATGTTACAAAATAATAGGATGGTATAAGACATTTTCATATCATTCATAAAAAGCTAAAGCAGTATATTAGATCATGGTAAAACACAAATGAGTATTTGGTGTTATTTAATAGCTTTTGAATTTCTATAAATCATTTTTCAATGCTTAAAAAGAGAAATTGACTGACGCAAATTTATTCTGCAAATACAGAAATAATTGAAAAAATGTTCAAATTTTTCAGTTGTCTAGATATATTTAGTCTTTCCATCAAATTTCGCAATGAAAATTAAAAGATTCTCGTGCCCATATCTTTCGGATGGCATAGACGTAGAAGCCCTTTATTCGAAAAAGCTTCATGAAGTCCAAATTCGTTTATGTTACTGTTTTGATATGTTTTGATATGTATTTATGATTCAACTTATCAAAACGTCATCTTGATACATTTGATTGATCTTTTGATTAAAGATGCGTATGCACCGTTTTCAATAATCATTAAAGAATTAACTTGAACAAGAATGAAATTTGAGTGATATTTGTAATTTATGGGAATTTATGCTGGCGGTGTCGCAGGATTTCACATTACAGATATTTAGTAAAATAACAAAATTATTATTGTTATATATTTTTTTTCCAAATAGCGATATTTCAAAGCAATTCAACTCATATTTAAGTGAAATTATCTGAGCATATTATGTCATACCGAAAGTATCATTAAATTGCCTGGTTGAGTTTACTTGGGGCATAATGATTCAGTAGCTATTATCCATTGTTAGGCGAATTAAATAACTTTTGAAGTGGCTAGCAAATTAGAACGAAGAGTTTTAACTAACCGTCGAATTCAAAATCAATAAAATACTGAGTTCGTTTAAACTTTAAAGTATCCTACAATTAAATGCTAACCACCAAGTTCAACGGGGCTCTTTGTTATCAAGAGTTATCAATCAATACCATTTGACATGAAATTACCGTATCTTTACTGTGAAAACAATTACAATTTATTAAAATCTAACGTGCTAAAATCTTTGCCGCGGGTGTGTATGTTTTCACAACGGAGATAATATCAAAAACTAGGTCGTCCTCTGCAACCGGTAAATCAACAATACGGCAAAACTGAACGTAAGTAAAGCTAAAAATAAGTCAGCTGTTATGTTATAATTTAAGATATTACTCCGTACGCAAAAGCCTACACGGAGACAAATTATATGCGCAATTGGTATGGGAACGCTACTGATATAAACATATGGGATTTCTGATGAACTTCTTGTGCTTCTACCATTTTGCGACGGTAGATTCATATTTTCATAATGCAATGACGTTGTCGCAAAAGTGAAGATATATATCTATTCTGAACAATTCAAAAATTTTCCAGCACGATAGCACAATTTTTTATGAAAATACAGCAAAAATTACTTGTTGTGGCTTTGCAAAGCAGTAATTTGGAGATGTTATCAGGTCGTATTTATTATCTGTGACGCTAATATTACATTTGAAAAATTGAATTAAAAGTCAGTCAGGAACTTTTATGCGCCAGACATTGCTATAACATAAAAAGTAAACTATTATTTATGAGTTTTATATTCAACTAAGAGATTTGCATTTATAATGCATTGAAACCTATCAATACCTCGCAAGATATATACATTTGTTGACGAAAAAAAAAATTAATAACATCTACAAACTATACAGCTTTTTATCTCACGGGAGAATCACAAAAATAGAATACTGTCATTTACAAATTCTTAATCTATGTAGCCACAATTTAAAAAATATAATTATTTATTGCGATACCGGAGATTGGCATAGTCACATTGGAGAGTGTAGCAGACTGCATTATGCTAACAAGAAAGATAACATTCTTTTTCCATTTTGTCACTGATCAAACGCATTTAAAATGAAAACAGTTTCAATTTTAACGTGTTACACGGAATGTTTTTTTACCTCCTGTAATACTCAGCTCCAGGTGGTGTCAGCCCAAACGCTAGATGGCTAAAACCGAGATGTTGCTTCAGATTCGACCGTGTTTTTTTTTTTTATCTTCTAATCGATAGCAAGACGAAATCAGAATTATGCTTTTAATGCTCTACAACTCGATGTTTTGAGTAAAGCATGGCATCTATTAAATCATATACTTCCATTTATATTCCTGACAGGTGCCAAAACGCTAATTATGTAAACGTATGGTATTGGCTGAGTTTATGCGAACATTTCCATTTGTGCCTTTGAAATAGTGAATAAGTATTCAAATAATGCTGAAGCAAGAATAAAAATATATATTCAAATGATTCAAGCTTCTTGCAGAAAACTGCCAAAAATGTATTTTGGTTCGGTGTGACCGATGTCAGATTTCTTCAGACATGCAATAGGTGACTTGGTTGACCTGTCATAGTTGAAATATCCTTTGATAAAAAAAAATTGACTTCGATCACACAAAACGTTACAATAATACATTTTCTGCTAGAGCGCAGCAAGACTACTATTGTATATTGAAAATTCAATTTATAATACCAAAGAAAAGATTGTAAAAATACGTAATATATCAGACGCACGAGACAAAACTATTATACGAAAGTAGAAGAAAATAAGTATAGGGGAAGTGGTTTGTTGTGGTTTTGTAAAGCATCAATTTGGCGATGTTATCAAAACGTACTTCCTATTACATTAAAGAATTTAAAACCGGTCCGCAGTCACAAATAAGTCGGGAACTTTTCTGCATCAGAGACCATAGAAAATTATGTTCATGTTTATGATATTTCCATGATTTTTTTCATGCCAGTATGGTCTTGTGTATGCATATCGTCTTCAACGTCATTAATTGTCAGCTTATCTATAATTCTTACGATTAACAAGACGAGTGAACATACGTGCATGCGTAGATTTTAGATCCGAGTCCGAAATTCACACTTTATAATAGGTTTAAAACAGTTATCATTTGGACATTAATATGCTTTTTATTAAATGAGATATATACCAAGATCATTCAATAAAAATATTATGATCGGAACTATAAGTACTACAAAGGTCTCTCTTTCTCTTAGTCTCTTCCAGGCGAAACCTAAAAAAAGTGACATACTTAGAGACACTATTGAATGGAGGACACAAGTAAGTGAATCACTTGTTATAGGTGTTCGTATCCATCGTAACAATTTGTCCCACATGGTGTCAGCCTTAACGTTAGATGACTCAGGCGAGCAATCGTGTCTTTTATTTTTTATTAAGCCACAAAATACTTTTATTCAGCTACTTTGCTATTCAAAAAATATGAGTTATCATCATCTCAACTATATATATCAATTGCTTGCAAATGAACCCTCAGATTCTGACTGTAAATATTCCCTTCTTTTTGTAGCCTTTCAGTTTGTACATTAGCCTAGTTTTTTTATAGACTGGTGCTTTACAATTTTGCTAGTTTCGCCATTTAAGTACTTGCCATTTAGTATCTCAACAATTCTCAATATCCCCATTGTTAACAATGTCTGTTTCAAATAGGCTTCACGAGAATAATTAAAGATTATAGTAAAAAACGAAATATATAGTAATTCGATTAACGGTCTTACAAATATTATTTTTAGTTTTTTCAGATATTTAAAAAAGGTAAGAAAAACGTCATCTTTAGAACAACTTATACAAATACAAACTTAGTTGAAATTTGAGTATAGTTTTGGCTGTTCGATTGTGTGATTTTCAAAGATACCGAAACATTTTTTTATATTATTTATTTGTCAAACAGATTATCAGGAATGCACGTATTTCACCTATTCTAACACATTAACTTATTCCAATGTTAGCCCGCGGGCACTGCTTCGTCCAAAACTGACATCCAACTCAATTTGAGCAATTAGAAGGCTTGTCCATGGGTCATATTTTTCTGTTTATCCCATCCCACGGAGAAGCCTGGCGCTGGGTATTTTTGCACATGTTTGATCAATGTAAAGGTTCAAATTACAGTCACTATTCAAATTAGGCAGGAGCTAATTTCACAACTTTCTGTATTTTAACTTTGTAACCGTTACTTTTAAAATACCAAATTGTTTTTTACTGAAGTTTGCCGGATCAATCTCACCACGTTGGGATTAAGCATTGTTTTAGAAGCACCAAACATAAGAAAAAAACATCCCAGGAAAGATCTATGAAATTTTGAAACAAAAGAAATAGAATGTGAAGCATCTATGGCAAAATGCATTCCTTTTTTGGTTCAGTGGTTGAAAGGGAAATAAAGTTTTCACATCCTATTAAACAAGACATTTATCACTTTGTGAAAATCGAGGGAACAACTTCATGAATTCGGATAGAGTGAAAGGGTCATTGGCTCTCAAATGAAATTTCTTTTTTGTACATATTGTGTATTGAGTTTTCCACAGATATAAGTTAGTGAACTACGAGTTCAAAAAATTTTTTGGGCCTTACATTGAACAAGAGAGCTATGTTCAAATATGTGAACCACGTAGGCAAACTAATATATATTTATCATCAATTCCTCGAAATTCATATGCGGTAACTTATCAGTAGCCGTATCGGAAGCCTAACAACTCGGCTACACCACACGGACAACTCGACTAAACGGACGAATCTCAGAGGGTACAAATCTACACAGGGTACCGGTGACGGTACTACAGGTACTGTCGTTGCTTTTCAAATCCTGTGACGATGATCCAGTCTTTGTGATTCAGTTTCAACATGAATCCTAATATTAACTGGTCCAAGTCACTTCCGTATTACCAGATCAGTCCAACGTTCCCCGTGAAAAAACTTCCCAATTCATAACCACCAAATCCACCGACGTTCGCTGTGTGCCAGATCGGCTGATATGCGTTCGCGAAACCGCTACAATGTGGCAAATTTTGGTGACGTCATAGAACAAAACAAAAAACCGAATCCCATGAAGCTCACAGAAATATTTGAAATGAATAAAAGTAATAGCCTCCTAGAAAAAAATTCAATCTCTAACCATTGAAAATTTCAAAGCAATGGGTCTAGTAATCAAAGAAAAAAGCGACTTTTTCATAACAATAAAATTCTATGTCAAAGAACAAGAACAACAACATAATATTAACAAGAGAGCTATGCTCAAATATAGGGACACGTGGCGTCCCCTAATTTTGATGACATCATAGCAAAAAATAGAAGTAATAGCCTTCTGGAAAAAAATTCCATCTTTAACCACTGAAAATTTCAAAGCAATTGGTCCAGTGATCAAAGAGAATAGCGATTTCTTCAAAACGATACAAAGAACAAGAACATTAGGAACAAGAACAACCAAAACGATCGCTATGTTCACTACGTGTCCAACAAGAGAGCTTTGCTTAAATATATGAACACTTTTGAAATAAATAAAAGTAATAGCCTTCTAAAGAAAAAATGTTATCTTCAACCACTGAATTTCAAAGCAATTGGTGCATTAATCAAAGAGAAAAGCGACTTTTCTAAAAACGTATCAAAGAACAAGAACAAGAGTGCCAGCATAAAATGTAAAACGATCGTTATGTCCACTGATGTATCCAACAAGAGAGCAATGCTCAAATATATGGACACGTAGAACAATTCCCCAAAAATCATATGCGGTACCGTAACTTACCAGTACCTGTATCGGGGTACCGTGATGGTACAAGGACCGAGCGTTTTAGGTCCTGTGACAATGATCTATTCTTTCTGATTATGTTTAAACATCAATTGAAATATTATGTGATCTGAGTCATTTATGTATTACCGGATCAGGTACCGCAGTCAAACATTTCCCGTAAAAAACATTCCAAAATTATATGCGTTAAATTAACTTAACAGCAACTGAATCGGGGTTCCGGGACAAATAACTGTATAGGAACTGTCATAGCTTTTCCATGTCCTGTGGCAATGACCTATTCTTCTCCATTATCAGGGGGAAATGAAAAAATATATCGATTCCCCAATAATCATATGCGGTACGATAACTTAACAGTACCGGTGCCTGTTGAGCCAGACAATCCTCGTTTGTGAGACAAATAGACCGGTACACGGATTTTCCAGAGTATGTGACGATTCCGTTTAAACGTGAATTGAAATACCAACTGATTCGATTTACTACGGTAATATAAAAACCAATACCACAGTCTACAAATATACTGACACCAAGCGAAGCAGTACTGCAGTAGTTTACCTTATCTTCAAAAAGTTTTCAGTAAAAAGAATTTACTGCAAAATCAGCCGTCACGCTTGGCGGATTAAAAACCGTGTTACTAAAATTAAAAAGGTATACAGCGGAATCTTGGATGAAATATCAGATTTCATAGAATTCATACAAAATTTAAATAGAAGTAATAGCCTTTTAGAGATAAATTTCATCTTAAACCACTGAAAATTCCAAGGAAATTGGTCCAGAATTCAAAAAGAAAAGTTTTTTTTTTCTAATTCTGTGTCAAAGAACAACAACAACAACATAATAATAATAATAATAACGACAAAACAATCCATAGATCCACTACGTGTCCAATAAAATAAATTGAAATTATGAAATTTAGGATATCAAATCTCGTTTCATAGTCGAATCCCCCTAATTAAGACTTGTCGATTCAGTCTCGCGGTGCCCGGCGAGCGAACAAGTCACATGCCTCCAAACAAGTTGTCGAAGAATGTAACTCTTTGATCATTAGAATCGCCCACATAACTACTATTGGTTGCCATTTTCATTAAATAGTGATCAAAACATGTAATATAATCAAACACTTGAGTTACGAGCTAAGTAAGACCAAAAAATGCAATTTTTTTTAATAATATCAGACTCTGGAGACTATGGTTTTAATAATTGCTACTTGCACTCCATAGTTATCGACTGTGCGTAATTATGATTGACACACATCGGCACAAAAAATGTTTTGAAAATAATTGTATTTTTGCAGGATATTTCGCACAACAACGGTGACTTACTGCTTCCTATTATTAGAAAACGTGCCAACTTCCCAACCGAATCACACTCGTCTGATATTGATAAAAACATCTCATGTAATTCTTGGAGATCTATTGAAATAATCTCGGGTAAACTTATAAATAGCGTTGTTGCTTAGGGCATCAGGCAACAGCATTGATAACTTAACGAGAACTTTTTTAAGGTATATCACCAATGTAATGAGACACGATGCAAATTAACATAAATAATCAAAATATAGCTTTGGTAACAGTAAACTGAAATGGCAACCCAAAATTTGAATAAGCTAAATCAACGAGTTTAGAGATTGCAGGGTATTGCTCGTGATTCCAAGAGACCAAGACAATCGTCATTTTATTCTGCATTCATGTATGAGTGATCGTGCGCGAATTCACGAATAAAGAAGGGTCATCTGCCTATAGGCACAAGTGATCACAAAAACGCAGGTTCGGGCATTTAAAATAACATTTTAAACAATCGAATTCATTATTCTTCAAAATGCAATAACGCTTATTATGTTTTTGAACGATTTCCCTTTTGTCCTCGGGATATGTGTGTCGTAATAGATTGTAAACAACATCGGATATTGTCGCAATTCTGTTTGATCTTGTCAAACAAGTAAGAAAAAGTGTGCAATATCTACGTAATTACTTACGTTACCTGTTTTCCGATGTCAAACTTCCGGTAATACTACTTTTAAGTGAAAGTAGGGAGGTATTATTAAGTGTAGATACAAGTGATTAAGATCTCAATAAACAAGTTTTATGAGTAAGCGAAATGGAAAACAATTATTGGGCCACGTTTATTGGTCGCAAGTGTTGTGTTTTACGAGGTTACAATAATTACCGATCAGTTATATAAGAGAACAGGATACGGCAGCAAACAAGTCAATTCGGTCGCCAATTTCTACGATGCAGTATTTTAATTTCCTGTCACCGGGGCTCGATGTATTGGCTGAAAACAAATATAGTTATTACAATAGATTGAAAAAAATAGAGAAATAATAAAACTTATAGTAGGGAGCGCGTTATATTAATCGTTATGTTTGACCTTTTTTAATTCCATCAGGATCTCTATTTAACAATTTCGCTTTTGATTTTACTTTCAAGTTGTAACTGGCAACTTTTATTTTCACAAATTACAATGAAGATAAACTTCATAACTTTCAGGTGGAATACATGATGCTTCGTATACATTAAATATTTGATTGACTTGGTTTATTTGCCACTTTTTTCGTCCCAAAAACTGCGATACTTTCAAGGTTTTCAAGGTTACAAGCGAATAATTGTTTTCGTATTTATATGTTGATGTACGTTCTCGAATAATACTTGAATAGGTATAACTTTATACATTTGTTTAACATTACCAAATAGAATTCCATAGTTTTAATTAGTAGAATTGACGTACTCTGAGCAATGAAGATTGTTATCTTTTTCGTGGCATTATTTGTTTTCGCATATGCACAAGGTGAGTCTACTTTTTTCCTAACTTCTATTCGTGACTAGAACTAGTTGAACAAAATATTGAATGAAAGGTGTTTGAGTATAGATTAAATCTTGTTTGCCCTTCATGAATGCGAAAAAAGTATTCTGATGAGATTCATTTTTGACTAAAAAATTAGTTCAAACTATCTAATGTATATTGAAAAAGCATGTCATTCGCGATGTAATCATTATAACGTTTACTTTGTAACAGAGGATGCAGAAGAAGTTGATGAAGTTCAACAAACACCCAGATGTAACAGTGGTGACACCTTCTTCAATGGAACATTGACAACCAACGAAAAACCTACAAACTGCTCGGCCGCACACGTAAGTAAAAAGACACCACTGAAATGCTTACTGGTATAGACTGTTGTTGTAATTTAAATAGAACGCTATATCTTCAGAGGGGAGTAATATTTAAAAAAAAACAGTCTTTTTGAAATATAACATTCTTTTTGGAGTAATTGGATTATTCTAAAATCAACCATTTCTGATTAAACATTATTAATTATAAATTCTCATTTTTAGTCAACTTGTCAAACCAAATTGGAAGTAGGTCCAGATTCTTACAGAATCTATAGGCAATGCCAGAGTGCAGAAGCTTGTGAAAATAATCAGAAAAGCAACCCACAACAATGCTATTCGGAAGAAGCAGAAGAAAAACAGGTGAGAAATTCAAACTTAGTAATTAAAAGAGCCAAATCTCTATCTTTGTTTCTATATGAGGCTTTTTCATATCATCAATTTAGACAGTTGAGATCTAATATTTTGGAAAAATTGGAATCTCACATGATCGGAGTTTTTTACTCAATTTATTTCCCTTCCTCCGAAAAATAGTAGACATTTCAGTAGGCAGAACTTCCCATGTTTTTAAACGTGCTCGTCAAATTCCGATAGTTTTTTACATTTTCTGTCTATTTCAAATTACTTTTATATGATGCGCTTTAAACACTATCTTGTTATCAAATAATAACATGTAAAAACGCTGTTTTAATCTTTCAAACAACAACGTTACAGGAAAAGGTTTGTCATTTTTGCTGCCGAGGAGATTTTTGTAACGATGGGAGTGAAATTGATGTTGTGTTGCCAGTATCAGACGATTTTGCTGACGAAGACGTAGATGAAGAAGCTTAGTTAACGAAATGTCTGGCGTTCTTGATTTTTTGTATTAGTTGTGGTGATTAGTGTTTAAATTTTGATTGTGTTAAAATATATTTGAACAAAAAAAAAATTTAATCATCGATGCATATTTATGACTATTCATATACGATGGTATATCGGAGGTAACTTTTTGTGTCTACATGTGAAGGAAATTGATTGACTTAAAGTAAATACGACATTTGTATAATATATAGACCAGGGGTGGGCACAATTTTTTAGTATAAGAGCCGCACGCTGCAAGTCAGAACTTTAAAAGAGCCGCAGAATTTGTGAATTTCTTAATATTATCGAAATACTATGAACAGAAAAGAAATTCACACAAGAGTCTAATAACAATAAATAGATAAACAAGGCAACTCTGACAACTCGGTTTTCATCTTCGTACTTTCGTTTTTTTTTTAATTTTGGACACATCGCACAGTAACTTATTAGACTAACTAACCGCAATCAAGCTGCAATACCGCCGACGCATCAATAAACATTGACCATTGTGACGAACGATTTGCTGACTCGACTGACTTAAATTCAACGCTACAGCGATTTTCATACTAAAACATAATTTGTCCTAATTATTGACGAAAACTTCGTTACGGCTTTTAATAAATTAAAAGAGTTTCCATTAAAGTTTTTCTCTTAGTTAAAATTTGGATAATAATTTATGTTAGCGAGAAGAGCCGCACAAAAAGTCTGGCGAGCCGCATGCGGCTCGCGAGTCGCGGTGTGCCCACCTCTGATATAGACCAATGATTTTCAACCGACGTTCGGTGGCACACTAGATTTCCGCCAATACAGCCCAGTGATTTCGCAAGTATCCATTCAAATCTGAGAATCTACATTGACTTATTTATATTGTTATAATCAAATATGATATAATGCAGGGGTGACCAACTTACTTGCCACCACGATCGACTAAAATTGTCAAAATATCTCGCGATCGACTGATCGATAAGGTCACGCACAAAAGTAAATGAGTATTGAATATGCAGATACCTGCACACACGTATTCAAAAATTTGCTGCCGCTGCCAATAAGCCTGGTACTTTTGGCGCATTCCTAATGAAACTGCCATCATTTTTTTTATTTTCCATGTTCTATCTAATTTGGTAATTTGATTATATAATTGTACCCCTTGTGAATGCTTCATCATTTATTTAGAATTTATTCAAATAATACAATTCTGATTCAAGACCTGCTCAATTTTTAGACGTAAGTGTTGGAAATTCGTCAAAAAACCTTGCATAAAACTGGTTCAGGGCAATTTTTTGAGGGATGTTATCACATTTTCTCAGCATCAGACGCGATGTATATTCGATATCGTATACTCGAGACGCGGCGATCGATTGGTCGATTGCGATCGACGTGTTGGCTACCCTATTGTCTCGTGTCAGTAAGTTAGCAAAACTGAGTTTATAAACTTATAATAATTTTTAATGTCACACAATTTTAAGCCATACATAGAGTAAGGTGGATAACACAATGTAATCCAGTATATTTCCAAAGTCTGTGTTATCACACTCGCCTCTGATTACACCCATATGAAATTTGTTTTATGGCTTGGAGGCATGTAAACAACATACGTTGGTTTGCGGATAATAACGTCACCAACAAACTAGTCTGACCTAGCTAACCTCTGTTAACAACTAGTTTATTCTGAGAATCATGCACTGTTTCCGACACGCAAATTTTTCTGGGCAAGATTATTTTTTGATAAAGCATTAATAATAATATTATATTAAACTTTTTTGACAGTAAGAATATTATGATAAACTTCAAACCAATCAGCCCATCACGTGTTTGTTTTTAGGTAATCAGGATTAGAGTCATGGATGGGGCCCGTTCAAGATTGTAAGCTTCGTCAATAAGGTGTTTTTCTGTGTAAATTGGTGATACACATATTATGGTACACTTGGTACACATATGATGTTCAGGTTGTGCGCCATCTTGATGCACATACTTCGGGAGGTTCATTTTATCTGAACTGAAACTTTCAGATAAATCTTGAATTATTATATTTTAAAATTGATGTTACTCTTGGATGATTGTAAAAAAATAAATAAATTGTCACTCGAAATTGAATAATCAGCTCAAAACTACTAAGATTTTTAATATATCAATACAAAAACTTAAATCTATCAACGTTTTGGTACACGGATATTTTTCAATGACTGTATTATTTTCTTGTTCACGAGAATAAGGAATTGGGGAACTATGAAGTGGGAATTCCTTTTTTAATGGGATTTTGGCAACATATGAGGAATGAGGAACCACAATCCTGATATGTCTCAGAGGTATACCAACCATGTCCTTCAATATGAACTTAGACTGAATATTACCATTACAAATATTTAGCGTATTTTAATCAATTTCAGCAAAAAAATACAGAGAATATTTTGGCGGCTTCTATTTTCTTAATTTGTTAGGCTATATATATTAAAGATTTTTTGCAAAGCAACGTTTTTCTGTGACATTCATCAATGGTTGCAAGCATCCTGTTGTTACTCGTATATGTTCATTATATAAGATATATAATTACAATGCATATGTCAGCGCCTGCTGTCAAATTAATGATGAAATGTCAATTTACATACGGCTGAACAAATGCAGGAACGTGCCAAAAATGCTTTACGTTAATAGCTATTGAATGTTTGATCAATGAGAATATGACTATAATGCTGCCATGGTAGATGATTACAGCGGAAATATACGAATTTTGAAATGAAAGGCAGTAAGAAAAAAATTGAATATTTTATTTTATATCATTCAACAAGAGAGTGATGATCAAATATATATATACACGAAGGCGAAAACGATGTAGTACGGATACGAAACCTGTCACAGTAGATTATACCGGTATCGCAGTCTTCAATACTTCGCCTGACCGCGAACGTGGAAACGCCACAAGGTGCGCAATTTTTTAATTTTGATGACGCTATCGCACACAAAATAACGCGGTGAAACATTTTTAACACCAGCAAAATTCTGGTAAAACGAAGGACGCCACATTAATAGTAACAACATTTTATCAAAAAAATTCATAAGTTCGCTTCGTGTTCAAAAACACGATTCGGGATGGCTGGATAACTTCATTATGCTAGCATGGTAGATTCAATCTGGTCATTCTATTACCGGGATCCAGCACACATGTTTATCAATAATTTATTTAGTGAATCTGAATACTGGCTCTACCATACTATATATATTTTAGACGCTTAATTTTGTACAAACAAACTGCCGGAGGTAAATTTATTGTTTGAAGTTTATATTTGATTGCGTTTTCTACATTAATAATTTTACACTACATTTTCTCTATTCAAATTGGAAGGAAAAAGTTTGTCATTTCTGCCGTCAAAATGATTTATGTAACAACGAAAGTGAAATTGATATTTTATATTGATAGATTTAGCGACCAAATATATAAGGGGGGTAGAATAATATTGAAAACAAGGTATTTATTATTTGAATCGCATAAGACTTGTAGAAATGAAATTTCATAATTCACTGCTGAATAATTTCTGAATTTTTCTGACAATCCGGTATTTACGTGACATATTTTATTAGAATATATGATTAAAGCAATCCCATAACAATGCATGAATCAAACTTTTATCACGCTAACTAGCAATTGAGTTGTTTTTTCTTGTAAATAGAGGTTACAATTTTATTAAAAAGTAAAGTGAATGAAGAGTAAAAGCGTGGTGGATTCAAATCCACCAAAAAAAGGAATTGTATAGATTTTTTCTGTGAACATCTAAGTCAATCTTAGTTGAACGCTTACATGTCATAAAAAATTACCTGTTATGAATAACTCTAACTAAAACCAATCAATTAGAGATAAAAATAACTCGATCATAGGTAGAATGAGATCAACAGCTATAGGAAAGTTACCAAATATATACCAAACCTCGATCATATATTGGACAGAATATTGTTGTTGAATGCCATATTTTTTATCTCCATTTTGTCATGAAAAAAGGCCTTATAAACAAAAAAATTGGCGATTTTATTAAAATAGTTCGTGAATATGTGGAGATCGGAACAGAATATATTCGTTTTATCACTGCTAGATATGATTTTGGGTAGATTTTTTTAATTGTACAATTTTCCTAGCAATAAATTTTGCTGGGCCCATAAAAAATAATTAAAACGGGTAGTTTCAACGTAAAATTATAAAGGATCATAATTTATATTCATCAAAAATGATTGATTTGGTTGTTTCTGAAACATTGAAAGCTTTTATGCTAGTGGAAATGCATCCAATGCTTTTCTAGAACAAATAACTCTTTTTTTTTAAATTTTAACTTCAAAATTAATTAATTTAATCTTGTAGTAAACAGGTAAATAAAAAATTGTTGTATCCAAACTATTTCTTAGCCTGACACAGCAACGTGAGATATCATATGAAAATTATCTTTAAAAATAAGTAACCGTAACCTATGTCGAAATGTTTGACCTATCACAAACAATTGCATTTTGATAACACAGTATGAATTCAATACTGGTTAACAGCAAATGTTTTCCCTGACATTTCTTCATTAGACATTTACTTCACACCATTTACTTATTAAAGTCAAGGATCTATTTCTATTATATTGAAATATGTTTTATATGAGGCACCGAATGACCAAACTATCGAATATATCATTTTCTTTTTATCTACAATTTGATACTTAATTCACCGCCTATTATGAAAAATAGCGACACACGTTATTACATAAGAAGCTTCCAAAATATGCATTAATTTAGAGCAACACATTTTAATCAGCATGAGCAATATATTCTTCTCATAAATTGACGAATTGAAATTAATAGAAGAAATTGTTAAACAAACATATACCACAATGTAACACTTTCGTAAATGTCGACTTGCACGTCATCTCAATGCGTAATTAATCTATCATTATTGTAAAGATTAGAAAAACCAAAGTTTATTAAACAGACATGTATTGGTACGTCTGAGCATGACTCACTGGGTTTAATTTAGCCTGAATACTAACACGAAAACTGTGAGAAATATTGATCAAAATATGACGCAATTTCAAAGTAATCTAAGAATAATTTACTTTAAATATATAAAAACTAGTGGGCTTAGTTTTATAGATACTCCTCAATATGAATATTATCTTGATATTTTGTGTGTTTGCACGCTTAACGAAACATACTCTTCACGGATATGTATTGTATATTTTTCCTCGTCTTGTTACGCTATTTACTTTCGTTTTCTCTAATTACCCGTTCGCAGGTTTGACGCTATTTTTTTGTGTATTCAGCATAATATCTGTTTTGAAATTTCTTTTTAAGTTATATAAAGGAAATAATATTGTTAGATATAACTTGTTCAGCCAGAAGAAGAAACACAATGTACGTCAAACTACTTTTTACTGCGTGTTTAGCGATTTGCATTGAGAAAGTTGTTCTTCAAGGTAAGTTGTTTATTTGTATACTCATTATAACTGATGATTCTTTCAAGCTGTTAATTAATAGGGTACATGTGACATAGGAGATCACCATCACTAAACGACAGCTTAATAAAGCATGTAACAAACATGTTTACGTATCTGAATACCTTCATGTGTGGTAGTCAAAGGATGTTAACTATGATTGTTTTAAATAGAATTGCTTAAAGCGTGATCGCGCGTACCCAGTCAGAAATGAAAAAGCCTCATTTCCAAGCAAAGTTACGAATACTATAATAAATATTATAGCATAAAAATACGAATTATTAAATACCAAATACCGGAAAGCTTAGGTTAATACGATCCGAAAAGCTATGACGTGTATTCCACATAACTGAGGTTCTTGGTGAAACGCTTTGGGCATAAATTTTTGAGTGAAATAGGTACACTGCAGAAAACGGATGGAAGTTTACTGACAATTGGCTGGAAACTTTACTTGGAGAGACAAGCTCCGAAATTTATTTTATCCAAAGTATTTCTCAGTTCAGAATATTACAGTTCATTATAATATATGTAGAGTTTTGTACTCATTTTGTCACGAATCGGCACTAATTTTACACTGGTGATTGACTCTTTTTACAAGCATGACGTCCATACGTAACTCCATGTTATTTTGGATTCTGAGTAAAGGCTGCTTTTATTAAAATCATATTTCAAATATCCAGGTTTTAACGATGGCTTCGATGACTTTAGTGATTTATTTGACGATATACCACCAACAGTTCTTCCAACACCCACTAAAGATCCAGAATGTTATATCGGTAGAACATTTTTTAATGGAACTCATATTACATTGAACAATCAAACGAGTGAAGTCTGTTTGCCGCACGAGGTAAAACTTTTTCATTAGAATTTATTACAGATCCTAATTTCTAGTGTTCCGAAATTTATTGAAAAAGATTTAAAATAATAAAGAAACAACAAATTCATTATTAATACAATGATCAGGAATGTATTTGTCGAGTTTGTAGTGATTTTAAATTGAATTATGAATTTGATGACTTTTTTATTCGTTCTTTTTGAAATTTGCAATAAGATTTTTAACAAATTGCTACATTTTAGAAAACATGCCAAACAAAAGTAGAAATTGGACCAGAAAGTTACAAAATTTTTCGTCAATGTAAAGAGCCAGAAGTTTGTAAGAACAATCAGGCAAATAACAATCAAGTGTGCTACTCAGAAGAAGCAAAAGAGAAAGAAGTAAGCACGTCCTTTATCCACACTTTTAAACGTTCTCTCATCCTCTCATTTGTTATTTCCAATTTCTATGCCGTTCCCCTTGTATTTGTATATCAGTTATGTATCATACACAATGGAATTTCTGAAATATTATTTATTTTCATAAACAGGAGCAACTCTGCTATTTTTGCTGTCAAGGAGATTTTTGCAATGATGGAGAGGAAATCGACGTATTGTTACCAGGAGCATTACCTCAAATGGACGAAACCGATGGTCTTTAAATCTGAATTATCTGTATTCTATCCACCCGATACCGATTTTTGAATTTTCTTTTATTGACTTTTGTTGAAGACCTTACATCATAAATCCTTTGTTTAAATCTTAAAATTAGTTTCCTTGTTTAGTAAAACATTCAGGATGTATATGATGCTATTATTTTCAATCAATTTTCAATAAACTGTTTAATGAATGCTCAATGTCCTGATTATTTCGATTTATACTATTTGTCAAGTTTTATATTTTGATGTCCGAAATAACATAAATCGATTCAAAGATTCAATAGTTTTTGTCATATTTTGCCATATCATTTATCAACCTTTGTGGCAACAATTAAACTGTCAAGCTGTTCACTCACGACACAAACAGCCACAATATATTAAAATTAACTGTATTTCCGTTCTTCGGGTAATGATGCTTTATATTAAACATAATAGAAGTGGAAATATTTGTTGGTATATATTAATAGAACTTTCAGAGCATGTCGCTCTTAGAATCGAGCCTGCTTACAAATTTGTTCTTTCACAGTTTAAGAATATGAGAAAATAAATTTGGGAAATTTGAAATAAAAATTACTGTTTTTACCCGCCAAATCATTTAACTATTTTTATGTAATTTCATACCAATGGAATCTTTTTGAATAGTACTTTACAATAGATTAATCAATCTAATGATCTCGGGTGTCCTTGGGTCATTTTGACACCCCTCTATAATTTTTTTAATATTTCACCAACCAAAAATGCCAAAGACATCATTAATGTGTCCCTAAAAAGCTTATTTTTGTCGCTTTCCACTAAAACGCGCCCAAATTACGTAGCGTAAATGCGTCCGCCCATATGCCGGTAAGAAGAGAGAAATTTCAAAAATATTCGAGAAAAAGTTTCTCACTTTTAACGCTGGGGTCAACACGTGATTGATATGCGAGAGAAAGAGTTTTCCTTTGGACGAGTTTTACGTCACCTTCAAAATAAAACAAAAGTGGGATTTATAAGTGAAGTGATATTCGTTTTATTGAAGAGCATTTGATCGAGTGCTGTCTGTTATCTTTGTTTGTTTATTATGAGCCGGAGAACGTTGCTCGCGCGTTCAAAATACTTCGTTTTCAACTAACAACAGATTCTTTGTTCATTTTTAAGCTTTGAAATACTTATACAAATAAAATTGACCTTGTTGCAAAATAAAAATTATACATAAAAAAATATGATGACGTCAACGTAATTAAGAACACTCGGATCAAGCATGGATAATTTAAACTCGAACATTTTGAGTTTTGAAATTGGTTTTGTTCACATGCAGACCACTATGAAATACTATTGACCCCCCAAAATACATTTAATTCAGCCATAATTCCAAATTATGACACAGATTAGCCATTTATAACCGGTCCGATCCTACCCGTACACTACGAGCAATAAAAGCACTAGTGGTAACTAATTTTTCATGGTGACCGTACATTTGAACCCACGTACATTTGAATTCATGTGTATATCCGCGGGTTTAATTTATCTGCGGGTGCTAAAACCCATGGGTTAAGGTTAGTATGAGTTCAAATATCCGCAAAACAAAACAAAATTCCATAGGTGCAAAAGTATGCAGGTGCAATTGTCGTGGTTTTAAATGTACCTGGATTCAAATGTACGGGAACCAAAATTCATTTCTCATATATTTCATTTGTTTTCATTCTGATTTAACTTCCTTTAATATAGGCAATACTGAATGAAGCCCTTGAATTTCTTATTTTTTACGTGACTTTTAAAACACCGATAATTTTGAGATCAATTGAAGGTAAAGTTGAACATGGAGTCCCACATTTCAACCTGTCTTTTATTACTATTTTAGCAAAAGTTCGGGTTCGCTTGTTATATGTTAGCGCCGCAGAATGATCTTCAATCCCGATTCCCACCACTTAGCCTAGTGAGTAGGAATGAGTCTAGTTAACGAAAAATAAAAAGATAAACGGGCAACTTCCAATGGAAAAAGTACAATTTTAGTATAAGTACTCATTTTTTGTTCAACAAACGATCGTCCAAATTGATACCTCAATAGAAAGTTACAACAAAACGCTAAAACAGGTTTTTGATAGATTTCAATATTCTCATAGTTATTCCTATAAAGTAAAATTGTTTTAGAAAAAAATACAAATATTCAATTCAGTCTATTTTAGAATTTTCATGCAAATTGATTGCGTAGTATAAGAGAACCAATTCTCTTTATCAAATGCGCATACTTTACTGGAAACGAAATAACCAATAAATAGACATGTTTTTGAAATTGAAATACCATGAAACACAGCCATAATTGTACAATTTTTTTCAATATTAAGCATAAGCCGTGGTAATATGCACTCGAATAACTTCTTATCTTGATCAAGTTTATGTTGCCAGAGGCAAATTGAAATGTAGTTGTTCATATTATCAGTAATAAAGTGAATGTTTTAATTTTAAAAATGAGATATATTTTACTCGTTCATAATAGTAAATCGATATCATTGTTTGGTATTGTATATAACATTTTAAATCAATACCACAAAATCAGCATGTCTAGATAAATGTTAATCCAATATACATTTTCGACATTGCATCTAATAGCTTTACTGAAATATTCAAGTTGGAATGCCGAATTTTCGTCCCAACCCAAAGACGTTTGATCTCGTATATATAAACAAAAATTTTGTAACATTTCGTTTTGATGGTATCAAAAAAATAACATCTACATTTTTTTACTCATTTTGGTGAGTCAGATTTTCAGTTGCGGAAAGTCAAAGAGTTGTTCACGGAATTTGATACCTAATTATTTGTGGTGCGTAGATTCTTTAGTAAGGAAAGAAAGAAAAGCTAAAATGTTGCAAATAGAACAGCTATTTTCAATGCAGCCCTATGTTGTAGAATAATTTTCTATAGTATTACTGTAAAATCAAGATGATTATGGGATGATAACATGAATATGATGGAACATTTACAGAAATAGCTTTTAAGTTCCGAAAAACCAATATGAAATTTATACCATTTTATGAGGTTTTATTTCTTTTTATTTAGTATAGATTCTGTAAATCAGATACGGATACGTCATGAAAGGTGTGCAAATCCTTCTCACAATAGTTCTTAATTATTGTGCAGTCTATGGACAAGGTAAGATTTTAATAAAACAAGTTATGCCACCTTCTAATAAAACTCAAAATTAAGAGGAAAAGATTCTGTTATGATTTTTCATATTGTTCTATTAATTCATAGGTTAAATGTCACGATAAATACAATCAAATTTATTTCCTCTTAGACACCACAAAATGTTCAGCATTTTACATTAAACTTTTGTTGCAGATGGGACGGAAGTAGGGGGCGGAATTGGTGGTGCAACGGGAGCAGGATTCAAAGTTTCATCGCCAATCAATTCAGAATCTAATCGATGTTACTGGGGGATGAATGAATATGACGGAATCAATGACAAAGATCACAAATTTGAAAAAGAAGTTGCATGTTCCTGGGGGAAGGTAATGCTTTTACTAAGTCAATAAAATTAAATTTCCTTACAAAACCTGGGTTGGTAAACATAGCTTTCTCATTTCACATAAATTAATTTCCAATTAATTAGTAATTTCCAAGTGCAAGTCATTGGGTAAGCTATTCCGTGGAAAGGTCCTTCCTTCCACATATAAACGGTGTAAGTCGCAATTCTATATAATTACATTTCTATTTTTTTTTTTAATTTTATTTAGTCAAGATGCCAAGTCAAACTTGAAATCCGACCAACCGGTTACAGTATTTTCAAAACTTGCAAGGAACCTGAAGCTTGTGAACGAAATATTGCAAACAATCCACAACAATGCAAAAAACCGTACGCAGCTAATATGGAAGTAAGAAAATTTTCGCATTATAATAACTGTATTTGTAGGATGCATTTATATTCATCTTTTCAACCTTTCTTATCGCATTATTACTAGTGTTTCTACTAGTATTCCAGCTACACTTCTTCATTGTTATGTCTCCAGACTTCTCGTTCTCACATAAACTGAAGCAATTAAACAAATTTTGAGAAATAAAATATTTAAACACTGAATATATTTTTATTTTTTAGCATCGAGTTTGTCATTGGTGCTGCGATGGAAACTTATGCAATGTCAACGATCTTATCCCTATTGATTTCAATGCAAAAACCAAGATACCGAAGCAATAGTTCAAGTAGTGCATGCTCATATACTTCGACAAAATGTTAAGAATCTGATTATAACACTTTCACAAGGACATCAGAATAAAATCGTATTAATTATAAAATAAATGCTGAGCGATATTTTTTTTTATTGTGATATCACATTTTAAATGGAAATAAATTAGGTTGATTCTTGGAATTCTATTTTTGTATTTTTTCTTTCGGGATTCGGAGACAATACTTTGTCTGGAAAGAGATTTAAAAAGAAGGTTATGTGAGAGGGAAAGTAATAGGAACGCATATAGTAAATTGGAATATTTCATCCAAAGGTAAATCAACTTCGTAAGTGACAAAATAATAAAATATCAGAAACATATAATTGTTTGTAAACGCGAAATACGCTGGGAGAACGCTTGTACAAACCAAACTTATGGGAACGGTTCAAGATTGAGGAATACAGCCATAGAGAGTTGAGGAAAGAACAAATGCGAGTCGACAAAAAGATGGTAGCGATATGGCTATTGTAGATTTCCACATAAACTAAAACTTTAATTAAACAATTTCATACGTTGTTCATTGATTTAGATTAGGCCGAATCAGCTCGCCTGCTTGGTCGGTCATTAGCATCAATATTTGAATTACAAAGTGAAATGTATTTAGTTTATTCAATATCAGAGAAGAAAACCTAATTTGTATTAGACAAATACTCGAGGTGAAAAATCCAGTTGCCCGGAACAAAATTATCTGCAATGAGAACGAGGATATACTTTTCAAAACGGTGTAAATATCAGATTTGAAAAGCTTCGTTACACGCCAGTTAATAATTGTAACTACGTGCGTCAAAAGTCCAGTATAATGTTCGATTCATTTGCTTTTCGTTGTATTGTTGTAATTGTCATTAGATTTTTCATGAATCACATATTTGTTAATATTGTAATCACATATTAGTTTAATCGTTCTGATGAAAAAAGATTAAGAATCCACGAAAGGTTTCATCAAACATAACCGGACTTTAACGTGGTATTTTATCATAACCGTTTCTTTGTCTATAAATAAATATAGCAGCTAACGTCCATCCCTCGTAAATAATGAATCAAAAACAATACTAGGAATTATATGGTATAAACTGTATGAGATCTAATTTTTGAAGTACAATGTACGCCTAGTGTCCGTGACGTAAAACTAGTATTATAGATTTTAATCCAACGTACGAAAACAAAACACGTATTCGCCATGCGATGGTTGAAATGTTAAACGTTTAAAACGACCCACCCTGAAGGGATATTTAAGAAGTTTTCAAGTTGAATTTGTTATTGCCGTGCCAGTAATGATTTTGGTATAAAACGGGAGTCTAAATACCAAACCATATTTGATACAAACGGAGTCTGAACAAAATATAGTATTTTACCGGATTACCTCGCAAAAACAGCAAAACCGGTTTCACTAGTAAAACGATTGTGCTACGTACTTATACTGACACTTAATAAGATATCAGTTTTGAAAGAATAGTTGTTGGAGGTGTCAATCTTATACCAAATTACAATTGTTGATATGTTCAATTTTACTTTTATCTGTTGAGATAGATTTGCCGGAAAGAATAGGTCTCCATTTTTATTTACCGCATTAGGCTTATATGGAAGAAAATTGGTATGAATTCAATTCACTGCCTCGTCGGTTAGCGATCCAGTTAGGATATGAGAAAACCTATGAAATAACGCACCGCTTGCTGTTATTAGATTGAATGTATTTATATTTAAACTACTAGTAATATTTGGCATTTGTGATTTGTTCGACTATGTTCAGAAGTCTCCTTTGTTTGCAAATACAATGCCTTTTAGTAGTATGCTATTTAGTGTGATGTCTAAATGTACATTTATAATGCGAATTTTTTTCTTTTTGTATTAAGTTTTTGTTACAACTATAAAGCTGTGGCAATCAACGCAAACAACTACAACCATGAAATACTACATTTTTGTTCTATTGTTAGCTCTTGCAAGTAACAGAGCTTTTGCTCAAGGTGAGGAAATAGTTGCTTCTAAAGCAGTATATGGCATATCTAATTTCATAAGTCCAATTGCCTTTTGCCATACATGGGACAAAAAAGATACATTTCAGACTATCAAATTTTAAATTGATATTCATTAAAGAAACTTTGGAATTTAAATTTATTTATTGTGAAATATACAACCTTGTACCCGATTGCCAGGTCAAGTTTGGTACGATTAAAGATTCGAACATTCCAAATCAATGCTTGTAATTGGTGAGCGCCTTATCATAACAGTTGTTACGTTAACCCATCCTGCGATGGTTTTAGTAAAAGCTTGGTTGTAAAGCTAAGTAATTACTTCATGGTATGTAATTGCGTTAAGAAGAAGAAGGAGACGAAGAAGAAGTTCCAGATTCTGATTCCCAAAATGTAACATTTCCCGCAATACCAGAAGTACTTGAGGAAAATCAGATTGTCTGCTATACTGATTGGAGAAACTATAAAAACGTGCGACAGGCCTGCCCAGTCGGTGAGGTAAGCCCAACGGAACATAAAAAATTCTAAAACTTTGACATCGATATTGCTCACTTTCAAATTTTCCAGCATATTTTTTTCATCATATGAAAATTATTATGAAATTTAAAAATTTTAATTTATAAAAATCTGACTTAATTGAATTTTTAACTACTAATTAAGTCAAATGGCACAAGGGAAATTGCAATACCAGTACTAATAAATACGTTAATTTTCCGAAAAATATGCTAACCAAACATGTTCTGTGCAATAGATATGTCAGACAAAAGTTGAATTCCACCCTAGAAGCGATCCTGTGGTCTATAAAGAATGCAAGACACGCTTTGCGTGTAACATGAACCGGATCATCAATCAGAAACAATGTGAAGAAGGAGTTACAGTGAGTTTTTACGTCCTTGAAATTTTTTGACAAAGCACGTTTACGAATGAGTTATTAAACAAAATGTAGTTATAAAATGCTAAAACTAGATATTGAGGGAATTATAGTGCACAGCTCTCATGCTCAAAAATACCAAAAGTTTAAATAAAGCAAATTCCTTCCCTGACAGCGCTGTTTTAATTTTCAAGTCTATATTCAAATGCTATCCCCTGAAAAGGATAAACTGAAATACGTGAATTTTTCTTCATTTTTACTCATTAACATGAACATTACATTTTTCAGAATCGCGTTTGTCATCACTGCTGCTACGGAGATGACTGTAACAGTGACACACTACTTGAGGATGATGGCATTTTTTGAATAATGAAGTCTCAATGCGCAACTGCAAAATAATAGTTAAAGAATGTGAACTAAAATTGAATGCTTATTTCCATATCATTGTATTTTGTGAGAAGAAAAATTGTAGCCTATCAAGTTTAGTGAAAATAAAAGTTAAGAAAGATGCATCTATTTATGGAATGTTTGTTTTGTGTCAGCAGCTGTCAATTATGAATTAGTGAAGTATAGTCACATAATAAAATTTTAGAATCGGAATGTGGATCTTTTCATGTGAAAAACGACAACAAAGAAATACAAATATAGTTAGAGTTATGGTTTGCGATGGATTCTATGTAATTGTTAGTTTCTGCGGATATACAGTGTTTCTATCGTTATGTTAAATATAGGAAAACCTCTCTATCGCATAAAATATTTTTAACAAATATATACAAATAATAATAGACGATGAAATCGCTATTTTAAACACTAAAAGAGTGGAGACACGTGTCAAATCACAATTGTCCAAGAGTATAATGCACATACTTCCTTAATTTGGTGTCAGATCCTGGATTAGATGATTCTTGATCGACGGCCTAAGACCACCCTGCCCTAGACCTGGATTACGCGATCTGGAATCTGCTGTTAGCAACAATTGTGATAAAACATTAATCAAATTAACAACGTGATGTCCGCTCACAAGCAAGAAGTGAAGTTGTTCATTACTTATCGATCTTAAGATTGATAAGTATGTTGATAGGTATTTGTCTGTTTGTTTGTTTGTCTGTTAGATAAACGCGATATTTTGCATATGCATTCATCATATCTCGGATCAGAAGCCTATTGATTTTGGATGAATTATGTCGTATAATTAGCGAGTTATTAATTAATTAGTGATGGGACACAAGGTGTCACTATGGAGTAAGGGCGCTGTTTTGGGGATCCCCTAACTTTCGATCGATAAGTCTTCGGTCTCTGACCGATATTCTCGTATTTTTCATTGGTCATTTACAATATCTGTTAGCAAATTATAAAAATCAAACTTAGTAGGGTCAAAGTTTAACTGCTTCCAAGGTTAAATCATATCTTACAGACTGTTTGGCAAGATAAACAAAAAGGTGATTAGCGAAACTAGGAAGTTTTTTGGGGGTGCGGAAAACTACAGTACCGGTTCTGTAAAATATCTGATAATACAGTTGGGACTCGGATCATTTGGTATTTCATTCAAGTTGAAGCCTGAAAGCATGAACCATCATCGACACATGGCCTGGAAAAGCTAGGGCAGTCCGGGTATCGGTATTCCGATACACGCACTGGTAAGTTACCGTACCTGTTCCACAGTTCCAACTTTCACATTTTCAACGTTCAGGATATATTTTTTGCGGAATTGTGAGGATAAAAATTCGATTTAGCCTTCGTGTCCATATATTCGAGCATTGCCCTCGTGTGCTATCTTGTTCTTTGTGACATTTTTCTTGTTGTTGTGATGAAACGAGCTTTTACTGAACCTATTGCTTTGGAATGTTCAGTAGTTAAAAATTGTTGTTGTCGCTAGTAGGCTATTGCCTTTAATATTTTTTTTTGTTGGCTTTATGTGATTTGCTTGTTTGTATGCCATGACGATATCAAAATGAAAAATTGAGCTTATTGTAAAAGTATCGTGTTTGCGTTCGTTGATATCCGGTGGTCATGCGTAGTCGGGGAGGCTATGCAGCTACGGTACTGGTAGTCTTCTGTACAAGATTAGATATCACCCATGCCACTTAGTTTTAGTCTTCGTAGTCATATATTTGAGCATTGCTCTCTTGTTATTTTGGTAGAGAAATCTCCATTCATAATTACTGGTAGGCTATATTACCGACTGTATTACGAGTTCGTTCATGTAAACCCGATCGACCGGATTCTGTAAGCTGTTTATTTTTTGCGTGTTAGATTAAGCGCAAGTTATTATGGATCTATAAATAAACATTGGTATCAACTCGAAGAGTAACAATGCCCCTAATCGAAATTATAATCACTAGCTTTATAGATATCATGTTCAGTAATGGCCAATCTAATAAAAAGACGTTTATTCTTACATCCAATGTTGATAAAAAAAAACTAATAAAAACCACTCTTACATATAATTCCCGATATGTACACCATAAGCAGATCATGTTATGACCGAAATATACCTTTAGGCATTACAAGCCTGTTAGTTAAGTGTTTAAAAATACTCTATCAAACTGAACTGCCACGTTTTTATTTTGTAAACTGTTATGATTAAATCTGCTAAAACTATCAGGATTGGGGCTCGTTGAAATAAAACGTTTTGAGGTGCTAAGTACAGTTTGACTGCTCAATAATGAAGATATTTCTTGCAATATCATTGCTTGCTTTGTCTGGTTCACTTGGTTTGTCTGATGCACAAGGTAAGCAATTTACAATTATATGAACACGGCAACAAAATTGAATATATGTATAAATGCTGTAATGTGAGCACTATCGTTGCTGTGGGAAAGATATTGAATACCTAACTTGAGCACCATGGTGGTAATATAGCGCTACGTTCGGTATTATAAAGTAATCTTTTTGTTCCATTTTATTGTATAACCAGTGGAAAATCGAATTGATTATCTCTGCACACAGATGATACTTTTTTGTTTTGTTGCCATTAAAATTGCTACTGAAGCTGAAAGTGAGCCGTGATCGCATCAATACCATGCTTACCGGTCACAAGATGACGCTGTCTAATATAATCACCAAATAAATTTCACTCTCGACAAGTTAGTCCAGAGTGGTCCAAGGTTGCAAAATTTTAGGAAGCCTTGCGGGACGCAGTCTAAAATATGTAATCGAAATACTGCAAGTTTAGGTACTTTAAATATATCAAAGAACGAGAGTACCTTTCTAATCAGCTTATTATCGGTCGGGTCCTGCAATGGACAGTTTATTCTCTTTGTCCCCATCCCCACTTCCTTTCCATTTACCAGGGTCGCAGCCAATGGGCGGTTACGGGTGTCGTAACTCTCCCGTATAATTTTTTTTTATTGCAAAATTTCCACCTTCTACTAAAAAGCGGTTTACGGTCAGTGCATTACGGATTTTTATTCATAACGATATCAACTGTGCGTTGTCACACTAAGAAGATGAACATCGCCAGGATTTCGTCTTTACGATATATAATCCTTTTTTATTGTTGGCGTTGATGATGAGGTATATATCCTTATTAACTGAAATATGTACGCATACCCATCGTTCATGCTGATTATTGACAAGCGATGGTTCAAGGTCCAAAACTAAATTCAAATTTAGGTGACAAATAAAGTAATTAAAACGCATTAATGGCAGCATCGAAAAAATGTATCTTGAAAATATACCACAGAAAGATATTTTTCCTTGACTGATGATAACCCCTCATATTAATTAATAATTGGTTGATCAAAAAGTAGAGAGTGTCACATGCTTCTTTTCAAACTCTCGGCACGATCCCTTTAATTATAACAAATCACGGCGCATCGGAAGAAAAATAGACTTTTTAAGATTAATTAGTAAGAGTATTACATTTAATACACATTTATTCGATGCTACACGTGATCTTGTTTTTGTGCATGTAAAAGCTTATAAACGCCACTGCATATACAATATTCACGAGTCGTAAATCATATTCTCAAAATTAATTTTTACTATTTATTTCTAAATCTGGCGACATAAGAATCAATTTCTTAGGAAGTACTGTTTCATTCGAAACTCTGAAATTTTTTCAACAGCTTTTCGCTGTTAACAACACCCAATATTTAGTTCATTAAACGCCTTACGGCGTCGCGCTTTGCACCTTTGACACACTGTTTTAATTTCATCGTTAACCCCCTGATAAATAAATCATAGCTGCGCCCCTGCGGTAACGACCTCTAGACACGTTATCGTACCGACCACAGGACGTCATTCACATCGCCTTGACGTTTATAGATACAACCTTGAAATTACGTTATTTTACCAAATATCATTCCTGACATCGGGATTAAGTAAACGGTTTAAATCTTAAGATTTCAACCAGAGTTGAAATAGTTAATAAAACGTTCTACCAATAAATACAAATATCTGCCAATGGTTTAGCGTACGCTAAAATTGTTCTGCGGGCCGCTCAGAATGTGTCCTTGGGACGCATGAGGCCCGCATGCAGGGTTTGGACCACCATAAGTTAGTCAAAAGAGCAGGAACAGTCTGATAAAAATGTCCAATGGTTCACAACATTAACGAGTTTTCCATTACATTATTTTGAATCTTAACGAAGATGCCTCTGAAACTACAACCCAATCTCAAATAACTCCTTATGAAGTTACACCGCCTCCGGGATTTAAAGGCTTAACATGTTGGAAGGGAAGTTGTGATTCTGAAGATACAAATAATCAACCTGATGAATGGGAGTTTTGCATGTATAACAAGGTATTAACAAAAATATTATGACGGAATCAATATTTGTCCACACGATCATCAAAAAGCTGGGTTTGTATCCAATGCGTAAAGTGATTTGTCCAACAATAAAATATCACTGCGATTTTACCTCGTGGATAGCATTCATTAGATTATTAGTGGATGGTCGTCCAGGTTTGAAATGATTTAGTAATACCTGATTATATTCATATTATTCATTTATCGCATAAAAGAAATATGATATAATAAAAGTGGTAAAGTGCCGATTTTCTTAAATTTTTTGGCGATGAAATAAAAGGGGATGACGAATAATTCAAGGCGAGACATAACCTTCAATCCAGCATACTGATGGAAATAATTATACAGCCTTATATTCAGTTGAAACAACAACACCCAGTCGAAAGCGTTTCTTTGCTTGGTAGCTCTCATTCATCATTAATATCTCCTGATGTTGAAAATGTCATTTTATTTAGAGCGCCTGCATGACTAAAGTTGAAATTTCAGGAGATACATACAGAATATATAAGCAATGTATGCAGAAAAGCGCTTGTCAAAATCTGAGACAACCCAACATGCAACAATGTTACTCTGGTTTGGCCGCTGAAAATAGAGTAAGTAATATTAAATGTTGTCATATATATTTATATTCGGATAGGATTTGTTTATGTGATAACCCGCGTATGAACCAATTAATATCACGTAACTCAAGACAGCAAGTGCTGTAAATTTTCAACATGTAATTGTTTTCAGCAAAGAGTTTGCCACTTCTGCTGCTATACAGACACATGCAACACTGATCAGAACATCAAGATACCTGGAATGCCAGAGTTTTTTGTCGTACCGTAATTGTGTAATTCCCTCTGCCAGCATCAACGTTTCTGAATATAAAGTATATCAACACCGTTACAATTACACCGAACCAATGAATGCATTCTAAAAAATACCAATCAGCAATGAACCCAATAGAATATGTCTTTTATATAATATATATAACATTTATTGGCTCACGATAATTTGGAGATATGAATATGAAGGCTCGTTGTGTCATTTAGCAAACAATATTTTTTATTTGTTTTATTCCTAATGATATACCTATTTCGTTGGCTTACGCGGTTAGTCCTCTTATGTGAAACGTTTAATTTTAGTCATTAACAGACAGAAACTGCTGAGCACCGTTTAAGATTGTTTCAACTAGTTTTATTTCCAAGGGAATATTAAAAAGTCATTAAAGTATGATTTATCAGTCTGGTCGTATAATTGTCGTATTTACAATTTTTGTAAACGATATTTTATGAGAACCGTCAAATCGAATAAATAACTTCTGATTTACGACATTTGAAAATGTGGAAGATTGACTATTATAGCCCATTTGGCGCTTTCCTGAGAAGTGTAATAACACTGATTTTCTGGTGTACTTTGACACTTTTAGAAATGAGCACAGTTACACAAACAGGAGCATTTAATAAGAACAGCACGTTTCTCTTGAGATTCGTCACGGTAAAGGCAAAGTCGTAAAAGTCATCTTCCTACAAATTACAATATTCGGTAAATAGTTGTGAAATCGGTCGCATAGCAATTGTAGCAAGGTGATATAACTCATGTCGGCTATATTTCAGTCATTACATCGTTCTGCAGGATGGTGAAGAGCAGAGATTTATTTGTTACATAATTATAAACAGAGTTGTGAATGTATATACCTAACGATATTGATATTTGGATTCTGGCATAACTATATGTTGTTCGATGTTTGAAATTGAGTGAAATCAGAGTTATTAATTATACTGGGATTGCACTCTTCCTTTGTTGTGTTCAATTTTGAGTTCGAATTAGCGAACAAACATTTGAATTTCAGTATCTGTATGAGTGTCGCTCGATTTGTATCACAGAATAATTGATTGGGTTATTTTAATAATTTAATCAAATTCCATGTATGAGGTGTAGTTTTGATTCAATTGTAGACTTGATTCAAGGTTTGAAACAGATGCCTACAACACATAGTATGGCCAATGGATCCCATTTACGCAGCGCGTAAAAAACTCCATTTCCGAATATTTTGGAATACTTTCTTAATTGTAAGAACACAGTCGGTAATCTTGTTCGTGTATTAATTAGGTCACAAAGTGATGAAATGTCGTTTGCCGAGTGTCCATTAAGTTGATTATTACTCTATTGGCGCCTTATTCAGAATAAAAAAGGGATCGTAAAGTTAAAACGTCTATCAACAAGAAAAGCAAGGTTGAATATATTATGGAGTTCATCACTGAGTGTAATCAACGTTATCAAAATGCAGTTTGTCTGTTTTGTCAAGGCACTGTAGCAGGGGTGGCCAGCCTGCTTTCGACCGCGATCGACTAAAATCGTCAAAATAGTTCGCGATCGACTGATCGGTAATAAGGTCGTACACAAAAACAAATGAATACTGAATATGCAGATAACTGCACACAAGCCACACATGCATACAAATAAGTCTTGCTGCCAACGAAACTTTGGGCGCATTTTACTGAAATATCCACAAAAATTTGTATTTTGTATGTTTTATTGAATTTGTTAATTTGAATATGTATTTGTACCCGGAATAAATGTCGCATCATTTATTTGAGATTTATTCAAATCATACAATTCAGATCTAACACCTCCCTAATTTTTAGTCGCAAGTGTTGAAAATTCCTCAGAAAACATTGCCAAGTACCCATGTATTATCTAAACAGAGGAAAATAAATTTTGCCAAAACCGTAAATGCTATGTGACTGCTCAAACTTCCCAATTTACAATTTCCTCCAAGTCCGAGTTTTCGCTCGCTTGGAATTGAAAAAATCGGGCATTCTGATGCCACTGCCATCATTGAGAAAAAAAAATTATTACGCTGCTGTTTGCGTGAGACAAGTTATTGTTGGATCGTTTGCCAGTCAAGACACACAATATTCGGCAAGTTTATTCTAACCTTGGCAGAGTCTAAACTTGCATTTGTTACGTAATAATAGGCTATTATAGGCTCAGATACAATATGCATATATCGTATTTTGCGCATGAACAGTACTGTAATATTCGTGTTTGAAAACACACAACATGCGTTGCATGGAACTGGTTCGAGGCAATTTTTGAGCTATAGTTCACTCAACACCAGACGCGATCGACGTGTTGGACACCCCTGCACTATAGCAGTAGTAAATGAGTTCAATATCAAGCGACGCTATTTTGCGACACAATCTGCTAGTAACGATAGCTAAGTTGTTCGAGGATTTGGCCTTCAGTGCTAACTTAATTTTAAGTTTTAGCCCATTGCGATAAAAAGTCGTACTTCTCTAGTTTAAAGTCTTGACCCCCGAAGAAGCGAACCGTATTGAAATCTTCGTCGAATAAAATAATTATATAGTGTGAGCTTGAAATTTGTTTCGGGTCAAGTCATTGTCCAAGACGTGTTCGCCTGCTATACTGAACAGATAACATTAACTAAAAGAATTGCTGGGAATGTTTGATGGGCATAAACATATTTGCGTACTATTAAAGTCATTATGTTCCCATCAATGTTACAGTTTTAAGTGTTCGTAACACCGATGCACAAGAGAAATTCAATATTTACACACGTCTGCAGTAGAACTTTGTGTTATTTTTAACCTGGAATTTGAAATTGATCATATCTATTAATTTCAGTAATATACCAATCAGAAAGGCGTGAATTGCGTATCGCCGATGACCAATATTTTGATAGATAAATTCATCTATTTAGTTTTAGTTAGCTCTGGACTTTCCGCATTACTGTGAATTTGGTAATGAAGAAGAAATTGATGTTCATATATTTTTCAATGTTTGAAATAAAATTTCAACATTGTATCCATTTACATTATAGAATTTTTACACTAATGCGAATGGGTGTAGATTGAGCTCTGGAAACAAAGTTAAAAAGTGCCTTTTGCACTTTGTATGTACAAACTTTTTTATGTAAATGCATATTATTTTTACATAGTTTTAGTTACTCTGAGAGATATTTATGTACCTATTTATTATTCCATTACTCTCACTTGTGACAGCAATTTCGTATTGAAATAACTTTGTGATAAAAGAATACAATTTTCACGCCTATGTTGACATGTTGCTCTAAGTCTACATAGTACTTTGTTTCATGTAAGTTACATGAACAATGCAGACAATTGGCGTTCATCGATACTGTCATTTTCATGGCTATCTCATTTAAGATTTCGTTTATGTGCTATATAATCATCATTCGGGCATTTTATACCCAGCACTTTATGTATTGGTTTTGCTCAAGCACTTTTCAAGAAAATTGATGACAATTTATAAATGCGAAATTGAGGTAAATATTTAAGGCCGATAAATATTTTAAGTTGTATAACCCAAATTTACGTCAAATTTGTTTTGGTAAAGTAGAAACGATGAGATCCAAAAAATCAACCCATATATTGAAAAGATATTTTGACATAAATTTAATATTCACTCAACGCGCTAATACTGCGGAATGAAATTGAATGAATATTGTACCTCATTTGGGTTATGAATAGGTAATATGCCTTCCGAACAAATCATGATTCTACTCTTTTTACTTATCCACATTTACCAAGTAATATTTATTTCAGATAGCAATTCTGTATGCCATCACAACCAGAATACAAATATCATAAAACCCCACATATTGGTAAAACAAGTCGATGAAAACATATTTGATAAACGGGCGTTGTTTCGACGTGTTCGCCAGATTGTTCCGTGTAATATTATCACTAAGATAGTAGTCACGTTTACATAGTAAGATTGTATTTACTAGCTAGTAGTTACAATATAAAACGTTTGTACTTATAGGCAATTACACGTTTTGTTTCATTTCCCATAGTATGTTAAATTATATACACAGTAAGGTGCATATGTAGTAGAATTTTTTGTTAGTTTGTCATGTCACGTAAATCGGCAATTTCAAATATCTAATGCATAATAAATGATATGAATACATGATATTTAAAATTCAGAAAAGCTTTTTCAACTGAGGCTAGTGTTTCCTCAATTTTCAAAAATAAAAGGAACAGGTCCCGGGAACTAGATTTTCAAACGAGGTGAACGTACAATATTCTTGGCATGAGGCCAAACATTGAATTGTAAAATCCCTTCCATCACAAAGGGAAGATAATGCCTCCAAATTACGAGCTAATAGTAATAATCCCCTGCTTGTTAACAATTTTCTTTGTAAAATCGCTAAGGAAAGTTTTAAATGGAACAGCCATGGCGCCGAGTGTGGGATTGTCTGCTTCAACCTACGTTTCACTGTTATATATTTCTTCATTTAATGTCAGTAAACTCATGCTGATCCATTTATCGTGTATGGTTCTAATTTTCAACGAATTTTCCATATATAACGTAAAAGAGATATCGCGTTACAGTTGAAAATTTCTGTTATAATTACAGAACAGACAAAAAAGAGGGCAGTAATCTTAAGTGATATAGACTCAGTGAGGTAGAATACACATACCCTTACTTTTATTAAGGTTTGTCGAGGCTCAGACTGCTGTAAAATACAATGTAAAATGGTATTGTTTTCGGGTCTTCTAACTTTTCTCAATGCAGTACAATACTCTACTAAGCCGGTTGTAATTTCAGCTATATGCTTATTAAGGTATTTGTGTGTCACTTCAAATAGTCTTAAAATTTAATTACTTTATATAGGTAATAAAATACGATAAATAAAACCAGTGGTTCCCAACCGCCGGTCCGCGAGAAATTTCATTGTTTTATTGTTTTTATGTCGTTTCAATCGCTTTACCGAAGATGAGGTTGCGTCGGTATATTACCCTCTACCCATCTCTTCCGACGTCATATTGCGACGTCTTTCGCAACATCTTGGCGCCGTGTAATTGAACTTTGAGCCTTTTCGTCCCCGATTCATCACAAATGCGCTCCATCAAATGGTCCCGAAACGCGCAAAACGCATGGGCCGCTGAGATCTTTTTCAGCATTTCGAGCAGGCACAGTAGGATTTTGAGCCTGGTGCAAAGTTACCGACGACTTTGTCATTGTAATGAAAATTAATTTCGTTTGAGGCGTCGATCAACTGCTGATGGATTAATATGATGAACCCGATGAAAAAGATTGATTAAAATTGTGATTCAACTTTACAGTACAGATTTAAAAAAGAACCATCGTCACAATTTGGGATATCTATATCTTGATAACGAATACACATCACTAAGCAATCGAGCAATCAAATTGTTGTCCGCATTTTTAACCAGTTACTTGTGCGTTATGCAAAAAATATTCTCATCATTGGCTTTAAGTAAAACAAAGAAGAGAAATCGGCTGCACACCGCTGCAGAGCTACGTGTTGCAGAAACTTCTTTGAGGCCTCGTTTGCAATATATATATATATTGCCTCGTTTGCGTATATTGGAAACGAAACAGCAGCAAAATTCTCACTAGGGTTAATTGTGTTTATACATGATTTGGCATGTACATGTGCACATTATTTGATAGTTTTTCATCGTGTGAAATGTTTTTAAGTGTGCCTTTTTTGTCTAGAAGCATATTGAGTGCCCGACATTGCATTACATCACGCAAATATATGTTATCCTTTTCTGTTCCGGTCATTTCAATTTTTGCCGGTCCGCGAGTACATTTAATTTAATTTTACCGGTCCGCCAGGGTAGAAATGTTGGGAACCACTGAATAAAACTATTCGGCAACTCACCGAGGTTGTAAAGCTATTTTTTACAACAACATTAAAATAGGAAATACTAAAAACAACAACAACACGATAACTAAACGATGTATAGGTCCACTTCATGTCCAATGAAAATGTTCGAAGATCAATCAAGCTTGGGTAGTACCCAGACGTCACAACATTCGCCGTGACATGCTAGGAAAATATAGACATTTCCATAATGTTTATGGAGGTCTCATCTTCATCTCCAATTTGAAGTGCGAGATAATTAGCATCATGACATGCATCCACCCGTTTTCAAATTGAGAAGGGATAACCTGCAATTGCAATAACCTAATAACTATTGAAATACCATGTTCGCACGTTTCTAAGCTTCTAAAAATCTAAACAAATATACATTACTTAATATTGTAATAATGGCAGTTGCAAATAGGCTGAAATGTGGAATATTGAATGCGAGAGCTTAACCTTAGAAATTAGAATTCAGTCGTTTTGAGCACGTTCTGCTGTGATGATTAACTTTTTGAATTATATTTATATGCTTCAAAAGCAATAACGATCGTAATTTGCATAATGTCTAAAGAAAATGACTTCCCACCTGGATTAATCTATAACAGAAGAAACAGGAGTTTGGTAGCGAAGACTAGTTTTGAACCTCCAAGTAGGTAGATGTTTACATACATAATACATACGTTTACAAACTTGCTTATTGCAAACAGAGAAATCTATATGAAATTCAATAAATTCGTGGTGAATAGCATATGTTGATAATTCATCCAATAAAGTCAAGTCTGCATGACATTGAATGAGTTTTATGGGATTGTAAGTCGCGTCGAGGATGATCATCCTCTCCGACAGTATATTTTATTTCATATTTATTACTTCGTTCTTTTTTACAGTAATGGAAGTTAGTATCGAAACAACAAACACATCAAGGAGTGAAGAAGCACCACAACTAGTATACAACAAGAGAAGACACAGTGCTGCAGGCAAAAATGGAGATACGCTAGGTAATGATTTGGCCGAACAGCATAACTGATAAGGGGTTAGACAAATGACAAAAATCGTGTAGTTCAAAGCAAAAGAGGTATACAAGTACCATATCATTCCATAATTCTTTTATCATTTGATATCTATGCATAAGCATTATTTGTATTGAGAAATATTTGCAAAAAATAGATATAGCTAAATAAATGCGCTGATCGAAGTATGTTTTATGCTGTTATTGTTGCACATCAAAATAACTACAAAAATATTGTAAAATATGAGAAAAATATTAAAATGAATTATATATAAATATGTGCCTGTGAGCATTTTGTAAAATTTTTTCATTTTTGCCAGGTTTGCTTCCAAGTTTTGGCAGCGACAAGAGCAAGGTGAGATTTGATTCAGAATTAAAGGTTGACAAAAATAAACTCGCTAATGATATTATATGCAAGATCAATACTAAAACTATGAAATTTAGGAATAAAGAAGGAATAATTCATTAAGCACCATTTAAGATAAAACATACATTTGAATGAGTGTATCTAGATCATGCATTCTTGCTTCGTTAGTCATTTATAAAAAGCGTTTTAAAGACCTGGTCATCCTTAAAATTACCATTTAGATGTAAATTCATCAATTACATTGAATTTTCACATGGGGATCAGATGGTCCATTATACCTATCCTTGTGAGTATCTCGTAGACAATATTATTTCTAAACAATATTATAGACTCACAATCGTAGGCATTCGCTTATGGCTGGACCAGATGCACTACGAAGAGTTTCAATTGACATAACAGACGACCAAAGGAAGATGCTACAGTTGCCGAGATTTTCACAGGTACCGATAGAGTATATATATAAAATCCGGATCCAAATATTCTCTCGTAATATGTGTTTTTGATGGTAGAGGTCAAATCAAAATCCAACTGGACACTGAAACAGGGAAACTTCTTTCAGAGATTATAAATGATATCTACGGCATCTCTGTAGAAGAGTTAATCCGATATTTATCTGCAAAACATCTTACATCTGTAATCATCTCACTCGTTAAGCTCTGGGAATTACAAACTTCTATAAAATTGAAACTTTTAAAGTTACTAACTGATCGGTATATGCGAGAATCATCGGATAACATTTGATGTTTTTCGCGTTCTGTGTACTCATTATAAACAGAGATATTGTAACCAGGAAAATTTCTGCAGGTTTTTGGATTTTCTACATTCAGTGGATTGCCGATGACAAGTTACAGAGATCCCGTAATTGGTTATGAAAATACATATAAAATGCAGCCTGATAAAAAGTTTCAACCACATGTCGCTCGAAAAGTTGTAGAGAAGGTACGCGCCTGACTATAGGGGTTGAATAATTGGTGCTCCCGAAGTATTCATACCAAGATGGCGCACAACCTGAACATAATCTGTGTACCAGGTTAAGGTTGTTCAGGTTGCGCGTCATCTTGGTACGAATACTTCCGGAGCGCCGAATAATTGAGACCCATGGTTCGTTTGTCCAAACTTTTTTGTTTGGGACTAACTTCCTAGAAAGAGAGATAAAACCAAAAGGTTCTATAAATACATGTAGCGCCACTTTCAAGGCGACAATTTACACGCCCATAGGACTTTGATATTGTGTGTACTCTGTCAATAACATACCTAAAACAAGGTGCAAATATATTTGAAAGTCGGTCTTTTGTTGTGTATGTTTGGCAAACAGAAGCATCATTAAAAAATTATTTTTCTCAATTTGAACGTTGAGCGGCGGTTGTAAATAAAGATAAAATTTCAAAATATATCCGAACTTGAGAGTAATGCCGATTTCCAACGTGAGTATATATTACTAACTCCGTTGCATATAGGTAAATCTAGCAGACAGGGGAAAATCCGCAACGAAGATATTGGAAATTAAGTTATATATTGGCACATACTTTTAATATCCCATCCATATAGAAGGAACTTTTTGGAATCTATTCTCGCGCTCACGGAAGCATGGTTGTACTACCATGAAGACAACGTCTTCTATAAACTAACGAAACTATATAAATTACCGTGTATCCCCGAAAATAAGACTGGGTCTTATTTCAATTTTCTTTCGAAAAATAACACTAGGGCTTTTTACGGGGGATGTTTTATGTTTTCATTTATCAAAAACAAAATTACAAAGTAGAGAATTACGAGATTTTAAAACATAAAAATATGAGAGCCGATATCCATTTACTAATAAATATCACGTTTTTATTCAAAATAACTGCTAAACATTGATTATTAATTATTATAAACTTGTAGGAGGGATTTCTTGCTATCGACTAGGTAAAAAAAATCGCGTTATTGAATAGGTCTTAAAAGGGAGGTCTTATTTTAAAATCATTTTTAAAATTCATGCAGGTTCTTATTTTCAGGGTAGGTCTTATTTTCGAGGAAACACGGTAGCTTGACAACTAAATACCGGTTCTTGTTTTATAAAAATGAGTAATATACTATTTCCCGCTGACAGCAATCAACACAATATATATTAGACAATTTAAAATTAAATTTTTTTCCTTATACATAAGATACCAAGTTATCGTATCCTTACATATTTGAAAATATAATTTCAAGTCTGAAAAATCCGATAAAAGAATATAGATAACTTGTTATGAAAAAAGTTCCAAATCACATTGTCAAATTTGTCGTTATATATATTCTACACAACAAACGCAGTAAAATTTATAAGCACCATTTGTTGGCAATCAATAAAATACTGTATTCATTTCCTTCAGGTTATCGACGATTTGCTCTATTGGGATGATGATGTTTTAACAGATGACGGTAAGCCTAAAAATTTCATCTACTCACCCTGTACCAGTTTTACAGATGCTCATTCGTCAACAAAATTATAAGTTTTACTGCCTAATATTACAATGAATATATATTGGTTGTAAAATTTGATCGTGTTTGCACTGACTTTTAGCGGTGAAAATAATTAAACCACGGTTGGATTAAGCGCCCCCCGTCCATGAAATATCTCATATTTATCATGTTAAAAGAGGTGAAATTCGGTATATCCTGAAAAGATGTCGTTTTTATAGGTTTGAGAAACTTCTTTAGTTTGGGCAATTTGTCTATGTCATGCAGATACACCAACCAAAACAACAACTTGTGTAAAATGTATTATCCCTGTAGGTACGCCACCGAATCAAAAAAAAGAACTTGCGGCGTACGAATTAGCAAAGCACAAGCGAAGATCAAAATTGACATTGAAAATGGCTGATGAAGTTAAAGATGAGTTGAAACAACTTGATTTTCCAAGGTATAAACTGTATTTTATCATATTGTGCAGTCATTATATTCATATCTTCTATTTTTTTAGGTATAAATACGTTGTCAACGTCATGATAGGACAGTTAAAATTTCAAGGAATACGGGTAGCCAGTAGATGTCTTTGGGATACTAACGTTGATAATTCCTTTTGTGTGGAGAAAGAAGGCAGACATTGTTTTGTAACTGTATTGGTTCATGCAATTTATTACGAATGACCTTGGTATGTTGCACACTATATCAGGAAAAGATAGTAGCTATTTATCCCAAGATGAAATAGCCTGTTAATGGGTCGTCAATAGTGAACACTGTCTGTCCGCTGATTAGGTCACTCTTTCAACGGAAAATGATTTCTGCACCAGAAGTTAATCCCTTAGTAGAACTTCAAAACATACATGCAGTTGATATAATTCTGATCCTACTACATGTCAAAAACTAGAACATGAATAACAAAAATTGATTAGAAACTTTTATCGACCACATTGGGTCTTTAAATTTTCATATTTACTTTGTTAAGTTTTTAATTATAATGAATTATAAATAAACTTGTTGCCGAATATATTAGTTAGTACCTTCAATTTTGCAATTAACGTATAAACACTGTTGCTATAATTTGAAAATGAGATTAACTTCAAAGGATATATTTTTTAATATTTTTCATTGCATACTCTAATTAAACCATATTCATCTAAATATATTTTACACATTTGTTTGTTAACATTTGAATATCATTTTCTGTGATATAATTTGTCTACACATCGGAAGTAAATTAATATGACAAATATCAACCTGGACTGCAAACATGATTTGAAAAGACTTTAAATATAGTTGAAATCCGATAGCTAAACGTATGTAAATATATTTATTGTATAGGATTCTAGGGCTGTTTCCCTAATATAAGACCCGTGCGCGCCGAGACTGCGCACTGAACAAATTACGCTCGTTTGGTTACAGATGTCAACTTTAGTTGCGCGGTATCCATTTTGCAGCAGTATGATATGATAAAAATATCCTATTTTCTAACTAACAGCAGAAGGGACTGATTTTGTCGTGGGGTAACTGCAACACATTGTGGATTGGCATTGTGAATAAACCATCATCTAGTCTAGATCCAATGCAAGTGACCCTGGGAAGCTGTGACGGCGACAAATAAGTTCCAACTGAGATAGCCATGGCCGGCTTGTAGATTAAGCAGCTGGACGCATTTCCCAAATTCCTTTGTCTGCCTAATACGCTTGCCACCGACTTACAATGTGAAACAATTATTCCAATATGAACAATTCCGTGCATTTAATTTGATACTTGATAGGCTCCGATACAGGATATTATATAAGCGTCCGTCATTGATGTATAGCCTTAGTAGGTGGTGCTTGCTGCAGGGCTGTGTATTTAGAATTCCTTACAGATGTAGGACAAACATGTTTGATTGTCGCTAGACCAAGTTAACGGCCTATGTATCAATATTAAGATGGAAATATACGTTCACTGACAGCAGGGTGAATGCAGAAATTTAAACTCCACCCCTAAACTAGAAATGGGCTGCTAAATGCAAAGCGCAGCCTGAAACAACGAACTGATCTAACCTTGGGTCTTAGTCGGTGGAGGGCGAAGAAAACCGCGGGCTCGTAACATCTGTGTGATGTCATAATTGGTACTGTATTGGATGACCCGTGACCAAAGCGTATACTGTATATAATAATACCCGTATATGCCACTGAACTGGAAATACATCCGTGGTATATGCCCGTGACTATACTCAAGGTCAAATCAAGGTAAGGTTCATCGTTAACGTATTATCAAACTATCTGATTAAAAATACAGAAAAGAAGCTGATCGCATTATGCTTTGGCGATATATCAAAGCTAAAATACATGTTATGTAATGGGCAGCATTTTAGATAATCTTTTACTGATAGTTTAGTAAATATTTCGATAATATTATTCATGCATAGTTTACATAGAAATTTTCACGCCAGCAAAACTGTTTTGAATGGGTTTATCCATACTTTTTTAAAGTGACGAATCTGACTAAACTGCCAGTATATTAAAAATATTTAAAAAAATAACAGCACGATAAGAAAATCTATATACAAATTCTTCTATACATGTACTATGAATTCACTATCGTGATAAAGTGAACCAATTACCGAAACTGCCAGTTCATTTAAACGCTGCGCGTTTTGTATACATTCTTGCGTGAGTGATAAACCTGAGCTAATATTTGAAATAATACATAGAGTATAGACAGTCTCTTTTTAGCTTGTCTGGCCTAATCGATAAATACAGTCCTCGTCGCATTTTTGAAGTGCAATGCAAATGGGCAATTTCTTAAAGTCGCTGAATACTATAGAATACCATGCCCGTAATCCGTCATTATCTTTGCAGAATTGCAGATCAATAGTGACATCACACTGCAATGAACAGTTTATTGTAACTGCCAGTTCATTTTGAGCGCTGCGCGTATTTTTGGCATCCTTTCTCGCGTGACATTAATCTGGCTGATAGCTAATACGAGAATATCGGTCAGAGACCGAAGACTTATCGATCGAAAGTTAGGGGATCCCCCAAAAAGCGCTCTTACTCCATAGTGACACCTTGTGTCCCATCACTAATTAATTAATAACTCACTAATTATACGACATAGTTCATCCAAAATCAATAGGCTTCTGGTCCGACATATGATGAATGCACATGCAAAATGTGGAGCAAATTCAATCTCGCTTTCGTGAGATATCGCGTACATCTAACAGACAGACAGACAAATACCTATCAACATACTTACCGATTAAAATCGATAAGTAACACAGATAGACAGACATACAGACAATACCTATCAACATACTTACCGATTAAAATCGATAAGTAACAAGTTCATCAAAATTCTCAAAGGCTTCTCCAGTTTATGGACTATCGAAATGAAAGACAACTTGTTTGTTTGAAAGAGTGTTCTCTTCTGCGGGGAGTAATGTTGTTGAAATATTTATTTTCGACTTAGTTGATGAGAAAATGGCGATAAATTGTAACGAAATTCGAAATTTTCTAATGATCGGCACGTTTTTTTTTGCTGTTGCCATGAAAACAAAACTTCAATCTAAACTTTTGACAAAACGCACATAACAGGAGTTACAGGATAACCCACGTGAGAAATTTCGTACAGATCGGCCCAGTCGTTTAGTCGCTACCAAAGCGTATACAGACATCCAGAACGACTGATAACAAGGGTCTCCTAGAGCGGAGATCCAATAGAACGACTGATAATAAGGATCTAGTAGAGCGGAGATCCAGTAATATGGAATTATCTATTCAGACGATATTACGGCATATCTTCACAAGAAACGAGATAATGATTAGTAATGATGCCATTTTTATCTGAATTATTAGATACAATCTGCAAAAAAAAACGTCGATAATTTCTTTTGAAAATGGGAATATTAAAAAAAAAACATGGTCAAATCTGTCATAGATATGGAGTATAGTAATTAAAGTAAAAGATAGATGCAGCAAAAAAACGAAACCATCGACACAGGTATCCAAAAGTAATTTACTATATATATTGCAATTCGATCCTCAAGTGGATAAGAATACATTAGCAGCAAAATGGATGGGATTGAGCAAAATTTTCACCCTCCTGGGAGATATATATCTTCTTAGCACTATGCTACTGAGTTTTACGCTTATTCCAATTGAGTTGAGTACAGTCTATTTGATCAAAGTACATCGTTTCAGAATTTTCAGCAAGTAAATAGCATATTTAATTAGCGTTTGATTATTCAGTTTGATAAAAGATCGGAAGAGGAAGAGATCTGGATACTTCCGCACTATTGTATTTTGTAACGTAATTCACGAATTCTCAAATTACCCTGCATTTGTCTGAAATGTAGAAAGAATCTGCGTTTTGGAATCCCCATACTTGAACACATGTAATAAATCAATCTTACGAAATTAACACAAAGGCAAAAAAGAAAAAAATTGAGATAATAAATAATATTCGACAAGACTATAAAGTCTATACTCTATAGCTTTGAGAAAGACAATATAAAATTCTGATATGCAACTGTGCTGTTGGGAGCGATTGAGTGCATTTCATCACGATTTAGTGTTGGGCTTTCATGGGTCAGAGTTATTTGATAACACTGAAACTAATTCGTTGGATCTAATATTTTCTGACATAAGTTTTGTTAAATAAAATAGTATCATGCATGCATAGTTTACATAGAAATTTTCACGCCAGCAAAATGTTTTGAATGTGTTTATCCATACTTTTTTAAAGTGACGAATCTGACCAAACTGCCAGTATAATAAAAATAACATTGCACTTGGATAAGCAAATCTATATACAAATACCACTATACATGTACTATGAATTCACAGACGAAATAGGAGTTGCTTTCCTGATACTTGTCAGGTTCATATGCCTTTTCGTCAATAATTTTTTTTTGTAGTGCCTACCTACAGCGTGTTGGATATAAGCACCGGTGAATACAATAGCACTATTGTTCTAACAGCCAATGAAGCCGGATATATACCCGGCGTAATAGCTGCACGTTTTCCAATCATGCAACATTGGGAAGCATATGCCACAAGGCAACCGTACAGTTAAATTTATACACAGATATTTCTGCAGTTGATAGCAAAATAAAGCGCCGAGATAGAAATGTGGGGTAACCTGTATATAGTTATAGAGGTATTTATACAAAAAATGCTTTCACGATCTATGTCAACAAAATATGTTTTGTTTACGACATGACTCATAGCCATAATTAGTCTCAGAGTGCCAAAGATATGCTGGAAATCGTGCAGAATCGATTCTTACGGTCTCTTCGAACAGCAAGATAAAGGTTCGGTACTTGAAACGTGAACCCCCTGATAATTTGCTCAATGCGACGTTTATTACATTTCAGTAATGTGGTCATAGAAATTGAATATAAAGAAGCGGAAGGATATAGTAATAATATATAACTCCTGACTTAACGTCTTTAAAATGAGTAATCATCATAAAGCATTGGTATTACTTATACATATTCATATAATTACGCGGATTGTCTAGCAGAAACTGTCAAACCTTTCAGCCCTTTGATTGTACTTACCGGCGCAAAGTTGAGAAAACAATAATAGCGTGTAATCGACTTTTATAAAAATACTGTTTTGCAGAATTACAACAGTATTACAAAGTTTCGACATACTGATAGACAGTTCAGTTTAATATATGTTTATATTAGTACATCGAAGCAAAGAGGCATTCAACATACCATTAAGATGCATCCTATACAATACGATATGTTCCCGATTTGAGAGATGCATGAAATTAAGGTGTCTGGTGTCTGTTTCCGTTAGTCTTGCAAGGTGCCGAAATTGCAATTTTTTATACGTTGTTGTTAGCGTAAGCGTTGTCAGCCTCAACGCATTTTGTGCACGTTATTCATAAGTTGTTGTTAGCGTAAGCGTTGTCAGCCTCAACGCATTTTGTGCTAAAATTTATCAGGTCATATCAAAGATTGAGAGATTGAGTAGGTCACCTTTGATCTTGTTGTTACCTTACAAGTTGTATTTTTTTTTAAAGAAACAAGTGAAAAGGCAATTGGTCAATGTAGTTTTAGTTTAGTGCTTAAAGTTCATAAATACTTATGAAACGTCAACAAAATTGTAAAAAACATTTTCAATAATTTTTAATGTGTCATAATTATTCTTATATAGTCAAGTGCTATTAATATCGGGATGGTCTCATAAACATATATATCTCAATGTCGATATTATCACAATATGATTTAAAGTTCAGCTCAGTATTGAATCTCGTTCTGAATTAATGTATAGCAGAGCTACGGGCAGTGGGTCGCATGTGTCCCGTTTGTCTCGTTTCAATATCATCGTTGCAGCGTCGTAGTTGATGTATTTATATCAATAGGGTATTTAATTTTGGGAAGCAGTTTCGATTGGAATGCAGTATGGTCACTGAAGCTTTATTAAACACCGTGCTTAAACTGTTGATAATGAGGTAATAATGACAGAAAATTGTTGGGTGAACACCAAGTGAAGAACCTAGTTTACATAATAGCGAAAGTGGTAATGGAAGTAAAAACAACTAAGAGATTATCCGAATCTAAGATTATCTTGATATTATTAGAGGTAAAAACCAATTTTGATTTCTTTACACGATCATGATAAGTTAATTGATTTCTACGTCTCACCAGAATAAGCATTGTTCACCATTTAGTGATATACTCGGCAGATAATTTTTTATTTGACGAGAGAAAGTTTGGATTTAGCTGCTTATGGAAACGAAGCCCTACATTATAATTTGAAAGTTATGTCAACTCTTCGTACTTCATTCTGGGAAAATTTGCTCCGAAAAAAGACGTTGACTGCAGATCTTATGAAAACAGGTATTGGGGGAATGCATATGTTATAATATATTGAAACACAGGCCGATGTGCATAAATTTTAGAATGGTGGACAGTGAAACTCGAATATTGTATTGAAACATAATCTAGCTAGAACCATTTAACCAATATTTTCCATCCAAGGCATTTATTATTCATTCAAATCTCATAGTTCGAACTTGAAAAAAGGTTTTAAAAATATTTTTTTGAGTATTGTAATATAATACTTTTTGCATACAATTTAACTTGAATAAAGCATCATAAAGATTTAAAATTCTGCTATCATAAAACATTAAGCCACTTACACCATAATATTTTTACATATTCAATGGTAAAATAAATGAACAGTCTAAAGGCTTTGTAAAAATCATAATATGATACTACATTTTTTTCAGATTTGCAAAAATGTTTAACGTTATCCGATCTCACATTTATGGCAATTGGTTCAATGGTTGGTAGTGGATTATATGTTCTGACCGGCACAATAGCTCGTGACGTTGCTGGTCCATCTGTTATCATTAGTTACATTATTGCAGCAATAGCATCCTGTTTATCTGCAATTAGCTATGCTGGTAAGTTGAGAAATGACATTTTATATATCAGAGTAGCATGGTTTGATTACAATTCGGCTATACGTCCACGTAAATGAAGTCGTTATGTTTGTTCGTTCAACTACGTCAATGAAAAATAAAATAATATACGTCAATTTCAATCCTGTTATTGTTAGCCGATCTGAAGCTAGTCATACCTTCATAATTGGTGCAATTCAACACTTCCGTTGCCATTGGCACTCGAAAAATCGAGTTTTCATTTTTGAAAAACATTTTAATATTAACTTTCGTTTATACTTTTATATAGAAACCATATGTCAAAACTGGTAACTTTTCCTTTCAGAATTTGGAGCTAGAATTCCTATTACCGGATCAGCTTACCAATTCACTTACCTGAGTATTGGTGAATTTTGGGCTTTTATTATCGGGTGGAATGTACTGATTGAGCATGTTGTTTCTGGTGCTGCAGTTGCCAAAGCTTTTAGCGGGTAAGAACTGTTGCATAAGTTTCCAACAAAATTTGTCACACAAAATTTTTGGAATTTTGAAGTTTTCTTCAGTTACGAATCTTACGATATTCTTGTTTTGTATTATTCCTACTATCCTTTGAAAAAAATAGCCAAAGGTAAAGTAACTTAATTCGGTATTGACAATGTTATCTCAATGCTTTGCTGAACTTAAGCACACTGCAGATAAGACAGATGAATTTTAAATGAAAAAAAAAACTTTTATTATCACATATTGCATATTTTCAATAAAGGTACGTCGACGGTTTAACTAACAATGTTGTTCGTAAATACTTGATCAAACATGCGCCGATGATTGGAGGAGGATTAGTGGCGAAATATCCAGACTTGCTTGCTGTTGCTATTCTCATTGTCGCAACTATTATCTTAGCTACAGGAGCTAAATTATCTAGTAAAGTAACTGCTGGATTTGCGGGGCTGAATTTGCTTGTCGTTGTATTTGTCATGGGTGAGACAACTTATATCCTTTTTATATTCTCTTGTACTACAACAAGTACTTCAACTTTTGGTAGACTACTCATGTAGTGTTCTAGAGCTAGGCCAAACTATGAGCGCCATTCATCTACTTTTCTGCTTACTGTCAGCACATACTAGGGCTCTCAAATATTCAACACTCGTATGTACCAAGGGATGTAGGTAAAAGTTGTTATCTAGAGTTACATATATGAACGAGAACAGACTGAAGTTTGAAAAACTGTTATGGAAATGGATGATTCACGGACAGTATTTCCCAAAAATGATTTCTTTTTTTTTGACACCAGGAACATATAGAGTCTTTGCATATGTACGTTGTTAAATGTATTCAGGTACTGGTTTTTATCTTGGTGATTTGAAAAACTGGACTGAAGTGAAAGGAGGATTTTTTCCGTATGAATTCTCTGGAACAATCGCCGGTGCGGCTACTTTGATATTTTCTTATGTGGGATACGAAGTCCTAGCTTCGGCAACGGAAGAGGCAATAAATCCAAACAGGTTGAGTTGCATTATTTATAAATCACAAAAATATTTACACTACAATTTCAATACATACGCAAAGTTGTAAAATGATTTCAGCAGCAACTTGTCATTTATAATCGTATACGCGTTTCTATTATCATTTATATGTATACTACGGGGTCATACGAACAGTTTTCCCATTTTTAACTCATAATGCCTCGACTAAATTTATTAGTTTCAGAATTCTAGCGAAGACGATATAAAGCGTTTTTTAGTACATTGAACTATTACCAATCTATTACAGGATGGAAAAGGCTAGCATGTGTATTTTCAATACTCGATGGTTGTCACATCGAGCTAATCGCTAAGAACACCCTTGCCGTTGTACCTCTAATCACCCTGCGCAAGTTTATAGGTTAGGATCCCTGAGGGATAACTATATGCGAGAGGAATTATGGACTCTTCATAGCGGTAGGGTGATTTACGTGACAATTGTTTCGTCAATAACGCCGTGCATCCGAGACAAGTAACTGGTCCCATCCCCGACATGGACAGGTAACCGGACAAGAATCCGTGGTTCGTCGCATCTTTATGTCGTCTTACTGACTTTCCTCTCAAACGAGGTGGAAATTCTTGCTTAATTCGTTTAATTGAGGTAAATGTAATTACGTAGAATGAGGTTTATGAAGTAACTCACAACTTCGTTGAAAAAATGCCATGGTCGTAGTGAATTCTTTTCAGCTTGCATTTAATATTTAAATATTTTGATTCAATAAATTTCAGAGATATTCCGCTCTCACTCCTTATTGCTATGTCAACAGTTGTGCTAGCGTATGTTGGTGCTTCGTCGGCTTTAACACTGATGGTTCCATACAACTTAATATCTGTATTATCACCTTTTCCTGATGCTTATATTGAATACGGATGGAATTGGGCACGGTGTGTAGTGTTTACTAATGTTTTCAAACAGCAATGGAAATTTATTTATCAATTTTTTATTACGGTATTATACAATTATCGTTGAATGTACCAAAATCCCATAACAATTCATAACATGTTAATTTTGCCGTTGTAATGCACAGCTAGTGAGCGTTGATATAATCAGCGATTATAAAAAGATAATTATCATTAAAGACAATATGGAAGTGTCAATTAAAAATTCACAATGAATATATGTTTTATATTGTAATAATAATGAATAATAATAATTTTACATATATAATTCTGTCTTGCCAACAATATCTTCAATCATTTACTTGTATTAAAAAATAAAACCATGGACTTATATATCATTATCCCAGTGAGTCCATGATCCCAATTTTAATCTAATTTACTGCATGAGTTTAATGGGTGGACATTTTTTTTTCACGATATACGCCAGGTATATCGTAGCGGTTGGTTCAATTGCCGCTATGTCCACTGCAATGTTATCAGCAATGTACGTTGTTCCTCGGTATTTCTTCGCCATGTCTAGGGATGGTTTGTTGATGACTATATTCGCAAAAGTCAGTGGAACAACACAAGTGAGTTCGTTCGACCAAATTTTTTGTCAGTACATCTGACAGCTGCTAGTAGACCATTGTCCAAGATGTATCGCAATTCTTATATTATGTGAAATGAGATTTTATCGTTCGTTGCCAAAAGAAAGTCAAAGCCCAAAGTATATATGAATATTCTAAAAGCATGAAAACCTCAAATATAACAGCGGATTATAAATATTGAACACGTTCGAGTTTCAGTTCATATGATTGATTCGTGGTTAGAACTACGATCGTAACTATATATTACTTAGAAATGCCCTAATGCTTCTTATCAAATCTGTTGTTGTGGTTTGTCTGCTTCATATAAGTTTTCACATTAAAAATTTATGTATTTTCAGGTTCCTATTTTTGCGATTGTTGTGACTGGGATCATGTGTATATTATTTGCCGTAGTTTTTGAGTTGCATGCCCTCGTCGAATTCATTTCTATCGGGCAACTTCTTGCCTGTACTTTTGTTTCAATATGCGTCATAAAGCTCAGATACCAACCAAATACTATAACAAGGTAAAAACGGGTAATAAAACAACTTTGCCAGAATAGACCATCAACAATTAGTTGCGTCTGAAATGCGTTCAAGAGATACCCAAACTCATCTGCCACAATTCGCAGATGGAAGTATTGGTTTCTGCTCAGTTTGTGATAAATATAGACCAAGCCACTCATTATCTCAAAATAAAAGCAAGTGCCTATGGATTTTTTTAAATGCTTGGATAATGGTCAGAAAACGCTATAGGAATGCACAGTAATATATTTCAATTTTTAAAAATTCAGGTTTGTAGAACTGCATCATTTTGGAAATTATGAACGGCTTGTGGATACAGAAGAAACAAATGAGGTTTCATCTAATGGAAGAGTAGTGGAAACTGATCGGTCGCGACTGACTGAAACCTCTGTAATATCAGAAATGGAAATAGAAACGAACGATGCCTCGTATGCATCTCCTAAAAGTGAAACAACAAAATCGAACACGACAGACGAAGATTTCTGGCTAAATAGCGAACATGTAGTAGGCACCGTGAAAACAGAAGTTTTATCTAGTAGATTTGGATATATTTTCCAGCCATTGACTAGATATGAAGCTGGTTCCGTTCCAAGCTATCTACTTATTATTTCCACATTCGCAGTGGCAATTGTTGTTGCGTTCTGCCTCTTCACGCATGAGTACATCTCGTCATGGTGGAGTATTCTAATAATTAGCATATTCTCTCTAATTGCTGTTGTCTCGCTTCTCCTACTTCTCATATTCAACCAAGACAAAACTATCAAGACATTTACGGTTAGTTTGCGTAAGCAACGAGTTCAATCGTAGACGCATCTAATGAGGTTTGCCATAATTTAACCAAAATTTATTTATCTTACCACAGGTACCAGCAGTTCCATTTTTACCTTTTGTTAGTGTAATAATCAACATTGTTCTTATTCTGAAACTCCAACCAATGACGTGGATACGACTTGGTATTTGGTGCACAATAGGTAAGAGAAAAGTGAAATCCAACCGCTTAACGTAACTCGTTCTGAAAAAATATGTCATATTACCGATTTCTCGTAAAAAGGACCGAATCGATGAATAAACTCTATAATACCACGCCTTAATTATCATTCACTTTTATATGCATTAAAAAAACAATGAAACGCAAAAAAAAAAATATTGAAACTTAAATGCCATTGATTTAATTCTTTAATGTCAATAAAATTACAAAATTAATTTTCCTTTTGGCAAAAATAAGCTTTTGTCCATATACAAATATCCTTTTGTTCATATATAATGTATTTGATTCTGAAACACATGGTGTTCAACTAAAAGTTGAAGGGTATTAAATAGCAAATGTCATTATCGATATGCCCAGTACATGAAACATGTGAAGAATAAGCATTTTAATAATACAATACGTTTTATATATGCAATCAATCTAGAGTTTTGTTAAGCATTATATATTGGTTTACGAACGACTTCTTTCAACAGCTATTTACCCACTACATTTAATGGTTCCATTACATTTGAACCCACGTACATTTGAACCCATGACAATTGCACCTGTATGCTATTGCACCTATGGAATTTTTTTTGTTTCACGGATAGTTAAACCCATACTAACCCTAACCCATGGGTTTTAGCACCCGCATATAGATTGAACCCGTGGATATACGCATGGGTTCAAATGTACATGGGTTCAAATGTACGGTCACCCATTTCAATATATACTCTTTCAAATAAATTTGTTCTATTTTTAATCTAACAGGATTGATCATTTATTTCTGTTACGGATACAGAAACAGTGCAGAACGTAAGAATGAATAGAAAAAGAAGTTGTAAAACTGCCTTCTGGCAATGCGATGACGATGAAAGTGCTGTTGCGACACTGTGTTCATTATGTTACTTTCAGCTTTTCTATTTAAACGACTCTATTTAACATTGTCTCACAAATATTATAAAGTAATTAGGTAAATATTCAATATATATTCTTTAGTCGCATTTTCATGGGGCTGCAGATAATTAATACTTTCATATTGACTAACGTGTGGCTTATCAGGAACTGGAAATTCCAGCTAGCCATCCACGTGTATTGACAAATATAATTTTTCATTTTATCCCAAGCAGCTTTCCTTCTAGAATATTCATCAACAAACTCACGAATAAAATTTAGTCCTTAAGAATGTTGAGAAATGAGTGATTGCTTTCTGTTCTGATATGCCTCCGGTTTGGCATTGGTTAAAAAACAATTCTTTGCACAGTACAAATTTCACCATGAAAATGGTAACAAAAACATTGCTTTTCGGGCGCTGAGGAAGTATGTGTACCAAGACGACGCACAACCTGAACCCTAACCTGGTACACATACCATGTTTAGGTTGTGTATATATACTTACGGAGCACCGCTTTTCGGGTGCAAAGATATCAGATAGGCATGTACAAGATGAACTAATTCATTCAGAAGCAGTTTTAGTAAATCCAATATATCTATCGTGTTTGTGAAAGATATGATTTTTAATGAGGTGATCAATATTTGAATTACCAAGATAAAAATGACAATTAACCTAACACAGAAATAGACAAGTTTGTACTCCATGCTTTTATTATCCCAAACGTCAACCACGTGTCTTAAAGCAGCTCAAATCAAAGAAAGAAGTTCAAATCAAAACACCGTACCGTTAACAGATGAAAAGTATACGTAAGTTAGTAAGCGTTAGTAGATGTCAAGATACAAATCCCCACAGCAAACATTCAGAATAAAAATAATTCAATTGCTAACGTTACTAAAAAATAATATTCAACACGAAGTTGACTTATGGGTCGTTTTCTTAAATTGCTAATGTTGTTTCCGGGATGGTAACGGTTGTGGTTGTTGTGCAGAAATAAACGCCATATGATTCATAAATTTTAGCATTTTTCTCTTGAGTAAATGAGTAATCCAAATAAAGGTATTATAGTAATGAACAATTATTAATGTTATAAATAGTCTGAAGGTATAAGGTCGCCACATTCAAATGTCATTAATGTTGTTGGATCGACGCCTTGCTTCACTGCAAGAGCTGTAAATTTGGAAATGTCTTCTTTGTTTATTTTGGGCTTCCTGGTTAAAATCTGAAAAAGCTTACGACCTGAAAACAGATGTTAACGCTGACGATAGTAAATATATTGATTTCCATATCATTCAATTACGAAAATTGTACGTTACTTTGAAGCAGCTTAATTACAAATAATGCGATTCAATTGCAACAAAATTATAATATTAGTATACTCTTTTCACACATTTTAAGTTCGAGTGTAAATCATCTCTATGTTAGATTACTATAGTAATGTTATGTACTGCAAACCTTTTCAGAGCCTCCATGTGACCAGTAGCATCATGTATAACACGCAATTATCCATTTTACATTATTACATGAAAGTACAAATTGTGTAACCTATTCCATCACAAAATGATCTCCCTCAACTTAGAGTATATCAAATTGTACATTTTATTAATTTATATTCAAAGACTCACCATCGCGCATTGTTGTCAGATGATTATAGAAATTGGAATAGTCAGTCATATAAAAGTGCGGATGAGAGCGGAACCATGGTTCATCTAAAAGTATAAGATTCGAATTTGTTTTGTTTCGATATGCTTTCCTTGGCAATTCATGCACCTGAATTTGTTTCAACTGCTCTTTTCTCGAAGTATAACTCTGCACCTAACTCTTGCCATGTTCCCTCTAGGAACGGATTATTTAGAATTGAAATTTAATTAGTATAAACTTGATTATTCAAACCCATTTCTATAATATTGAAAGAGCAAGCTCTGTCCCATAATAAAAGATGATTAAAAAAAAATTATATCTAATCCGATACTTACTTGTGTGCGACCCCATCCAATATTGACCCATAGAGTCGCGTGTTACGTCTTCAATAATACTCTCAGGGGACTCTGAGTTCATTCTAGTGTAAAACAATAGCATGAGTTATTTTATGCATAATTTATTCTTAATTAGAATTAAGGCGTTTGCGTTTTGGTTCATACTGTGTAAAAATAAATTGAACGCACCGGGGAAAATTGTACGTGTAGAACTTCATTGTATTCTCTGTTACGTTGAAAGGTGCAATTATATGGCATCTCCACAATGCGTTCCAGTACCCAGAAATCCACACCAAAAGTGAGAAACCAAACTCCTTGCAACTGCATATAAGAAAAATTGTGTGAAAATGATCTTTCGGTTTATTCAGGCACCATTGGGGAAAAAAAATGAGAAAACACAAAATATTACCATTACCTATTGGGCGGAATAAGCATTTTAACATACCTGTTCCATATCGATTTCTTTTCCAGAATAAATATCTAGACTCCATGCACATGATAAAATCATAAGAATCAAGAGACCTGAAAATTTAGAGCCCATCGTTTGTCCTTGTCATTAGCTCAGTGAAGACAAAGATTTGGAACTTCCTTCGAGGCAAATTGAGATAAGCATGGAATGTGATGAATTGATATCCTTCTCCGTCATATGAAGGGTATTGATCTGTGAGCTCATCGAACGTAGGCCTACACTGATTTTGACTGGGAAAATTATATGACATTCAGTATCATTCAGATTCAAACAAATATTTGGGATTTATATAGCAGAAGTAAATGAAATTAGTTTGTCATTTTAATTTTTGCTAGAAAATATTGATAATTTGTGTTATTGATAATTTGTAAAAAATTATTTCGATGGTTTTATTTTTCAATGGTCCGTGGAACGTGTGACAGAGACCTAAAAATTATTTGTAGTGTTACCAGATCAAAATTTATAATAAATATCATATTTACTTCCTCTGACTATTTATGCCCTTGCTACCTAAAGTATAAAGTCAGTATAGCCTTATGAGGGGTTGGAAGGGCTTTCCCAGGCCTAGAGTGACATCTGTTTATTTAAGTTTCATATCTTCGAAATTGATTGAGCCAAGGTACTGCGTTTTCATTTGAAAGGCATCTAACCAAATGTTGTATGTTGCTTTCAAAAATTTTCCCATAAGCATCAGTTGAATTCTTACAGCGTATTTCTAGAATATTTTCTAAAACAATTCGAGTAAGAGAACTCAAGTTTGTAAGAGAACCTGAGCGATTCAACTGAGAGTGTAGTTTGTGGCTATTTGGGACTACAACACTTAAAATAAATAAAAAGGGTGTTTGGACCCGAGCGAGGACCTATTAAATATTGCATCTAATGTAACAAAATTTAGCGATTATTAGCCAATAAAAATTAGATATTAATTTCAATTCATGTCATAATTCGAATTCGAGGTGGAAATTCTCATTCGAACGAGTGTTGCAATGACATAGCTCGACACCAAGTGAAAATGGCTTTGGGCAGTAATTCTCACGTGAAAATGAATCAATTTCGACATGTGTACAAGTTTATTTCTGTAAATTAGGTCATTATTGTTCGATCCAAAATTTCATTTCAGATAAAACGAACTGTATTTAATAGGTCTAAACACTCTAAAGAGTCTTTTTCGTGTAAAATTACCAATGAAGAGAAATAAATCGGCCGTGCGGATGAAAAATTCTGAAGCTCGTTGATTACCAAAACAAATTTAATTAGTTGCGAATCAATTGGAAATTTACTAGGAAAACTATACATCTGAAGAAAGCCAATCATATTTTTTCGACCAAGAATAATTTATATGATTGTGAGTTTGTGTCTTTAGTTTTAGTTGTTTTAGTTTATTGCAATACGTATTATACACAGCAAATAAAGTAAGATAATTGAATGACTTTAACAGTTATATAAAAATAAGATGAAAAAATACAGTATAGTATATATGCTAAACTTCTAAATAATGAACCGATCTGTATCCAGTATTTAGTTTTTTCAACGAAATCCCATCATACGTGTTTCAATGCTTAGCCCCCAAAACACCACCAGCGTGCAGCAGTGGGCGTGTTGGTTAATTAACTGACAAAGCCAAACTCACCAATAATAACAGTAACCTGAAAACTAAAATCCCTAACTTTATAAATTTAATTAAGTCAAATATACCTTTGGTCTCGATGCTTGATAACAAGCTTTGGTTACCTGCGCTTCCTGTTTCCTAAGTAAAATTGCGTTCATTTCGCTTTCTACTGATTTTGCATGCTATTTTTACTGGCTGTAAAGTAAAAACTTGACTAGGAATTTTACAAGAAAGGGATTAATAACCTATTTTAACCTGTATATAAACTTTTCATATATATTACATGAGGTTTTTGTGGAGATGTGTGCGTAGGAGCATGTAAAAGTATACGATACATTGAACAAACGCACATATTATTACTTATCGATCTTTAGATCGGTAAGTATGTTTATAGGTATTTGTCTGTTTGTCTGTCTGTTTGTCTGTTAGATGCACGCGATATCTCGCGGAGGCGTGATTGAATCTGCTCCAGATTTTGCATGTGCATTCATCATATCTCGGACCAGAAGCCTATTGATTTTGGATGAATTGTGTCGTATAATTAGCGAATTATTAATTAATTAGTGATGGGACACGCGGTGTCACTATAGAGTCATGAATCGAAACCGCAGTTTCGACCGATAAGTCTTCGGTCTCCGACCGATATTCGCGTTCGAAACTTGTTGAAACAAATATAGATCAACTTGCTTTTATCTGGTTAGCGCATGTGCGCAATATCAGACGTTTTGCAATGCTGTGTGTAAACCATTAGGTCTGGAATGTTTGTTATGGTCTTGCTTGGAGCTAGTTTCCTACACATCAATATAAGAACGAGAGTATCGGTCAGAGACCGAAGACTTATCGATCGAAAGTTAGGGGATCCCCAAAACAGCGCTCTTACTCCATAGTGACACCTTGTGTCCCATCACTAATTAATTAATAACTCGATAATTATACGACATAATTCGCCCAAAATCAATAGGCTACTGGTACGAGATATGATGAATACACATGCAAAATCTGCAGCAGATCCATTCTCATTTTCGTGAGATATCGCGTGCATCTAACAGACACACAGACAGACAGACAAACAGACAGATAAACAGACAAACAGACAAATACCTATCAACATACTTACCGATCTTAAGATCGATAAGTAATAAACAGCAGAACGATCGATCAATCATAGCCTGGCCTGATGCGATGCTGTGACTTCACCAAGCGAGAATTTTATACTACGCTCGAATGCCTTGCTCTGTCAGCGCAGTACTAGTATCATATAAAAGAGAAAAACCAATACGCAGTCAACTGGATAGTCACATTTGAGCTTTACAAGAGAATAACTCGTTGAACAGCTGATAGGATGAGAGAGGTGAAAATATTTTTATTATTTTTTGACGTTTCGAAAGACCTCAGCAACACGGGTTTTAGTTTACGGTCTTCCAGTGACATCTAGCGTATAGTACTCAAAAATACCTTTCTAATGACATATAAATATTGTATATTGGGTAAATTTTGGGGGTCGTATGACATGAATAAAAATGGGTACACAAAATTGGGCCCGATTGCTCGTGTAGACCAGGTTTTAACTGATTTGGATTAAAACGATTTACCTCGATCGCTATATTTAGTTTATTATTTCATTGATGGCTGACTTGTACTTTAGTCGGTATTGACATCTGTTTCACGGAACCATTAGGTTTCCATGCTCATTAAATTAGGATTATTTATTTACTAAGTATATAAGCCATCAGAATTTGCAACTATGTGGCCTTTCGTGTCCATATATATAAGCATAGCTCTCTTGTTGGACACGTCGGTGGTCATAACGATCGTTTTGGTATTTTTGTTGTTATTGATCTTGATCTTGTTCTTGTTTTTTGACACGTTTTGAAAAAATTGCTTTTCTCCTTGATTACTGGACCAATTGCTTTGAAATTTCCAGTAATTAAAGATGGAATTTTTTTTTAGAATGCTACTACTTTTATTAATTTCAAATATTTCTGTAAGCTTTATGGTATTCGTTTTTTTTCTGTGAGCTATGACGTCATCAAAATTTGCTACCACGTGGCGATTCCCCGAACACATATTAATCACGTGATCACTTTCCGTGGTCAAGCATGCTGGTAAGTTACCGTACCGTACAAAAGTGAATTTCAGTTAACATCTGGATTAAAGTAATTTATGGAATCGGTTTCTTGCCGCAGCGTTTTGACAAGCGAAGAGCTTGTAACTGTATTTACCAATTTGAGTTCAAACAAGAAGGCTCTTCGCTACCTTGAATTTACTAACCTGGGATATTTAAGAGATACAAGACACGCTACTGCTGTACAAAGTTTGAAGCAGGCGAGCCGTATTGAGCATTACCTACATTGATTCAAAAATTAAAATACGATACAAATCATTTCAAACAAGGCAAACAGGGAAGGACAGGTAAAATTCGGTCAGTTCAGTATGGATCACCTCACTCACATAAATCTAACATCATCGTGTTTGTAATATTAATTAGTGGCATTGAGTTCCAAACATAGTCAAATAATTTACTTTCTTAAAATAATAATGATTCAATCGATAATTTTACCGAAAAATTTTGGTTAATAAATGACTATTTTTAGTCCCGATTAATGTTATAATAAACTTCCGTTAATCTAATAAATAATCTGACGGGATCAGGTCGGAACATCCAAATGTTGTCAATGTGGATGGATCGATTCCGTGATCAACTGCAATAGCTGTGAATTTAGACATATCTTTTTGATTTATCCTGGGTGTCCTGGTATAAAATTGAAACAGCTTCTGACCTAAAAACAGTGTAAATGTTTTATTTTTGAGTAACAGCAGTGAAAAGATATTTGAGTTTATTTTGAGTTTGAGTTTGCAAAATATGCGAAGTGAAAACAGTAATATTGTGCTCTTTCCATAATTTGCATGAATCAGTCTAAACTTTTTATTTATTTTATCGGTAGAATATAACGTTGTTGTATACAATGTATAATAAACCCATTAGTCATACTTGTGGAAAATAACTAACAGTTTTGCCAAACCTTCTCGATGTCTATATTTATTATGACATCATGAAAAGTCCAAACGTATTAAATTACGACATGATCACGCACCCCATACTATAACGAATTTTGTATTTTGATTTAAAAATGAATTAAGTACCTATGTTGAATACTCACCATCATTCAACAATGTCAGATGACTGTAGAAAGTGTTATAGTCAGTTGAAAAAAAGTGGGGTTGAGAATCGAACCAGGGTTCATCTGGAGATATAAAGTTGGAATTCATTTTTTTTGGATATTTTTACATTTGTAATTTGTGCACTTATGTTACTGACCATGTGAGGAAGGTTTTATCTTTGTGTCAACCGGTGGTTGCTCTAGATATAGCTTTGTTTCTAACTCATGCCATTTCCCGTCTGAAAAATGAAATTGAAGTTTTTGATTGTTCAGTAAGTCTAATTCAAAACCAATAATCTCATCCGCATAACGGAGTTTCTTCGTATAAAAAAAAACATGGTTCATAATTACTGATTATAGAAATGAAAATTATTATTATTTAGACACTCACGCGTAAGAGGATGCATCCAATATTGACCCAAAGAATCGCGCCTTATTTCTTCAGTAACCATATTCGGTAACTCTGATTTGTCCCTAATATATAAAAGAAAATGCCAACAGATTTTTGCATATTCAGAGCACTCGGATTTATTAGTTTATTAAAAACAGATAGCTTTGTGCCGCTTGTAACACAATATGAAACGTACCAAGGAACATTGTAGGTGTAGAAATTCATCGTATTCTCAGTCACGTTGAAAGGTGCAATAATATGGCATTTCCATAATACGTTCCAAGACCAGTAGTCTACACCAAAAGTGAGAAACCAAACTCCTTGCAACTAAAAGTAAATTAAAACGTGGAAACGTCTTCACAATGTTTTGATCGCTCGGTGCGGAATAGATTGGACAAATTGCTTATTTTAAACTAATAATATTATTGTTAAATAAAACTTTATAGGTGAGTAAAAAGTAAAAAAGAACGATACCCCCGTAGTATGTGTACCAGGTTAGGGTTAGGCCATAATCTGATATTCCCTATTTTAATTTTATTACGAGTTCGGGGACTGTATATGTTAGCTCAATGAATACACCCCCTGCCCATAGTAATCAGTTCCTGTACATAATTAGTTGTAAAGTAAGCGAACAAAATTAGTTACCTCCGTATTGGTACACATACTTCTGGAGCGCCAAAAATACACACAACATATTTTTACCTACTGTTGGAAAATAAAAACATTTCAACTTACACGTTCCATATCTATTTCGTTTCCAGAATATATATCTATACACCATGCAAATGATAAGATTGCGAGAATCACAAGAACTGAATATTCAGAGCCCATCGTTCATTTCAAGTCATTGATCTAGGTAAAACACAGGCTTGTCTTTCTACTCGTGGCAATAAATATGCGGCAAACGTGATATTGTATTGCTACTTTTTTACAGTCTTAGGGCGCAAATAAGGTATCGATAAGTGAGCCTGCCGAAGTACCCTGATTCTGACTCGTGAGAGTGTATGAAACGATATATATACCAATATTATTTAGCTTCAAACAACAATTTATCAGTTAATAAAACAGAATGTGCGTAATAATTTTTGTCATTTCACTGTGAACCACAGAATATTATGTAATCGTTGTTATCTAAAAATTGTGAAAATTTCTTTAGATGATTTCTATTTCGATTTTTCAATAATATGTGAAAGAAGCTTTTTTTGTTATGTGAATAAGTAGGTACACAAAAACGGGGCATTTGATTAAAAAATTCAAAGTTCAGGATCTCTGGAAGGACAGAGCGTCTAAATTCTCCACATCTATAGAAGTAAAAACATTCAGGTGACATGGCGATCGTTGATGAAAGAAAATAAAATTACATCTGTGAGTAGATTTTTCCGGGTAATAAGCTTCATGAACCCATTCCTTGGCTTCATAAAAAAAAACTAACATCACTTTTTGTATCGTGGAAGTAACGATGTTAAACATCGAATAATGACATGACTATTATGCAATTTATCAATATCATCTTTTCAAAAACAATTACCTTAATGTTCGTGGTGTGACTATTGTTTTCATCTGTTATAGTGAGGCCAATAAAACGAGCATACTTATACAACTATATATTTATACAACTATTTTATGGCAACTCTGCGAATGGCAATTCATCTAAACGCTTTATGCAATGGAAAAGAGAATAAGTTGTTTTGTCAAGCACTTTGTGATATATTTGCAACGCTTGGAAATTTCATATTGAGATATTGTTATGGCAAATTATGGTTGTTTGTGCACTATATATATGCTTTAATTGGTCGAACAAACTTGCCTCGCAATTTATTTTAATTTGGTAATGAGGGAATATGTGCGACATCATCTTTTCGAGTTTTTTGGCAACCACTATTTACACATCAATAAGACATTGCAATACACAGGCAGACTAAGCGCAGCAACGAAAAGATACTATATCTTAACCGTATTTTCCAACCTTTTTAATGATTAGCAATTTCGAAATGAAATACTTAATAAAAGCTGTTAGTATTGAAACGTCAGTGCCGATTTTCCATACAAAAAGAAAACTACCGGTATTTGAAAAACATGAAGCGGCAGCCGGCAATCCCCCCCTTCTCTGCTATCAACGGTCGCTAATAATTTCGTTATATTTCCACTTCATCAAAATTTAAAGGAGAGATTGATTCTGAAAGAAGAAGTGAATGTTATGTATGCCACAAACACAAACATCTGTGTCAAACCACCCCAGATCCGAAAATAAACAAGAGATTGGCGATAACCGAGTTGTATTTATATAAGTTATGCTTTGAACAATATGGAATATATTCTCGGCTTTGGAGCTGGACTGACACAGATTTTTGTCGTTTACTGTTTACATATAATAGATTTGATTTGAGAAAAACCTGTTTTTAAGTTTCGACCAAGCCCAGTTAGTATCCATCAATGATGACATAACATGAAGAACTTCTGGACCTGATTTCACATTATAGATTTGATCGAAATGTCAGTCTCTTGTCTTCGTTTCAGACAATGATCTAGTTATATGAGGACGGACGAATAGTACACAGTACACGTAAATATATATATATTATGATATCACTGAATATAACTGGATAACTGGAGTTAAAATACACTAAGTCTTACTAAACAATTATTATAGTCCATACATTCTATAATGACCAAATAAGAAAAGTTGTAGATTAAATTATTTCAACTTAATATAGCACAAATGGAATAACAAATTAAAAAATACTTGGACCGGTTTGGGAAAAAATAGATAAAAAAAAATGATTTCCGTCATTCATATTATTACTAGTTATTTCTAAATTTATCCTAAATCCTGCATACTCTACTGTTTAATAGTTTTGACCTTGAAGGGAAAAATTTGCCGAAGTGAATATCTGTCTAAAATGTATGGGTTTGCTTTATTTCCCGGTATTCATTTTGCTTTTGAGCAAAAAACCGTCCGGTTCACGTAATTTCCGTTTAAATATGTGATTACCGAAATGCCTTAAATATCTTTTTTTGAATTTGTGCTAAATTCAAGTATTTCAGATTGCAAAAAAAATGAAATAAAAAAGCAACAATGCTTTGTAAATCTAGATCAAATTTTCTATAATTAGGAACTCTATTCAGCAAATCATTTTTCTTCGCATATCTGACTTTGTAAAAGGTTCATGTCATGTGTCGACCGTTGCATATTTTGATACTTCACCAATAATTCATTAACTCACACGATGATAAAGATAGCCCTTTCATACAAGAAGATCGATTGTTGATAATCCGGAACTATATAGATTAATATCATTTATTGCGGTTTTAACGCTGAAGGTTAATTTTTCGCTTTTTATTGGATTTTTCAATGAATTGACTGGTATGGGCAACTGTACTAATGATTTTCGATCAATTTAAGTATTTGGTAAGCAAAAGTCATTCTCAACGATTGCCAACCACAAACTCAAGATATTACTCACAATCTTGAAGCTTTCGTCACGGAATGAATATATATCATGTTGAATGATGTGACATGATATAATAAAGGCGGTGGTTTACGTAACTTTTTTTATTTAAATCCAAAGCAAAAATTTCAAGAAGCTCTGCTTTAAGTGGGCATGTATAAAAAAAGGAAATAAAAAATTAAATTTTGATCAGGATTGACTGTCCAGACCAATTACAAACCTTAAGGTTTTTAGTTATTTCACACCCAAGAAGTTTAAAATAATAAAATAGGTAAATCGATAATGTATTTTTTTCGTAGATTAACCTCTTAACCCGCTAACGTTTGACATGACACTTGTCGTTTTGTATTTAGTATTTCCAGACACTTTAATCCACGAAACTTGAGGTTTTTCTACATAGTCTTCCTAAACTTGTATAGCGACTGCTAATACTCCTGTGAGAAAATTGATGACACAATGTAAAGTCCCTCTTTTCCATTTTATATCGCTAAATTTTGGTTTCATGTATATACCTTGCTTGCATACCTCCTTCAGCTTGCTTGCAAATAAAACTTGCCTCCGACAGAAAATAATTGATTATAAAAATAGCTTAAAATTGCGGTTCAATTTTGCCATGTGACTCGTATCGCCCATACAATGGTATCAATGTATTTTATTTCGTCGCATATTATTTTTTTATTATCAAATAAAACTATTGATATTCTATATATAAGTGATCCTTCATATATTCTTAACAAAATCTAATAATCTAAGACAGTAATATACTGATGTTTACAAATGTTTACCTAACTACAAGGCGTGTTTAACTTAGATTAATCACGAGACACCTTAACGAAAAAAAGAAAATAGGAAATTCGCGACCATTTATTTAGTTATAAAAGCCGCAGACACAGGTGGCGATCTGATCGGCAGCTTGAGTTTGCCGGTCGACAACAGTAAGCTACTTGTTAGATTGTAGAAAATTCAGTATGAGATCTTATTATATACTACTGATACCTTTACTGGGATTCTTTCTACAACCAACCGTACATGGTGAGCATCTGTTTATAAATTTTTGTCGGATGCCAGGTCGTCTAATTTGAATTTCGATTGAACACAATATAAAAGTGATTATATCCAGGCTGTGCCTCTGCTTAGGCACCAACAATACAGAAACAATGCAACAATGCAGTATTGGCCATTTCTTGCTAAGTTATTTCTGTAAAAGTTCCTAAGGAAGTTTTTACAAAAATCAACAGGCTTTTTCCGATTATATTCTTTTCCGTTATATTTTTAAACGAGTTTTAGGTTAAATATTAAGCCGCTATGATAAGAATAACACATTCATTACCCGCGGGTATATTTACTGTTTAATAGTCACGCTGAAGAACAATTGATGCTTTTAAATTGTTTTCAACCAACCTGAAAACTTTTAATCGTTTATACTTTATCAAGTAGGCTAAAATCTTCAACATAAATCGTGCCAAAAATATAACCTGATTGTAAAACAGTTTAAATTATATACAATGTATACGTACTAATTACCAGCTTGTCACAACGTTCTACATGTGAAGCCAAAGTCTGGGTTGGATATTTCTGGACGGCGGAAGCGTCATGTTGGACCGCATCCGCATCCACACAGTAATCACTCATCAGAGAAGGACGCAGACCCAGAATTGTCTTTATTTTTCTCTGGTTGTATGTTTAAAAAAACTGGGCCAATGTTCGAATCCTGGCCTAGTGTAATCGATTTTATTCTCCGTGATTTATACTGGTTTGAAGCCAGCGATATTGCTTATTGTGGGTAAGTTTTATGGTACCAGTCAGTGAAACAGATGAGTATACTTTTCTGCTGTGTATTGAGTTTTATGTTGATGACAAAGTGAATGACAAACATTCTTTGCGGAAAAACTGTACGCCCGGGGTGATATAACAACATAGTCTGTAAGGCTATCATTTTTGGATGATATTGAATTAAATGAGGTAATTTTGAAGGTTTGGTTACGAGTTTTACAAAAATCTTCAGAACTTTGCATTTTTTTTTCATTCTTTATTTCGTATATAATATACGTGTGACTATTCTTCATGTTTTTGAGTTCATCCCTTATGAAAAGTAAAATTTCATCTTATTATATTCTAGGAATACAAGCAAGATGTGTTTGTTACAATTAATCACATTACTCAAACGTTACTTATATTCAATATATTTTAGAGGTTATAAAGATACAGCAAGATGCTGGCAAAGACGACTTAACTTTTTACTTAAATTTGAATCTTCTCTAATGACACCGGGAAAGGAATGTATAGAGGAATACGATGAATCTATAAAAAGTGAAAGTAAGCAATAAATACAAAATGGGTGTATTTTATAGTTGATTTTGGATATCTTGGATATCAGTCGCTTTAATTAATAATTATATTTGATTGATTTTAATTTTCACCACAAAAGCAGAAGAGATTTTTTTAGTAAAACGAGACAATTTTTTATTTGGCTTAGTATTATAAATTTATTAATTACAATATAATATAGGGCAGGTATTTTGAACATTTTTCAATGAATGGTTAGATTCAAAATCTTCTCTTATCTTCAGTGCGTATGGTATCTTTTCTGTTGGTAGTTGGGTCCGCAAAATGCTTAACGTAGGCACGCCAAATATTTGCGATTTATAGTATTCAAGATAGCGCCAAGTGAACATTTTATATCTGTCATGGAGCTTCTAAAACAAATTTCTTGTTCTTTTTCCGTTTTCATTTTGTGTACATGATATCGTTTCAATATGTAAACGAGATAGCGTTCATACATAGCCGACTTATCGATCGAAACTTCCCCGGTGGAAACTTGCGCATCGCACACACACACTCAGCACATGCGCGCTCTCGCGTAAAAATTCTAGGTCATAGACGTTCGCGGTTCAATATGTAGATGAGCATAATGCGCAGCGTAAATTTTACCTCTTCGTCGTCGTCGACACGGAAATACAAATCTGGGAGTCGTTAATGACTGTGTTGTTCACTTAATTGCGGATTATACCCTTTAATTATCCTTATTTATCCCCTCGTAGCAGACATTTCTCTATGGGCATACAATTCCGCGAAAAAATAAACTAATTCACAATATTCTCGTGGCTCACGACGTACATCTTGCAGAAACGATATATAAAGATGTTCACGGCCTAAACAATCACGTCACGTTCACATAAACAATAATCGATCATATCAATATCAACCTTGTATAAATTACACGCCTTAATAGTGATATCCCGACATTCTTCCCTAAAATTCAGGAGGGGGAAAGGACGCACGTGGCTGTGCCAATAACAACAGTATTTCACTTAATGTTAGATTCAATTTGGGCGGTTTTTATTATCAATTTTTATCACAGATATGCTTGTTTGTTTTTTCATTAACTCGCAACTTACCGAGAACCGAAAAACTACGGTGGGTCACTTTGGGACACCCTATTTGTTGACTTATTTTGGGCGGTGGAGGTTTTTAAACTCAATTTTCATTGAAAACTGATCTTGGTTTAAAATACAACAATGTATGAATGTTACTCTAACTTAGGGCAAAATTTTGTGAATATATGGTATTATACCAACCTTTAGTGCAAAAATAATAGTATACATTATCGTTATCATCATAACAGGTTATCTTCATCTTCCAGGGGGACCCGCATTTGAAATTTTTTATCGAACTCATTATGATTCTTATCAGCATGAACCAGTTTATGGAGAATTTAAACGATTCAAAAGACAAATAGTTGGCATTGATGACACACTGAGACGAGCAGAAGATATTTTGAATAATTTGGATGATTTTTTGGATACAAAATTCACAACACCGCGCTCGTATTTTCAAGGCAAAACGACAAGTGAGCCCGATACTTTGACAAAGACAGAAAAAGAACGGAAATGTCCCAAATTTTCTTTAATCGAGTTTAACAATTGTATCCAGTCTCGAGTAGATGAATTAGTCCAAACACAGTTGATACAAAAATATCCGTCTTTAAGAAATTTTAATGAGAAGTCGAACATAGAGTTTTTTGAAGATCATATGTCCAGCTGCAGGTAAGCCTCGTTTTAAAAATTTATTTGAAAAAATTCCCATTTCTAATATGATTTACATCAATGCTACTCTACGTAATACTGTTGGGAAATTCTCCCCTTTTTCCGAGATCTGTCGGGGCATATAACATTGTGGAAGCTGTGATATAACACGATGTTTTGTTTTCTCCTTACATTTTTTCAACTGGACGGTGTAAAATGCATTCAGTTTATTTATGCACAATGATAATAATTGATATGTTCATACTATTTTTTGTAACATATAAGTAAAACATAACTTTTCCTTCAGAATAACTAAAGAAAGGAGAGGGAAAAACGTCGTTTACATTGAAAACTGCCCCGTATCGAACTCAAGAACAAAACGGCAATCGCCATTCAAACCAAATACTTTGTTGAACAGAGGCGAAATTTATACAGTAACGGACACAGGCCCATCTTTGCCAGGAAACAAACCTTTATACATACCAACTTATCATTTCCCATCAGAACTATGTCTGATAATAGATTATCCAGATGTTGTCAAACCAGCCTCACCTGTTCGTGTACCTATCACATTATGTGCGGAGAAATATTTGGGAACATTTTTTAATAAAACAGACCAAGATTTAGATCTGATTCCAACAATTGACCCAAATGAGAGATCCATGTACCAGAGGCCAAGTTCTAAAGGTAAAGCTTTTAAAAAGTTACAAATTATTAAATATAGAACAATTTAGCGTGCTGAAACGCATTGAAATAATTAGTCAATTAGCAGCATATACGGGTCTCAGAATATGAATGATTTAACTATAAGCTGTCAAGATCGCTGAGCTTGCAAATCTTTTGTCGTTAATATTAAACGACGCAACGCTGAGGGTATAGAGTTTTGATTTTGTTATGTAGAGCCAAAATATATCTGCGCTACGGCACTTTTAGGTACAATGTTTTACTTTTAGCTACATGTTCATGAAATATTACATTAGGTAACCAGTCGCTTGATTTTATATGCTTTTCAGGAAAAATAGGATCGTGTACCAAGGGGGACGCATGGACAAGGTATTACAACGTTGACAATCAAGACGAAGAAGGTGACTTTGAAACATTAGAAGATCTTCGCAATTTATTTCCAAAACTTATTTGTGATTCCCCAAAAGCAATTGACGTACGAATCGCAAAAGGTAACAAACCTCACTTTAGATCGAAGGAGTCTCTTTATATTTCTCTCGCCGATGGTTTTAGATGTTACAATGACGAGCAAAAAGATGGCGTATGTGAGGATTACAAAGTTCGATTTTGCTGCCCAAGTGAGCATCTTTTTTTCATTTTTTTTAAAGGGTAAAGGTCATTACGTTTATGTGTACGGAAAATCACAATTTTCTCATTAAGTCATCATTTTCAATAAATTATTGTATTATTCTATCTTCAAAATTATCTACTATTCATTACAATTATATTGTAAACCACATCTTCCCATCCACATCCACGAGGAGAATTGTTTAAAGAAAAAACTATCCGACCCAAGTTCATTACAACTAGGACCCGAGTTGGGTAGACACAGGTTTGACCTATGTTGGATAAATATTGAGTCAAAAGGTTTTCGGTGCCTTACTTGATCGTGTGTGAACTCCCAAAACCATACTATATGGGTCCAGGCAATTAAACTTATTTATACGAGTCACACTGGAGCTTGTCTATTCTCCAACAAAAGGAGACTCGAGTCCTACTCGAACTGGATTGTCATTATCTGATTTTCCTTGTTATGAAGACTAAAATAACATGTTAATAATAATAATGTTGTATTTCAGAACAACCCTTGTGCGAAGAACCCAGTTCTTGGACAGGATGGTTAAACAGGAAACGTGGTCGTTCGTTCGGGGATAGAGAAACTTTGGAATACCACAAGACCAATAACAATGTTTGCGACCACCCGCTGTCAATACGTGCGAGATTGAATGGCAGTAAGAAGCCATATTGGTTTGGAAATAACATTATTGAGATTTCACCAATCATTGGTTTAATCTGTCGGGATGCTGATCAAAGTGATAGACGTTGCAGGGACTACTCTGTTTCCTTCTGTTGCCCTTTACTATCAATGTAGCACAGCATATGTTAAATTGAATTTCCCAATCATGTTGATTATAATTTTGTGCCAAAAACACGAAGGATATGCAGTTTGTGGTACAACTCTGAAGTAAACTACTCAATGCTATGTAGTCAATGCTGTACCAGATTTTTACTGAATATATTTTTAAGTTTGATGATATCTGAAAAAACCACATTTGTATTACATTAACTTTCTTTATCAGTGTTCAGTGTTTCAGTTTTCTGTAATATTAAATTGAACAAATTAGCAGTATTAGTAAATACATGTATTTGAAGAGTATTAATCACAAATTAAAACTATTATTTTGTTATATCATATTCAATCGATGATTATGTGATGATGACAGGGCAAAAATGCAGGACTGAAATTCTTTGAGGTGGTAAATAGCATATCAGTTTAATCGAGCAAGCAGCATTGTCATTTTGGAATTATAGTACTTGTAAAATTAGGTAATTTAAATAGTAGACAGTAGTCATTTAAGATCCATCACCCTTCGGGAAAATATAAAAATTGGCATGAATAAAGATATTTTTGGCATAAGGAAAATGTTGTCCCCAGATCATGACGTAGCATATTTTAATAGGACAGTAGACCAAGGTTAGCCAGATGATTATCGATATTCGGCACAAATTACGTTTATAGACAATTATCTAGCTAGCTACACAACACAGAAAAGGAGTGCAATTTTCATCATCTTATATATGCGGCAAGATGAACAAAAAAAGTTCAGTACTGGCATTCCGCAAGAGATTGCCACAACAGACTCCGACAACTATTAATTCAGCAAAAAAAACTCTCTCATAATTCTAATAATGAGCGGTGTACCAAATTTTTTATCGAGCTTCCACGCAAATATATCAATACCTCCAGTTATTAAAACTAGAAATACATTTGTGTTAGTGCGCTGCAAGACTTGAATCAAAGACGCAGTTTCAACAAAACTAGAAAAAAATGCAAAGATATTCTCTAGTGACCACAAGGATAAAAACTAGGTAATGACAAGCAAACTCCAAGATTCTCTAATTACATCTACGCAACAGTAGCGATACACGAAATCATTGTATTATTGTATTACAAAACGGCCATATCGTCAAATCTAACTTCTTTGCGCTTTTCAGAGTTGCTTTTTATATATTTATTAAAAACAATAGTAACATACTTAAGCTATACATAGCATGCAGTGCTGCATTAGAAAATAAGACAAGACAAATCTAAGAGTTTTTCGGACTTTGTCAGAATTAGCTCACACCACACATCATGCTGGTGTCGGCAAACTCTTTCAAAACCGACGGGAACTGACTTTGCAACAATTTCATACAAATTTAGTTACAAATACTTTTTTATAACTTGCCCCATTTAGAATAATCCAAACTCAACTTAAGAACATGCTTAAACTACAATGTATCAAGCTAGCATTTTAATGAGCACAAAGGAAGATTGAAATTTTTAATCGCGTGAAAAATGTTTTTGCTTAGATTTGGATGCGAAGTGACGTCTCAGTACGAAGTACATTCACTAGACTTCAATTCCAATTAAATAAGTTTGTGACCATCTTTAATTAATTAAGCATTTGGCATTCATTTGAAGTTTTGAAGTGACATATAGAGAGAATTTAAAAAGTATCGGCTCGTTGTTTTTTATTTTGTTAATATTATAGGCTATGACTTCCACAGAAAGCAATTTACCTCACACGTTGCAAACAAGATATATGCATGGTTGATTTCGGTATTTAATCGTGCACAAATATAATACTATGACTAAATACGTAAAGGCTGTGGTGAACAAAACAACAACATATTACTGCCTTAAGGAAGGCCTGAAGGTATATTAACGAAATGAAATATGTCATCGAACTTGACAGCATATACGCCAGTGCGAATTGAATTATTAACCAACTGACAACAGAAGACAACAGTCAGATTTTGAACTGAGTTGGTAAAATACAAAAAATGTGGTTTCAAAAAACCTTACTGCTTGTGTGTTTCGTTTTTATGGGAGTAGAAGGTAAGTTATCATTTTTGTTTTTTATCTGAAAATGCCCGGACGACAATTTATTCGATATGATTATTATCTATCGAATATTTGCCTGCGCAAAAATAAGAATGAAGTTTGCTTTTGGTTTAATAACATTGTTCATTATTTGGTATTTGTGCCAAAAAAAATTTGTTTTTGCGCGTTTTTTATATGGAGAATTATTGAGGTAAATATGCAGAAACATTTCATAGAAATTAAAATATTATTGTGCTTCTTCTTCTATTGATTTAGAATGTTGTCTTAGCCATTGCGGATAAAAACCGACCGATTAGGAAATTTTTTTTTTGACAGTTCCGACAAATTATCCAACACTGAATGCCCAATTTACGATGATACGTACTGACGCAATCCCAGCGTGCATTCGAGACGTAGTTTTTCTTGCGGACGCAATTCATCACGAATGAAAAATAGTTACACTGAGAATGACGATAATTATTGTTAAAAGATAAGAAAAGAAAAAAATTTGAATAGAGAAAATTTTTTGGTTTATCGAATCTTCTTCCTCTAGCTTTTGGTATTTTGATTAGAGGATGGCCATAAATCAACGGACATGAGAAACATGGTCAGCGTATGCACGTAAAATGGCATTCAGAACAAACGTATTTTGCAAAAATAAATAAACTCTGTCAAACAACACTTAGTACGATAAGTTGTAACAAAGACCCATTAATCTCTCCTTTAAACACAATCCGTGCGCTTCAACAAGAATGAATATTATTGAGCATCAAAGAATAAAATCAGTGTTCAGTGAAGATGGAATTGTCAGTTGAACATGATTAAAGATGTTTACCATCGATCGGATTCAAATGCTTCATAAAATAATTAATATCGTAATCAATTAATATTACTTAAAATATTGTGGTAAATAATGATATCGTCATTAATATTTAAAAGCATTTATTTATAGTTTTACAACCACCGCGATACGGAAATTTTCATGTAGACTCGCCCTCAAGCCATTTCATGTAAATGCTTTCGTTACATTTTTAATTTTGACGTGAGCATTTTGAGACGAATCGGTGACTCATCTCATGTCAAAATTTAATTAAAACATATTGAGTCATTTTAATTTTCGATTTCTGTATTGAATGGAAAGTACAGGGTTTCGATGCTAAAAACATTTCCGAACGAAGATATTATTGCCAGGCATGGAACGTACGTGAAATACTCTTTATCAATGAAACATACCAACGTTCATGATTATAAGTTTCCAACAGTTTCATATAAACTTTTCCACTTGCAGACATTAACTTGTTTTTATCCATATCAAGCTATTCAAAAATAGTAACGTTTTTTCTTGGTGCATAGAAATGTGATTCGGTCCATTAATAGTTTTCTCTATTGTTCTTAGTCAATAAAAATATAAGATATTGTAGATTACAGAAAATAGGAAAACTATCAATTTCTAAACATTCATCGAAATCTCGACATTTTTACGTTTACATCTTCACTTAAAATCTTACATTTCATTAGAATCATAAGAATATATTAATCTAGAAGTTCAATTCTCTAAATTAACAAATTAATGTTTAAATACTGTCGCAAGATAGGTTTAAATTATTTGTGAGAACAAAAGAAATGGCACTGCTGTTATGAATAAATATTTCGTAAATTCAAAATTAAAATGTAATGTGGTATTTCAACATTTTTCTAAAATAACATGAAAGCAATCTCTTGCGCACTCATTCGGAAATAAGAGACACTCATACTAGAAAAAAATTTCGGATGGCATATGAAATACCACGAGCTAGTGAAATATTTCAGATTGATGGTAGCAGTTTCTTATGTTGTGAACAGCGTTTATTAAATAGCTTCGTATGTACATATTTTTTAATTTTTAAAAATGTACGCCAAATTAAATTATTAAATTTTCACTGTGTTGTAATTTTTCAACTCCCAAATTGAGCATATGACGAATAATTCTTTATGTTGATGGAGTAACATTTTTCATGAGCAATATTTCGAGTTTTAACTTTCCTCATCTATGTTCCAGCATGTCGAATGCCAAGTAAAGATTATCCACCAGACGCGTTCCCCGAACATGGCGACCAAGGCGATCAAGATGGGGATTCACAAGGCAGAAAAAAAAGGCACGTGGTAACTAACCCCCACGACGTTGACCATGTTTTGAGCGACTTTTTCACTACATGTTTGTTTGATAAAACCGGAAGTGTTTTCTCATCGTGGAGAGCCGTTGTTGATTTTGTTCTTCGTGATACAAGATGGTATTCTGCATCCGACGAACAGTTTTGTAAACGGTGAGTTTATTTGAAAATAATAATTTGAGTCTATGAATTCATAGAATTCAATAATGATTTACCATTTTAATAGGATTAAATATAATTTAATTTGTGTTTCCAGACAATCCAATATTAATTAAATGAAAGCAACAATAAACCACCTTATTTTACAGAAACTATGACCGCGAAATTCCTGTTGAATGCTGGCAGAATCGTTTTGAAAAGCTCGTTGCTCTAGATTCAAAGTTGCTTCCAAAAGCGAAGGAATGCATGCAAGAATATGCTTGGTCGAAAGGTAGGAGATATAATTTCCATATTATATTCTTATAAAAAAGCGTTGCAGCAACATACAAAGGGTAAGGTATGGATGTTCCTATTCTGTTACGATAAATAGAAAATCTTATCTGCCATTTACATGACAATCCCGTTGGACATCGGATGGAAATTTCGAAGATTTTAGAAGTGTCAGTAAATGAAGATATAAACAATGTCCATAAAAATGAGTATATCATAAATAATTTCCCAACCCGATTTTCAATTCATGTAGTGGTTTCGAATGCATAACTTGTACAGCCTGATAAACCCCAAAGTGATTGGAAATTGAAGCAATGAGGATACGGTGGTATTTTTGATTGTTATTACCTTTTATTATTTTCTTTTCTAGAAACACCTATCCGTGGAAAACGTGGCCTGGCGTCACCTGGAGGTCCTCGAACCACCTTAAAAATTGATGTTTGTCTTGGAATTTCCACAAAGGAATATGGATCTTGCGTGGAAGATAATCTCTTAACTAGAAAAAATATTGCAATGTATGGTTCATTGAAAGAATATAACCAGAAGTCCATTGATGACTTTGTATCCGATCACTATTCTGAGTGCAGGTATTGATTGAGCTCTTACGATATTTGGTATAAGAAATATACCGGAATGCATAATTAACTAACACTTTACCGTTTAAGTGCTACAAGTATTTTTTCTTGAAAAGTACACGCGCAAGGTGAAAGTATTAAATTACACTGTGCGAGACTATTTTTCAACAGGCATTTCACCAAACATAACACCACAGATATGCACAAGTATCTAAGAAATTAGACTACAATATGTCCTGGAAGTACATCAACAGCCAATTATTAATCAATTAAACTGAATTATAAAAACAACATATGAGATTCTATTACGACATGAACTGAAAATTCATTGCTAATTGATAGCTAAAAACGTCCTATATATATATATATATATTAGTATAATTGTGCATGAGTACAATGTAACAATGTAAAATTACAGCAAACTATTGTGACTCTCCATTGCTATTCCATTATATTTACTGGGTTGGTTTTTTTGTACAAAAAATTGGTCAGTTTCGTTTGGTGTTTCACGGTATGGCAAAAAAGTTAAATCAAATGCTAACAATTTGTTTTAGAATCACATCTCGGTACAACCGTTTTACTGGAAATGTCTACATGGAAGATTGTCCAATTCATTATTTGAATCCATCATTCAATACAGCACCTCGTACGCCTACATGTTTGTCAACAACGTTCAAGGAAATTGTACGAACTTCATCGCCTCTTTTCGCTGCAACAAAAACTTGTATTCAAAAATATTCTAACGGTGAGAACTTTATTTTAATTTACATGTACACATATTGATTTTGTCTCATACGCGTCATTTTTGTTAACGTTTGCGCAATATTTGTGGGTAGTTCAGCATGTATTTGGTTTGTTTCGAGCGCCCTCAATGAACACGAGGTGTGATACAGCATTAATTTAGCCCCGGGCTCGATAAATTAATCCGTATTCTGAACGACGGAGCAAACACGTAGAGGAATATTATTGCTGTGCTAAAATTTTAAGTAAAAGTTTTTTAAATTTTTATTTTGCAAGTTGTCTCATCTTTCTTAATTAAATATTACATTAATTAAATTACATTAAATTACATTAAATATTACATAAATTAAATAAATACAGCATTAATTTAGCCCCGGGCTCGATAAATTAATCCGTATTCTGAACGACGGAGCAAACACGTAGAGGAATATTATTGCTGTGCTGAAATTTTAAGTAAAATTTTTTTAAATTTTTATTTTGCAAGTTGTCTCATCTTTCTTAATTAAATATGGGTGGTGGATTAAACATCAAATTTACGCTTTCCCTGCAGTTCATCCGTATTTATGTGCTGCATCGCTATGTATTATCACTATTTTTACTGCAGATAAATGCAAAAATGTGAAATGCTGGCGTCCGTATGAACAATGTGACCCATCAACTGGAAGATGCATTTGTCGGCCGGGATATGAGAAAAATAACCGAGGAACTTGTGTTGGTAAGACGTCAATAGGCTGTTGCTGTTTTCTCTCCATCTCCACTTATATTTTTTTTTTAAATTCTGTATTTTTAAACAGAAGAAAACAAATGCCGGGCCAGATTCTGCAGTGGCTTACACAAAGTGTGTGATCCAGATACGGGAAACTGCGTCTGCAAGGAAAACTACGTCTTGAATGCACGCGGTGATTGCGTCAGTACGTATTTGTTACTTTTTTATCGAAATTGTAATAAAAATATTCTTTTTCAATTGATTGTTTTTATTCGTAATGGGTTAGACCAGGGGTCTCCAACTCAAAACATGTCGTGGGCCACTTTTTGAAATTTATTGACCACGCGGGCCGCAAACCAAGAAATCAGGTATAAAAATGGGTATCTGAATGTATTGTGTTGAAATTACACTTGAATCTCACAGCAAACGAGACATGAAACATATTCATTCACTTGTGCTGGATATTTGATCTCGATGTTTGGCCTTATTTTGCGTTGGTGTGCTAGTCTTAAGACAACATGCAAATGCTCGTCCGTTAGTCGTGTGCGGAGGGCTGACTTGCTAACTTTCATAGTGCTTTCATAACTGCTCGCAAATATAAGAACTGCCAAAAATTGCAGGTATGCAAAGTGAATGTGCAATCAGCTTTGCAAACCATTCTTCGGGCACAATGGACTGACCGAAACTCGTTTATTTCGTCACAAGGAACATGCGAAATAAAATTATCGCATCTATAATAATTGCATCATAACAAAATAATAAAACATGAACGTGGACAACAGGGGGGAATTTTGCTTCACTTTTCACAGTTTGTCGGACTCTTGATGATAAATGACGCGATAAAACCTACGAATAGTGAACATCGTACTATCTTAGTTTTTGTGGAAAAATGCCAAACATGACGCGGGACGCAAAAAAAATGGCTGGCGGTCCGCATGCGGCCCGCGTGTTGGAGACCCCTTGGTTAGACAATATTCTAAATTGACAAAGGCAGAAACACAATAATATTCTAATTTCTGTGAAATGTTTCCGCAGTCTGAGTCGGTATTTTTTTTAAATCTTTGCCAAATAACATACCCCGATTTGTTGTACAATGAATAAAGTGATGCTCGACGTTTCTCTAAATACACCATAAAAATAAATTTAGTGGTTTACGATTTTATCAATTATTTGGTGATTTTTTATTTTATTCACTCTCTTCATGTCTGCTGTTCAATTTTAGTGCTGAGTAGATGCGCATTGATATTTTGTGGAGGACAATATAAAACTTGTGACGAACGAACAGGATTATGTGTCTGTATGGAAGGTTACGTTCCAGATGGGAACGGTATTTGTCGTGGTGAGTCTCATCAATTCTGTCGCTTCGTTTTTCTTTATTCCCTGACTTTGTCCTTGTTGGTTCTTCTGTACTACCTTAGCTCGTTGTTTTCATACCCACTTATTTATTTCTCTTCTCTACTTGAATATTTAGTGCAGAAATTATAGTTTATCTTTGTAAAAGTTTTAGTTGTTTTTAGAACAATCTTCTGATCCATGTCGGAGAAAGATTTGTGGCGTTGGTGAACAATGTGTTGTATATGAAGGATCCCCGTTTTGTGTTTGTATGGAAGGTTACGAAAGAATTGTTCCTGGAATATGCAGAAGTGAGTCGGTATTACTATAAATTTTAATGCTATTTCAGCTTTATATATAATAGTGTTATCTATTGACGCGGTTTCATTATATCGGTGGAATTAATATGAATACTCCAATTAACATTCATGTGTCATTTGTGAATATTCTTTTTTAATACTCTAATTATAACGTAATTTTTTAAATTGCAGTGCCAAACAATTGTCGCCAAACAAATTGCGGGCCTAATGGTAGATGTAGAATGAGACAGGGGCGGCCGGTTTGTTTTTGCAATCCTGGGTATATCAGGAAAGGCGGCAAATGTGAACCAGAAGGTATTACTTTTTGCTTATTCTTGATAAACTAAATAAATGAACGGGTGAGTTAAAAATGATACATAATGTATGATAATATAGAAAATGAACCACTTTCCACCCACAATTTTGTTTTCGTTCTCCCCCCTTATACCCTCAAGAAGGAGTCGTGGAATAATTGAAAATTCAGTTTAATGTAACGCATATCTATCTTTTTACACATTCAGTTTAATTTAAAACGCAGCATTTGATACGACTTATTGTTTCCACAGTAATTGATCCATGTGCAACTGTCCGTTGTGGTAGATATATGGAGTGTAAAGTCGATCAATTCGGTGCACCAGGTTGCGTTTGCATTGCTGGATATGTTCCTGACCCTGAAATGAATGGAGTAGGCTGCAAGCGTCCTGGTGAGTACGAAGTTAAATAAAAACTACTGCAAATTTAGCTTAATTATTGATATGACAAACTTTAGTGCAGACTGATAATTATAACGCCAAAGTGCTTGAGACTTGATCCAATCCGATTAGTTATCCAAACGATTATGCTGCGTTGGAGAGTGTGTTTAATCACACAGTTAAACTTAGATAATTTTTTATAACAGACCCGTGTGATAATGTTTAAAACTCAACATTTAATACGACTTATTGTTTCCACAGTAATTGATCCATGTGCAACTGTCCGTTGCGGTAGATATATGGAGTGTAAAGTCGATCAATTCGGTGCACCAGGTTGCGTTTGCATTGCTGGATATGTTCCTGACCCTGAAATGAATGGAGTAGGCTGCAAGCGTCCTGGTGAGTAGAAAGTTAAATAAAAACTACTGCGAGTTTAGCTTAATTATTGATAGGGCATACCTTTGTGCAGACTGATAATTATAACGCGAAAGTGCTTGAGACTTGATCCAATCCGATTAGTTATCCAAAAGTATGTTGCGTTGGAGAGTGTGTTTAATCACACAGTTGAACTTAGATATTTTTTTATAACAGACCCGTGTGATAATGTTGATTGCGGTCCGCACGGTAGATGTGTCAGAAACGGAAACTGTGTTTGCAATCCGGGATATAGAAAAGTAAACGGACGCTGTGTTGGTAAGTTATCCCAATTTTTTTTATTTTTTTATTTATTTATTTATTACAATTTCTTGCTTGATGATAGTTTAATTCTGAAATGCATCTGAAAAAGGAAACTAAAATTTTTTTTTTTTTTTCAGATCCTTGCGAAAACATTAATTGTGGGCCAAACGGTAGATGCGTAAGAGGGCGTTGTATTTGCGATAGAGGTTTTGTAGAAGTTAACAGACGATGTGTTGGTAAGTCAATAATAAATCCTATAGTGGTTACGTATTTGATACAGATAGTTAATTGGTCGCTCTATTTATATCGCGAGTGACTTGAATTTTCAATCACATTATAAGATGACTTATATCATTTTACTTATAATTCGCAACAACTATCCTTCTAGCTAAAAGATTGTTCAGCATAGCTCTCCATTATACACAACAATTATCACTCGAGTCAGGTTTGAAGTCTGAAGGTGACCAATGGCTCACGGTGGGCTTAATATAAACGTCAATGTTTACAATTCAGGGTGGTCCAAGGCTGTCGGCTTCGGCGGAACAAAATTATTTTTGCATTGTTCGCAGGCCACAATAGTGCCAGGAATAGGTGAACTGTGCAATAAAAAACAAACACTTTTATTGTGCAAACGCATTGCACGCATTGTCATTTATCAAGCTATAACATGCAAAAAATACCAAAAAACGTACTAAAACCAGCAAAAGTCTTTCCATATCTACATTTAGTGTAAGATTTCAAGCTATTCAGAACGGAAAAAGCGCTTCCGAAAATGTAAGTGCTTTCGAACATCGATGAAATCTTCAAACCAAAATCTTAACTTTGGAAAATGCTCATTGCTCACATGATTCTAAAATTCTGTTTTGAATTATATTCCTTTGTCACCGACCGACACGACTTGCCTACATATCAAGCAAGCATTGTGGTATTATTCCTCACCCATCCAGTTAAAAATCTGTTTGAATTCGTCAGCTTTCTTTTCAAACTCATGTTTACAAAATAACTTACAAATAACTGCAGATTGATCGATTACCAATTGTGAGGTACGGAAGGGTAATTACAAAATTTTCTGATATGCAGCATTTTTTAAAATACTGTTTAGGCTGGTTGCAAAAAAGCCGGCATGGATTATATTATTAGGCCATAACATTAACGTTCAGTTATCAGGCATAGCCAACCTAGGCTAATAAAATCCGGATTCGATTTTTAGTTGTCTATGATGCCAAAATTGGTAGGATATATATTTCCGACCAAAAAGGTAGAAAGCAAGATAACAATTTAGACTGCCTAGCCATAACACTAGTCAATTCAATGACATTATTGATGTAACAATTTGTCGAAATATTTTTTGGGGTTATTTTTATGACGAAACAACACCAAATGCGATTTTTTTTAATATTCTCGTAATGCGACGCGGGCCACAGACAATGAGTCCGCGGGCCACAGACAATGAGCCCGCGGGCCTGGGTGTGGACCACGCTGGTCTACATAATCATGATATTATGAAAAAAAAAATGAGATCATCGTTGAATAAACATGGATCTTCTTGATTTCTATTCCACTTTTCGTGATGAATTCAAAATGGAGGATTCACAAAAGCAATTTTTACCATCTATGTTCATACAATATTAGGCATTTTCCAAAAATTATACGAATATTCCATTGTGTTTTTATAATGCGTAATCTTACAATCTGCTAAAATAATGAGCATTTTTGCCTCGTTTAACGCAATTTTCGATATGTTTTACAGGTCCATGTGACGGTGTTACTTGTCCAGATAACAGTGCCTGTAGTAATGGAAACTGCGTGTGCGATTCTGGATTTTCTAAGAACTCAGACGGAGAATGCATAAGTAAATGAATTTTTTTTTCCACAGTCAACGCTCTATTTTAAATAATATGAAATTTTTTTCTTAGCATTTCTTTAGCATGCAGTCACTAACAGTCTTTTATTATATATATATATATACCTGCAACAAGTACCAAAACGAGTTTATAAGCTAAGGCACGAAAATATGTCGAAATATAGGTTTGATACATATTTTTGAAAGTAAATACAATTTTGCAATAGCTATCGATTTTTTTCAGGAATAAACCCTTGTGATGGAGTTACATGCGAAAGGAATCAGAGGTGCGTTAGGCAAACTGGACAGTGCGTCTGTATACCTAATTTTATTCCCAATCCAGTCGGACCTGGATGCGTACCGAGAGGTAATAACTTTATATATGTGTTGATAGCCGTTTTGTTATAAAAAGCATGTGTTTTGTTGAAAAGGTTTGAGCCTGTCTAGGCTTTTCTCCAAAGTTTCTCAGATATTGTTAAATATATACAGTTGATCACAAAAAATAAGAATCATTGATTTTACTTCTTATAGGCGTCAATACTACTAACGTTCAGTTTTTATCTTCGTGTAAATAATTTTGGATACCAACAACCTTGATTTAAAAACGGCAAAGGAAAAAATTACTCATTATATCTTTTCAATATTGATCCTCAAAATTGTTTAGTCGTGAACTATCAAGCCAAAAGCTAAGTTTGTGTAAAGTCGAATAAATGAAAATTACACAAATCCATTTCTGGTAAAACCACAAAAAAATTGTAAAAAAAGTTTCATTGGGGGATAGATAAAATTTGAGTTCATTCGTCAAAGGGTTACCAAATCTAAATTCTTCATTTTTTTTACCACTTCGATTCATTACTTAGACCGTTGCGCTGGTGTGACATGCACCGGTAACAAGGTCTGCGATAACGGAAACTGCGTGTGTGCATCTGGATTTAGAGAAAATGCAGATGGAGAATGTACAAGTAAATGATTTTATTTTCACAGTCAATGCTTTATTTTAAATAATATGAAGTTTTTTTTTAATTTTAGCATACAGTTACTAACTGTCTTTTTTATATATAACTGCAACACGTACCAAAACGAGTTTATAAAGCTAAGAAACGAAAATATGTGGAAATATAGGTTTGATACCTATTATTAAAAGTAAATACAATTTTGCAATAGGTATCGATTTTTTTTCAGGAATAAACCCTTGTGACGGAGTTACATGCGAAAGGAATCAGAGGTGCGTTAGGCGAACTGGACAGTGCGTCTGTTTACCTAATTTTATTCCCAATCCAGTCGGACCTGGATGCGTACCGAGAGGTAATCACTTTATATATGTGTTGATAGCCGCTTTGTTATAAAGAGCATGTGTTTTGTTATAAAGATTTACGCCTGTATAGGCTTTTCTCCAAAGTGTTTCAGATATTGTTAAATATATACACAAGAAATAGGAATCATTGATTTTACTTCTTATCGTGCGTCAATACTACAACTGTTCAGCTGTATCTTTGTGTAAATATTTATGGATACCAACAACCTTGATCTAAATCGGAAAAAGAAATATATAAAATTACTCATTATATCTTTTCATTCAATATTGATCCTCAAAATTGTTTAGTCGTGAACTATCAAGCCAAAAGCTAAGTTTGTATAAATTCAAATAAATGAAAATTACACAAATCCATTTCTAGTAAAACCACAAAAAATTGTAAAAAAAGTTTCATTGGGGGATAGATAAAATTTGAGTTCATTCGTCAAAGGGTTACCAAATCTAAATTCTTCATTTTTCTACCACTTCGATTCATTACTTAGACCGTTGCGCTGGTGTGACATGCACCGGTAACAAGGTCTGCGATAACGGAAACTGCGTGTGTGCATCTGGATTTAGAGAAAATGCAGATGGAGAATGTACAAGTAAGTCCGTTTTATGTTTATTTGTGATGTAGTACTTATGTGGTTTAATTAACAAACATCAAAAATATGCTGGCGTTTTTTTTTAAACTATAACTTAGTAATAATCATAGGCATTTTCAAATTAAACCGTTGATAGTGTATGGGAAGATTAGCTCATTCTCAACCGATGACCCGTGGTCCGTATAAGATCATGATGGAGCCAAGAATCTAGCCCCAAAGACCGAAAAGTACACAGTTTGTTTGCAGAGTTCAATTCTCTAAACCTAATCTCTGCAACGAAATGACTTTTCAATGTTCAATGTTCAATTCAATGTGAAATTCTCCAATTTTGCCGTTACAACTTTTTTTTTCAGGAATAAGCCCATGTGAAGGTTTTAGATGCCCAACAAACATGAGGTGTCAAGTTAGAGGGGAAGGTCAAGTATGCGTTTGTTTACCTGGCTTTATACGAAACCCTACTAATGCTCCTGGATGCATAAGAGGTATGTTTATATATCATACTTTTTTACCCGAACAAATATGTGGGTTCATAAACAAAGTCTAACCGAATGGGCAACATTCTGATCAAAATTCCCTGTCAATCAACTGTCAAACCCATAATGCGATGTCACAATATCTACAATAAATTTTATCATGGTGAAAAGCCTGGGTCCTAATTCGTGGTTTCTTCAACTGTTATTGTGCTATAATCAGATGCGTGCGCGGGAATATCTTGTCCGGACAACAGCGTGTGTATCAATGGAGATTGTATCTGCCAGCCACCATTAAGAAAAGATGAATCTGGTCAATGCGTCAGTAAGTATCACGAGTTGCAATATAATTCTCTCTAATATTAGAATCTGACGTCTGTTCGTCCTGATCTCAACTAAATATTTAAAAATGTGCCGATCTTCTGTACTTTGTAGAAAATTTGGATTTAAGCGGGGTTTGTAATCAAATAGGAATCTCAATATTTTTCATTTTGGATAAATTAATTTGACTCACTAGAAAATATTTTGTTCATATTATTTTTTTATAACAAATGTCACGCTGACTGATAACAAAAAAACATATACACTCTCGATCGCTGCGGAAGGGCCAAATTCCACTGACGTGTAATAAAGACTTATTTCAGGTTGTAATAAATTTAAGTATTGGTTGATCTTGAAAAAGTGTTATTTGTAAAAACTCAGGTGGAAGTCTATGCGACAACTTTCCTCCATGCGGAAGAAACGAAGAATGCCGAGTCAATTCTGATGGTTTGCCTGAATGCCAGTGCATGTCAGGTTTCATCAGAAATCCAAGAGGATCTGGTTGTATTGCAGGTAAGATGGTTTGATAATATATGGATGGTTGTAAAATATTTTAATTTTGTAAGTCTACACAAATGTGTTTTCAACACTGCAAGAAGCAAACATTTTGTGTATAATATAATTTCAATTCAAAAAGTGTCGTTATATTCTTACGAACTTTACTGCGCATCATAGTACATTAACACTGTGTTACCAGAGAAGGCAGTTTTGGAACAATTCCCTGGGATGTTTGGACCGTACATGGTGGTGTAAAGTGGTAAAATTTAAAACAAAAATAGAACGTAAAATCAGGCTGAATTCATATGTAGCAACTCAGGGCGACGTCATCAATTGAAGCGCTGAATTTGCAAATTCCTCAAATCCAATTGTAAATTTCTTGGCAACGATTTTATTCATATATATCAATAGTTTTGGAGAACGCTTTGTGTGAAAATTACATAAGAAAAAGATAAGGCTGCAAATAGTAATCTAGTATTAGCATTTGACCCTTTGCTATACACACGTTCATAAAACTTTCACAAATTTTTGGCACCATGGCCACATAGCAGAGAAAACGTAGGCATACGCTAATGAAGATCCGCGAGTGAAGTTTCAGGGCCTAATGGTTGATGATTTGAATAGCTTTGAAAATTCCGATACAAATGGGAAGAACCCAAGCCTACGGAGCCTAAGGAATAAATAAATGTTCGTTTGTAGAATCAGTTTCTATACTTTTGTTTCTATACATTGTTCCATCAAGTTATTCCAATTTTACAATTCCGTATTTCTAAAAATGTTCGCAAAAATACTTGAATGTATTATTTCACGAATATGATTTCTTTACGTAATTTCTCAAATACAGATCCATGCAGTACTTTGGATTGTGGAGATAATAGTGTCTGTGTTCGAGGAAGATGCCGATGTTCGCCAGGATTTAGAGAAAACGATTCAGGAAACTGTGTTTGTACGTCTTTTTATTCTTTATTCTTTTTATTCAACAGCAATCAACAACCCTATGTGTAGAAATACATTTTTTGTAACCCATCATTTTGGTTATAGATACTCCCTATATTAGAATTAAGTGAGATGCAATGAGGAAACATTTTGACGCTTCCAATTTCGCTCTGATCGTAGCTTAGGTAGAAGCATGAGTTATGCAAGAACCCGGCGTTAACGCATGATATAAATGAATAAACAATAGTTTTACAATCCATGGAGCTTGCCGCATATTTAGTCCATGAAAACAGTCGTGTTATGGTTGAAATCTTCTATGCTAATGAAACACGGTATGCCAGTGCCACATCAATGATATTAGGCAAATCTTTTGTTCATTTATAGCGTTCGATGTATGCGAAGATTTCTGTGGAGAAAACGAAGACTGCGAAGCTACGTCTGGTAGACCAAGATGTTTCTGCAAAGCAGGATTTACACTCAATGAATTCCGAGAATGTGTCCCTTCAAGTGAGTCGCAGGCATTCGCATTATGGCCTTCAGATGTATATTCATCCGTTCCACCAGATAGTAATTGAAATGAAAATTAATAAGAGAACAGGCCATTTACCTCATTTGTAAACAAAACATTCAAGTCCATCACCCAATAGAAAGTTAGTATGTTTAGACATTAACGTGTTAGATGAAACAAGATCAAAATAAAGAATGTTCAAAATATGCATTTACCATAAGAATACAAAAATTCACGTTTTTATCGCCGAATTAGCAAAAAAGTTCTTTTTCTTTGTGTTTTTACAAATTAAAAACACACAATATGTTTTTTTATATTATCTACCTATATCTGGAATATAAAAAGCACTTTTAACACACTGAAACTAACCATTATCCTATTTTGTATACTTTAATAATCCTCGAGGCGAAGCATAGAACATGAAATATTTACTTTAGATTGCTATGGATTAATGGTGCTAAGATATATTGAATCCCCTTTGTGTTGAGAGTTTTCCAATCGATTCAAATTTTAAAATGAAATTTAATTCAATTCATTCAATTCATGAAATATTTAAGAACTTCTAAAACAATTTAATTAACCGACTAAAAAAAATTTGAAGCAATAAATTTAAAAATCACGAGTGAGATGTTTTTCAACGAGAAGTAAGGAGTATTGGATATTTTCGTGTTTTAGAAATAGATACATCGTTCATTCAGGATGAGTTGATTGAAATTACTTTATTAATTTCACAAATTTTTATCATTGGTATAAATTCATTGGCTACCCAGATTTTTTCGTCAAAATCAGAACATGGATCTATATCAAAACCCCGCCTTATTTAATGCTAAACATTAGCCTACAACTAAACAACTCCCGACACATTTTGATTCATGCAATCCGAGAAAACAGAAGTAAGCTATTTAAAATAGCTTGAATAATGAGATGATTTTTTGTTCGGTGCTTGCTCCCTACTGGATAGTTCAAAAAAGAAAAAATTCCATCAAATGCATTAGGCACACGCCATGAGCCAAAATCCTTTTGCAAAATTACTGTAAAAACGATCTTGGAAAAAAATTGAGTTTCACTGAATTGACTTAAAAAAAGACACTCATTTTGTTATATTCAGCAACGGATCCATGTGATGGAGTTACCTGCGGGAGAAATATGGATTGCAGGAATGGTAACTGCTTTTGTAGAACTAACTTCATAAGAGATCCAAATGGAAACGGATGCGTGACACCTGGTAATGTATATGTTATTAAATATTGTTTTGATAAATAAAGAAACACACAATCGACCTATATATCATCGCACTTAGAAACTAGCAATGACAAAATATATATTTGGTATATTTCAATATGCATCTGCAGATGTTTATAAAAAAACCTTTGCAAATTTTCAGAAAATAGGCTTTTCATCCTATTTCTAAATAAGGTTCAGATTTTTTAAAAAATATACTTCACTTATAACTTAACACAAGGAAGACAATAGCTGTGAAAAAAGTATCATAGTGACCAATAGCATTGCATGGATTTTTGATTTTGAATTACGTAACAGCGTCTTGCATGCTATAAAGTTACAAGCATACATTTGATTGTATTAGTTAAACATAAATATTATTCAAATATTTTTAGTTGTTAGATGTGGCGGCACAAGATGTGACAAAAACATGGTATGTCAGAATAATCGATGTGAATGCGCGTCAGGGCACGTACCTGATCCATCAGGCGGTGGGTGCGAACAAATTACCGTCAGTAAGTATCAGCATATTTCAATGAATATAAAATTTTACCACATTGACATAGGACTGCTATATCATATATGTAATATATCTATGAATGTTTTTTTCTCCTGAATTGTTGATTTTGTTCCCATAATGTTTCAAAATTTCACTCATTATTAAGACCTAATATTATATTCATATAACTTTGAACTTCAGCTTCTTGTGACCGGGTTCAATGTGAACGAAACATGGAGTGCAAAGATGGAAGATGCGTATGCAGGGATGGGTTCGTTCCAACCCCACCTGGCGAAAGAGGCTGTCAACGACCCACGAGTGGTACGTTGATTTCTGGTGTCGATTTCAGTTAACTCAGAATTTTTTTTTCATATCATATTTCAAAAACCCAAAAGAAGTAATATATGCACAATTACAAAAATTGAAAACAAGTATAAATTCACAAATAATATTTAGAGAAAAACTAACAATGTCAAAAACAGCTTGAAGGTCTATTTTAAAGCAGATTGCTTCACTATGAAGATAATGCTGACGTCGATTATCAGCGTTGAGAACTAAAGTAAATTTTCAATCATACTTTCAGCCTGTACCGGAAACAAAATTTTCAACGCATGCCCAACAATGTGCCCACAAACTTGTCAAAATCGAGGTACTTCCATTTCATGTGCGGCTGGCTGCAGGCCAGGTGTTACGTGCGTATGCAGACCGGGTCAGGTAGAAACAAGCTCGACAGATTCGACCTGCAGAGATCCAAGTAGCTGTCCGGGTACGGCCAAATATTGTTATTTATATGAGTAAATTTGATTTCGTATTTCTTGTTTTTATCTAGCTTTAATGATTCAAAAAATAAATTTTAACAGAACGTTTCAGTTACATATATAAATCAGCCGACAGCCGACAAAAATGGCAATATATTATAATCTTTTAGTACATTCCTAAACTCTCTGGCGAAAAAAAAGCCGCCATTCAAAAAAATCGACTTTAAATTTGTAATAAATGAGTATTTGAACTTAAAACTTAAGTATTGTAGTATTTGATGTATTTTGCAACAATTCTGTGAAATATTCTCCTTTTCAGCTTCTGGTCCGTGTGAATCGAGTCCATGCCTGAATGGAGGAGTATGTAGCGTTAGTGGAAACGGTTATTCTTGTCAGTGTAGAAGCCCCTTCTCAGGAACGAGATGCGAAAGTATGATTATTATGCTAGAAATTTAAATATTAAGAATCGTACTGACTTTCAATATGTATATATATAGAAAAAGAATGCATTTCATTTATGAATGCACTGGACTAAGCCGAGTAACTTGAAATCTGAATCATGCAAGAACAATTGCTAACATTATAAAAATTTTAATCATCTTATAGATTATAAATAAAGAATAAAACTAAAAAGTAAATTCTAATGTTTTCTTTTTTGTAGGAGGTTGCACTGCTGAATTTTGTGGAGCAAATGGAAGTTGTGCTAATAATAGTTGCCGATGCAACAATGGGTTTTTCCCAGATGGAAAGGGAGGCTGCTCTCCCTAAACTTATCGCTTCCATTTTGATTGGACAGATAAATAATACTGGATTTTAGCATTTGCATCGTATTAGAAATTCATACATTGCATTCATTTTATTATTCGTTCATTTACTCATGAGTAATTATATACAACTGCATTAACATAAAAATAAATACTCACACGTGTAGGGTGGTGATATAAATGGTATTTTTGTTCTGAAATATAAAGATCTCAGTAATAGTAAAGGCACCCCGGTTATAAGCAATAATTCACAATTTTTGTTGTAGTCGAATATTATCAATAAATGTTGATCATAATGCTTTTAGTTCAAATGCTTAGACAAACTTTCGTCTACAGCTTGTTTCTGGCAGCCATCATTTAGGAAAGTATACCCAGTTGGTAGGACTGCTTCGGGATTTGTTTCAGGTTGAATCAGATTTAACCTTTCATTTGTGAAGTCATCGACAATCGAGAAAATGCGATACGAGCATTGTCGCCGGATGATATGCAATATGTCTGTCTAGCATTGAAATTCAAGAGATTGCAACTGGAAAAAAATAGTTAAATTCGATGTATTGCCAAAGTATACTGAAAATGAATACTTGAAGAGGAAAATAATACCAGTTTGGTGCTTTGTTTGCATCTTCAACATTGCCATATTTTGAAAACCGAAAAATCGAATATTAATAAAAAGAATATGTAGTATAGTGGTAACAGCACCAATTAAATTAAAGCAACATTGATGATATAATATTATGAAAAAAATCCAGAACCGTAATGAAGAAGCTACGGATTAAAACTGACAATTTTAATTAGCATTAATGTACTGCAAAATTACAACATTAGGACTTGAAACCTCCAGGAAATATTTCCAATATGGCGCTTTGTTTAACTAACCGTTTTCAAGTATAGATGTTAAAATATATAAATACGATTTGCACCATTTTTCGGGACGGGTAAACTCAAAAACGCAGAAATCACATTTATATATATATATATATATATATCTATTTGCTGCATTGAGGTTACATACTATTTTTTGCTGCAGTTGGGCCACTCGTTTTCTGTGGCATATAGTGAGCTACTCACAGCGTTAATTTTGGTGGTTTTCAGTGGGAAATGTTTTGACAAAATTTCACGCAAGTAATACAGTTTGTTTAAAATATAGTCGAGTTGGTGCACAATCGTCGTCGCCCAATTCCGAGGGACTCCTTTTTTTAGCCTATTTGCGGAAATGAAGAACATTATTGGATATGGTCGACACCGCATGGAATATATATAATCATTGGCTATTTAATCATTGTCCTTCATTAAAAACGTTCACAGCTACGGCTAAATGCTTTGCTTGCAAGGTAAATTAAACACCAGTTACAATCGTACCATGAAATAGCCGTAAACAGTGGTTTTGGATGTTTTAAGGTGTGCCTGAGGCTTGTCGCCTTGCCCTATTTACAGCGTGATATGTTGTTATTTTGGCGTCACGGTTGATCGCTCGCTGAACTATATTGTTGCGATTTGCCCACTCGTTCTGACTGCCTGTATCTTCAATTCTCCATGCCCTCACACGAAAGTATAAAGAGTAATTGTGTATATACTGTATACTGTATATATATATATTGTGTATCTACGTAGGCCAAAGTGTAACCTGAAAATAGATTCAATGGCGATATTTAAAAGTTGTTCATAGTGGATTCTAGATAGCAGATGACAAAACTTCCATAATTTCATAAATTGGATTGTCTGAGATGTGACATATTGCTGAAATTTACGAAATCTTGAGTTAAAATTCGAACACATATAAATCAGCGAATTTTAGGTCAAATTTGAAAAAATGTTCATTAGTCTATGCGGAAGTTTTGTATTTATCTTTTCAGGGAGTGGTTTAAATTAATTATTTGTCATTTGACCCCAAAATTGAAAATTTGTTCTATTGTAGTTGTATTGAAAATTTTATTGTATTTGGATAGATTTCAATAAAACAAAACTAAAAATAGTTTTATAATTAAAATTCATTTAATAGTTTTCGAGAAAATTGGGTTCAAAATTTATTTTTTTTTATTGTTTTTTGGTTATAACTTTTGATATAATTAATAAAAAACAAAAATGTTAATACCGTTCAGTTGGTATTTTAGAGACGCATTCGGCTATATATTGTTCAATGATATTGGATGGCTAGAAAAATAATTCAAAATTTTGAAATTTCCAAATATAAATGTAGTTCGGAAACATATGATAGCATATCGTCGTTACTAGGGTTTCATCGATTATTTTAATTTTTCGCCTTCGATGTCGTTTTTTTTGTTGTATTCAAATATATTTGAATATAATAAGTGCATTGCACGTGCTTTTCATCAACTTTAGGCAAAAATATCGAAATATCGCTCCTTCATGGCGATGTTGTCAAAAACGCAATTTTCGCCGTAATTGTTAAGTTTTCTGGCGATAATATGTTGTATTAACAATCAAAAGCATTTATATGAGCAAGTTTTACCTGTACCTAGTATTATTGTACTTCACATCATTAAATTAAACCATCACCTGAATAATTAACCATTTTTTTAATAAATATAGTCACCATTTCGGAAACGAGAAGAAGAATCGGCGATGTATGAAAACTCAAATTCCCGCAGAATTAAATCCAATTGCCCGGTCTAGTAAAGCAAAGAACGTTTCCCATTTAATTCAATGTTTTGTGTTGTGATGACCGTGCTTAATCATATAATTAAAACTGGAGAACAAAGGGAATGAAAGTGGAAAACGAAATAACCCGGCATCGGCATGAGCAACCTAAACTTCCGATATAAAAAGTTTTTCTAATTCCTACATTTCCGCTAATCTAAGTAACAATTTGTATCCCTTTTGTTAATTAGGAATACTGTCGCTAAAAGGATCACAGATGTTTCAAATATGCCACTGTTCGTTAAAATAGATTTTAGGGCTAATTAGCTCTTTGTAATCTGAATTTCAACTGCGCAGTGTTCGATTTCCGATTTTCAGATAATGTATTTTTCCGAGTGAGATGCGTCCAAAATAGCCAACAATGTACAAGAGGTTACCATAACTCATTTGCTTATTTGATAGTCGGAAATTAGTGACACCAGTTAATGTAATTAGTATTATGTATTTCCGACAATGTGAAAAATTATAGTGACGTCATACGTTTTTTTTGAGTGAAATTAATTTTGGCGTCATAGCAGAGATGTTCATGTGATATGATGTGATAAATTAATATAAAAAATTTCGCAAAATACGAAAATTGCCGTTGTACGGAAGATACGTATGTTATTCACGCAAGTATACTGGATAATAAGTTGAATATAAAAAAAAAAAACTAATAAACCGCGTCACCAGTAAACTTGAAGTCATAGTAGCTATTTCTATTTGTGCCAAGGGTGCAGGGACTTACCCAAATCTTACCCTCTTTGTAATTTTATGAAATCGCTCATCTGGGACTTCAAAGAGAGGGGCGTAGGAGTAATATTAAAACGTATCTGCGCATTTCTTTATATGTTCAATAAAGGTGATATGGCAATATTGTTAGCAACGCAATGCAGATCGTTGCTTTATATAGAAGTAAAATCGCCCAGCTTTACACGACCAATCCAGCTTTTCAACTGTTATAACGTCTCATGACCACCCCCCACCCCAAGATCAGTCTTTCAAAATCGGTAACAGCAAAATGACCTACGCTGACCATGCAGTTTATAGTGACTGTTTTGTACCATTGACCGACAAACAATTCAACTCAGCGTTGTATTTTAACATCTCCGGCTAAAATAAGCACGGTGGTATACACCTGGTCACAAATGATTTATTTCCAAAAAACTGTGTTCGAACAAAGTACATTTGCATGCGAAAAGTACATAGTAATCAAGAATATATATTACAATAACCGCTATATATCATGCATCAAACTTTTCTAATATTCCGTTGTCATCCATTCAATATCCAGAAACGTTATGGAGGTATTTAGAAGAATTTTTATAAAATAACCTATTTTTTTGCCAAAATGGGCATGGGTTCCAAAATCCGGTCAGTCTTATTTTAAGACTTGAGAAACCCAATACAGAGATTACAAAATTCGATTGGTGCGTGCGTCTCCTGCCGAAATTTTAATGAACTTATATTTATATTCATGGATTGTAATAGATAACCTTTTCTAGTGCACAATAGTTCTGGCTTATAAACAAATTTCTAGAGATGCAACCAATTTGTCTTTTTCCCCATATTTACTGTGTCTACCTTTTTCCAGATTGACCTTACGCTTTTCTGACAATATTCACTTGTCTTATCCTCATTGAACCTTTTGTTTTCAAATAACAGTTATCCTTCCACATGTTTTTAAATGACTCAAAATTATCTTATATATATATACTATAAACTTTCTATTTTATTGTTCTCGAGTTTGCTTGGAAAGTTTTCCTTTTCCTGATCTTTGACAGACTTCCGTACACGTTCAATGATCTTCTGTCAGCTTCGTTTTCTCCCAAATCTGTGACTAGGAAAACAAAACATAAATTTATTTTACAAAATAATATAAAGTTTTTCTTTCTTAAAAATATATTGGACTAGACTACATTTACTGCGAAATCCTATTCTCTCGCACTGGATAGGACTATCACGTCTGTTCCATATATTTTCATGTCTTCCATAATTAGGTAGCCAGATACTTTGCAGACTCAAAGTGATAACATCATCTCAAACTATTTCTTTGCATACAATATCTCAGAGCCTTTGTTTTACATAATAACATGTCCCGCATCCTTATGTACAAACTGAATTGCCTTTGATTCAAAACGATAACTAAAACCAACTTCTCTCATCGCTCCTGACAGAGCAGACGCAGACCATATATGACATCATATGTCTCGTCTGCTATTTGCACATTTTGTCAGAGTGAAATATACCATAGCAGTGTCTCAAGTCCCAGATAAGTTTCCTGTGAATTATTGGAATACCATACGATAGCGAAAATTTTTTCTTGTTAATCCTCCAATTCTGGCCAAAAGATAACCGGGTTAGAAAAGAGAAAATCATGATTTATTTTTGTAGCCACAATTTAGCAAAAATAGCAAAACGGGATATAGCTAGGCCTAGAAACTGTCGGCAAAAACCAGAGTTTTTTTGCTTGAATTTCAAATCCAACATTATGTGGTGATAGTTGAGGGTAATGTTGAAAATGACGAAAAGTTTCAGACTTTTTGCTTGAGGGATTTATGTAGAAAATAAAGCCCAAACTATTTGGGCGACAACAAAATGTGGCCCAAAAATTCCCGTCGCCCAAATACAGCGAAAATAACTCCGTGTTGTCGACCAAATCGATAAAATAGAAATATATATATATATTTATGTGTGTACTCGGGTTTGGCATTGTTCTAACTAAGCCTTTATTGTACGTAAACTTATAAATACAACTCTAAATCTTCAAGACAAATATTCTATAAATTTTATAAAACGCTTCGAATGAATTTTATGTTTGAAGTTGAAGTTTAAAAAAATCAAAGTAGTGAAAACAACTGTGAAGATACCAAAAATATTGGTTGGCAAAACATAGCTCGATTTGTTGTACCTCAAGAAATGTTCCAAAACCTTAGATAACAAACAATACAACCAACAATGAAAATCAATACAACGCATATTTTCGAAACGATCCGCTGTTTTCATTCAAAATAAGTATAACATTTCGTTAAGATTTCAACACTCGTTCAACTTACAATATCAATCGAATCGATGTCAATGATGAATTACAATCAGCATTATAGAAACGACAAAACTAAGCTGCGATTAGAATTGATGACAACAGCAGTGTGCCAAAAAAACATAGTGCAACTGTATATGATGGCAATAATGCAATATGTAATCAGCATGTTCGATATCGGCATTCAAGGCACTAAAGCTGACGAAACATTGTACTGCAAATATGCCAAGCGGACATTATGACTCGTAATCAGCATAAAATATTTCTAATTTTGTGGGTTTGTTTCCGTTGATACTTATCGATCTTGGTCGGTAAGTATGTTGATAGGTATTTGTCTGTTAGACACTTTCGTATGTTACGCGATACTACGCGTATATATGGATGAATTATGTCGTATAATTAGCGAGTTATAACTTATTTAATCATTTTTTAATTTAATTTTCATTATTTATAATTAGTTATTAAATAATTATTTTTTTTTGTTTTTTTTGTGGAAGATCGATAAGTCGGCGGCCTCCGACCTCTATCTCGTTTCACTTTTGTCCACATTTTGAAACTAGGCATTTGGGAAATTAAACGGGATCCTAACAATTGATACACTAAAAAAGAAAGCTAAGAAAATTCGACATAGCTTGCAATAGAGTTGGAGAGATGGTGGAATTAGATGAACTTATGTCTGTCGAAAATAAGAGTCGAAACTTTCAAAAATACTATCACTCAGTTGCTTTGTTTTCGATTTTGCCAATTTTCAGAATGGCCAAACTTACCAACATAGAAATGTCGATGCAATGCTTTATTTTAACATAAGTCAAAGCTTTATGCATAAGAATGGCATTGTGTTAAGCATTTAACTATACCAACCAAATCAAAGCTATGGCGATTACGCAATTTCAGAAACGACAGGTCAGACGTTACAATATAAGGCTAAAATTCATGTAGCGTACTGCAAAAGTGTTCTGAACAAATACCATAATATAAAATAAATATTAAGGAAATATCGTCAGTTTTTTTTTCGAAAAAAGGAGTTTTTCAAAAATTTTACCTGTAAATTTCATCGTGTTTCGAGATGGTCAAACTCAAAACATCGAAGAATGTTTCCTAATCATTTTGCTCAAAACAAAACCATTTCATTAATTACCGATCAAAAATGAAAATGCATAGCTAAAATCAAAGTAATAAATAAATATAACTATAAAATATTTTATTTATTAGGAACAGGATAAGCTATAGGTGGAAATTGGAATATAATAACAGTTTGTAAGTACTTTTATATCGAGTACTGTATTAGCAAATGCAAAAAGGAATAAAAACACCATAGTGATTTTAAAATCACTTGTATCCGCCATAAAACGTTGGATTTGAAGACCGAAACAGTGCGAAGGAAGGTTACGTTATAGGTTTACGACTTGACGTACGTTTTAAAATGCGTCACTCATAAACAATCCAATATTGATTATTCAAACGTTTAATGGTAACGACGCTTGAGTAGTCAACCGCAGATTTACAGCACAATGAGTTGCCTAAAAACTGATAAATTATTAAAATGACCCGGAAAAATATAATAAACCCCACCTTAATAACATTTGCTGGAATTGTTACAAACCAGAATGTTGAAACCACAATGGAAACGCGATTTCATACGTTCTCATTTTGTGTTTCTACCCTGTAATTTTATGATGGTGGTCATCTATATGGATAATATGAATATGGCCTAATAAGTTATAAAAAAGGCACCAATTGTACTTATTTGATAAGTGAAATAAAAGAGAGTAATTGTGGTTTATCAAAAATAGGCAACGCTGAGTGGCCGTGACCAAAATAACACGACGCTATTTCTAAATTATTTTTAAGCGTATGCGTGTGCTTTTGTTAGCTCATTTCCTTGTATTGATCTGTCACTACAGTCTCGATGTCTAATAGCAAAACGAAATTTATGCCTGAAAACTGATCTTATTTTTCGGCTTTGCTCTATGTTTCAGATGTCAGGTGGCTCCAGAAAAATATGGATCAAAGCAGAATTTCCTAAAATTATTTTTTTGCCTTGAAAACTTAATCGTGTCCAATTAACTCAGAAAGAAGCTTAGAATACCAATCACAGTGCATGAAGATCAAATATTACAGAGTTTAAATCTTTAAATCATGTTACGATTTGTAGACAGATGAGTGGCAGAAATTGCTGGCAACTGTAAGTGTTAATAATCAGAGCGAAATAATATAATTGTGGAATTAGGATATCAATACAGTAGGAGAAGATGAGCGAAAGCTCTGTTGTATTTTAGTCAACGAGACGAAAATACGTTGGCAATCAATCATAAAACACCGATTAAGCGACATTGTTGTAATAAAAATGTTTTAAACTTGCCTAATTTTTCGAGGATACGTACTTCAAGTCGCCTCGCGCTGCTTTGTTTATTCATGATACAGACCTTTGAATCGGATTATATACATTTTCCCAAATGAGCTGAATTTTGCGTATTCCACAAAGTCAACGCTCGATATATCGATTTCTAAAGGTTTACTTTTAGCTAGCAAGGTGGTAGGTAAAGGTTAGCTACCATTTGAATGGCCTATCTAAACAATTTGGGTATAACATTTAAAAAAGATTTTTCTGTGATAGGCATTTGAGTGCACAGATAATTCTATTCGCTATGTAATATGCAAGCGAATGAGACAAACTAAACTTTAAATTGCCACTGAAAAATATACAGGATTTCGAGGATATCTCATTTTGAATATTAAACCAAAATATACAATTACAGTTCAAATTGAATTATTATTGAATTAAACATCTGAAATACTGGAGGTAAATTGTTCCGTGTTTTCAAAATTAAGCCCGAGACCTATTCTAAATGATCAACCCAAATAAATATATATAGTGTCAGCAATAACATTGCATAAAATAATCTTTGTTCGAAGGCTTCACACGTAGTCATGACCGCGTGGAAGAGAAAAACGAATTAATCAATTGTCATATGTATAAGGGAAGATGTGACTGAAATTAAGAATTTGACTAATGAATGAATATGATTGTCAATAAATGTGTTGTGTCGATAATTTATGAGTATGGGGTTTTTCAAAAAAAATCAGCATATAAGCGATTGTTCTGTTTGAATGCAAATAGTAGCAACGTTGTATTGTTGTAGGCATGTGCAATTTAATCGTCGAAGCTAGATTGCGGATTCGAACTATTATTTGTTTAGCACTTTTATTTGCAATTTTTTTATTGAGCTGTGATAATGCTTAAATTATTCAAATTATTTTACCATCTATATAGTGAATGAAATGACAACTGTCATTGAGATCTACAAATTAGCAAATGGACGAATCTTTATGAACATTGCAGGTTTCAGGTTGCAGCAAACGCTACAAGAAAATTTTTCATTATTGTGAGCGGTTTATTTTTTATACAATAATCAAAAATTATTCGATTCGTTTAGCGGTAGTATGCCGAGAAAATCAAATGAATCTAAATTTATAAAAACATAAACACAATCTGTTTTCCATATTTGGAAGCATTGGTATGTTTTAACGTATAATTTGGTTATAATACATTTATTAAATATAAAAACCTTTGTAGTAAACCCAAGAATCACACCCGATGAGACTAACATATCATTCATTAAGTTACCAGAAAAGTAGTTGAATGTTATAGCAATACATTATGTTTGTCTGACGGGTATTGATCACGCTAAAGTTCTGAATTTCCTGCAAAATCTACATTTTATTTTAAAATTGAAATGGCATTAAAATGGTACCATTAGTCAGTTCTATAATAAATTTATACATAGAAAAAATTTATGTTTATGTAAACCGCTGCATCATATTTTCTAATTAAAAATAGAATTTTTTTTGTTATTTTTTCTCTAAAAAAAACATTTTTTTTAGTTTTAATGTAGTGCGACGACGATATTTACGATATCAACATCGCCAGGTTACCAGTAAATATGTCTGGAAGAAAACGACTGAATCGTTTCACCGGTAGCGTGAAACAAGCCCCACATTTCAATCCAGATAAAGATGCCGGAACTTTACATTCAAACTTACGAGGAATCGGTAAATTCTATTCTGTTCTGTCTGTTCTGTAGATAATTTAGCGAGTAACATAGCATTAAAAATTATCCATCATTTGGTGAAACACCAATATTGATATTTAAAATACCTCAAAATTCAAACCAAAATTAGATTACGAATTTAATGTAATGTAAGGATAGGTAAGATAGATTTTCCGTCATATTTTATTGACTTTTTCACAAAGATGATATCTGATTGGTAAACATTGGTTAGGTCAATAGAAGTTCTGTTATCATTGGCTTTATCCTGTTCACTAGTGACCACTATTATTAATTCTAACCAATCCAAATTATTATTTTCACAAAAAGAAATTTTTCAAAAAGAAAAGTCACAAAACAGAAAATAATGTTTAATTCAGAATTTGCACCAATTCAGTAAATGTTACAGGTAACGATGAAGCGAGTGTCATTTCAATTTTATCTTCGAGAACCAACGCTCAACGGCAAGAAGTTGCCAGAAGTTACTTCAGTGCTTATGAAAGGGTAAGAAAAACTTCTGCATATTAACAATTGCTCATGTTTCATACATATCTATTTCGATGTGTTATGAAGCTGCGTTTGCCGACTTAGCGCCAATATTGATCACCCGAGCCAACTTTCGCGACACTTCACGTCAATTCATTACTTAAAAAATGAGAGAGTCAAGATTTATTTTTATTATGTCACCGTTTCTACAATCCTTCATGTTTTAAACAATTAAAACTATTTTTAGTAAAACAAGCTTTTTTGTGATGAGATTCTCATGAACTCTCGATTCTCGGTTACATAATTATTGATTTTCGCATCAATTTTATATAACTATCTATGTTTTCCTTAATTTATACAAGAATCTCATACAAGACTTGAAGATTCATTCAAAGGGCGATTTTCAGACTATTTTGCTTGCGCTATTCCATCCACCGCGTGTATACGATGCCACATGCTTGAACAAAGCAATTAAAGGACTGATAAAAGATCCGAAGGTAAAACAAAAAATAGTAAATTGAGTTAGAAGGATTTTATTCCCATATAGCCTACAAGATAATCACCAGCATGCGAAGACTAGACACGACTTACAATTATACTTTTAGGCTCTATGTTTCTACCTTTCAATGAATTTGAAGTTCGAATAAACGTTCTGGTTAATATAGGAAAAAAATTTGTTATCACCTTTATATGGAAGATATGAGGAAATGCTTCTAAATCAGTGGTCGGCGAACTTTATGTACTTGCGGGCCAAATATACACTTTTCCGATAGCGCGCGGGTCGCAATATTTCGCCTTCGAACAATCGCCACATTAAACTTCAAATTATGGCGCATTCGCACGTTCTATTGCTGCGTTGAAAGCCTGCCACAATAAGATGTGTATGTTGCCTTTTTTATTATATTGTTTAACAATACATTGTTTTTATTTACTTATTATCATTGTGAAGGCTGATGTTTTTATGACAACTTGCCCGCGGTAAGTCGTCCAAATGACGATCTGACAAGCGAGTACGAAATTTATTCTAAATGTAATGCATTTTGGATAAAGCTGCCCATAGCAATATTTGCTTCCGAACGTGCACTTTTGCACTGTCGCACAGATGAGCTGTGGCGCAGTCCCGGGTCTCGGGGTCGAATATTCGATGACACCGTTCGTAACGAGTTTAACATTAAATTCCTTAATAACTTCGATACCGAATGGGCATATCGAGCAAACTGATTTCGGAATGCGCAAGAAAGAAAAATATTTTTCCGGCCAAGCACTTTGAAATGTTCGACCCTCGTCGCGAACTCCCCCCGTTTCCCAGACATTTCCAAATATTAAAAATCAAAATTAACTCGAACGACATACAACTGACGCTACTCATTACAAAACAACCGCCGTACAGCAGCACTTGTTACCACATAAAGCCGTCTGGAGACAATAATAAATTTAGGATCAATTTTAGTTTTATGTATTAAATGTCGGGTCGTTCGAGGGCCGAAACAAATTGCCGACCCCTGTTCTAGATCATTTCGATCGACGTTATACCTAAGATACCCATTTTTATACCAATAAATCTGTAACGAATAATTTAATTTGCGGATCATACTGGGACATATATACAACAACCGAAAGCGATTATGTATCGCTTTGTTCATATTCACATTTTATGTGTTTTCACACTCTTAGCCTAAAGGAAACTATGGGTACGCAGACACTACTGAGTAATAAGTTTTTATTGTGTATGAAAATTCAATATTATTCCGTAATTGCACAGATTGTCGATTTCATTTTCATAATTTACATTTAATATATATATATATATATAGGTTACAGATATCTATAATTGCAACTATTTTATTTTTTGTGTTTCAAGGCCATGACTGAAATACTAATGACAAGGACTCCAGAAGAAATTAAGAAGATAAAAGAAATATATCTGGAAAAATTTAGTCGTGAACTCACTAAAGATATCGAAGAGGATTGCTCCGGAGAGTTTCGAAAATTTTTGCTCACTTTAGCTACGGTAAGAAATCACCTATTGTGTTTTATATACATATATGAAATCAAACGGTGGGCTTGTGTCTTATAATTAAATTTTTAATATGCGAGAAAGAGGCAATTTGAAGATATAATAGACTTTGAGAGGACGGTCTTTTCTCGTCGATTTTACACAGCGGACCAAATATAATTACTATATTCGCAAGCTTATAAGCTTCGGACAAAGGAAAGATCATGAGCGATTCCAAAGTTTTTGATCGGCGATGGCAACTTAAATAGGCCAATGTACAGTCTCCTAATCCATGAAAACTATGTTATCCAATTCGATCTTATTTTAATCAATTTCAATAGCTTAGAATTCAGGGGTCGGGAACCTTTTTGGTCGAGAAAGTCAAGCCTGAATTTTTATTCGAAAGCCAACACATACAATGTCAATATACATTCAATGTGACTATTGACGCTGCATGTCGTCGCTTGAACGGCTGCTCACACGCAGCACGAGTTGGAATCTACGATACTCAACACCCTTCTTTCGGTTAGGCATCTCCGTAGTATTTTAATAACTAGCTTTGCTAGTCCGATCTAAATATGACAAATACTGTAACTAGTACGTAAAAACGGACAAAAGGCTGACTTAGATCATGATAAACTGTTTGCTATCGTACTTTATTTGGAACCTTTCGATCAGCTATTTTTTTTTTTCAAATGCATTGATAAAAACTATTCATCAAATGCTCACAACACAGACTGAACGTGAAGATTTCCAAGCAGTATCAGCAGAAAAGGCAAAGCTTGATGCAACTTCACTGCAAAATGCAGTCAAAAAACATGGCGAAGAAATGTCAGCAACGTTTATTTCAATTTTCTGCTCGAGAAGTTTTGCACAACTAAATGCAGCATTTTACGATTATAAAAAGGTTTGTACAAAATTTTACCTCATTTCTTCGATACTCCGTAGCATATACGAACCATGATGTCGTAACTTTAAGACGTAACGAATTTATAAATTTTAACTTGATATTGCCACTCACTTGCTTTCTCGATATCTTCCAATGTCCCTATAAAGTGATATAAAAAGGAATATTCAATTCGTTTACCATCATTGAAGTAATCTTTCAATCTCAGCTTGCAGGTCGTGATATCACGAAAACCATAACCTCGGAGTTCTCGACCGATCTGAAGGATGGCTTGAAAGCAATTTGTGAAGTTGCAACCTATCCGCCTGATTATTTTGCGGACAGACTCTATCGATCTATGAAAGGGGCTGGAACTGACGATAAAACATTGATTCGTGTAGTTGTAACACGATCAGAGGTAATCAATCTGATTGAAGTTCTTTATTGTAAAAATGGTCTAAATACCAAATTTAGAATTGCGCACTTAAAACTCATCTGGTTTAAGTATAAATAAATTAGATTTCCATACGACCTGCTATTTTGTACGGTGAAATTCATTGATTATTCCCATATGGACAACAATTTATTTTACATTCTTAATATCGGCGAAATCGTATACGAAAATTGCAGGATAATGAGGGTTAAAAATAAATAAATTGTTGACCATATATATAAACCAGCTGCATGTAACGAATATCATTAATAAGGTAATTAAATTGAGGAAACTTATCATTAACGGTATTTCAACAAGTAGGGTAATTGAAGTTATGAGGATGATCTTGCACTCATTTTAATGAGGTTCAAATTGAATTGTTAACTAAAGCACCCGCTTGTTTTAACAAGATGTATTATTTTATTGCTCTGGAGTGTCGGAAAAAAGGATTTTGCGTTACAACTGACGAATTGAATAAATATCAAATGTTATTCTCCTCCATTTTCAGATTGACATGATTGACATCAAGAAATCTTTTGCGGAAAAGCACGGGAAATCACTAGAAAAATACATCGAAGGAGACACGAGTGGGTCTTATAAAAAGCTTCTTCTTGCCCTTGTGTATGACTGAAGCTATCATATCTATTAATTTCAGCTGCTTAAGAGCAGCTCAGTTTCTTCACTTGCACAAAAAAAATTTGCGGCTTGTTTGTCGTGTACTCACTTTGTTTGTGTATCTTTAGTTAGAAAATAAGTGTATGCCTGACTTATAAGTATAGCTGTGATCTTATTCTATATGGATTAACGCGGGAAACCATTTTCTGTTTGTCAGATACAATTATATCTTTCTAATCTACTTATTTGATTGAAATATGCACAGTTTCCTATCAATGTCGTTTGCCTAAAGTATTGAATTAACCACTTTTGCCCTGCTCAATACTTTCTAATACCGAGTGAAAGTATGATATGTAAAGGCCATTCAATACTACTGTTCGAGTTGGTTTTATTTTATTGTAATTTTTGAAAACATTTCGAAAATGTGCCTTAGTATTTAGGTTCAAAACAGAGATTCGAAGTGATGTATGTATATGTGCTCGGTATCGGCGAATAAGACGATTCTGGCAAGCGATAATATCCAAATCACTAAATTCAAATTGCTGACTTCAAATTATAGAAAACTGATGGGTTTTAATTAAAAGTTGGTTACGTTTATCCACACTCGTTTTATGAGGTGGGTGTAAGTAAGTTGTGATTTAAACTGGTTTAAATACCGGTAGTTAAGTGTTAGCGTTTGAATATAAACGACAATGAAACCTAACTTTTAGATCAATTTGCCAATACTCCATACTCGGCTTACATTACAGAAATAAACAAATGTTCGATGGCTTAATTCTTTTCCGTTTAGTTTTTGATTTACTAAACTAAACTGTATAAAGTTCAAAGATATAACATATTCGTATTATATTACGTAGATTCTATTCTCTGCAGAATTATCATTTTAGAATCACAAAACAGTCTAGTATTCTAGTTCATGTTCACAAAAATAAATTTGCATGGTATTTGTGCATTTGTATTTTTATTCGCGATGGTTGAGCTTATCAATATGAAACACCGCTGAGCAGGATGCCCTTTTTGAATCGGGCAAGTGTAAGTGTCAAATCGAATAGACAATAGAGTGTCAACTTATTGACCATTATTAGACGTCGCTAATTTCACCAGACAGGTTATAGATAGGTGGGTAATCAATCAATACTGCGAATACTGGTTCTCAGGAAGCCTTGAGTAGTACTATATTATGTAAAAAAAACTTTGAAGCGTAATATAAGAAAATGCATTAATTATGCATAAATTATATATGTTGTCCGAGTACATACCTCTGCGATGTGACAAAACTTCAGAACAGCATTGGAATTGCCTTCAAAGCAAATGCAAACATAAGGATGGCTGCAGCAACCCATTCAAGCGAAGTAGCAAACCGATAGTTTTTATTTATGTGGAACAATATTGTTCTAAGATGGGATTTTATTTCTAAACGAAGGAATTATAATAAGAAACTTTGGTGCAGACATTTCCAGAAGCAATACTGCTTCTAAATTTGGCAAGTTCACTTGAAATGAGAAATTCATTTCATATTTTTCTTTCAAATCTTTGTCACTATCAAAACCGTTTTGAAACACCTTGTTGTGACAAATTTGCATACTACAACTAGAGGATTGAACAAAAAACAATATATCGTGTTATTGCCAGGGGGACACCACTCCTTCTACAGGTCGATCGGCAGCCTGCAAGCAGTCAAGCAGTCAATCTCTTCTAATGCCGTTGATTTTGGAGAAAAAATCATACATCCCTCGCTGTCAGTAGACTCGTCCACCATTGATGATATTAGCCCAACTGTAGAAGCTTGACGGGATGTGACCTTATGCACCTTGCTTGCTACACGAAGACGAAGGGCGCTGAACCGTGCGCCAATATTTTCCAGTCTAAACGCTCTAGTCTATCCCAATACAGCAATATTTGTCTATGTTCGGTCCAGACAATCCTCTCCAAATTATCCCGTCTTATAACTGAGATAAGCAAACTGAAGTCCACAAGCCCACAATACGCAACTTTAAACACAGGAGAATTGTAATGTGTCGTGAAATTATCAAGCACCTGCTCATCACAAAATATATAATCTAGATGTCAGATGGAGCCAAATAGATTACGGAAACAGATGACGAATACAGATAGAGATGAGATAGAGATAGAGAGGTTTTCTAAAGAAAACAAAATAGCCTACTATAAATACTATGAATTTGCCGCATAAATAACCAACATGCAATCAAATTATATCGCTTACCGACTGTTTTTAGCCAAGGTCAACAATATATCGAATCTTTTATGTAACTGCAGAACACTGAAATAAACATGAACAAATAAGCACTACAGTAACAGTACTTAACCCTACAGCATTAATTGTGGCAATAAATATAATACCAACAGTATTTCATCCAAATAAGACTACTACATAACAAGCCGAATGCAATGAAATACAGAAAACTCACCAAGAATATTTCACAAAACAATCAAAATGCAGGACAGATTCACAAAATGCAGTTCAATAATCCAGAGTTCAATGCAGCAAATTTTAAACTATTAGCAAGTTAAATAAGCATGAAACAAAGGAAACCATAATTAGCCCACTATAATTAATATGATACAGCTTTTCCTAATGCTGGATCGCCATAGAAGTAACGCATTGCAACAGCAAACTAACTGTGCACATTTACAATTTCGGCCATAACGCGAGGCGATACAATAAAGATGTAAACACGCAAATTGCAGTAGACAGAAACCTTCTCGGCTCGGTCTACAGATAATAAAGAAACGCATCAAATGCGAGTAATGAAATGAGACGTTTGCGACGTTGACAAACGAAAAGATGCAAACGTGTCAGCAATAAAGAAGTATACACTACCGGCGCTGGAGATCTAACACCAACAGACAACAAGATTCTACATTGGACATTTCGAATGCTACGTCAGAGCAACGACTAACATACCGGTCAGAGGGTCATGGGAACTCGTTGAAATGTGATCCTTTAAGTTACGACTTGCCAGGTATTTCCTTATCACATATAAAGATGGTTGGTTGTTGATTAGTATCATAGCAGCAGCAGAACAATGAAATCTCTAATTGTGAATAACAACAATACTAATACTGAAAACCACTTTTGGTGGAAACTTTTCTGTGGTAGCTGCTCACCATGTAGTCTCGTATACCTGAAGCAACAAACACCTATAGCCTACAACAAACTCCGATTTGGTATCCGCCAGTTATTGAGTTTGGAAAAGTATATGCAATTTTTATTGCATGGTTTAGATGCAAATGACTGTGGACTTCTTTTCCGATGACCCTTCACGAAATTTTCGAGGACAAAGATGACTCACACCACACCGCAGGTATTATAAGTTTATGAAAATAATCATGGGTTTGTAACTTTTTATTCCCTATTAGAGTATTAATAGACTGCCCAGGGAGACTGCCGGTACAAGTGACAGCCATGACTTCACCGCTCATATTTTGAACAAATACTACTCGCCGCTATAAAATGACATGTTCAAACATACTTATCGAAGTTCCTGACTGGCGGTCAACTCTCCGTTCTCCGATATGACTAAAATAGCACTGCTCATCAGTTTTCAGCAGCGTTTTTATGAGCGATCTTTAACTCACTTTAGACTAATGTGAATTACATCGGACTTATGCACCGGTCATCAACTTGTTGACAGTCATGTTTACAAACAAGCGCTCATCAATTTATTCATTATAAAAGCAAGAGAGTTAAGCGCGGATACCAAACGTTGTAGTCTGCTAGGTCTAACGCCTTCAAGCGGATATGCGTACAGAAATAGGTTCATGTCAGAGGCTTATCCTGCTGCTTCTATGATAGTAAGCAGTGGGCCTATTACTTGTTTCTATCCCTCGAACTCAAAAGCGGCGGATACCAAACTTTGTGGACTGCTGGACCAGTGGTTTCGGGCGGATGAGCCTGCAGGCTAGGTAATGGGCTCCGTGCCAAGGAACTTTCTACCATGGTAGTTTAAAGGAGTGGAAGAGAGTTTAAAGAATCTCACGGTTTCTAAAAAAAACTTTTCATTGGTCTGACCCGAATATCCTGTCTGCAAATGTCCGCGAAATGCGAAGAAATTTTGATTTCGTTAAGTCGTTTTTGACTGGTGAACAACATGGTATTCCTTGCTCCTTGTGGGACAAATTTAAACTCTACTGTACTGCCCCGACCCCCTCATTTGCAATCGACGAACATTAATTCTCGTCCAAGCACATGCATGACCTCTTCTTCTACGTTTGCAGTAGCCTGTTCTTGTGCCCATGATTCATCGAAACTTTCATTTTTGTCCGTTCTTGTGATGTTACTTTGTGCTACATCGTTTATATATTTTGTTTACAGATCGCCGTCGTCAAAAGAAGACTGTTCAGGTATTGACAAAATTTCCGATCAGATTGACAGAATCCCCACTCATTGTCCAGCTGCCAAATTTGTATCATTGGGAGAGTTTAACGTCATGATTTTAATTGGTTAAACTCTAACATAACGGTCTTGCCCAGATACTATCATGTAATTTCCCCGTTTAGTGCGGATAACCCAAAAAATCGCCTTCACTTTTCAAAAACCTCCTTTCTGTAATTCGGACCATGTGCTGTTGCGGACTTATTCAAAAACAAAATCCATGTCAAAAGTCTTCGTACCATTGAATCTTTTTATGATAATACGGAAGGCGACTCACTAAGAGAACATATTGGTGATACGCCACCCACGGGTTTACTTATTTGCTACCTGCTGAATCCTTCACTTCAGATATTGCAAATTGACTTCGAAATGGAATTGAAGAGTTTATATCCCATAAACAGCACCAACTACCACACTATGCACCATGATAATCTTCTGAATGAGCTGCAGCATTATCGGAGCAAAATAGATCGCTCCACTGCTATCAGCGCAATATATCTCCGAAATAAATATTTCTGAAGTCTAGAAACAATTGCAGAAAAAAAAAGACTAAAAAAAGATATGCAAATTTGACGAAAACTCTCGAAAAATCATTAGTAATGTATTGAACAACGGAAAATCTGCCATTTCTTTTGTCAATAAAGCTCTCTCTCTTATATTCATTGGATCTAAGTGATGTGATTAAATCAACCTAACTAGATATTTCGAAAGTTTTTGCTGGAGGCACAACACATAAAATTTGATCTCATGGTATATCTGGTGAGATTTTGACATCATTAAAATCATTTCTGTCTGGTCAAAAAAATCAATATTGTTCTAGATGGCCAACGCTCTCGGATATACCTCATATCTTCTGGAGTTCCTCAAGGCTGAATTCTGAGACCTAAATTGTTTTTATTATTTAGAAATGATCTTTCAGATAATCTTATCTGCAATTCACTCATTTATGCTAACACTACTCTTTATACTTCTCCTGATGTGAAGTCCAATAAGTAACATCGTTTTGAACTTATTAAATGTATGGGAACATACTTGATTCCGGGTTCCAAATCGGAGGTCTCTGAGATTAAACACAATTGAAGTCTTTTTGATCAATCCTTATATTAATCCCGATATAGCTCCAGTTTCAACGTATAAGAAAAAAATATAAAATACTATGAGAATCTCTAAATTTTGTCTGGTTAGACTCATCATTTCTAAGGAATTGATTTGGAATACTATATAACAGACATGGGCACGGTACGGCCCGCGGGCCAAATCCGGCCTGTTGAGTGATTATATCTGACCCGCCTGACGCTGCCACAACCAAACTTAAACCGAATTTTGATGTTTTAGCGAAAAATAGCTTAAGGAATTTGTTGAGATTGCGAATATATTTAGTTTTGGCACGAGGCCTATTGTTTCTCACGGTTGCTTTTGTAACACTGTAAATATTGTTCATAAAACTTTTTACGTTCTACTTACATGGCCCGCCAGTATAGGTGGGCGAAATTTTTGGCCCCCGGTCCAACAACTTTGCTTATCTATGCTATATAACTAGGCTTACCATACGTCCCGCTTTAGGCGGGACAGTCCTGCTTCTTAGCGTCTTGTCCCGCCGTCCCGACAAGACAGCCATCCAGATTAAGCATAATACACCGAAATGTCTTATTACTGTTGTCGCTGTGTAGCGCAACGTTAGCCTACTCACTTACTGAAGGTGAATGCGTTATTTTGTTTGTTTCGTTGTTTGCCGCTAAAATTGTTCGGACGTTCACGTTAATGTAAATTTCATTTGAACAACGTCTTTTTGACGGTGTTATCTACAGAAAAGCATGGTTGAGCGAATAAGTAAATTCTCAGTGCTTGAAAACGGCACTATTATTTCATTATTTTTTATTCCTCTTGCTATACACAAAAAAATCTAAATTTGTGTCGTTAGCGTCTATTCCTTTCTATTTTTCGAATTGAACCCGATATTTAGACAGAAAATATGCGCATAAACTCTCGATGATAATATGATCAACGAAGACAGTCATGGTGGCTTTAAATGTAGGCCTATGTAGTAAAATCGGAAACTGTAAAGTTACAGGATCACAGCTAAGGGGTCGTGTCTTTGAAAGCGTTCCGCCTTGAAGTCAAAAAAATATGGTAACTCTATATATAACGTCAGTGCCTCGAAACGCGTCAGTGAAAGTAGGATTACTTCACCGCGCCCGTAGGTATTTGCCCTGTGACTGCACACTTCACTTGTACAGATCACTGATACATAATTGCAAGGAGCATCATTGCCACATTTTGACTGGCGCTTCCGAGACCATACTAAACTCCTAGACCGTCTGGAGTTAGAACTACAAACTCCCTCCCATAAACAAAATGTTGCGATCGTTGTGCTTATTTCACAGGTACTTCAATATTTGGCCGTGTTCTTCTAAGAACAAAATTGATGAGGTTTGATTGTTGAGAAAAATTTCGAGCTCGGTCTTCAGACAATTTATTGGGTGTCGTAATTTGTAACGAAGCGCGCGGCTTTATTTAACTTTTATAAAGCGCCTTTTGGAAATAAAAAGGAAGATTTTTTCATTGTCGGATTATATTTATTAGTACATCAATAAAATGTATAAGTTGATTTACATCAGCTACTTAGTGAATTAGTTTTGCCATTTTAGATTGAACAGGAAACATTCTTGATTGACGATAATAATTTTTATTATTAACTCAAGCACATGAATGAATACCATTCAACCTTGGAGAACCATTTGGCGCCTCCTTGACTGCGAACTGATTGCAGAAGAAAATTAATGTTTAACTAAAAACAACATTTTTTATTTACAACTAGTGATAATCAGCAATCAGTCGAACCTTGACATCTATCTCGAGCGCTTTTGTAAACATCCATGAGCATGAGATATACGATGTGGTTTCTACTAGCAATTACTGATAGTTGACTCATATCTAAAAATAAAAACAAGGTACTTTATTGAAAATATTAATTCATGATATATTTGTGGCTAATTGCATATTTTTATTCAGGCCTATAACAAAGATATTAAAATAAATTGAAGATATAGTGTTGGATTCTTAAATCACCAATCTTATTGAATTGGGTAGAAGTACAGAATCTGGTTTGAAAAGCGTGCAATTCCTATTAATGATACCTTTATATTGGCCATTCCTGCATGTGCAAGACATACATCCGAATCCGTCAGACTTGCATTCCGTGGATTCCTGATTTTTACAAGATGGTTGTAATGGACAATTGGTTATTATACTATCAAACACATCCCATAAACCTTGGTCATCAACTGAACATCCGCTTCCAAACCTTGCGTAAAAATGATTTGTGTTTGTATTATATATATATAGACTGTAAATCATCTTTAAAAAATAGCATTGAACAATATATGTAGGCCTATAACATCTACTCATCTTAATATAAGCCTCTTCATACTTTCGTTTCTATTGTTTGTGTTAAAATTAATAACCTACCACCACTTATCCATTTCCATTTGTAGGCATCACATTTCCAGTTAGTCAAATCACAAACCCACTTTGCTGGCAAATCACAGGAAGAGGTGCCAATAGTCGATGGTGTGCAATCCATTCTGCAGAAGGAAAAATCTTAAAAAAAGATTAAGTTTATTAAACTGCCAATAGTCTAACTCAGGGTTTCCCAATCTGGGGTCCACGGACACCGGGGAGTTCGTGACGACTACGTAGGGGGTCCGCAACGATATTAAGTGTCTGAAATCTATACATTTAACCTCTGACACAGAACTACATCGTCCCAATCTGGGGTCCACGGACACCGGGGAGTTCGTGACGACTACGTAGGGGGTCCGCAACGATATTAAGTGTCTGAAATCTATACATTTAACGTATATCTACTGTTACATAGACATTCATAAACGAAATGAAGTCGTAAGTTAACGCAATCAAACAATGGAGTGAAAAAGTTGTTGTAAATGTAGATGATCGTGGCTTACAGCGTCAGTGCGGTTAACCTCTGTCACAGAGCTACATCGTCGGTAATAATTGATTGTATGCGTTATCGAGTTATCACCAGTCGAGAACTTGTTCGACTTTGCCAAGGTCATTTGTGCCTCGTTGCTACAAGACGAGGCGCGAAACCCAGTTAATTGTGAGAGACTATCTTAGTATACACAATTAAATTAGTTCGTTGTTGTAGAGTTCGGCCTACGAGTTTGCTTGTCACAAATTGATCCGCCCCATCAATATCGTTTGTGTTGTTGTGTTCTAAATCCAAATGGAACATTATCCTTCCTCCTTGGTTACGCACATAAATTGGTATAAGATGGGGGTCCGTAAAGAATAATATCCAGAAACAGGGGCCCGCGGCCCAAAAAGTTTGGGAAACTCTGGTCTAACTAAACCAAGTACATCAGTACTTCTGGAATGTACAAGGCATTTATTTGGCACGTCGGCGGTTGTTATGCGCGGTCAGTATGAAGCGCTTTTAATTAAGGCGTTTTCATTCTTCTGGTTAATTTCCCTTTTTTAAATTATCAATAGTGCAGAAATAGTGTGTTAACGTGTAAAAAAGGTTGTTTCATAAAATTGTTCTAAGGAAAAATTTTGTTTGTTGTTGCATTTGCATTTTCCTTCAAAAAACATCCAGATAAAGAAACAATGAACAACTGACTTTCTTGTCATCCGCCATCAAATTATGTAAAATAAAATTTACCTTCACATTCATAGCTACGAATGCATCTCTGCTCAAAATGATTATTCATTATATATCCTTCTGGACAAACACAGGGATCTAAATTGCAATTTTCTGTGCATCTCAAAGGATATGGATTTCCACAAGTTTTTGGACAAGTAGTGGCACAAGAACGGTAAACCTTTGGAAACTCACACGTAACCCGAGGCGGACCTGTAACATTTAGTGAAATGCTCAAGGTCATTGTGTAGCACTGGATTATACACTAACAGGACATTTAGAATTGTTGACATTCATGTACTATTCTTATGCGGTTCACAGGGGTTCAGAAACATTGATTAAAAATATATAAAAGTTATAGACTTCTATGGCACACTCCAATCTTTAGCTCTGAAGTTCTTGGAGCTAATTCTTCTTGTAATTATCCAACATTTGAATGAAAAAGTTTTGTTTGACGCTACAATAGCGATATACCTCTTTTCCTGATTCTATTGGAAGGTAGGTGCTCGATACGAAAAATTCGAGTCTCAATTTCGAGATCTCATTGAGCTTTCTCGAATGCTTGAAATATTGAAATTCAGGATTTATCATTTCCTAAATATTACTCCAGAATCCATTCAATTAGATAAAAAATAAATTCTAACATTCAGCAACCTGAATACAGGTGTCGTTTGTAGTACTTTCGGTTTTTGTTAGCGTGCGAAATCTAATTGGCATTGTGACTATTCAGGATATTTCAAACAGTTTTTTTTTACATAAACTAGCTTATTGGCGATATTGATGTTCCTAACTTTTTCTTTGATATACTAGATAACAAAACAAAAAAGTATTTTTGCGTATTGTCATATATATATATATATATACTTGATTATTTATGTTTTTGCCCAACATATAATACCGTGTGTACGAGAAATAATTTACATTAGCACCATTTTCTGTACCTCTCATTGAATTGGGTGAAAATGTAACCACTCACCATATTCACATGTTCCTCCGGCGTTGGATTCCCGTTCTCCGAGTCTCACTACCTTATGGCATGTCAAACCGTTGTCACATAAACCAGATATATTCCATGGCCCTCCACATCGTTCACCAATGCTTTTTGAGCAGACGTCGCAACATCTGTTACATAAATTTAAAGAAAAATTGAAAGCTTTCAAGATATTTTATACAACAGTTCAAACAAAGTTTAAACGTGATTCAATAACCTTGTTTATTTTATTAGTATTATTTTTTGTTCGAATTCAAATTCTGCAATCGCAACTTGGATAAAGATTTGCAACATAGCCCATTCTCTCGAAAAAATAGGTTTGACTAATATCATTCCGGGACACAAGAAGTAAGTTTTGTTCAGATTTCAAAATGTATGGTTTTTTATTTGTCTTGCTTGCGTGGACAAATTCCTACATATATCACAGATGCTGTTACAAAATTGTGAATAGGTGATAACTTTAACGGATGACAAAATTCACTAACACCTAAACACAATTTAATTGAGTAGTGCTTGGCCGATAAATATCGTATTTAAGAGTACGATGAACGTGACTGAAAGCATTTTTTAAATGTTATTTTCTAATTAGCTATTAAAAATACAGCTGACTGTGCATATATAGGTTTAACTTACCGACATTCATCTTTAACAATTTTAGTCGTACAAACAGGCGTTTTGCACACAATATCTTCGCAGGGAATGCAACTGAGACCAAAACAGGTTGAAATGAAACCGATAGCGATAAGCAAGCAAATGCGTAACAACCTTTTCATTTTTATTCTTTTCTGTAGCAATTTTTTAGTGTATCTGTAACTAAAGTGTGTAGAAAATGATTGTTTTTTATACAAAGAATATGTACGTCATATTTCATATGAAAACAAAATTCGACAAGGATTATATCGACATTTCTGCTACGTATTCATGAAATATTAAACTATTGCGACATCCGTAACAACTGCCCTAGCACCATCCTATAGATCCATCCTACAAGCTTCATTTTGTGGCTACGCTTTTATGCCATGTTAACAGCGTAGGTTGTTGTACTTTCGCGCAGGTGCAATTTTTTCATCGACACAACTTCTACCTAATAAGATACTAAATGTTGAACCTACTAACTGATTCCCGTGAACGGTTTCAAGTAATTCTGTCGATTTACGTGGGGCTCGATCGGGTTTATTTGCGATGACGTCGAAAACTGCAAACTTCATGTTGTCTTTTTCACGGTAAATAATTGAAAGGGTGCGAATGGCAGTGTAGCAGCGTGCGATAAACAACTAATTCTAATCGCTAATCAACTCGATCGCCAATCGACATGGTTTAACTGTTGCCACAAGCGGGCTGTAGATGATAAACCCTTATTGCATAATACCTTCCACGAGATATATTTTGCTCAATAAAATGACCAAATGAGTAATGATTCTAAACCGTTTACGTTTACCCTATACATTTTATGTCAATTAATATATGTTAGGCTTGATTAAAACATCGAAATACCGAACTCTTACAAATTTATAAAAACTTAGATAGGTTTCAATTGTACAATTGTTTTCTAAAAATGAGATACTGTAAATACTCTCTGTTTTTTCATATTGCTGTGAAAATTTTATCAGTGTTAACTTTTGCCAATTTCGGGGATAAACCGAATCGAACTCTTATCCCATCACATTATGATTAAAGAAAATATTCCTTTTTCGTACAATTTATACAATAAAATCCCACTGCTATTGTAGGACAAAGCGAACTACCATTTCTAGTCGCGAGAGTTGTGTGTATGCGGATGGGGGGGTTCTTGGCTGTGACCCAATTAGTCATTAATTAATAAAGCATTACGGATAAAAATATTTCACTTAAATTTTTGTAATAAAGGAGTCTACGATAAAAAAAAGAGACGAAAGGGCTAAAGAATTATTATTCCTACATTTGTTGAAACTTATATGAATTTGTATAGTCGCTATATATATTTATTTCATCATCTTTTTTTTTCAAAAATAAAAGTTTTATCAGAGTAAAAACTGTTCAATTAATTTAAATTAGTGTATTTTAAAAGGGTACAGTTTCAAATTCATTTGACTGTATTTAATTTTTAACTATTTAAACGGAAAATATTCACCATAAAAATTATCAACCTGATTAAAAAAATAACGAAATGTCAGTTTGAAAGTTTTTTTGAAACTGGGAAATCATTGTCAAGCCTAAAAAGTTAAAAAACCACCAGAGGCAATCTACCTTGCCTAATGGTAAATTCAGCGCTGATCCTCGATTTATCCCGTCAGCCTTCCGTTGGTCTTCGTTTTATATTGCAACGAACAAAAAAAATGAGCAATTTTAATAAGGTCAAAGTCAAGAAAACTGAAAAACCAACAAATTAAATATATATCTTGTATACGAAGAAAAAAGAACAAATTTTTACATTGTTTCTATTATTTATAAATGATCTTTTAGAAAATCTCATCTACAATTCACTGATTTATGCTTGCACTACTCTTTTTCATTGCTTTGAAGTCCGATTAGCAACAACATTTTAAACTTACTAAATATAGGGAAACAGACTTGATTCCGGTTTCCGAATCGGGTGATCAGTGGCAGGTCTTTGAGATGAAAAAAAATCAAAGTCTTTTTGATCAATCATCCAATTTCCATGTATTGAAGATATTATAAAATACTATGAGAATCTCTAAATTTCACCTGGCTGAACTCATCATTTCTAAGAAATTGAGTTGGAATACTAATGTCAGTGGCCCGAAACGCGTCAGTGAAATTTGGATCTATTTACCGCGTCCGTCGGTATTTGTCCCGTGATTGCATACCTCACTTGTACAGATTACTGATACATAATTTTAAGGAATATTATTGCCATATTGTGACTGGGGCTTCTAAGACCATACTGTGTATATAACTGTGTATTCAACTTGTACCTATAGCTGTGAAATCGGAAACGCATTTGAATGGCTTTAGTTCATGCCGAGGATTAGGATTTTGGGCAATGCTGTCACTGTTTTTTTCACCAAGCTTCTTTGTTAAAACAAAATTTGTTTGAAAGGCGCAAGTGAAAATTCCAAACTTGTTTTCCAACCTCAATAACTTATTATATTACTGTAAATGCATTGACAGGCCTATTTCTGCGTGTTTAACCTTATTTGAGAGTTTGCCAGTTTTTCTGATTTACCTATTGTTTTGTATGATTATCGTATTTGTGTTCACGATTCTGAAAATAAAACTAATAGCAATGCAATACTATTACCCTACTGTGGTGATTTAATTTGAATATCAACTGTGTCAGAATTTACCGATATGATAATTTTTGCAATAGAAAATTTCTGACGATTTAATATTGGAAACACTGTGGTGGTTTTAATTTTTAGCAAACATTCTATGTCATTTTTTACAAGCAACTTCTTCTTTGGTGATTACTTTCCGTCCGAATGCCCGTTGGAAAAAATCATAAATGCAGGAAAATGCTAAACATGTATTCCAGATCTACAGATATACGGAATCCTATATTACATCTGGTTTTTAACTTATTGAATGGGTTTCTAAAATCCGCATCTAATCAAATGCTGGGTTCTATATTTTACATAAAACCTGTGACAAACTGATGGAATATCTTCTCGCTAAAGCGCCTTTTGGAAATAAAAAGAATCTTTTTTCATTGTGGTTGGATTATGTTTATTAGTAAGTACATCATTAAAATGTATAGGTTGATTTACATCAGCTACTTCGAATAATAGTAATTAGTTTGCCATTTTGAACAGAAAACATTCTTGATCGACGGTAATAATTTTTATTATTAACTCAACCATATGAATGAATACCATTTGGCCTCATTTGGCGCCTCTTCAACTGCGAATTAATTGCAAAATAAAATTACTGTTTAATTATATATACAACGATCAGTCAATCAGTTTAATCAGCAACCAGTCATACTCTGACATCTATCTCGAGCGCTCCTGTAAACATTCATAAGCTCGAGATATCTGGCGTGATTTCTACTAGCAATTACTGGTAGCTGACTTATATCTGAAAATAAAAACAAGTACTTTATCAAAAGTAATAATTCATGATTTATATGTGATTAATTGCATATATTTATACGGAAACTAATAATATTATGTGGGAATAGGTTAGCCTATAAATCAATGATATTAAACAAAAATTAGGGATAGATAAGACTGTTGGATTCTTTAAATACCAACTCGTATTGAATTGGGGAGAAATATAGAATCTGGTTTGAAAAGCGTGCAATTCTTATTGATGATACCTTCATATTTCCCATCACTGCATGTGCAAGACCTGCAACCAAATCCATCAGACCTGCATTCCGTGGCATCCTGATTTTTACATGATGGTTGTAATGGACAATCCGATATTATTTTATCGAACATGTCCCATAAACCTTTGTCATCAACTGAACATCCGCTTCCAAACCTTGCATTAAAGTAAATTGTGTTTGTCTTATATATATATATATACTGTAAAACATCTTCAAAGAATAACATAGAACAATTCATGTATACCATTTATTCATCTTGAAATAAGCTCCTTCATACCTGACTTTCTATTGTCTGCGTTAAAAAAAATCAATAACCTACCACCACTTTTCCATTTCCATTTTCCATTCGTAAGCATCACATTTCCAGTTAGTCAATTCGCAAACCCACTTTGCTGGCAAATCACAAGTAGAGGCGCCAATAGTCAATGGAAGGCAATCCATTCTGCAGAAGGAGAAATCTTAAAAGAAGGTTGAGTTAATTGGACTGAACCAAGTGCATCGGTACTTTGAGAATGTAGAAGGCATTTATTTGGTTTCTCGGCAGAAAATTTAGTTTGGTATTGAATTTGGTAATCTTTCACTACAAAAACACCCAGATAGTGAAACAATATATAACTGATTTTCTTGCCCTCTGCCATCAAATTAAGTAAAACAAATTTTACCTTCACATTCATAGTTACGAATACATCTCTTCTCTGTTAGACTGTTCAATATATATCCTTCTGGACAAACACATTGATCCAAATTGCAATTTTTTGTGCATCTATACGGATAAGGATTTCCACAAGTTTTTGGACAAGCGGTGGCACAAGAACGGAAAACCTTCGGAAACTCACAAGTAACTTTAGGCGGACCTGTAACATATAATGAAATGATCAGCTACATTGTATAGCACCGCATTACACTTTTACAGTACCTTTACAATTATAAATGTCTTCTCTTGTTACTCAGGTGAACAACAAATAGTTTGTAAAGTAAAGCATAAACACAAATCACAATACACTTCACACTTCAAAACACTTCAAATCTTTAGCTCTGAAGTTCTTAAAGTTAATTGTTCAACATTCGAAAAAAGAGTTATTTTTCTCTGATTCCGTTGGCAGGTACAACCATAAGGCAAAATAATCACGTGGTCAAGACACCAAAAAAAGGGGGCGCCACAGAAATTTTTGTAGTTAAATTTTCAATAGGCCTCAGTGTTTGATTAAATAATTCGAGCTGGCCTGAAGACTCGGATCTCAATATTGGCCGGGTCAAATTAAATTTTTATCTATTTTCGTTCTCAGGTACTGAGGTAATATCTGTTTGAAGGCTGTTTGAGAACTATAAAATATCATTCAAATTAATCATAATCACCTTAAACCTATTTAGAAATGTTTGTAGGTATGTCAACTATTTCCAATAAAATATTATATAAATTATTCATAATTAGGCCTTCAATCAGTAATGAATACAAAAACTTACTTTTGCAATTTCACATAACACGGGACACTAGTTAAATTTATATTATTAATATTTGTTATATATTGGAAACCAAAGTCTCAAATGCTTAGGGCCTGCCTCTAAAGGCCATGATCCGGCCCAAGATAGGTACGAAAAAAATCAAATAAAATCTCAATTTTATTCAGGGCTGCCTCTAATACCTAACATTCCGGGTTTAATATTTCCTAGATGATACTCCCAGATCCAATCAATAAAATAAAATAAATTCTAACATTCATCAACCGGAATACAGGTGTCGTCTGTGGCACTTCTTCGGATAAATCCTTGTTTGCATACACATGGATTCGCGATGCATTGAAGAGTGCAAATTAAAGGTTCTCGTTCATCGCAACGAGATTGGCATGCACTTGCACATTCTGAGAACTTGGTTGGGTGCAGGCAACCCCCTCTCGTATCTATAGGAAAAGCAACGTATCAATATATCAGCTGTGCAAAACATTAAATTTTCGTTAGTGTGCGATATCCAATCGGCATTGTGCCAATTTAGAATATTTCAACTAGTTATCTACACATAAAGTTATCTATACATACATTCTTGCTATTCGTGGTATGTACGAAATTTTATCATAACCTAATATGCTCTCTTAATTTTTCCTTATTATGCTAGATAACAGGACAATGAATTTTGCGCGTATCGTCTTATATATACTTACTATGCTTTAATATTTTTTCTTGAACATATATGACCATGTGTACGAGATTTAATCTACATTAGCATCATTTTCTGTTGCTGTCATTGAATTAGTTGAACAAATGTAATCACTCACTATTTTCGCACGTTCCTTCAATGTTGAATTCCAGTTCTCCAGGTCTCACCACCCTGTGGCATTTCAAACCGTTGTCACATAAACCAGATATATTCCATGGCCCTCCACATCGTTCACCAATGCTTTTTGAGCAGACGTCGCAACATCTTTTGCATAAATTCAAACAAACTTATAAGCTTTCAAGATATTTAATACATCATTTTCAAAAATAATTCAAACATGCTTTTATACCCTTGTTTAATTTGTTAGTATTTTTTTTTTCGAAATAAATACTGTGGTTGCAACCTGGACAAAGATTTACATCCCGTTCTTTAAAAAATTAGTTTAACCAATATTATTCCAGGGCACAAGCAGTAACTTAATTGAGTAGTGCTTGGTCCACAAATATCAGAGCGTACAATGAAGGTGACTGACTGAAAGCATTATTCAAATGTAATTTTCAAATTAGGTATTCAAAAATACAATTGACTGTGCATAGGTTTAACTCACCCACATGCGTCTTTAACAATTTTAGTTGTACAAACAGGCGATTTGCATACGGCTTCTTCGCACGGTAAGCAACTAAGACCAAAACAGGTTGAAACGAAGCCGATAAGCAAAAAAATGCTGAATAAACTTTTCATGTTTATTCTTTTCTGTAGCAATTTATATTGTATATATCTGTAATTAAGTTAATTAGGAATAGATTGTTTTGTAAATAAATTTAGTAAAGTTAACAAAGAATAGGTTACGTCAGATCCCATATGAAAATAACATTTGGCATTAGCTATTACCAGTTTCAGTTTAGACGGTAATTTTTATATCAACATTTTTGCTACTTATTCACGAAAGATTGTAACTATTGCGACATCCGTAATAACTGCCCTAGCACCACCCTAGTATAGGCTATAGTAAAAATAAGAGGACGTCGACTGATACTCAAATATAACATGCAGAAACTTTAAAAGTACAGACAACAACAAACACCGCGGTCGTTCAAAAATAAGAAGGTTCTACCATGATTCAGCGTATTATAAGTTGGCGTTCCTGACGTGAATTTGTAAATTCTCATCTTATGTTAGTGAGTAAAAATGATTGTACATTATATTAGTTATTTAGGTCACCAAACCCTGACACTAATCTCAATCCTCATCTTTAATAACGTAGGCTACAAGCACAACCGGCTTCGGCTAGTAAATCATTTGATTGAAAAACCATGAAGAGTTATTCCAACTCGTTACAACCTAGGGTCGTTATTAAAGACGAATGAAATTTGTTGTAAAATATATCAAGTTTAAACTTGACATTCTGGCTTTATGAAATCCTGGAAACTCTTAATTGAATTCACGAACTTGTTATTATTTTGGCTTTAAAAAATTTTGTTCATAGACTCAACTTCCACTTCATAAGTTTACAGTAACTGCTGACCCTACCAACTAATTTCTGTGAACAGTTTTAAGTAATTCTGTCGATTTACGTGGGGTTCGGTCGGGTGCATTTACGATGACGTCAAAACCCTAAAAACCTCAGGTTGTATTCCCCACGGTAAGTAATTGAAAGGGTACGACTGTCAGTGAAGCATAACAACTGCATTTAGGGAATTTTGTTTTGTTCAATCGTGCGATAAACAACCTCTAAGTACATGATGTGCAGTTCAGTTTTTAAAGTGGTTCTAAAACAAAATTACTAAATATTCTATTCACTGATCAACACGATTACTAATCGAAATGGTTTAACTGTTGCCAAATGCGAGCTATAGATAATGAACCGTTAATGCATAATGCCTTCCACGAGATATATTTTGCCTATTAAAATGGTCAGATGGGTTCTCAACCGTTTATGCTTACCCTTTGCATTTTATGTCAATTTCAATTATACAATTTTCTTTTGTGAAATTGAGTTACTGTGAATACTCACTGTTTCATTATATTGCTGTAAAATTTTCATCAGTAATACTTTATGCCATCTTTAAAGACACTTGAACGAAAATGTTATACCAACACATTGTAATTGAAAAACTTACTCGTTGAATATAGTGTTATCACTTGAATTTTTGTAATAAACAGGTCTACGATAAAAAAAAAAGATCCGAAAGTAGTGAAAAATTAATTGTCCCTACATTCGTTGTTATAGCTATACATAGATATTTTATCATCTTTTTTTTGTCAAGTTAAATAAGCACATACATTTCATTCGACAGTATTTAATTTTTACCCTTTTATATGAAAAATATTTATCATAAAAATTATAAACCTGAGTAAAAAAATAAACTAATGTCAGGTTAAAAATTTTTTGAAACGGTAAAATCATTGAAAAAGCCTTAAAACTCCGAAAAATTACTGAAAAATGAATAACAACTCGTAAGTAAATGTCGCGGCTGCCAAAGCTTGAGGCCACTAGACTCCAGCCTATTTATTTAGCTGTCCAGCATTTCGTTGATCTGTGTTTTATTCAGCAACGAACAAAAGATTGGGCGTTTTTGATAAGGTTAAAGTAAAGAAAAACTAAAAATACAATAAGGGAATATATATCCTTTTTATATAAAGAAGAAAAAAACGCGTTTTTTTCGTTGCGGTTTCAAACCCATGACACCTAAATTGAACTTGCCACGCCTTCAGCATAGATTGCCTTTAACCCATTGTGAACATTCAACTATCTTTAGTCATGTAATTTGAGTAAAAACAAAACACAAACTTTTAATTGTCTGATTCCCCTTAGTGAAATTTATTCGTTCAAATCCGGGTTTTGCGCAATATCTATTCTCGTAGACAAATCGGAAAAGCTTCGGAATAGGCAATAGTAATTCCTTTCTCTAAATTCCAACAATATTTAGGCATTTCAATTGGTATGATAAAATAGTTTTGGGTTTACTAAACTGGGAAATTTTATAATGTAGTTGATTTATACTAATTCAGTTAATACAGTAAAAACTTCAGCCTTTGCTTGTACTTCACTTTACTCTTGAACATGTTTGCAATGCTCTGAAAGTTAACAACTCTATACACAATGCCGTCCCATTTACAGTCTCTCAACTTATAAATATCAAGTCTGAAATATATAGTTTATACCGACGAGATTAAACTTTTTACATCGCCATTGAGCCAACAACATAACTAATATTCGACAATAATATAACTTGTTGAATCTATATGACTGGCGCACCTATATTGGAAGGACAATGAGGGACGATAAAATGAATGAATTGAAAAGACCCACAGATACTTTTATTGAATAGCAACCGAGCGCGGTTTTAGGGTTGCTTACCTTTGTATGGTTTCGAAGCTGAGAAATATTTACCGGAAACGAAAACTTCAAATATAAAATATCTAACACCACGATTGCAATAATTCAGGTTCATAGTATCTAGTTTATTACAACGTCAGTTACATATTTTATGAGCAATATAGGTATATATTATATTGTCTTATGTTGTATAGGTATATTATACAGTATATTTTATATACTGTAATATTTTAATTTATTTTCAAGACTCAAATTAAATAAACCACAAAGAAAAGCAAATGCCATGCTTTTCTTCCAATAAATATGCTGACTACGCCCAATACATTTTTATTGTGCTTGTGATTTTTCTTCCTATGAATGCGTCTTCAGCTACATTATTCATTTTTTTGTTAATTTCCATTATTATATTTGAAATCTAATTTTTAATCTTTTGAAATGAATCTTACTGTACATTGGCAAACAGGTTGAAGATATTCGTTTAACAAGGCGAAATCATGAATGAAGGAATGCATAGATTTTTTTATGAAGTAATAGGTATATAATTTTTTAAAGGGATGATTACGTTTAGTTGGATTTAACAATCATATTTAGAATATGTTTTACCGTATTACATTTACAGCTCAAATACTTTTCAAATATGTTTCATCAAAATTGGTCTTGTCTTTTTACGTTGCCGCCCAAAAGTAGCTAACCGAAAATATGTTATACTCTATTATTTTATAGCAGTTGTTATCAACTGGCGAATATTATCTGGCATTTCCATTCTGACCCGCGTCACGTAAACATGATCGATAGATTCTTTTTGAGTAAACAAATGACGAATAAGGGTTATTGTGCTCCGTTTCTTTTTATTCACAGAATATCTGCGATAGTGAATAACATGAGGGGCTTGAGAGGATTACCGAAAATCTTGGATGATTCGTAGCATAACAACAGATTTTATTAAAACCCTGTTGCTTACGCCGTGGTTTCGTTTTGATAAACACGATAGTTCCCACACAGGGCGTGTAATAAATTCCTGAAGATTGATACGTTATTGTGTACACGTTTTCAAAAACTTAAATTATTACTTATTGATGTATTCTTGAGTGTACGCATAGCAAGACTTAATGCTGTAGCGTATTTTTTGGGCTCCACAGCGTCTGTTTTTAAAAATACCTTCAACTATACCGGTCATTCTGGATCAAATAGGATTCCTGAGCAAATATTTCGAGATTTTTTATTATATATCGCCAATATAAAAAGAATATTAGGTTTTGGATATAGTAATATGAAACTTTATTTTATGTCATCTTATTTTTAGCTCATATGAAATATGTCAATATCCAATATGAGGTAACTTCAATTACTTATTTACCAGGAAAAGATCCTCAAATTCTTTTATGCGTATTACTTCCCTCAGTCTACGTTTGATATTGTGTACCTATATTAAAATATTATGACAAAATTAATTATTTTATGCGTATTATATATATATATATTAATATTAATGAATATATATCTTTAATACAATATAAAGCAAAGACAAGCTTTTTGACCGTGGTGCCAAACCGTTATTCACCAATTTGATTCGGCACACGTTTGGCCATTATACAACTTTAAATTCGACGGGAGTCGGTTATACTTAAACAGCGCTAAATACATATTTGTATTATCTAGAATTCAAAGATAATTTGTCTGGAATTCCATCTGATTCGCAATGGCCGTCATTAGATTTTACTTCTTAGATATTCGTATAGAGAAACTTAGGGAAAACGAATTTGCTATTTAAATTATTGCCAGCAGGTTGGTGACTGATGCTGACTATCTGCGGCTAATTCGAGACGAGACCGGTCGTTATTAGAAATTTATCACATTGCTTTTTACCATCCACCAGAATAAAATGAATATCTTATCAAACGCCTTGTTCAGCTCATAGACCTGGGTGAACATTCCTGATATGCAGCTTTGTATAAAATTTGTTCAAAAAATGGTTGCTAAATGAACATTAGTAGGATATACAGCATATACAACACTTCAACAAAATTCAACTTTTATTTGAAACTGTTCACAGGAGGAAAACAAAATACTTGCGTAACATACATACATAACGTGTAGCGTCTTCAAACATACTGTTCTATTTTGCTTTGACATCAATAAACAGATTGATATCAGGTTATTGAACCAGAGCAATGTTTTATATATATATATAGATTAAATGGATTTGCACAACAATGATTTTACTGAGAAATTCATTGAACGTTCTTTGACTTCACTACCTCGCTGTTTGCCCACTGCTGTTGCCTGTAAAAAAGTCATTTATCGTTTTTATCAAATTGAATATTTTAAAAAAGTATTCAGTAATAAGTAAGTATTTAGTAATAAGTAAAAAAGGAAGGCACTCTTGATGTACTTTTTTTACAGAATAAATACTATAACAATGATTCTTTATTTCGGGCCACGAGGAATTAAATTACCCAAACAACTAAATAAAAAAAACGCTCAGTCGACTCATTTCTCAAAGATTAAAAATAATAAATCGGCACCTATTCATCAATTATTTATTGTAATGAATATTATATTTCATTAAAGTATTCAATTCATATCAAGTATAGCATAGTACGACTGTATTTAAAATTTGATAACGTAATACCCCTTCCAGGCTTTAATTTTAGTTCGCGAAAGCATCTTTGCGATTTTTAGCAACAATTTCTTGTAGGAATAATTTCCCTAATTTACAAACAAAACTTACCAGTTTCCACGGACACGCCGCTTTCCGCCGGCTTGTATGAAACAACGTAACCGGGGTTGTTGACTCCAGCCACATCCGAAACTGATGTGCGAGGAGACAGTAATTTTTGAGGAGAGAAATAATTTTTACGAAAAAACAGACAACTGTATCCCCTGAAAAAAAATAGGAAATATTAATTGTGTTACATAAATGAGTAATTGGGTATTGAATAAAAATCAGTGATAGATATTGTAGAATAAAATGGATGAAATGTAGCAACTGACTGGGTTAAAATACTGCGACCCAGCATGTTATCAAGTATGTTACGTTGCAAAGTCGCTCAAAATAAAAGATACTCTTCTTGGTTCATTAAAAAACCAATTCGCTATCACAAACTTGTGATTTGCAACATTCAATTTGTCGTATAACCGAAAACGAAATGCATTTTTTTTGTATAAAAACCATTTTACTCCAAAACTAATGCACCAACCGATTTCAAATTTTTAATATTGACTACCGAGTCTTAGAAGATGGCGGAAATCACTGAAAGTTGTGAGTTTTTGCTTCAAATTTTACATGATGCTTACAAGCCCATGATTTCACCTTAAATTTTGTTTTGTTTTTCATAAGTAATGAACACAAATGAAATACTGTACAATTTTTGGCCTGATGACATAAGGATGGAATATTTCTGGTAGCCATTTTAGTCGTTCGACCTTTGTATTCATTACTTATCGATTTTAATCGGTAAGTATGTTGATAGGTATTTGTCTGTCTGTATGTCTGTTTGTTTGTCAGTTAGATGCACGCGATATCTCACGAAAGCGAGATTGAATCTGCTCCAGACTTTTGCATGTACATTCATCTTATCTCGAACCAGAAGCCAATTGATTTTGGGCGAATTATGTCGTATTATGTCTTTTATATGTCGAGTTATTAATTAATTAGTGATGGGACACAAGATGTCACTATGGCGTAAGAGCGCTTTTTTGAGGGATCCCCTAACTTTCGATCGATAAGTCTTCGGTCTCTGACCGTTATTCTCGTTCAATTGATCATTACTACCTTCATTTATTAAACGTTAATTTAAAACTAACTTCATTTTAAAAATGAAGTCAATCAAGGGTAAACGAAAGAGGTGTCATAATGTTCTATTATTGGTTGAATAAAGAAAACGGAATGATAAAAAAAACTAGGTAATATTTACTTTTTCCGTCGCCACCAGCATAATAACAAAACTAAGAGTATCATGAGCATAATAACAACAACAAGTGCCACAGCTATACTTCTTGCATTTCCATTGTCATGTTTACTTGATGTACTCTTCGAATCTAAAACAAAATGGATTAATGAAAGCATTAGGATTATTGAATAAATAAGCCCAGTGCCATATATTCAACAAATATTCCACGTCACGATAATAGCTTAATGAAATCAAAACGCAATTCTTAACTGATTGTTCGTCTCAAAATTCAACTCTTGTATCCATGAGATTGGTGATTCAACCCAAGTGTAAACTAATGGAGTTTTACTAAATTTCCATGATTTCTTTTCAAATATAATTTGCTTAAAACTAAAGAAATAATTGTCCACCCCATTGCGGTTGCAGGCCCTGTTCTCCTGTAATATTTTAATTTGGACAACCAACTAAATCGGAGCATGATACTTAAAGGTAAGTAGAATTTCATTTTAGTTAGAATATACATAAAACCTAAGGCAAGGTGTTATAGTAAGCACGTGAAGTGTATTTCGTGATAAAACCAATTATCACCCATAATAAATTTGAAAAGAAAAAATGTTTGCATACCATTTGCGTTCCCTTGCGATTCTGTCGTCTGCATAAAAAAACAAAAAGTAATATATATTAACACATTCGCACATGTTAGTCATAGGAACCGCATATCGAATGGTTCATTATTCCTCTATTCATCAGTTTGTTATTTCGGTACTCCCGAAGTATGTGAACCAAGATGGCGGACACTGGAACGTAGTATGTGTACCAGGTTACGGTTAGTCCATAATTTTAGGTACAAATACTATGGGAATCACTTGGCTAGTCCCCGAACTTGTAATAGAACTAAAATAGGAAAAAATGGAATAAAATTATGGCCTAACCCTAAGCTGGTACACATACTACGTTCCGGTTCACATACTTCGGGAGTACCCTAGTATATCATTACCTACGAAGGCATTTTTTAATAAAGCTCGTAATAATATTGCGTATTCAGAGATGTTAAAAGGCGGTGAAAACAATATTTCATTTTCAATCTGAATCTTCTATCAAATTCATGGTTGTTGAGCAATGGGACAAGGCTATGAACAATAAGCCCTTCTTCGGTCGTAAGTTGGTGCGTTTCGGCCGGCACAAGAAATCGATTCCAGATGTTTGAAAATACCTGCACTTAAATTTAGTAATCATAAAATGAAAAATATATATGTCATTCTACAACCGAAACTGGTACCTGTAATTTACAGTCAAAATACACTCCTTCCCATGTCCCTTTATTATTGCAAACCATAGTTGTAGAATTTGAAATATTTGTATCATTTGATACATATCCATCTGCACATGAAACGAGAATCGTGCTCTTTTCAAAGTACGTTTTTGCCTCCATAACTAATTTAGCATTTGGATTTGATAATATTTTGACATTTTGGTGATTTCGCAATTGTGGCGGTTGGCATTGAACGCGATCTGAAAATATAAAGTTTAATTGAACTTACGAGCAAATATTTTTACCGTGATAGTGGTGACTGCTTCTAAATGTCCGGGTTCGGAGTTAAGGCTTGATCACATCATACTGGTGAAGACGAAATACCAGTTAAATGTTATAATTCAATATCGAAATTCAAACACTTGTAAAATTGATCTGGAACTTTTGATCACCATGGCATTTTTTTGTGCATGTTACAATAACTTCTGATATTTCAAATTTCTAAGCTGCTAGTTACTTTAGTTTTATATAAGTTGCCTATACTCCTGAAGTGATTGAGCCATGAAAGAATTTTTTAATAATTAAACTGCATGAGCTTACTTTTTGGACATGTTGGTAGATTGCTCCATGTACCGGATGGTTCACATACCAAAGTGTATTCTGTGGAATGGCCTGGACAATGAACTATGCTTTGCTCCCCTACTTTTTTCCCGGATTTCTGAATATAAGACAAGAATGAATATCTGTTTAGTTGTTTGGCACAATTTACCATCATAGATAAAAAATAAATAAAAGAATAAAATGAATCATTCAAATAATATGACAAAATATGGAAATATTGAACAATTTTTAAAAAGTAATTTCTATAACCACTTCATGAAAAATTCAAACAAATTCAACTGAAATTGACTATAGCATTACCTGAATTGTTTTAGGATTCTAAAACAAATACTTGTATACAATTCTGGATAAATACTAAAGAAATGTATAAAAACAATGAAAAATAAATAAATCTGTAATTAATTGCAATAAAAGTACTAGTTATTGTACCTTAATTTCCAATATAATCTTGTTTTTCGATATTGGTGTTGGACAAAATTCGTCACAAAAGTTGTGAACAGCTTCTGGCGGAGGAAATGCTGAAGTGCTGTGTAACTTTGCCGACGGACATTTGCAAAGCCAGTTTGATTTGTGTCCACCAGAACAAAAGTACATGCAATTTACTATTTCGCACTGATTAAACTCTGAAATGTTAAATAAATAAAATAGAGTACAGAATTACAGTAGGTAAAAGTTCAATGGAGTAAATTCAATAATCTTGCATAAATATTTATAAAAGTTTCATGTTTTTATTGGACTGCAATTTTAAGTTTCTCGAAAGATCTAAAAACCTCACCTTCCGTGGATATTGGCAATCTCAGCCAATACAACAATATAAGTAAATAAGTATACACTTTAATATATATATATCTAAATGCGAAAAATGAATCATCATCACTATCACTATCGTAACATTAAAGTGTTCAAAAAATTCAAAATTTTTGTGCATTGACACGGTCTTATGACACTCCATTAGCCAGCCTCTTCTCTACAAAGCAGGATTGAGATCATAAATTCATCCCTAACTTAGCCAAATTTACGATTCAATAGATAAACCAATGAATATAAAATATCCCAGCAAGTATGTGGTATGTCACGTTGATATTCTCAATATCATTCAATATAATATTATTAACATACAGTGCTATTGGGGAACAGCTATGGAATCGTATCACACTTGATTACATTTTATTATATTCAAACATGGTAATTCATCATTTTTCATTTAATATTTAAAAACTGATGAATATAAAATATCCCAGCAAGTATGTGTTCTGTCACGATGATATTCTTAATGTCAAAATATTATGTTTGAGATGCAGGGCTATTGGGGAAACGATAACGCAATCGTACCACACTCGATTACATTATATTATATCCAAACATTGTAATTTATCTTCTTTTTTTTTATTATTTATAAAAGCCTTATTTGTTAATTCACCTAATTTAGGTTGACTCCATTCTTGGACAACACCCAATCCGTGAGCCATGAAAGTTTCTCGGATAATTTTCTTAGATTGCAGATCTCTTGTATTCTTATCAATAGAGTATACTCTGGCATATCTCCCTTGGGCATACGCATGTTTTCCTATATGTACCAAACCAACTCCATCGACCTCGCTTTTCATGGCATCGGCTTCAATCCAGAAAAAATTATGTTCAAAAACAGACAAACCCGTGACAGTTTTTCCATCTGTGGCTGAGACAACAAAGTTTCTGTATGAAATATATAATTATGTCACATTAGAACAGTTAAAATAAGAACAAATTAAAAGAAATTAAGTCAACAGATTAGACGTAGTATTTCATTTTATTCATTTTTAATACCATAAAACTAGTTTGGATATTCTAAACAAACTCAAATATAAAAACAATCTCATTTCAGTTCTCAATAACTGGGACCAAATTGTCAAGTTGTTTCCTTTTCAAAAGAAATTGAATTAAGTGACTTCCATTCGATTCTACGTTTAAGGACATGAAAAGTGGTATGAGACGTATTGAAAACAAGAATAAGTAGAAGTCACTTCACTTGAGTAGCTCAAATTCTGCAGTCCCAGCGGAAAATGATGGTTTGAATTTTCGGATTTAAATACCCTCGTCAAACTTAAGAATATGTCAATAGTTTAAAGATCATTAATGTAAGTCTAATCGATGTGTAAGCAGTAGACAAACTTCAATAATTCGTAATGAAGCCAGCAATTATCAACCGAAAACATTTTTAACCTCTGGAATTTGTCCATCGGTGAACTTTCTATCTTATTTCCGTAATGTAAAACCCAGTACAAAACATTTTCAACAACATCGATGGCCAAGGTACGGAAAATATCACCGTTCTCTTCGGCGAATATTACACAATTTTCTCCAGAACTCGAACAGCGGGTGAGTCTGAAATAGAAATATTTGTGTTGAAAGCAGTTCCTTATTATGAATCATACGGAATGCATATAGGAATTATAGTTTAATTTTTGGGTTTGTCTGATTACGTGACACACTATGCAATATTATACGTTTCTCTGTATAGTTTCAAAACTCATTTCGAGTACTTTCTCAAAGCTTTTTTGAGTTAGTGTGAAAATGTTAGGTTATGTGGCGGTAGGAGTTGATATGATTAGAAAAACCATAACTCTATCTCATCAGATGCAGTAGTTTCATATTTCAGAATGATGGGGGAAATTGGCTCGAACAAATGTAGTGAAACTCACAACAAAATACAAATCCATTACATATATATAACTTATTACCGTTGATGGGTTTACAGTTTAGTTAAACTTTTATTCATGAATATATTGTTAATATTTTTAAATATTTCATCAAAATCATTATAAAAATTTGTTGATTCACTTTGTTTATTAATATTTTTGTAAGCTCCATATCTACTCACTTTCCGTGATTAATTCCCTCAATCGACGAATAGAATAGTTTGCCTAAGTTTGGATGCAATGCTAATCCATTTATTTTAGAGTTAGCTGTGATGATGCTCACTGAATATTGTCCTGTTGCTGTCACAATTTCGATTTGCTGAATAATGTCAAAAGATATGGCTTTTAAATGAAAAATTAATTTTCCGAATTTAAAGTTTGAGATATTTACATGGGGAAATAAAAGGATATCTCAATGATAGCAACAAACGTGCAAGGGTGTCGTTTATTACATGAAATATACCAAAAATTTTAGTTCACCTTTCTGCCCAGTGTACTATGAAAACTCTCAATAATTTTGCGAAGCTATAGCCATCAAGTCATGACGTGATATAGGTATTTGTAATCGTTTTGCACTTCTTTATACATGTTTCACTAGTATGTAACATTGATAATCTCGTATCATAGAAATAGAATCCATTTATCACCTTCTGATTGGTCCAGAATATATTCTTTCCAATCCAGTCCCATTGAATAACAGAAATATCTGGTAAATATCTTGTTAAAAGTGTAGTATTTCCAGTCCATATGTTGGTCAAGTATAATGATGACTGTAAAATATAAACGCAATGCATTGTTTTCATAAAACAATATTGCAAAGTAAAACGTTTGCTGTCACTTATGTAATGAAATTTCTACTGATCATTGGGCCTGAATAGACAAAACCGCCAAAGAGATTCCAGGTATTAAACATTAATTCGGCGTTCAATTCAATTAAAACACTTTACACAGATATTTTGTAAATTTCAAACAAGGCATTGAATCGTTTAGGTTTTTATGTGTAAATAAAATTTGATGTTGGGTGAAGCATTTTTAAATTTTTTTATTTTATAAAAATACAATAAACAGTAATATATTTCAGTAGAAATATTTTTGTATTATTTACCGAATTTCCATCAATCCAGTAAAACTCGTTTTGACCTTTCACTGCAAACGTTCTTGGTTGAATTTCTGAAACTTCTTGGTCGAATTTCAAATGAACGGCTTCATAATGTATTTTAGATCTCGCGGTGAAAATTCGAAAATCTTTTTCAAATGCAGATAGCAAAAACGGTTCGTCACCTGTAGGCGGGGATGAGAAGTACTAAAATTATGAGAAAATGTCAATAATACCGCTTTTCCGTTACATGTTTTTGCAAATCCAGTTAGATTGGACTAGGCCTTCAACATGTCTTCGAAATTTGATATGTTCGCCTACTATGTTTTAAATCTAACACTGAATTCATAGTGAGGTTGATAGTACCAGCCATGCCAACAACTAATGAAAGTTGATGTCACTCGATATTCTAAAGCTAAGCCCCAAGCTTGCTGCACACAATTTAGCAAAAATCAATTGTCAAACCGTACCGAATTTGAAGATATATAAGTTTAATACAAATTTATTCTGCAACGATTTTATAGATAAATTTTATACCTTTAGCTTTGCACCGGTGCCCGTGTTCTAATAAGTATCCGCGTAAACATAAACATTTAAAAGATCCTTCAGAATTCGCGCATACATGATCGCATTGGTGTTTGTTAACTTTGCATTCATTTATATCTTAAAAGAAGAAATAAGTAAGTTAGTAGAAATAAATTAAATGAATTAAGTACATCGCCACAGACGATCCCACACTACTAGTTCTATTGTATATCACCCTCTGAAACTCATGTGATTCTTTCTGATAGCAACCTAAACGTATGTTACATTGTTTCAAATTTGAATACTTGCACTACTATACTAGATCAAAAAATCATCTTGCTGCTATTGAGAATACCGCGAGTTAGAGCGTATTGAACCAGATCGTACGAACCTATACAAATTTGCGTTGTGACGTCAAACTGATATCCAACCATGCATCTACAACTTGGTCCTCTGGGAGTTCTGTGACAGTGATCCAGACATCTTTGATTAACAACAGGATGATCAATACAATTTTTAGAACAATTTTGGCCTTCGTCTGACCCATCTCCACAATCCGGTCTTCCATCACAAACCTGAAATATATATATATATATATCAGTCATGTTATTTCGTACATCGAAATATTCAAATAAGTAGTTATCTCCGCCCTACTGTAGTTATAACATAAAATAAGTGATCCAGCAATGAGTCATATCTCATTTAACTTCTCACTCAGGGTATTCACTTTTTCAGTGGTTCCTAACCTTTTTTATTAAATTACTCTTTCCGATTATTTTGGAACTCTCAATTTCAACCTCACATGGCATACAAAGTGCCTTATTTGGATTTTTTTAAAGGACCCTTAGTTAGTGTTTTGCACAAGTCTTACTTCCTGCATTTGCAAGTTTAGGTAGTTTATCATGTGTATACAAATACGTAATATAGTATTATTAAACAACCAAGAAATATATATTAGTAATACTCAGGCTTGTCCATGGGATAGCACACATTTGTATTTCCCATGGGACACGAAAACCGTATGTTATCAGGGAAATGATGATAAAACATTTTGTTATGAACTTCGTGTCCATATATTTGAGCATAGCTCCCTTGTTAGTTATAAAGAGCAAAACATATTCAGCCTTATTAATATACTTCGTGAAGGGGCTGATGGACACATTCATAATAGTTATGAATATAAAGTTAACAAAGTCAGTAAATTTTGTTGTGTTGCATGTCTCTTCGTATATGTAGTCCTATTTAGTAGAGGTTAAATCTAAATTTAACAATATCTATTGAATGGGATGGGACATACATAATTGCTATATGATGAGAATGGGACAAAAAAAATATGCGTCATGGACAAGGCTGGTAATACTACAGCAAATACGAATCAAATTCCGACGCAAGAACGACTAACGTCCTCACTTTAGAGGAATTCCACCCGGTTAGAAAACGTGGCACTATTCTATCAATAAATTTGCCTGTTTTACATGGCAGCGCGTAACTTTGCTCTGATCAAACTTGACTGGAGAAATTTAAACAAACTGACTAAAACTTCATACAACTTTGTCATGATTATTAGATAAATTGCTCATTTTCAAATATAAAAAAATGAAGCGTCATATTTTTCACTGGTCATAAGTTCGCTAATCATATGCATATTTTATTCTACTTGCCCAATTCATCCTGATGCAATCTCCATCATCGCATGTATATTGATGCATGCCGCAAGGTGCTTTTGTTGTTGTAGCTACAGTTGTTGTGGTCGTTGTAGGCGGTGTAGTCGTTGCAGTGGTCGCACTCGTTGTATTAAACGAAGTTATTTCAGAACTGTTCTTGGTTGCTGTGGTTGTTTCGGCATCTACAATATCAAAAGCATTCCCATCAAAATGTGTGCTATGCTGAGGAACTGAGGAACCAATCGATTCAAATTTCCAATACTTAAAGATGTAAGTATGTGCTGGTAGGCTATTACTTTCATTTTTTTTTTCATTTTTTTAAACGAAATGTGATCCCAATTTCGCTATTTTATTCCGTCATGCCCGACTGCCGACTTAGTGGTCAGCTACATTTCCATGTGAGTCAAGCAGTCTACCGGCACTGAAAAATGAGTTATTGGACATGCACGTCGATATTTTTGGGCATTGATGTTGTGTAATTAAGTATACACAAGAATGAATTTTAGGAATTTTTTAAAAATATCCATTTACACTCAATAAGGACGAAAAATGAAAAAAATAAAATTTCGTAAAATATGGGATTGTTGAATAGCATTAGTTTTTTTTGTTTAACTTGAGAAAATGAGTGAATGTCACGTATAAATGAGAAAATAACCTTCACATCCCCATTCGTCATCATGAGGTTCGGGACAATCATAGAAACCGTTGCATAAAAATTCTTTATCTATGCAAAATCCTCCAGTGGAGCATTCATATTCATCATCGTAACATACAGGAGTGGTCTAAATGATGAATGAGTATTTCGTCAATATTCACTAAAAGACAGCCACCGGTGATAAAAATTACATTAGGTACATCTTTATGACTGAAACATACTATGTACACAGTAACAATTAATATCTATAAATGATGACTATGATAAATTTTCTTTGCCCTATTGCAAATAGACGCACTAACTAAAAATGATAACTACTCATTTTGTTTTTCATTACTATAATTGGAGAATAAACTAAATGTGCAATCGCGTGGGGAAATTTTCTACACGAAGTTGTTCGCAAGTCATAAATATTAATATTTTGATAAAAAAAAAATCACTGTAAATCTCTATTTTATTACCTATGCTTTCATTAGTCATATGCAATACATAACATTCTAACTGACATTTGTTGGATTTTATATCGACCGTTTTACCTCGTCAGCACCCCCGATACAATCTTCCTCGTAGTCATTAACCCATTCGTTGGGAATACACAAAGCTAAGTTATCTGTTCCTTCTTCTGGACACAAGAAATTTAACGAAGTGTCACAAGTACAATTCATCTCGTCTGCTTGATTCAAACAATCGATTCCACCATCGCAAAAATACGCCGATCGTATGCATTGATAATTCTGGTGAATTGAGTTGCAAGACATTAAGGAAAACTTAAATTCCTGTTCTAATTATAAAGAATGAAGTTCATTCATTCGATTCAAAAAACTATCCATTGAAACGAATTGAAACAGAATGCTTAGATACGTGGATATAATTATTTTTAATAACACAGTTAGCGTATGTTCGTTCTGTCAAGAAAAGATAGTAAGAAAATAAAATTTCGGTGTAATATGTAACTTCACTAGAATATACTGACCTATTTTAAAATTTCGCCAGACGCGTGCCCAATATGAGTTATAAGCAACAACAAATTTTTGTCAGCATGCTATTTTTAGTGAATATTTCGAGCAAAATATCAATTTTTATAAATAAAGCATCAAACTTACACCGGCATCAGGCGAACTTCCCGGTGGAATACATTCTTTAAATTCTGGTGACTCGCAACCTGTTGCAAATGGAAGGTATGCTTTATTTATTGTGGAAAAATCAGAGTTTTAGAGTTATAATGACTTTATCAATATAATATTTAGCAATTTTTATGTCTATAAAGACTACGAAACTTTCTTTTTTGCTTTTGCTCTGTATATCATTTTACATTTCCTTCGACCTAAAAAATAATTTTACGCCGATAATTATTGTATAAACGACATAAGGACAAGCGGTTATATATATAGAAAAGCGTCAACCAAATGTAAAAAAGCCATAGCATTTTATATTATGTCTTAGCTCAACCTGTTCATCATAATTTTCGCGAAAATGGGACCACGGGAACACTTGCTTGGGGCAATCAGCCCATTATCTTCGTTTTTAAACACAATGTACCGCAATTTATAGCAGATATGTTACAATAATGCTCCAAAATGTGATACATACCGCATATAGCAGTTGATTCGTCACTGGCATCGAAGCAATTTGAACTTCTCCGATCACAGACAAGTAGTTGTGGGATACATACAGGATACATCTCTTCACCAAACTCTCTCTTGAAACCAACTAAAACAAAATGTATAAAATAACTTGAATATGTAAACATGTATGGCTTTGAACTTATAATAGTCATATTCACAAAAGCTTGTAATGAAATATAATAATAATAACCTGTTATGAGTTTGGTCTGAATCAATATAAAAAAATTCTCCTTTTTAAGCTAATTTGGCTTCAAAGACGTTCTGTTTTATATTTATCGTGAAGCAAAAATCCCATAACTATATATTATCAAAATAATTTTATACCTGTGCTCATGTTTGTCTGCTTACACTGAAATTCACCGATACCGCAAATAGCTTTTGTGCATGAAAACCCATCTTTTGAAAGCGAGTAGCCTTCTGAACATCCACACACATATCCATCTGCAAAACATAATAAATCATATTGGACAATATGTATTGAATCAAAAATAGAAACAAAAGAGATTCAACTTCAAAAACCTTTGATTCATAATCCTAGTTAATTGGGAGAAATAGCGATTTAGAATTAACAAAATTATAAAATTCAACATTTGTAGTTCCCAGACCCAGATAATTTTATTATAAGCTATGAAAGAGACTTCACACTTACAATGAGTCAATTAATTTTCCATAATTGCTCTTCTTTAACAACATATAACAATGCGAAGTCAAAACGATAATCTTAGTTATAATTCCGTGAAAATATATTTTTATTCATTTCGATTTTGCCATTTTTCATCAGTAAACATATAAGACGTCCAAATAACTTTAAAATAGAATATTGTAGGCATTCTTCTAACCAGTGTTATTGTGTGGGAAACAAAAATGAGTGCATGGAGCCTTTCTGGTGCTTTTTAACCAACAAGGGTGATCTTCTTTCTCAAAATTTATCAAATCTCTGTCCACGTAAACTAATCCTCCTCCTCGCTTTTTTGCATGTTCACTGATATAAGTCCGATTCTCGTTTATCTTATCTCTCTCATTTGCTCCGACTTTACTTTTTCTTTGGCTGCGGACTTGATCTAAATTTCATGTCATAAAATAAATTTTTTCTCTTATTTTATATATCAAAAGCATGAAGTATAAATTATTTATTGCAACATGGGTGTCATTCACCATAGTTTGGGGATAAAACGAACAGCTTCAAATCTAATTTATCAAGAAATAGGTAAAATGTATTCTACTTAGAAAAAATCTCGAAATGATCCTTTCTAATTATTTCTAAGAAGGCCTGTTATAGTAAATGTATTGAAATTAAAAGGTGGACCAATATCAAGTTTTGGTCATGTTATAAGGTACATGTTTTCGCATATTAATTAAGCAAAACATCAGCTCCGCCATATCAGTTTTAAAATATTATGAAAAATTAAGTAAAATAAGTAACGATATTGTGTTACGCCATGGATTTAATATTTAGACTATATGTACAACAATCAAAAAATTCGAAAATAGTATTATCCATACCCAATTCAGGATCATATGTAAACAGTAGATCAGGAGAGACAGCAACAGCAGTTATATTTGGCGACGATGGTCTATACAGCGCAAAGTCTTTCTTGGTAACTGACAGACTGTATATCAAAACTGGAAAGCAAATTCTAAGGTCACAGCAAAGATATAACTTACTCATACAAAACTGTATATATAGCCATAAAAGAAGATATCTCAATTTTTTTTTAAATATTTTTCGGAAGTAAAGCAAATCATGGTAAATGTAGTGAATATGACATAAAAGGACAAATGTATATGACATAAAATACCAAGAAGCAATTGCAGTGAATGAAAATGGAAATAAACGTTCTGATATTATGAATATGGATTCAAATTACCCTATGTTCTAAATTATTACAATTGAAAATTATCAAATAAAATCAAAAAGTGGAATAGACGTTAGAATAAACTTTTTGAAATATATCAGAACCGCAACTGAACAATTACCTACCAGTGTCAAACACTCCGCCAGCAATATAAACGACTCGATCCTCATAGGGGTCATAAGTCATGTGAATTACTTCTTGACTTGGAGAAACTGTTTGAATTAATTTGACGTCACTTCCATCAAGATTTACTGAGTATAGAGCGGGTTTGTTTGCGGCATTGATAAAGTAGATTCTGCAAAAAAAAAAATTAGCTTTAAAAAGCTACCACCTATTGGTTTTTGATTGATTTTTGTTATTATTTTCCAAGTACTTCGTTGTGCAATTAAAATTTATGATCAGTATTTAAGAAACAGTATCAACTATAGATTTTATTCAATACCAATATGTTAGTCTATTATCACATTAAAATCAACATTCCATCGAGCCCACAAATTGTGTCATATGAATAGTCCTTCAAGTTTTTTTTACAAAAAAAAAAGAATTTTCGGTACTCTTGAAGTTTGAGAACCAAGATGGCGGACACCGGAACGTAGTATGTGTACCAGGTTAGGGTTGGGCCATATTTTCAGGTACAAATACTACGGGAGTCACTTGGCTAGTCTCCAAACTCGTGATAAAACTAAAATGAAAAAAATTGAAATAAAATGATGGCCTAACCTGGTACACATACTTCGTGAGTACCGAATTTTCTTCAACCTAGTATTCTTGCGGGTATCTTATAATAATATCCCAAAATCAACCGAATAAATGTGAATAAATTTTTGTTGGACTATGATATTACTTATGAAATAGCAAAAATAGACGTAGTCAGACTTAGTATCAACCTAACCTAAAAGTAACTTTACATAGGTTAAATTGAACTTGGCCGTAACCCAGCCATTGCCATTGATATCCCTGACTCTGGAAACAAGCGGAAACGAGCGAAAAAGACAAAAGTGCAGAATATCACTTTCCCTATGCGATTGTAATCGAGCAAGTCGTCGTTAATTCAAATTTGCGTTCCTACCAAGTTTTATCTGTGCATGTATAGGTGCCTAGATACGAAGAAATGTACAGAGTGTACACCGCAGAATTGTAGACCGTAAGCAGTGATTGTATAATTTTGTTATATGTATCGACAAGATCGTATATGTAATTTTTGTTCAAAACGGGCGTTCACTCCAAACTAGATTCTGAATTAGTACCCACTGCATTTCTTTCTACAATGAGTAATTACGATATCTTTATAAATTTCAAAATATTACGAAGTTATCACGATATCTTTATCAATTTCAGAATATGCTCTTACAAATTTCGATTCGTGTCAAAAGCAAGTCCCTCGGGACAAAAATCTTCTCTTTCCAAAATTGTCTTTTGCGGAAAAATTTGTACTTTATCTTCACTATCCTCTGTGATTTCATTTGGTGATGCCGCTCTTATTTCACAACTTTCATTCGGAGACCAATAAATATTTCCCGAAGTTGGATCAATCGTGAAATACCTCGTTGATACTAGTATGTCAATCATGGTGTAACTGAGAAACAAAAGAAATAATCTTAAATTAGATATTGTATTGAATAAACCAAGTTCGAAGTTGTAAGCCGAATTAATATTGGTTTCGTTTCGGCCTTTGAGAACAATGAATTTTCTGGTCGGACTCGTTATACGAAAAGGAATGGATTCCGCTTGCAAATCCGGGCGGGCTTCTCGCCATTGCGGTCAAATGACGTTTGGTATGAACATTGACGACCGTCAAAACTTTATTTCTATCTCTATTTACACCAAATGATTGAGAGACAATCACTTACTTGCACAGTGATAGCTGATTTGTGTTTGAGAGAATTAACACTTACCTTTTGTAATTATAATCATTAATATCAACATAATGAATATCTTGCTGAGATCCTGGAAAATAAACTCTTCTTCGAGTGATGTCATAAGCTATAGCGTATGCAGAAGAGTCGCCTATAAAAGAAAGTTACAATGTTGTTGCTTATAGTAAAGCTGAAGCTGACAGATATATAGGTTCATCAGGGTTTATTCAATAAAAACTTACCAATCAGGTTAATTCTGTTTTCCAAACCACCCTCATACATCAGTCTTATGATACCACCCTCAACATTTATCAAAAAATTGTCTTGGAATTTTTCTGAAAATATAATTTTTTTATTTAAATAACAACTTTATACTTCATTGCTGTACTTGATTTAGAAATGCCATCTTTCGGTATATATGAAATAATATTTTGTCAAGAATAAGAATTAATTAGTTTTATTGATTAATGCTTTGTTGTGTGAGCGGCGTCGACTTCTCACTAAATCAAATTACCTTTGCACATCGATGTCAGTCTGAAATAATCTTTGTTATCGGGGCAAACACATTCGGCAACTAGATTCGCATCTGAACTCATATCATTAATATTGGTAGACGCAAGCACACAGGCGTACTCACAGTTAAACTTTGAGCAAGGATTTTCTGTAAAATTTGTGAGTGTTAACAAGGCAGAGCAAAATTGTGATACTATCGGGCGGTTTACGCAAAAGTAGTAATTTATATAAAGCTGTAGAAAACATAATTTCTCAAACATAATCAATGCAGAAGTCAACAGAGAATTTGAAATTAGGTCAACCATTGAACTTCAAAATTGAAACAAAACATGTTTGGAACTGAAATCTAGTTCAAAGCCAGGGAAAACACATCAGCATAGCATCCAATTTACTGTCGGTAGTCCAACGTTTTACCTTTCAGTCTAGACATTAAAAGCATTCGAACATTTTTCATAATCAAAAAGCAATTTATAGTTCATAGATGGAAAGTATGATAGTAATATAATATTAATTTTTTTTTCAACAATTAGCAATCATACATATTTTTCGAAATATGATAGTATCATCGGTTCGGCATAGTTGAACCTTTTGCAGTGAACCAAAATAGCTCGACTAAATTACTAGACAATCGTTCTCTCATTAAATACTCTGTTTCATACCTTGGAATGCTGGTTGAAGAGCAGAGTGGGAAATTATTATCGGATGAGAATAATTTGTCCGGACGCCGACTTTAGCTATGACGTGGTGATTTTTTCCGTTCGTCGAATCAACTGATAAAACTTCATGTCGAGCGATATCATACCAATACAGTCGAGACTCAAAGATGGCGATAGAAGATGGCGTTTTAAAGTATGGAACCGACCGAGATATTAGGACCTGAATATGGATGTAAATAAGAGTTGTGGCGGTCGCAATATTTCATCAGAGTTGTCATAAAGTTTTTCTTTTTCTTGAATATTTATTTAATTCTAAAATAAGGAGAGATTAGCTAATTTGACATTCGCTCGAAGGAAAATTTATTTTGCTACTACATGGCAGAGTATTGAACTTTACAAGAAATTGATAGCAAAATTCATAAACTAGTGAAAAGAAAAATAATGAATCAGATAAACATAACGTTTCGCACGAAAATTTGTTTCATTATATTTTTGATAATTTTTTTCTTAAAAGAGCAAACTTGAGATTATATTTTCATGAAGGATCCAAGAACCAATGGGGAAACAATATTCTCGATATGTGTCATGAACTCGACAATAATGAATGAATAGAAACAGAAAAACTTACAGACGCGTCATTGCTACTTGGCCGGACTGATATCCTATGAATTGAATAAAGTACATCGTTGTATGATGTTTGTATAGGCGGAGATTGTGCCCAGTAAATATGATTTGTTGCGCTATCGTATGTCAATGATATGGGCCATGCAATGTTCCGATGTATTGTCCATGATTCTGATCCGTCCATAGCTATTCCGATTATTCGACCAAATCGAGAATATTCACAAGTAAATACCATCCTGAGATAGATTGAATAGTATAGTATTAATAATTCAATGATAATTGACTAATATCAATAGTAATAATTTACAGTTTGGGAGAATATTGACTATTTTGCATGAAGGACTCACTTTATCGACTGAAATGAACAAGTAACATTTTACCTCTGGGATACAGGTTTTATGATGAATGCCCATTTTGTTCGTAAAACCTTGTTTGTATAACACAGCAATTGCGATTGAAACAAACCCCAATTTGATAAACGAATTCATTAATAGAAGTGCTTTTGATCACGACACCAATTATTACTTATGCACTACTTTATCTTACCCTTTATGCGGTACGGCAACAATGTCAAAAACGTTATTAAAGTTTTCTGCTATTCCATGAATCACTGACGCATCGTCAACAGATTCGGCTTTGGGTGCTGAAATATACAATATTGGGAAAATATGATATATAGAAAAAAAACATAAAATAGCATTCTGAAGAATTTATGTTCTCCAGTCAGCTTCCTTTTCTACGTATACCTCTGAACAACTTACTAGAAATGGGAATAAGACCAATACGTCCACATGCTGAACATTCGTCATTTGTAGAGTTTTTTTGAATCGCAGTGAAAAATACATTATATTCAATCCAGTCAACTGATATTCTTTGAATTTTTGCTGGAATGATAGAAAATTTAGAAATGTTAAGTTCATATTCATTAATATTTTTTATCGAATATTGATGTAAAAAAATTCCAAGTCCCTATACCACGAGTCGCTAGCCAAGTTGAATCATTCGTCTCGAGACAAGTCCGAGTCCGAATTTGAGTCAATCATCGAGTCAATTCTCACAGGTGGTAGGTTAGTTGAGTACGAATCAAGTCGGACTCGAGCCTCCTCTATAATGTTAAATCGAGTAAAATCAAACAAACAAAAAGCAAACAAATTTTCTTATAACTTATAAAGAGGCTTTTTCTTATTGCTGGTAAAATTTCTCCATATAATAAAAAATAGTATATTTTCATCGTAATACAGACAACAGGTTAGTTTTGTTGTAATCAGTGCGGTTTTGACATTATAAAATAATAAATAACGTAATAAAATATTAACCAATAGTTCGTTTTGTGTGTTTTTATGTTATATAATCTTCTGGTTTATACAAAATAGAATTACCTTCAATTGAGCTAACGCTTAGCAAAACTTTTGCAGATTCATTTTCAGATTTTGCTTTAATTACAGATGCATGATCTAATTGTTCCAGCCATACGTACGTTTTATTTTCGACAAGATAATCGAAATCAATTATTTGTCCTCCAATAGACGGCATCTGAAGCAAAGTTACTGCTGAATAATATATTTATGCATATAGTCATAGAGGATGAAAATGTAATATTTATTTGATTAACAAAAATATTAGGTGGATATCAATTCGCTAATATATAATGCACACGGTAGAGATCACAACAGTGTAGAACTATAATAGAATAACACAGTATAATAATCCATATTTATTAAATCTACGTTACCGTTACGCCGTTTTTTATCAACCATTTCCAAATAATATAATACACCGCTTACTAATCAAATGTAAGTTTCTGTGCAACTGCTCGATGCCAAAGAGCCTGCATACACAAATAAAATAAGTCTACAGAATAATCTTTATTCGTGAAAAATGTGGTAGATGTCAATGTATAATTGACCTAAGTCGTTACCCTTGGTATAAGAAAATGACTGGAAAGCAGAGTACTAGAATGTATAAATGTGGCAAAGCTCCAATGCAACTACAGAACTCACAATTCCATCGACATCTGAGTAGTGAAGAAATGATGGAGTCCCGTAACTGGTTAGTCTGTGATGATGTGGCAAATCCATTTCCCTCAAAGCGTCGTTGAAACCGATACGAAGAATTGCGCCGCTGCCATCTGGAAGTAAAGATATTACTTGTGAAAATAATTTTCCCGGCTTCCAGCAATTTGGCATTAAAACTATGCATGGAACACAATCAGAAAAGGTAGATTTATAAACGAAGAATCGCTTTGCTTTAAATCTACTTTCTTGGTAGCCCACGCCTAACTTACAAAACCCTTCCCAACGTTTATTTGGTTAAATCTTTATAAAATTAATATGGGCCGTAGAACATATAAAACAAACAAATGACTATGAATCGATCTAACCGACTTGAACACGAAGCTGTCAAAGTAATGACTCTTCAGTTGGACCATTCAGCACTAGTTTATTCTCGACCTCGACTGCACACTCACATTTTAATATTAAAGCAAATATAACGTGTAGGTGAAACAACAAGCAATTTCCCAAGTACATTTTTAACAATTTTTTTTCATAAACCCAATTGTAGCATCATCGGTGAAGTTTACAATATACTTAAGTTCCGTACAGATTTTGGCAGACGCCCATAACACGCCAGCTTGTCAGAACTCCAAAATCAAATTAGGCAATTTCTTTATATAGAAACCGAAAACACAGTACAGCCGCCGAAAACTTGCCAAACCTTTTGCCATCGAGTAAATTATTTTGCATATACCAAAACAGTACTAGTACAAATTAGCATAGATAATGTTTGATAAAAATATAAAGCACCAATTCATACATGCTAAAAATTTGTTTTATGTCTATATCATGTACTGGAAAGCGTGGCAAATTATACAATGAGTACCTTCCGCTTTGCATCGATTTTCGTCTGATATCAAGACATAACCAGGACCACAAGCGCATCGGAAGCTTCCTTCTGTATTGATACATAATTGATCGCAAGAAACTTTTTGAATATTTTCTCCCACCCTTTCTTCACACTCATTGATATCGATACACGTCCTGTTGTTTTCCATTAATCTTAATAATCGAAAAGAGCATTTAGGTGATGAATATTTAAAATTATACTTTAAATAAATGGGTTTAACAAGTAATTAATATGCTATTTCACTTAGACATATATATTCGTTGTTTTATACTTTCTCTTTTTTTTGACGGTGTTGGTCGAAGGCTTTTTGCATGATAAGGCAACATTGTTGTTATGGCTGAACCAGATGTTAACACGTTTATGGCTTACATGTCCATGTTTGAAGAGAAAATTTTATAATTTTCATTAGGACTAGACATGCCATAGCACCATAAAGAGAAACTGAGTGATAAAAGAGTTTCAAGTTATCACTGAATTTTTAAATGCTGCATATACATTTATTGTTGTCATAAAGATGTCATTGAAGATTGTTTTTTTTCGTTAGAAGTACTTTAAATACATACTTTAATATGATAAACTAGTTAAACGAAGGAAATTTCACGCAGCATTAATTATTGAAAAACTTTTTATTGATATTTTGTGGTTGACTATGTCAATGTTATTTAAGTTGGCATTTATGTTGACAAAAATGAGTTACGTCACTTCATGTTCAAACTAAATTTTGAACAATCGCCCTGGTTTCAATATTGATTAGATATTTTTGGAAAATTTCATCATTTAATGCAGTTTACAATACGAAAATGACTATCTCATTTCATAACTCTAATTCGAATGTAATAAAAGTGACTTAATCGCATTTTTTGTGCACTATTTGAGAAAGACACAGGATTGAGAAAGAAAGAATTATATTCGCTAAAATATACATCAAAATTTAATTTTCGAAATTCATCTACGAAAACCCTGCTACAGCCCATTAATGAGTGTACAGTATAAGAAAGTAATTGAAAAAATAAGTTTGAACACCCCAAAAGAAGATATATATAATTGCATCGCGCAATAAATTCCCGTTACTTCGTGGCAGATTTCATGCGACATCGATGCCTATTTGCTATTGAATATACACCCGATAGGACATGTAATAATAATACTTATGATCATATTCCTAGCCTAGATAAACATAGGTCCTGCCTCATCGTTTTTATCGAGTTTTTTATGGTGTTATAAATGAGGGCGTTATTGTGGGTGTTTTCATTATATATTTTTGTCCAATAGCTGGACTTTTTCAATTGCTGAATCATTATCCACGTAAAACGTCATGTCATTCGCCATTCATAATTTTGCTTACATCGTGAGCGAAAAACAAAACGAAAAAACGCCCGTTTCTATAATGGCTTGAATGTGAACCTAATGACTTAACAAAACTAATTACGCCAAAGAGTGAAAATAGTTATGGTTAGCCAATGGCAAGTTTTATCTTACTTAATTTGCATTACTTTTAGCTTTTAATGTCTAAAAATAAGTGGACTTCCGGCGTTAAAATCATCCAAAAATGTTAGTGTGTAATCAATCGCTCTTACGTTTGTCGTGTTCACTGTTGGCTACCAAGCTAACCTGAAATTGATAGAAGTCCATACCAATTGGTGATATTCTAATCTTATCTACTTTCCATATATCGTTAGAAATAGAGAAATTTTAAATGTTTTGTTTTAAAAACGCTGTAAAGAATTTGGGACTTTATATTGTTATTATGAAAACAAATGTCAGGTTTTAATTGTTCATTTGACTTAGACAATGGCTAATACTATATGCTAGTTTTGCTTTTATATTCTTTCAAAAATGCAGTAAAATCACGAAAATGCCATTCATAATCATACCTGTATCCTTCACGACAAGAACATAGTGGACCATTTACCGCTTCCTTGCAAATATGATCACATTCTGGCATTTCTGGCACGCTGTAACATAAATTATATATTAAGTAATCGAATATACCTTTTATAATCTTCCTGGGGTAGTTCTATTTTGAATACCAATATGAACAGTATACAGTATTGGAATACAACAGTATATTGTTCACGAAGTTATTTTACAGATCCCTCCATTTTGCCTTTTTGCTGTCTGAAACAGTTCAATGTTTAGTTCATTTTACAAATACTTGGCAATTTCAAAAACAGGAAGAGAGGTGTCAAAGAAAAGCTCATTTTGGATATCATGCTGTCTGTATCTGCGTCATTTGACGTCGACGTTTTCACATTCTTAGTATTTTTAAACAAATTTATAAAATTGATCATATGCGTCTACTTCGTGACGGAGTTGCACGTACATAAATTTGAAAACAATGAAAACGTAGTGAACGCCAAAATAGTAAATAATAGAGTGCTCTCTGAAATGGCTTACATTGTAAAGCAATATTTACCTACCGTACAATTGTATCACACTGTTCCAAACAATCTGCTGGTTCATCTTCACCATTATCACAATCATTTGATCCATCACATTGTTTTGCAATCCCTACACAGCTCATGGTTCCAGATATCTGACATGCAATCTCACTGACATTACAGCTGTTGACATAGATGGTAATTTCGGTGCCATCTCCTTCATCTTGATGATATAAAATATGACATATTAAGCTATTAGTTGGATGAGACTAACCATTTATCCCTCCCTCATTTATGACTTTGCGTTGGTGTATCCTTATGCATATAACGCAGGGATGGTATTAAATATATGAGTACAACTATTGTAAGTTTTTGAATAGACTATCAGCACAATAAAACAAATTTATTTTTTAATGTAATATAAATGTTTAGGCCTCAGTGTGCACCAAGACGCTTGAAGCACTTGGAATAATATTTAAAAATTGCTTTTTTCCGTCCATGCAAGAATTTTTGTACGTACATTTTTGGTGCTCCCGAAGTATTCGTACCAAAATTGCGCATAACCTGAACACAGTATGTGTACCAGGCTAGGGTTGTTCAGATCGTGCGTCATCTTGGTACTACTTCCTGAGCGCCATATTTTTGCCTTTGTGTTCAATGTGAGTTTTTGAGTGATACACATTTGCAGCGATATTTATTTAGACTACTTTATCAGTTCAACTACTAGTTCTACTTCCCTAATAAAAAGATCGCACAGTAAGACCAGTAGGGGGTTGTGATGAGTAATTCAAATTTCGTAATTGCAACAAAACATAAGGAAATATGATTAGTGAATACTATGCCCTTTTAACCGAGCGCCAAATATTTTTAATTTTGAGAGACTTTTAACAATTATTTTTGTCCGTCAAGCCAATTTCTCATCACTTTAAGTATCTTTTCTTCCGAATCGTATAGAATATAAGTATACAAAATAAGCAAAATCAATAAAAGTTTGACGCTGTTGAAAACAACTGTATTTTACTTTGAATATAAATCGTGCAATTTGCGGAAAATAATATTATTTAATAATTAATATTATAGAGAAGATGAGAATGTTAATTACACTTGAAATGAAAAAGAGCAAAATGTGTATACACTGTTTAAATTAAACTAAAAAAACAAATAATCACACCTGTGCTGCAATTGCTTTCATCGGACTTGTCGTTACAATCAATATTTCCATCGCAAATCCAAAATTCTGGCATGCACATTGCAGGACTGTGGCACCTTACTCTATTACTGGAATAAGATTTTATTGGTAATTTATTATGTTATCGTAATATTCCCTAAACAAATATCTGATCATAAATTTCATTTAAAATTAAAAAGAAAGACTTGTATACTCAAACTTGAAAATAGAAATTAACAGAATAGGTGAATAAGGATGACTTATACTGTCTCCAGTAATTAAATTATCACCCTTTTTAGGGTGCAGTAGCAGTAGCTTACTTACAGTAGATTGTGTACGTTGTAAGAAGCATAAATAGATTAATCTGCATATTAAAAACTCTCTAACACTAGGTGCCAATCATTTTTAACATGATATCTAAGATCTACATTGCAAATATAGAAAATAAATCTAGTGTAGATGTCGAAAATATGCCATAACAACATTCAATGTTAAATTTTAAATGTGGCACTTATACATACTCTGCAAAATCTGCCTCACAATTTGTCATGTTTGTACACATTTGACGATGTTCATCTGATTCATCATCGCAATCAAGATCTCCGTCACATAACCAAAGATTTTCAATGCATTGACCATTTGCACATCTCCATTGATCGAAAGTGCAATTCTCTAATTGGTCTGCCTGTAAAATAACATATGAAGTTTGTTTGAAATGCAAAGGTACTAAAACATAGTTACTTGCTTTACAAATTTGTAAAATGAAATTGCACAGCTAATGCCAGTGAATTTGTTGTTTTTATCTGTAATTATTTTGTTGATAACTCACGTCCCCGCTGCAATTTTCTTCATCTTCTCCTTGTATACAGTCTGGATCGCCGTCACAAACCCATTTCCCAACAATACATGTTGAACCACCACAATCAAACTCATCGGAAGCACATTCAGTTTTATCTAAACGCAAGGAGAACTAACTTATTATTTCAGCAAATTGCTATCCGATATACAGTCATTCAGTCATCATGAAGAATTTGATGCCCGTCAATATTCAAGTTCTATGACATTTTGAGTCGTCAATAGAGTTTTGATGTACTGCCTTCAATTCGATTTTATTTTAAGGCTGGAAGTTTACATTGCATGGAGATGAATTCAGGGATTGACACTTGAATAAAAATATCTCTATATAAAAAAATGAAAAAAATAAATACTGAACTGCAAGAAGAAATATGTTCATCTATTCCGTTCGGGCAATCGATGTCACCGTCACAAACCCAGCTTTCCCTGATGGTTTTATTCGTTCCATTGCAATGCCAATCATTGATTGAAAACGGTCGAAAAAGTGTCAAAAGTCGAAATGGATCCGTGATGGAGATGGGAGTCGAACCCAGTCCTGAAAATTAATATGGTATATATAAGTTGTAATCAAATGTGCAAGACAGAAGAACTGATACAAGAGCGCCAATTTTTTAATGCAAAAATTATTGGAATGAAATGGTTTAGTAAACGTTTAACTATATCTTTTAGACTGGATGATAAAAAAAATTTGGGGGTCCATAATGTTGGGAATAGGGTTAATTTGTCGAATATATTGTTCGATGGAGTGAGAAACGAGTAGTAAAAAAGAATAAGAAAATTCAGGCATAGCATTGGTTTCAAATTTATTCCTGACATGTACAAGCCACCTAATCTGCATTTATAAAAATAGATTTTCATCTATACGAATAAAGTTTAAAACATATAGGAAGGTCGCGTTAACAAGCGCGATCTTGCTTGTACAATTCAGTAAGGTCTCCATCTTTAAACTAAGTTAGACTTGTTATTATTGTTTGCATCATCATATTCTCAATACCACAGACTGTCACCTCGTTAGTTTAATTACATTGTCAAAAACTCTATCAGCGTGTATTAAATCCTAAAAAATCACTAATGCCCCATAGGAACTTCTTCTTTACGATATCTTAGACATGAACACATTATTATTCAAAATATGCACAATTGGTTGCTGATTCTAATTGACTGATTCAATTTTAATTCGGCAGCTCAGTTGCTTGATAAAATACGACTTCGATTTTTTTTTGCAATTCTCGTGATGTATTCTAACTCTAATGTATTCTGTGTTCTACCGGGTTCTGCTTTTTTAAAACTCCTTTAATTTTGTTTACTTGGGTTCACTTTTTACCATATATTCAGGTAAATGTAGATAAATGTTGATCGCTTAGCTTTAGAGCTTCTCAAGCCTGGCGCTATCTATCATAAATGTGTTACAAAAACTTTTCTGAAGTTTGGCTCAGCATGAACTAACTTAACTTGCTGATGATAACTCCGCTTTCATTACAGTAATATTAAAATAGACGCACTGACTGATTTAATACCCAATAACCCAGTATTCCTATTACGTTCACTTATCGCGGGGGTAAATCACCAAACTCAAAGTTTTCGCTCAATTTCATTTGAAAGATACGAAGCTCAGATCCTAATGAAGTTTTCAACAACAAAAACTCAAACCAAAATTCTAGTAAAACAGTGTTGAACAAGAATCGTTGATTACAATACAATCTTCAACAAGGGCTAGTAGTATCCACTTACATAGTATGATACAATAGTTTTACAGGACACTTAAATCATTATAACTGCTATGCTTACCACAGCTGATTAATGCCAACACGAAAACCGCGATAGCAGCACGAAGCATTTTCAGTATCTTTCCCTTAGTTTTTTCAAAATAACTTTCAAACAGTCAAACCATGCAGCAGCAAATGTCTAAACAGCTTGCTTGCTATACGTCGGATACTAAGTGAATGATTAGAGAATCTTTTGCTCGGTCACTTCCGATAATACGCGTAAACTGTCTTTACTATTTTCCACATTTTGATAATTTATTGATCAGAACGTAACGTCATCAGGAATTTTATTTATACGTGTCTCACTTTACTACTGATATTTTCATTACCAGAAAAATATTTCGCTTTCATTCATAAATATGCCATGGTAAACTTTGTACACTCTGTTTTTATTGGTATAGAATGCGTTACCGATATCCACATTTGCTGTATAATATCTTGAAACTGTGTTTTATGGATGAATTAGTTTAAAAAGATGTTATAGTTTAAATACCTTTAAATGTGAAAACTACTGAATTGATTTGATTTATAACTCCATTATTTGTCAATAGTTTATATGCACAGAGTTGATTTGTCACATTGTAGAATACCAAAGCTAAATGTATTGAAAGCTACTTTTTCAAGTTAATGTTGGTATTGATCTGAAGTCCGATCTAGACCCCAGCGCCCAAACAAAGCCGAGAACTTCACTCGAGATCAATTAAACGGTGTATAATTGTATTTAGTACGACAAAGAATAATCCATTTCATTTTAAACATGATTAGCTTCTTTAAGAGGCAAAATACGAAATAATTGTCAATGCTTCCATAACCGCTTTTGCTATGGAACGAAGATCGCCCTCTTGCGGATATGCCACATGAAAAGGAAATTTATGAAAGTAAGCATTTGATATCAAAGGAATAATATTATTCGATTATATCAAAGGATAATTATAATCAATGTACTAATAAAAATTAAAAAAAAAGTTCGACAAAAATCGATAAATCTTTTAGATAGATGACGAGCAACGGCCTGTCCCCGGGTTACAATTACAGAAACTTGAAACTATTGTGTTAATGTTTCCGAAGACATGAACAAAGAAAATAAGAGAGTTGTAACTCATAACCAACCAGCGGTACCTGGAGCACCAGATGACGGCGAATTAAATAGATGGAGCTCTCATACAGTTTTCGATATGAACATATTATTCTTATATGCTTATATAAATGGATACGAGCAGACTTTTCCTATAGAGTAGAACCCCGATGTCTTTATAATAATACATCCTTTGTTAAGAACCCGATGAAGGTAGAACACGAAAATTGTAATTACAAAAAGTAGTTACCAACTAGTTACCTAATTAACGTTTCAGAGACACTGAGGGTGGAAAAAGTCAAAACTACACAGCGACTATACGAAACGTTCACAAGACAGCGTGCAGTTTAGCAATGTTTTCTTGTATAATAGTACGCCACAGAATTCAAAGATTTAATTTAATGATAACAAAATTCGTGGTTGAATTGTTTTTTTTCACGATTGGAATCAAATTTCTGATATATTCTGCTGAAACAGTATTCGCAGAATTATTAATACCAGGATAACGGGGAGTGAAAAATTGGGCCCCGTGTGATTATGACAATAATTTAAACATAATTGAAGTAATAATCTTTTATAGACATGGTCACATGATCCCAGTGGTGGGATTCAAATATTTTGTCAGCCGGTTCCATCACAAAAGTTACATTTTTCTGCCGGTTCTGTTACAAAAAGTCACATTTTTTTAGCAAATAAACTGATTATTTTTACTTACTAATTAACATTTCAAAATAATGGTTAAGTAAGCATCATTATGTCAAAATTAGCATCGAAATGAAAAAATAAAACGCGTGAGCTACTTGATCTCAAAAATCGGTGTGTCAGATAAGATGCAAAAATCCATTAACAGTAACCAGTAATGCTAACCGGTTCGCTGATCTCATATAATTCCGTCTCAATCCCGTGAGACGGTTTTATAGAACCGGTGCGTACCGGCTGAATCCCACCACTGCATGATCCATGTTTAAGTACTGAAAATTTGAAATCGATTGGTCTATTAGTTTCAGAGAAAAAGAGCACAACAACAACCCCAATACCCACAACAAGAACCACTGCGACAAGTTTGTAAAGCGATCAACAGGTCCAGCCCGTGTCCAATCGCTATAACTAACCACGTTTTAACTGACTATCTTACGACTTTACAGGAATTGTATAGGGAAGTTGTCTTGGTCTCATGTTTTTTATTTTATTTATCAATGATATCTCCAATTGCCCTGATCTATTGACCAAATTATTCGCTGATGACACAAGTCTTCTTGACAGTGCAAAATCGACAACCCCGCAAAAACAAGTAAATATAGAAATGAAAAAAGTCTTTGGTTGGATGATTTGTAGCAAGCTAACAATCAATATGAATAAGTCCAAGATTGTTCACATACTTCCTAAACACAGCTCCCAATTGATGTCAATTTCTATCAACATCAATTGAACAGAGCTAGAATCTGTTTCTTTCTACAAATATCTGAGACTAAATATAGACAATCTTTTACGTTGGGATACCCACGTCAATGATATTCGGAACAAACTTTCGCGTTCTGTAGGTATGTTGAGTAAACTTCGACATTAGATTGATACATCTACTCTTGAAACGTCTACACCACACCCTTTCTATCAATGCACTTCACATCGTAAACACGTGGTCATTTGGGACTAGGTCACTTTCAAAATTTCCCAGACTAATTTTCGGAATAGCACTTGCTTCAAGTGATTCCGTCGAAATGGGAAATTACCCATCCATCTGTTGGTATTATGGCTCTTTAATTACTATAACTTTTACTATATAATCTCTGGTAATCGGTGTTTGTTAGATATTTTATACGTTACTCACCGTCAATATCAGTAGTTTCAAAAATCTGAAATCCCAACTTTTTGAATTAGATATTAGAACCTCGGGTGTCCCAGCTCGCTAACCAGCTTTGGTTCCCGCGACTTCCCTTTCCCAGTAAAACTGTGTGAATTATCATTTTCTCGTGATTTGTGCTTGTTATATATTTATTTCTACGGGTTGGAAAAAATAAACTTGACTTGACGTAAGTTGATATAAATAGGCATTGATTGAATGATATCTCAGAACACAATACAAAATCATTAGGCCTAATGCAGATATCGGGTAGCGACACAGATTTTCCAAACATCAGACCGCAGGAGTACACAATTGTAAATGCATTAGAAACGTTAACAGGCACATTGACAGAGTCAGATTGTCGACATTTTTCAAACTGAACATGTTGACTGTACAATTCAGTAAATATTGACTCCTGTCCAGAACGATGGTACTTTATGTTGCCATAGAAAAGGCATGAAAATTAATTATGAGAGGGGGCTACAAAATAATAAAAAATTGTGCTACACATCATTAGTTTATAAACGCAAAATACAAGTTCAAAATGAAAAATTAAACGTTTGGTGAATACAGAAAGAGGCCTCAATAAGCAAACATATTGTGCAATTCTAAAATCATATACAAGCTGTTACTAATACCATAGGTTTGATATATCCACATTCATCCAAATGCTATTGACATTCGAAGAAAAGTGTATAAATATTGGGTTGGTGTGATGTTTAGTAATACATTGAGTATTGCCATTTTCTAAATGATTGACAATTATCAATATTAATGCCATCACAAGCTGTCAATCTAACGAGATGAAACGGTTCTCGTTTATTTTTTCGGTATTCTACTGTATCCCTCCATTTACTATTTCATTTTGTATTTGAAACGAATTGTGAAGTGGAACTATTGAAAGTTGGAAATTGTAAGCCGGACTGGCTTGTGCTTGTTTTTAAATATTTATATTATATATTCAATATTACATTATTTATTTATATATAATATCATACAATATTATACGTAAAAAGTATATAATTAAATCTCAAATCTTTCATATTTTATAATATAGCATACGATTATTTTATGTCAACGACAAATTATCAAATGAATACAGAACTGTTAATTCGACGATTAAGTTCACACGATTGTTGATTGCGGACTCTCGGGCTCTAGGGCGCTATTAGTGAATAATATAAATAGAAATAAGCGTGACAAAAATTTGTCATAATACTATATATTTAGTCTGATAAATATAGATGTATAAGAAAAATGACAAACTTTGGTGTCATCACGTAGATAATAATTTTGTCAAGGATATAAAGTGATGAAAGAAATTGAGGAAAAATCTAATACTTTTATGGCATTAATTAAGACATCAAATTCTCGAACTTTCTCAGCTCCTAATATGCTCGTAGTCGTAGCTATTTGATCTGGTAAATGCACATTAACTTACAAATACATTAATTACATGACTAATTAAAACTTTTTCAGGAATATAACTGGATTTATACAAACTTACAGTGGGGGAGTTGCAATAGAAGTAGCCACTGGAAGACTAATACTTTAATGTTTGCATGGGGCTCGATATTTTACCCAAACTTTTGCATTTTTTGCGAATTACGTTAAACTAGTCCGCCATCTTTTCGATAATCCAGGTACACAAACATGGCCCTACCTGCGGTGATATGAATTATTATACGGCATAGAATCGAAGCGTTTGAATTGGATTGTCGTGGTTATATATATTCTTTTTCAATCTCATTCTAATTTCACGTTGGCAAAATTTCTTTCAAGTGTTTGTGGACTGGTGAAAATCACTTCAAACTAGTTTTTGTTATGTAGACACGTTAGCGAAACCAGTGACCATTGAAAATTTTAGTTGTTGATAGTTCGACTACAAATACTTGAATAATTTGTTTTTTCATTTTCGTTGAGGTAATTAAAAAATTTATGGGTTTTGTTTTTGGTTCAACTCTTATATAGATTTACATAAAGAACCCGCTTCAAACGAAGTCAATGGGTTAACTTTCTTGCACAATAAACGTGTATATGACATATTTGCTTGGCATTTCCTTTTAAATTAAACTTGATTTATGTACAAAATTCAAATCTATTACAAATTACACATTTGCACCAACGTGATAGGCTAGATTAATTTCCGGCTAAATATGTTTGATCCCGTACATGAAGAAATATATTTTGCTCGGCAATAGACACACGTAACACAAAATGCCATTATAGCTCATTTTAGTCAATCTTATATCTGAAGTACATCACGTATATCCATCGGTCTGAGCTATTCGGACAAAACAACAACATTTTGTAATGAGACATTATTTCCAAATTAGTATTGCGTCTCATTATCTACACTTCGCTTATTTGGCCGCGCTTAAAATTCACAAAATTCAATTTCAACGATCGGATTTACTACCAACCTTTATGCAATCAAGTTTGATTACACACTGAAGTGATTACCCTGATAAACGTGTGAATAATTACGATATTTAGTATGCCGTATTGATCATATAGCAAATCATGCATTACGGTAGGTTTCAATTTGATTTAAAAGCAATGTGAATTTTTAAAAGCGGTTATTTCCTACTCTATCTTTGCACAGACAACAATTCGAAAATGTAAATGTTGTTAATTAATTAATTTAAACGTAAGCAACTGTTAATGACGCAGTTATATCATTAGCTTTCATTAAGAGCATAGGACGCAGCATAGTGCTAATGGTCGCTTAAATATTGGTAGTTATTTGCGCTCGATGGTTTTGTGTAAACGTTGTGACACCGTGAAACGGAAAGCGCTAATGCGTTTCACTTACGCCCGTTTTTCTTTTCGTCGCTTTTCAGTTTAGCGTAGAGTTCTTTGTCATATGTTCATAGAGTTCAATGTCATATGTTGATGAGAGCCATGGCTCATATATTAGAGAGGAAAGCCGTTCAGAAAGAAGAAATTTTATTGCAAGATGTGACAAATTGCTGTTACTTCTATATTTTTATCCAGGTGTTATAACAGTTGACGTTTCAAGTGGTATTTAAAAAAAAGCTTTGAAAGCTATTTACTAACCTCGTATGAGCTCATATTTTCTATAATAAATCAACTTGAATATCACACATATTTAAGTAGGCTAAATAATAGAAAATATTTTCGCAAGATTTTAGTTTATAATTAACAGTGGGGTTACGTGAAACTAACTATCTTTCCTTGCTCTATGCTTTTGGGCAGGTGGATCCGTATGCATATAACGCAAAGATGCTGTAGCGAGACTGAAATTGACTAGTTGTGTTAGTGTGCAGCAAGACTTTTAAATTAAATAGAATTTTAATTTCTAATGTGCTTTTGAAAGTTGATGGTCTCTAATTTTTAAAAATCTTTTAAAACTTCAGAAAATTCTTCTTTTGACTAAATGAGCTTACATTTTGATTAAAAGATTAGAATTGTTAAAGGATAGAGTATATATGTCAGTACATGATATGATACAAAATGCCAAATAGTACCTCACATCTCGAAGAAAGTGGAGTTTGGTGTGGAGAAGAAGACAGTGGAGGCGAATTCAATGAAATTGGTACCGGACAAAGATCTTCTTCAAAGATTAAAAATGTTTTGAACAAGCACAGGTAACCAATAAAAATTTAAGAGAATTCACCGGCGTATTTGTACAAATTTTTCAATTATAAACAATTGAATTGGTCAAAATCAGATAAACCAACTCAACTCAGCAAAGCCGCAGCAAAGTACCTGAACATAACTCACTCAAAAGTTAACTTGCAAGTAAAATGCTTCGATTCAAAATAATTTATCAATTAATTTGCCAATCCACACAAATCTTGAAGCGAGTTCAATGTAGAAGCTCACTAATAGGTTGAAACTTTTGGTAATAAGAAAGTAACTAGCCCGTGAATTTGTTCTTTCTTACTGTGTATCAAGTACAATGGCTGGAGATTTTTTGGTGCTTTATACTTCTGAAATATATTTAAATCAAATGTATAATATCAACGTTTTCAAAGCAGAAAATTATACCTAATTAAACTCATATTTCTTGTGTAGCTTTGAATGAATTGAATGGATTTTATTGAATTGCATATTATATTTAAATGGATATATACTATAATTCTCTGCAAGATGCAATACTTTGCATGTTTTGTAGCAGCAATTAGATTAGATCAACCGATTCGAAAATAAAATGCATGAAACAAAGACGCAACAAAATTGTTCCCGAAATATCGTCTGACAGAAGCGTGATAAATTGAAACCTATATAGAAACTGTATGCAAATGCAATGATGAACTGTTAACTCGTGTCGTCAGATATTCCAAATTTCAAATATTATTTCCATTCGGTCAATAATACATCTTTTACGTATATATTATATTACGTTGGAATATTTTATATTTCACACAAGAAAATTCCATTAGATTTGATGTTTGTTTCATAAAGTTTATATGCCAAAAATGTCTGTAGCTTAATCACATTGATTTGTCTGAGATTTAAAAAAAATAAAGAAAAGAAATTCCAAGAATTTGAAACTTGTTTATAAAAACAGAATCGTGATTGTGGTAACTTCATTTATAGATAATACTTACTAATTATGTAAGTAAGGATTGAGTATTCACGAATGCTATTTTTGCCTAATGAATACATCTATTTTAAAAACACAATAGGTGTAAAGTGTGCTTCATGAAAACAAGAAAGCAATGCTCAAATATATATACATGGGTATGAATACCAAATTACAAACATTTCTAACGTATAATTCGAGCTAAACGTTAAAAGAAATGTATCGAGTATTATATGAAGATGTCTATGTGAATTACAAAACCCAGTAAAACTACGTATGAAAACTCGGGTCAGTAGGACAGTAAATGTCATAACTTTCTAGCGAATTGGTCCATTTCTGTAATGAAGCAAATCAACAAGCATTTGTGTCCGTGAAGTAAACTTATCACGAGTATGATAGAATAGGTTATGTTAAGTTAATAACATTATGACTCAAAAGTGAAAAAGTATTTAGAGCTCTTTACTAAATACACAATTTGAGAGGTTGACATTGATGTTTTTTTTTAATATTTGGAAAACAAAAACCAGTTTCTAACTAAACAAATGTTGCAAATGGATAATATAAAAGGAAGGAAAAAATAAATAAAATAAAAATTTAGTCTCGCATAGACATTGAATTAAACTTAAAGTAGCGTGTACATTGTAGCATTCTGACACCGAATCATGCGTTGTTCGCTGATTGCAATCTCAAGTCCACATCAAATAAAAACTGGCAACAAAATACAATTACCAATTAAAGTACACACTGTCTATTTTTATAACTTACGTGTGTATAATGTTTTGCGTCAGTTTCAAAATTGTAACGTTGCCATATGCGCCTAGAACAAACATTTTAATGATTATTTGATAAACGTCATAAGGATTGATTGCGTAGTTCGAAATTATCTTCTGACTAACAATAGATAAACCGGATAATTGGCAATAGCTTAGTACAAAATCATATATTACAATTTGAAAGTAATAAAAAAACGAAAATTTGGCAGCAAGTTGTAACTTCATTTCTATTTTAGTTGACTCTAACTTAAATTAGAGTAAATTCAATACAAATTGCCATAATATTCAGACAATTAGCCCGCGACAAAACGTTCGAAATTAATGTTTCGATTAACATTTTCATAGCAAATTTTCCCAAGGCATGTGTAGACAGACATTCATGGTTAAGGTAAAGACTTCGCTATAATTCTATTGGGCATCCAAACATTCTCAATAATTATAGCAGGAGTGCTTACAAATCACAGTAAAAACAAGAGAGCTATGCCTAAATATATGGACATGTTACGCTGAAATTCACCGTGGTAGGGTACGGTAACTTACCAGCAGGCTTGATCACAGAACCTGATCGCTGATCACGTGATCAATATATGTTTGCGGAATCGCCACATGGTGGCAAATTCTGATGACGTCATAGCTCAAAATGAAAACAAATCCCATAAAGCTCACAGGAATATTTGAAATTAATAAAAGTAACAGCCTAGAAAAAAATTCCATCTTTAAAGACTGAAAATCAAAGCAATCGGTTCAGTAATCAAAGAGAAAAGCGACTTTTTATAAACGTGTTAAAGAACAAGAACATCAAGAATAAGAACAACAAGAACCACAACAACATAATAGTGAAACGATAGTTATTTACACTAACGTGTCCAATAAAAAGGATGGTTTGGTGTTATCCTACAATGCAGCCGAAATAAACACTACTTTATGGTCCAATCTGGGTTTACATCCTTACATTGTATATGTATGATATTGTTTATTGAATGCTTATCTTATATATATCATAGTAAATAATAGCACGAGATTTTTTTCATTCCTAGTGGAGGATCTGTCGACGCTTCGGAAGATGTACAAATAGTAGACGTAAAAGAAATTGAACCGACACAAAAATACCGATCAAGAAGCAATTCCCATCAAAAATTCAAAAGAAGTTTTAAAAGAAAATCCTCTAAACGAGGAACGAACGATTCTGTCAAAATACCAGTTCTTTCAAGAAAACGAAGATCGTCATCATTTTCAAAAGTCTTCAACTACAATCGCAGGGCTGAAAGTATGCATATATTTGAGTTCATATAGTGGATAGTTTTTCTTCAAACCTTGATTTGATGTACTCATAAAATTCTAGCTCTATTCCAACGTTTCATATGTGAAGCGTCCTTCAACAGTTCACAGCGACTAACGCTAAATGCTATATTAGGGAAATCTTAGCTAAGGTAATTCCTGAAAATCAGAACCCGTTTTTGTATCAACTATGCCAACATTAAATATGATGATACCTATAAAATAATTTCGAATGTTAAAATTTTATCTTGGAGGATCGAATGGCATAATGTATTTCTAATGAACTCTTTGATTTTCACATTAAGCAAGGGGGAAGGAACATACTCTCTTCCTATCCAGGGAAAATTATTGAACTATTTGTCGTTGGAAGAGCGTTGTAATATCTGGTTAGAGTTCACTTTACCAACCCTGCTAATATATATATGTATATATGTATATAGTACGTTAGACTGGCTGTACTATATTTGCCCGGGCTAGTAACAAGACGTGGCGCAGTGGTTCACGATATCAATGAGCGTCATCTTGGCATTATTACTACTGGCTTGAATGAAAATATAATCTTGTTATAGAATAATTGAGCCGTGAGGATAGCTGGCCATTTTTACTTGAAAAAGTTATAAGTTCGCGTCACGCTAATCTTTGAATCAAACAATTGAACATCAGCGCATCCAGAAGACAAGCTGTTCACATTCGTAATAATGATTAAATATTAACAATTGACATGACAACGTAGGTGGGGCTTTTTATTCGTGATATATCATAAAAATTTAATTGCTTTAAAAATGAGCAAATGGGTCTTTCAAATGTTTTAGTGGTTCCCGAAATATCGTCATAAGCGCTAAATGATCTTTTAATTGTATTTTTGTAATTACTCAATGTAGTGAACTTTGCTTTACATTTCCAACACATACCGATTTGTCCGATTACAGAATACATTACAAAGATATTGTCAAGCTCACTCATGTGTCTTGCGATTTTAACGATATATAATTGTAAGAGGGTGACACTAGTATATATAGTTTCTTGGCAGATATCTCCAACCAACGAACCAGTATCCGTTGTTCGAACTTATAGATCCTGATATATGATAGTATATTAACCATTCATTCTTTTGTCCACACACCAATAATAACCCTAAAAAAATTTCGAAGGGACGATCACAATATTTTTTTTACTTTTATAATATTACTTGAAAATCAAAATTATAAAAAAAATGGTCCCACAGTACAGTAATTTTGTTATTTCGCAGTTACCGGTCGAGGGTCATCTTTTGGAATTAAAAGAATGCCGAGGGCAAATGCAATTGAAGTCGATGATGATGACGTGATGTGGCCAGGTGATTATCACATTTATTGATATTTTTCACTGTTTTTATCAACTCCAAAAAATACATGATGAGTCATTGTGGGAATTTGGGTAATTTCACAGACAAAAATGTTTCAGTTGACAATAAAAAGTTTCAAACGTTTCTATATTTATATATATTATCATATATATATTATGATTTTTAATGTAAAGCGAAAATGGAACTGACATTTAAATAGGTAACTTGATATTTAACGTTTAATACCAATCAATATCATAATGATTACCTATAAATATCACCAACGGCACACATTGTCAATCACGATCGTCAAAATATATATACTCTTTAGAATATTAAAATGAGCAACTCTTATCACGCGCAACAAAATTACAAATGTGACGTAACACCTGTCTTTCACTAGCTTTTTGTTTTTAAAGTAAAGTAAAGTACAAGTAAAGCAAAATAAATGATTTAAAAAATATTTGTCTTCTAGTTATTTACATTCAAATAAATAAACTAATATAAGCAAATAAAACACGATCTTTGGGTTTGTCCCTTTTTAATATCGCAGTAAACCATGTAAACCTTCTTTTCGTTTCAACAGATCCTGGAATGTTTAAATCAAGCAGTTCCCAGAAGTCATCGCATGGTAAATGTTTATTTTATGATTACCTTGAACTGAGTTATAAATTGATACCACAAAGAGATGGGATGAAACAGAATTGTAACCCTTGAGGTTGTGTGAGATCGATTTACCAAAACAAAATTCCGATTTGAACAATCTACTAAGTTATTATCTGTTATCATTTTACCTGAAGCCTATATATGTAACGTAAATATTCATATGTACTTGAATTTTTGTGCAAGCCGAAAAATCGTTTGTTGTCACAATGAAATCAGGTCAATCTAAGGGTTATTTGTAATAATATTTATTCGAATCAAGACTACTCGGGCACTTAATACACGTTTTAAAATCAACTTTGCGGTATATTCATTTCATTTGATTTTTTAATTGACACAGCAAATGCAAGACGAACTAGATCTTCAACAACAACCTGTTTAACATCGGCGACTACAAAAAGTAGCGCAGGTTCAACCATCAATGATTCAACACTTCTGAGAAGAGCTTATAACTTTCCTGGTAAAACGAAAATGTACGATCGAGAACACTCCACTGCAAATAACACATTTTCTCGATCTATCACGTCACGACCATCGCTTGCGTCATCAGTAATTAGAGAATCAGAACTCTATCCTCGAGGATACAATAGATCATCCGTATTTTATTCGGAAGACAAGGTAGGCAAAGTACAATAAGTTATTTCAGGTACAGAGTGTATCTGTACCAAATTTATGAATCAATCGTCCGCATTTAACCCCTAATTTTTTTTTTTAAAGCTTAATTTTAATGACCTAAAAACTAAATTCTATTCCGAAAGAACTATTTTGTTTAACCAGAATAGCAGAATAAATTTGAAAACCATTTCAATAGACAAAACGAATTCACATTGATGCATACGGTAAAAGTTTTGCAAACAAATTTTGAATACGTGAAAAACAACCAATCACGACCTCCTGCGGTCACTGTACAATTTGATTGTTGTGTTTTGTAAGATTTTTGCCAATATTAGCACTTGGGATGTAGTATGGCCCAATTTCTGCTCTATTGTAGTTAAAATTCACATAGACATGTAACTTTACTTATTTGATATGCATATTCCATTTGGCGCATCATGAACATACTATTTTAAAAATATCGTAATAATAAATTACATTATAACATTCATTTTTAAAATATAGACTTCATACGATTTTGATGCGAGCCCAACCATCGAAAAGCAAGACATTGTAAAGGGAGATGATATAGGTAAGTGATAAAAGTGACAAGATAAAAATAAATTATTTTGGTAAATGGTATAAAAGGGTTCAATATGTTTATCGAGTGCCAGTTGAGTCGTACATACTAATCCATATGCACTAAAATATTTAAGAAACGTTGTAGTTCACCTTGGTTATTTATCATTTTTTAGAAAAAATGGTTGAAAGCATTAACATGCGAAACTTTGAAGAAAACGACGAGGAACGAACACCTAAAACAATCAGAATCAAGTGGCTGATTCGACGGCTTAACTGTCTGTATATTACAACTATATTCTTCGTCGTCATCTGCTTACTACTTCTTGGTCTAACAATCTGGCTTATTCAAGACGGCAATAATTTGAGATTGAGTCTACACGAATTAAATGTGTTAATACGCCAAAGTAGCAACCAATTTATAGTTGATCCATCGCCAAATACCATTGCGAAGTATTCGTCGGTGAATGATAATATGACGGAAATCGTTTAACTCTAGATTATTCATAACAAAAGTCATAGATATTTTAGTGATTTTTATTTCCTTTTTTTAAGTCAAAAGTTTGACAAAGATTGATTTGTACAGTGCGTAGTTTATTTGCGAATATATATTTCAGGAACGCAAAATTTATTTCAAGAAATGTAATGATAGAATGTAACGCATTTAGAAAAAACTGTTAAGTTTATAATTTTTTACCTAACAGTACCACAATCAACATTATATCGTTTTTATTTCATATTTATTTTGGGAATTTGTGATAGAGAAGTGCATGAGCTGCGTAATTGATGATATCCCTGTAACGATTATCCCAAGTTTTGTGATTAACGTTAATGTGTAACGAACGAAGAAGGCAAAGATGTAGCACCAGGAGAGAAAAATTTATGAAATGCGGTTTCATACAGGAACAGAAAAACCCCTAGAATATGACGATACAGTATGAGTTAAAACTTTAGTTGATTAACTATCATGAGCCACGTTTTAATTGAACACGAAGTGGACCTATGAATCGTTTTGGTATTGCACAAGAAGTGTACATATGGATAGTTATGTTATTATGGTATTTTTTATCATGTTGTTAGTTTAGTTTTCTTTTTTTCTCCTTCTTGTTGGAAAAAAGACCTGCTTTTTTATTAACTACTGGACCAATTGCTTTGAAATTGTCAGTGATTAAAAAATTACATTAAAATTTTATTTGTTATTTGTTTTTCACTTCTACATTTCGTGTGATGACCTCAAAATCAATAAACATTATTTGTAGCGGTTCGTTGATCTCTCTCGTGCCACTTTTGTTTCTACGCGAAAGTCGGAGATTTTTTGACAGTACTGTAAAGGATGAGGTAGACTAATACTTCGTTTTGATCTCCGTGTACATATATTTGAGACATCGCTCTTTTGTTCCTTGTCGCATCCATGTTGCCGTATGCAACTTGTTAAATCGCTCCATTAATTTGCAGCATCGTAATATGATTTTTACACTACTACTACCACATGGCGACCCTGTTCAGGGTTATATTATAGTTTGTAGACTACCTTGATTTTTGAAGCATATATTATATACGAATATGAAACGAAGGGTACACATAAATACTTTTAAACTGTTTATTATAAAATAAATTATATAATAGATTTTTATGATTCTTTGTATATCGGAGTGATTATGGACGTATTCCATCAAAATTTTACAGGTTAGGGAAGCCAAAAATTAACATGTTTATGACAAAAATTGGTTATGCCAGATTTTTTTTAATTAAACGATATTTAGGAGCCTCTCTAAAATTATTTTGAAATCCCGGAGGCTGTCATTGAAATATTTGTTTTCAATTTGTTTGTTTTCATTGAAATATTTGTTTAAAAAATCTTTCTTTCAAAACGAAATTGATCCCAACTCAGCTTAACAGGAATTTACCGTTTATTCTAATTTGGCATGGTCAGCAAGATCGTGCATGTGGTGAATACAATGTATATATATGCACTTCAAGATATTTTTGTTGTTTTTTTCTTGTTATTCTTAGATTTCGAAGTCTAAATGGTCATTCGGGCATAAAACAAAGCTGAGTATATCATTATCGAATATGTAACGGACATTAACATAATTCTTCAACTTGATTAATTCTACATTGATCTAAATATACACTTTGGGTCACATATACAATTGCAATTATTTTTATGAAAGTTTTCCCAAACATTATTACAAGCATGAATGTTCAGATTCGGGTTAAGCTAACAGATAATCCGATGGGTTCAGGTCACCACACCCGAATGTAACTAATGTGTTCGGGTCGATTCCTTGCTCAACTGCAAAAGCTTTGAGTTCTGAAAGATTGTCATCGTTTATTGTCGGCGTTCTGGTAAAAAATTGTAAAAGCTTCTGACCTGTAACACAACAACGGTGAAATAATGATAGTAATAAAATAGTCATAAACTGCAATCAGACAGGAAAAGTCAACTGCAGTTTTTTCGGAGCAGTTTTATCAATTTAAATTGGAGTAAAACAATTATGAGACATGTAACCATATTAAGGGTCAAAAGTCATGAATATAACTCACCAGCCTCCATTGGAGTCAATATACTAAAGAAAGTAGAATAGTCGGTTGAATAGTCATGTGGATGGGAGTAGAACAATGGCTCTCCTGTAAATAGAAAGTGGATTTGCAAAATATCGCAATTCATGCAATTCATGTAACACTTTTACCTTTAGAAGGAGGTCTTATCTTTGTGCCAACAGAGAGCTGTTCTTGATAAAGCTTTGTTTCTATCTTTTCCCAGCTTTTCTCTGAAAGAAATTAAATGCCAATCATATGATCGTGGTATTATTAATTAATTCTGTGACTTCACTGTAATGAAAATTGACAAGAACTACATGATACAGAATGATTGCTCGGTTCACTAGAAACTAGAACCCAATGAAACTGCCTAATTTGTACGCGATAACAATCTTGAAGGTGAATACAAATCACTGAAACTCTCACCGAACTTCTGATTATGCCAAATTTGACCCAGGTGGTCGCGGTATAAATCTTCTGCAAAGGAGTGAGGATTCTGTGATTTATTCCTGTTATGAAACAAATAACATAGGAATTTTAATAATTTATCTCGTGTACATAGATATATCGTATTTTCCGGCGAATAAGTCGCTTTGCTAGACCCAAACTTATGGCCTGTTTTTTTTGGGGGAGGGGGCTCGTCTTATTGGGCGAGTATGGTAATTTTCATTTTTTTGGTGTCGCCTTATTATGTATTAGGTAATGTTCTTTTATGGGGGACGCATTCGCGAGTTGAACACAATTAGATCAAAATTTAAAGGCAGTTTGAATTCCTGTAGTTATTATGGATTGAATATTACAATACAAGAAAACGTCATTATAGGCTATTTCAACCAATGCACAAACGCGGCGACCGCTCATAAGGCATTACATGGTAATTTGAGATTCCGATATTGTCGCGATATTACAACCCCGACTTATTGGCAGGTTATATGCAAAAAAACATTTTTTCAGGCTCAAAAACGGGCCTCGTCTTATTTACGGGGTAGACTTATTCGCCCGTGAAATACGGTATATATTTTATTTTTATCATCTAGCAACGTTGTTTTCCTTTTGAAATATTACTCACTTGGGTAAGTTATAATAGTATAGACTCATCCCATTCTCTGTTACGTTGAAAGGTGCAACAACATGACACTTCCATAATACGTTCCAGGACGAGTCGTCCACACCAAGTGTGAGAAACCAGACTCCTTGCAACTGAGAGAAAGATGGAAAGTGAAATACGTTTTTACGCTTAGAGTGCTCGAAGCATTGGGTATTTTTTATATTTTTCAAAACGGATATTTTGTAAACACGGGTTTGTTTCGAAGTATTCGTATTTTTTTTTAGTAAAAAACACAGAAAAACTGCAGCGTTACGTAGCAATTACAACTGGTAATCGTTGCGCTCCATTCGTGAGACGGCGTAGGTCCATTACAAGATCACATTATTTTGTAACTGCCTCGAGTACGCATTGAAATTAGAAAATATTTTTTACAATTCTTATAATGCGATTCTTCGTGTCATTTTCAACATATTTCGAAGAAAGAGCAATAGGGTTATTGTCCTGGAGAACACCTCAGGTACAAAATTAGAGGTATAATACAATTAATGTTCAACAAATACTTTTTTATCAACTTACGCGTTCAAAATCAATATCATTTCCTGAATATATTTCTCGACTCCACGCGAACGATAAGAACAGAATAATCAAAGACAAGGAAGAAGTTGACTCCATCATCCCAGCCTTGTGAATATCTCAATGCGAATAATTGCTGGAATGACAGTGCAGAGGGAAAAAACATATTAAATAGAAGCATAAATAGGAACATTATATAATGGGTCGTGATGCAAATATGTCATGATGTTTTTATTTTGTCTGCACTTTTTCGATATTTGTTGAGTGTTCACTAGCATTTCCTTTGAACACTACTATTGAAATGCAGAAACATTATTTACGTTCTATCTTTTAAATTTGTGAATTACACTTATATACGTACATTCAGGAAACAACTTTGAAAATTTAAATTAAAAATTTACATATGTATATTGGCGAAATTACATTAGGGGTTCATTTGCACATGAAGCTAAACTTATGTATGTCGCAAGGTGTGTTTAAAACGTAGAACCATGTCACAGCAGCCAGGTGTGTTGCAGATTAAAACAGATGAATCTATATCGCATTTTCTAATTTCAAATTTTGTATGATTGATATATATATATATATATATATATATATGTAGGTAAAAGTCAAATTCGGAACTTTGGGTATATCCAGCCACATACTCAACAAATACACCACGCTTTGAATAAATCAATTTCTGAAGTGTCAACTACACCTGATAATGTTCAATGATGAAAATCAACAAAAATCGTTGTAATATTTCCGAATCATATGCTGTGCCCACGGAAGATCGAGTAATGTCGCAACTTCGTCGCAACCGTGGAACACGTTTCAAAGAATTGTAAATCGTCAAAATATAGCGTTTAATACTATTCATATAAAAAGATTAATGAGAGTTTCAGTAATTTATTTTCACCTTCAAGACTGTTATTGGCTTATTGCTGTAGTTAGTTTCCGGGAAACCAAAAAAATCATTGTATATTAAGTAGTTCTTGGCAATTTTCATTGAAGTAAAATCACTGAATCAATCAATTATACCAAAAACATATTTAATTGGCATTCAATTTGCTTTCAGAGAAAATCTGGGAAGAGATGGATACAGAACTTTATCAAGAACAACCTTCTGTTGGCAGTAACTTGGCGCAGAGATAAGATTACCCTCCCTCCCATGAGAATTTATGGAAGATGTTTCTAAAACCTGAATTGCGGTATTATACAAATCCACTTTCTATCTACAAGAGAGTCATGGTCCTATTCTCATCCACGTGCCTATCCAACCGAATATTTAACTTTCTTTAGTCATTTGACTTCAATGGAGAATGGTGAGTAATATTCACGAAATTTCCTCAGTAATTTTATCATGTTCCACTTGATGTTCACATGTTTCATCATTGTTTTACTCCCATGTACCTTTCCCCGACCTTTGACCCCCAAAATATTCTTCCCATACTTTACCATTGCAAAATTTTCGGGGCTATTTTAAAAGTGCTTTGGCGAGTTGGCGCCTATAAAATAGGGTATGTGTTTCAAACCATCATTATGATTTATCGCATACAACAATCTGATTTTTAAAAGTATCGGTAAAGAATTTTAGCCTAGTCTATCACAGATATTTCTACACTAATTTAGCCATTTTATCTTTTCCAATTATTGGACACGTCAGTGTACATAACGATCGCTTCGATATTATGTTGTTATTGTTCATGTTCTTCTCCGTCACCATAAAATCGTAATTTGATATTACCACCATAAATTCATTTTTTGCCAGAAGGCTATTACTTTTATTTATTTCAAGAATTTCTGTGGACTTCAAGAGATTAGTTTTTTATGTGTCAGAATAAAAAATAGCGAAACCTTGTGACGTGTCCATATATTTGAGCTCAGTTCTCTCGTTCTACACTAGATTTTGTCAATGTTCAAATATCAAGTTTGGAGACAATAGATTTTTTTCTGGTATCGAAGATCGAACGCGTTAAATGTTAAAGAAGTTTTAATATATTTTTTCTTGTCATCGACTAGTCAATATTTCATATTCATGATATCGAAATGACATGTCCAACCCTTTTCTAAACCTATTGCTGCTTCAATCATTAGTCTAACAATCTGGCTTATTCAAGACA